TAGCTTAGAGCGCGTAAGAAAGATCTTACTAGATACGTCGTTTTAGACGAAGATTTATTAGATAGATAAATTACTTAGTATTATATATAAGTAGTAGGTAATATCGAAGTCTAATTCGGCGACGCTTAGTAAGATAAGATAATATTATAAATATTTTATCGGGTTAAATTTCTCTTATCTAGCGGCGATTTTATTAGCTAGATAACTAGAGTTTATCTAGATTAGGCTTAGCGCTAACGGGTATACTTAATACTAGGTTATTAATCGTTAGTATTATATCCGCGATTATCTATAACGTTACTAATACTAGAGTAATCTTCTTAAGCCGAAGGCTCTTCTACGCCTCTAGTAAAGCCGCTTTAACGTCTAAATTATATCTATTTACTAGACGGCGAAGATATTAGACTACGTAAATAAAAAAGCGTCGCTTAGCTATCTTCTAATAGCGATAGCGGCTATAAATATCTTCTTCGCTAGCTACGTCTATTTCTTCTACTTAGACTTATTTTACTAGTAGTTTAGCGACTTTAAGTATCGTAAAAAGCTCTTCGACTATCTAAAAAGCTAGATATTCGCGTAGTCTAATCTAATAGCGTTTTAAAACTACGCGATTTATTTACTAAATTTATAAAGGCTAGCGAATTATCTTCGCGTAATAATAGCTAATTCGATACTCTTTAAGCGCTTATTCTCGGCGATAAACCTTATTATAACTAATAACTATACTAGAATAAGATTCTAGATTCTAGATTCGCTTATATATATCTTTATAAATAAGTCTATTCTTCGCCGCTAAGGCGAACTTATTATAGCGCGTAAGTAATACTAGACCCTCGCGCGCGAGAAGGCTACGAGGGATTATAATAAATAATAAGCGAAGTAGTTAGAGTAGCTATAACTATAAAAGAATTAGCTACGCTAGCCGCGGACCTAGTATATAATTAATAATATAATAGCGAATAATATAGAGAAGGGCTTAGAGAAGCTTCTTACGCCGCCGCCGCTTTAGAAGGAGAATAAAGGACTTAATACTATAGTAGATAAGATATTTAATACTACGGTAGATAGTAAAGAGACCGCTCTAAATATAGATTTATAGGCGATCGCCGCTATCGTCGTTTAAGCCGATAAAACGGCGTATATATCGCCCTAATAGAGTATATAGTAGTAATATTTACCCGACTCTATATATCTTAGCTAATTTAGTAGTAGCTTCTAGTAATTTATACGAGAAACGAAGATTCTAGTAGATTTATAATCTACTTAGTAAGCCTCGTAGGCGTTATAGGCGTCGCTATAGCTCTTACTATAGCCCTCGCCGTAGATACTACTACTATATTAGCCTTCTTAGTAAGTAGTACCCTCGCCGATACTATTATCGTAGTAATCTATATAAGATAATAACGTATAATACGTTTAGTAGATAGATAAGTTATATAAGTAGTAAAGAATAAGATAATAAGAGAAGGATTATATATAATAGTTCTTAATACTATAAATAATCGGCTTATATACGAATATCCGCTTATAAGATAGGATATACGCTTAGATAAACCGTTCTAGTAAGACGGCTAGGAGTTACGCCGATTTATAGACGCCCTACCAAATTAGGTAAGGGGTAAAAACCGTATTACCGGCAGCGCGAAACGGCTGTCGGCACTGCCGCGTCATTGCCGGCAGTGCCACCCCTGCCGGCTGCCGCGACACACCCCTAGTTCCCGCGGTCTTGCGCCTTTACCACTTGCTGCGACTCCAAGCACACGCCAACGCCTCGCCGCCGCCGCCGCCGCCTCTCCCTACCTATTCCTTCTCCGCTACGCAGATCATCATCCCTGCAGCGCCGCGGCGGCGGCGGCGGCTTCCTTTTCTTTGCAGCGGCGCCCTCCCCTCACACTCTCCCCCACACGAACCCGAAGGATTTGCTGCATTAAACGACCAGAGCGCGCGCGGCGAGAACAGCGTTGAGGCGCGGCGGCCGGGCCGAAGGCCGAAAAAAAAAACGCCACTCATGGCCGTTCCCTCGAACCGATGCCTCTTCCTTCCTCCGCCCCCCCCGACATCCGACGAATGAGCAGAGGAACGGACAGAGAGGGAAAGGAAAAAAGGGTCTCTTCCGACGGTAGGATTGCAAGCCCTTGGCCCGCCCTCCCGTAACTGTACCGAGCTCCGATCCGACATATCCCAAGCCGCCGGATTGTGGAGATTTCTTGTTGTCGGCCGATGCCTTTTGCTTTTCGTTCTTGTTTTTCCCAGTCGTGTGGATCTTGGATTTGAGATTGTGCACGTCATCATCATATTGTCCTGTGCTCTTTCGAAGGTAGAGGGAGCTAGATGGAAAGAAGCTACAAACCCGACGGCCCGTGAGGGACCTGCGCGGCGAAGAAAGACGGCGGCCTTCTTCCTTCCTTCCACCCACCAAAGCGAGGCAGGGGAGAGAGAGAGAGAGAGAGAGAGAGAGAGAACCACAACCATTGATGCCTCGATCTCGCTCTCGCTACGGCGAGATGACGGGGCCGTCGTGTCCTTCCTCGTCTGCCTATCATGCGTGCCGAAACCTGAGTGATCTGGCCGCCCACGCCACAGTGATAAAAATCGACCCACCTTGATATATGCCACGCAGGCGGCGGTGGAATCCTATTGTCTAGATGCACTTGTGTACCTAGCCTCAACGCTTCGCGTCTATGTCCGGAATATCTACTCCGACCACTGGTGAAGCAAGCTCGTTCAGAAAACCTGCATCTAACTACGTCAGAACATGCGCGCCGCTCCGGCTGTCCACATGGAAAGATCGCCGTGGGTCAATCTCCTTCTCAACCCGCCGCCTAGGGATCATCCGAACCATGCTTTCACTTCCCCGTCACACTTGCCTTGCTGTCAACAGCGCCCCCCCACACGCACGTCAAAAGCCTCCTCCCCAAAAAGCCACAAAAACGCTGCTCAGCCACCGCCCACGTATCCACGTTAGTGCCCACCGGCAGAGCTGATGACGGGCTTCGGAATAATGCAGCCACAAAAGGGGGTTCCGATAAGACGTCACGGGTTCGAGCAGATCATCACAGTGGCAGACGGCCGGCCCTGTTTAACCTTTTTTTGTTTTATTTTTTCTTTGATAGTGAGACGGACGGGGGTTTGCTACACGTTTCGTTGGAGGAATGCTCCACCGAACTACGTACACTCCTCTCCTATCCTTTCCACAAAGATCGCTGTCCCTCGCGCACACGCCTGACACAAAAAAAAGTCGTGTTCAAACAGTAGGGATCCTCTTGAAACTCAAATGGAGGTTGGAGTTGGGAGTAGCTGAAGGGGGTTAGTGGTCCGAGAGAGTGGTCTAGCACTTGCGTAGAGACACGATAGGGCGCGCCGCGCGACGTCGCGGGAAGACCGGCGAATTGGAGGATGGCGCTAGGTGATAAGCGCCGGGAGTGTCGCGAGAGAGAAAGAGAGAGAGAGAGGAAAGAAAAGGAAATTTGCCCGGGGGTGGACGTGAGGCCCCGCCCTGCACTCTTTCTCGTCTGGGCTAGCGATAGCGACATGGGGGTTGCATTGCGTTTGCCCTTTGGGGGCATTGCAACGAGGGCTTTCTCTTGCTTGGAGACGGGAAGGGCGTCCTGTGGCTGTGCCGTGGGTTCCGCCGTCGGGCAAGGGTGTTCGTGAACGAGATAGAGGAGAGAGATGGATAGATCGACGCCCTCTGGTTGAATCTCGGTGTGGAGTAGAAGGCGCCGTCTGGGCTGGGCTTGTCGGACAATGGCGGCGCCTGTGGCTTAGCTGAAAATCATGCAGGGAAAGCAGGCTCGATGGCGATGTGATATCGAGTTTCTGGTGCTCGTCTGGCTGGGTCGTCAATTGGACGTGCTCCGCCTATCTGGGAACGCATGGGGCTCGCATCATCGGTCAGAGCGAACGGGGGCCAAGGAGCCGCGACTGGACCCTCGGCCTCCCGGTGGTCTGGTCCAGGCAGGGGCAAGCAAAAGAAAAAGCCAAGGCGGTGGGCGTGTACAGCTCCGCTGAGCTGCTGAGCTTTGGTGTTGGCGCCGTAGCTTGTCAAACAATGGTGGAACCAATCAAGCAAGCAGCTCAAAGTCCAGCCCCGAGGGAGACGAGCAAACGCGGCGCCGTGCAGAGTGCCGGGCAGTAGTTTGCTGCCCCTTCTGGCCTTCGATTCGCCGCGGGTCTGGCTCTTGTCACGCAAAGCAGCCAACCCGCCGCTCTGCAGGCCGCACCTTGTCCACACCCCTTTCGCGAATCACGAAGATTGCGACCGCCCAGCCGCGTTTGATGGGTTCGCCTCACTCTCACGCAGCGCTCGTCAATCTGCTCTTTGGGTCTGCCGCGCCCGTCACCCGGTCCTAACACTGGCGGCAGCGGCAACCCCACACCAGGAGCAGGTGGCGCGTGTGCACCCATCCCTGCTGCTTTCATGCAAAGCACGCACTGGCGAGTCGCGGAGTGGTCTCCGGATGGAGTATGGATGGATGCGGATTGGAGTGGAAGTTGCCTTTCGGTCCGTCCGAGTGAATGATGAGTGACACGACCGTTTGCCGTCTTCCGGGACGAGACAAGGCGCCCGCAGCGTGGCCCGCAGCAGAGGAGGAGCGAGAGGAGGGATGTGTCGGGCCGGTGGCCGAAAGCTCGGTTTGATTGGGGCGAGGTGAGCAGGGAGACGCAAAGAGAGTTGAGACAGCGTCGGTGCGTCGGCACGGCAGTGAGAGAGGGCCAGCAACCGACCCGAATGCGGGCCCGCCCACCCGCCGCCGGCGGCCACTCGCCCTCCAGCTGTCGGACGCAGCCGCCCGAGCAGCACCACGGACGGGACCGCATCGACCGGTCAACCGCATGCATGCGCCTAGCCACACCGCCGTCGCTGCGTCCAGGTATCCAATCACAAGCCAAGTTGATAAGCTCGTAAGTACAGAATAGAGAGCAGTGCAACAATAGAGTAAAAAAGGAACAGCATAGAGAAAAAAGAATCGCATAGCCAACAAGAGAAACGAGTCTTCTCATCCCATTCGCCCCATCTCCCCGCCATGTCGCGAAAATTTTGCAAACCGCAGCGAAAAGGCAATGAGCACAACGGGCAGGATGCTCACGATTTCCCCCAGTCCTGCAAACGCAGGCGGAATCGCGAGCTCTGCCGCTCCACCAGACATCTTGACCGAAACAAAGGCACCCGCGGCGAGGAGCACCGCGAAGAGGTTGTAGACGGCCGCCCACGTAAAGTTGAACCGCACGCGCCTGACCGCCCGTCTCGACACGTCCAGCGCAATGAGCAAGCCGCGCAGGTCCGGCCGCGCGAGGACGATGTCTGCCGCGCTCTTCGCCACGTCCGTCCCACCCGCGATGCTCATGCCAATCGTCGCCTGCTTGAGCGCCACGGCATCGTTCGTCCCGTCGCCGAGGAAGAGCACGATGTCGCGTGCGTTCACCTTTTGGAGTGACGCTACGTACGCCGCCTTGTCCGTCGGCGAGCAGCGCGACAGCGCCTGTGAGGCTGGGATGTTGAGTATGTCGGCGCAGTGCGAGACGTTTCGCGCGTCGTCGCCCGACACAATCGAGACTGAGATGTGGCGGGACTGGAGTGCCGAGATGACCGCAGGTGTTTCTGGACGAAGGACGTCGCGGAGGGCGAACAGGGCGCAAAGCTCGTCGTTGATGGTCACACCGAAAATGGTATAGTCGAGGGAGTGCTGGTAGACAGGTGATTCCGTTGATGGTGTAGGCGGCGAGGTGAGGTTATGTGTGAAGCTAAAGACTTCTGAGGAAGTGATTCGCAGCCAGTCACAGTTGCCAGCTCGCACCACCATCTTCTCCTCATCGAGTGTGCCTTCAAGGCCTCCCCCGACAATCGCAGTGATATTGTCGAACTTTATAGCCTCGAGACTTGTTTCGGCGCGGATCCAATCCGCGACCGCCAACGCAACTGGGTGTTTCTGTCCGGATACGAGCCCAAAGAGGCAACCCAAGGTAGCTGTCTTAGGCCTGCATAAGAATTTTTCAGCTATGACGGATAGCTTGCCTTCTGTTAGCGTCCCTGTTTTGTCGACAACAATGTGTGTCACGTCCTGCGCCGTCTCAATAGCTGCCGGTGCTCGGAAGATGACTCCGTGTTTCGCAGCCACTCCGCTGGCGATGATGATGACCATAGGAACAGCGAGACCGATGGCACAAGGGCACGAGACTATGAGAGTCGCGATGGCGTAGGATGCGGCTGTGGATGCCGCATCCTTTCCACTCTTCTTGCTGACAAGAATGCCCACCAGTATCCAAACCAGGAAGACAGTGATGGAAAGGGTGATGATGGTGGGAACAAAGTAACCCGCTACCTTGTCAGCACGAGCCTGGATCTTCGGCTTCGTCATTTCCGTGTGGTCAACAAGAGCACCGATTTGGCTGATGCTATTTTCCCAGGCCATGCGATCAACACGGATGTCGAGCTGGCCGTCCAGATTCATAGTGCCGGCAGTCACGTCAGAATCGATTCCCTTGGCAACTGGACGCGATTCCCCAGTCATCATAGACTCGTCCACCTGCGAGCCGCCGTATACGACAGTACCGTCCGTGGGTATTCTGGTGTGGGGTGGCACGCGAACCGTGTCACCCCGTTGCAATAGACGGACATCGACATCTTTGGTCTCGTTGCGATGTTTCATGAGCAGCTGGGCGGTAGGTGCTTGCAATGTCCGGATAGACACCGACTCAGTCGCCTTCTGCCTTGCAAGCTCAGCCATGTACCGGCCGAGCCTAATGAGGGTGACGAGCAAGGTACTGGTCTCGAAGAAAGAATCATCTGATGGTTCGTCTCCAGTTTCGTAGCGGGCAAATGCCGCCACTGAGAATATGTATGCAGTAGTGGTACTGAGTATAATGAGGAGATCCATATCGGCCAGCTTGGAGTGGAACAAGCTCTTGAAAGCGTTGGGGTAGAACTCCCAGGCCGAGATCTGAACAGCGGTGGCAAGGAATAGGCAAGCAATCTCCTTGTTGAAGTCCGAAATGTGCAACGGTGCCCACACTAAAACCAAGACGGGGAGGGTGAAGGTCAGAGCGATGATGAAGTACATCAACTCTCGTCGGAGGTGCCTTCTTCCAGTAGACACAGAATCAGGAGGAGGGATAGGCGCCAGCTCTGCACTGGCTTCGGCCAATTTGTTCATGAGATCTCGCGGGAGGATGGAATGTGGGTCGAATTCGATTCGGACCTCTGTCTTGCCTTTGTTGTCCGTCCCGGTTTGCCTGTAGCTCCGCACGGCACGCGGAGTTTGTCCTCGGAACGGGCGGTCGGGGTCTTTGAGCAGGACATCTAGAAACTGGGATTCATCGTTCGCTTCGTCGATCTGCTTTATTTTGTAGCCAGTAGCGCGTCGAACGTGGCGGAGAGCCGCGTCAACGGAAATGGTATTGATGTCGATGCAGAAACGAGCTTGAGAGGTGGCCATGTCGGTATGGATGTCCTTTGCCGATGGTATCTTCTCTAATACTTTCTGCAGAGCCCGCTCGCATCCGCTACATGTCATACCGGATACGCCGAGCCTGATGTTCTGGTACAACGGGCCCTGACCAAGGTCCATTGAATCAATTAGAGTAGGAATTGGAATGGGGGAGAGTTCCCCATTACCTGACATCCCAACTCCGCAGCAATGGGCCTCCTGTGGTGATCGGAGCCATCGGTGACCGCCACTGTGGCTGTCATGGCCAACATGCTCGTGACAGTCGTTGTATCTAGGATGGCGGCCGGCAAACCAACCGAGGATATTGCGGCACCTCGTAACGACTGAACGCTCAGATATGCTGGAGCCAACCACTGTGGACGAGCTCGCATCCTCATTGTCGTATTGTCTGCCCATGGTTGTCCTTCTTCAGCGAGCTCGGTGCAACTGATGGTAAGAGGTGGTGGGTGCCGCTGACCAAGATCTTCGAGTTGCACTGTTAGCTAGTCAAGGCCAGCAGCTCAGCGACGCATCCCTTCCGACTTACTAGACTGTTCTGGTTGCTAAGCAATGGAGCGGGATTATGTGCATCAAGAAGAGCTTGAGGGCGTGTAAGAATAGGGCGGAAGCTGTGAAAAGCCAGTAGCTAGGATATGAAGGGAAGCAGCCAGCGAACGGGGTGTCACACGGGACATCGGCATCGGCCAGGTGCCGTCGGCTGCCAATCCGCTCCTGCCGAACCCGGTAACCTGCACAGACGTGGCAGAGGTGAAGGGCAGCTTCGAGGCACAAAGCTTTGATCGGAGCTCTCGCCGACATAGCAGAGCACAGCAGTGGTGAGCTTGATATAAAGAGCGCACAGAATCGATTGCTTGCTGGGTGACAATGAAAAGCCAAGGTCCCTTTCGAGGTCATTGGGCGGGGACGCCGACCGTTAGCTGCCCCAGGTCGTGGGACCAAAGGTTGGTTTGTTGCGCAAGCCCCATGCAAATACAAACTCACGCTCAACTCGCTCCATGTGTTGGGTCGGACCAACTTCTCCCATCGGCCAGGCTTCCAAGGCGATGCAACCCACAGTCCAGGACGCCGGCGAGTCTTAGCAAGCGTTTGTCAAACAACTCACAGACCGTATGAGGCTGGCCATCATCCGCTAAGGAGCGCATGAGAGTGTGGTCAATGCCATGAAGGCAGAACCCCCGGGAGTGTAGCACGTCCAGGCTGTTCGGATACGTGCTTCAACGTGACGCGCAGGAAACCGCATTGGTGTAACAGCTTCGGCGCTTGCGCAGCACCATGGTGGATCAAGACACCCCGCATTCTGGAGATTGGAGCGAATTGTCATTGTGGCGAAAGCAGAGGTGGAGATGGATGTATCAGTGACGCGAGCAAAGATGGGGAGTCAATGTCAATGCCCCGCCACCCTGCCTAGAATCGCCGGGTAGCTCTGCGGCACCTGCCTTTTGTTTATCGTCACATGATGGCGCGAGCGCGACGCCAACGTCATCGCTCACCTCTATGTGACTGCGCTCCCGCCTCCATCCTTTATTCTCCACCTCGCCGAGCTCGATCCCCCTGTGTCCCTCGCTCCACATAAGTGCATACCCATAGCGCCCAACATCTCACTCTCGAGTCGCTACCTACGCTCAACAACTAGCTGAAAGCATCGCCCCGCCTTTGTTGCAACGGCCGCGAGCCATGTGAGCGACTGACATTCGCGGCATCCTCTCAACCACATACTCGTATAGACACGCCTCGGATGGTTCCGGCGCCAAAATGGCGAGAGCAAAGGCCAAGCTGAGGGGTCCAGCCGGGCCACCCAGGGCACCGCGAAGGTCAACCAGAAACAAGCAATTGGATGATGCGCCTCCCGATGCCGTCCCCGACGTGTTTCGAGAGATGCTCTCGGAGGCTGAATCTGATAGAGCCGAACATGTCCGTCCTCTGAAAAAACGCAAGGTCGAACAGCCCGTCGATGAATCCGCCTCGCCGGTGCCGCCGGCTGCTGTTGACCGGGGAAGTAGCAATGGGCCAGAAGAGGATACGCCCAAGCTACAGACCATAATCGACGAGTCTGAGTCGGACGATAGCGATATGGATTGGGAGGATGTGGATCTAGACCAGAAAAGCGCCGATGCTGTCCTGCCGCCGCTCACGAAAGCCCAGGCAGAGGAGACTCTTCAGATAGAGATAGGCAACGATGACACAAAGAACAAGCCGGAAAGAGCCCGTAGGAAAGCAGCCACTGCCGCCGAAAGGGCTGTGAAGCTCCACATCCACAAAATGCATCTTCTGTGTCTGTTGTACAACTCGCATATTCGCAACGCATGGTGCAATGACGACAAGGTCCAGGTACGCGCATACTCTAGAGAGCCCTACGGCAGAGTTCTGACATGGCTTTAGTCTTCTTTGAAGAGATTTCGAAGCGCTAGAATCATTGATCTGTTCGCACCCGATCCAAATCAATCACAATTCGCGGCCTCCAAAGCCTTCACTGACGGTCTTCACCTTGTGAAAGAAGCGTGGAAAAGGTTCAAAATCACATCTGTAGGGCTAAGGCGAGCGAGATGGGCTCAATATACCAAGGATCTTGAAGGCGTATGTACAAACCAGTCTCAACCGGGCTGGCTGTTGACGGTTCGCAGTTCAGAATTCCTGCAAACGCAGACCCGGTCATGGATGCCTCAGACTTCCGCAAGGCTGCTGTTGCCTTCGAAGGATCGCCGGATACCGGTGCAATGCTTTTTTGCGCCTTTCTCAGAGCCCTTGGGGTGGATGCTCGATTGGTCTGCTCTCTTCAACCGCTTCCATTTGCCGGCGCTCAGCCTACCCCAGCGTCATCCACCCATGATCAAGGCAAAACCGTATATGCAGATGACCACAGCGACGAAAAGATGACGCCGAGCCCGAAAGCCACGCCACTTAGGAGGATCACAAGAATTGGACGACCTGGACTGAATTCATCATCCTCTCGCCAAGCAGTTACTCCGTCACCTGTGAAACCAACCAAGGCAATTCCCCATCCTCGATACCCAGTATTCTGGGTCGAAGCCTTCAATCCTGCGCAACAGAAATGGATTACAGCTGATCCAATCGTCACCGGCACCATTGCAAAACCGTCTCGTCTCGAGCCACCATTAAACGATCCCGACGTTAGCATGACATACGCCGTAGCCTTCGAGGACAATGGTGTTGCGAAAGACGTTACCCGCCGATATGCAAAAGCGTACAATGCAAAGACCAGAAAATCGCGCGTCGAGTCCACCGAGAATGGAAGTCGTTGGTGGAGAAAGGCTATGAAGCTTTTTAAAAGAAAAACAATACTGGTACCGCTCTCTATGGCCCGACTATATCACAACGCGGGACATGGCTTACCCAGAATAGGACAGAGACCAGGTCGAAGACGCCGAGCTTTCCCGTCGCGAGGCCCAGGAGGAAATGCCCAGGAATGTGCAAGACTTCAAAGACCACCCGTACTACGTCCTCGAGCGCCATCTCAAGCACAACGAAGTCATCCACCCCAAGCGCGAATGCGGCCAAGTCAACGTCGGCACCGCGGCCAACACCAACCTCGAATCCATCTACCGCCGCCGCGACGTCCACCAGCTCAAATCCGCCGACAAGTGGTACCGCCTCGGCCGCGAGATCAAGCCGGGCGAGCAGCCCCTCAAGCACGCCAAACCGCGCCGTTCGAGACAACAACAGCGCCTCCCCCCCTCCCCCTCCGACGACAACAACGCCAACGACGAAGCCGGGGACGCCCTCGGCGCCGCCCTCTACGCCCCCTTCCAAACCACGCTCTACATCCCGCCCCCTTGCGTCCGCGGCCGCGTCCCCCGCAACGCCTTCGGCAACCTCGACGTCTACGTCCCGTCGATGGTGCCGCCCGGCGGCGCGCACGTACGCGACCCGCGCGCCCGCCTCGCCGCGCGCCTGCTGGCGGTCGACTTCGCCGACGCCGTCACGGGCTTCACGTTCCGCGGCCGCCACGGCACCGCCGTCGTCGAGGGCGTCGTCGTGGCGGAGGAGTGCGCGGACGCGGTGCGCGCGGTGCTGGACGGCCTGGCGGACCTCGCGGCGGAGCGGGAGAGGGAGAGGAAGGGGAGGGAGGCGGTGAGGCTGTGGAAGAGGTTCTTGCTGGGGCTGAGGGTGCTGGAGAGGGTGGGGGAGTATGCGAGCGTGGAGGAGAGGAGGGAGAGGGAGAGGGCGATGAGGGAGAGGGTGGAGGTGGAGGAGCGGGAGGAGGAAGAGAGGAGGATGGCGGTGGAGGAGAGGAGGGTGGCGGAGGAGAAGGGAAGAGTGGCGGAGGAGATGGCGGGCGGGTTTTTGCTGGCCGAGGGCGCGGGGGAGGCGCCGGCGCAGCCGACGGCGGGGAGGATGCTGGCGGTCGCGGATGGGTATGGCGAGGGGGGGTACTATGACGGTGATGGCGGCGGCTTCTTACCTGATGAAGGAGGGGACGAGGAGGACGATGCCAACGATGAGCCGATAGGTGGAGGTGGGTTCGTTCCGGAGGACGGAGGTGGCTCTGTCCCAGAGCACGGAGGCGGATTTATTACTGGTGGCGGCCGCGACTTTATTCCTGAAAGTGGTGGTGAATTCTCTGCAGAAGATGGCGGAGGCTTCCTGCCCACCGAGGGTGGAAGCTTCATCCCGGACGAAGAAGATGGAGGTGGTGGTTTCGTGAGAGAAGATACGAATCCTGAGCTAGGTGCTCGCCATACTTCATCGGAGCAGCGGAAATCCCAGCAAGAACAGAAGGATGAAGCAGAGACTTTCCCGGCAGGCCCCACGTCCCCAGAGACAATGGACATCTATGACGAGGCGGACCAGCAACATGTGTCAGCTGAAGAACAGGATGAAGCATCTCAGCCGACTGCAGCTGTTGCTCAAGAGTTGGAATCGGTGTTAGATGCTCGGCCACAGCGGAGCATCCCTGGTGTTCAGCTGGATTTGGCAGGCGCTGTGCAATCATCAAAGGTAGAAGCACAATCGCCTGAGAAGGTCACAGGAATGGCGGAGGATGAGAAAGCATCTTCGGCAGATGATGACAAGGATTCATTGCCCTCGCACGATCCAGAGGATGAAGATGCAGAGCCAGAGTGGTTGGCGGAGGAGGTAGTGAGTGATTGAAGGGTTTGTTTAGGCATTTGAGCGCTTGAGTGAGCAATTTGGTTAATGGAGCAGTCTTGGTTTTACCTGCATTCTAGAGCTCTTCCCTGACCTGGCCACGTGAATATCAACACGGATCGACCAGGCGCTGAAGCAACCGAAAGAAGAAGCTGTCGGTTCTTTGAATAGCTCTCGTACTCTCCGGATCGTGAGCTATCGCCTTGCTGACAATTATACGCCACCCCATGTTTTACAAGATCGTCGTGTGCGACAAGCCTTCAAATGGATCACGGTCTAAGAACGTCCACTGCATGTCGGTCCTTCGCCCAGTACACCGCTCACATTGATCGACAGAAACACCAGAGATGCTGTGTCCGCACGCAGAACCTGCGCCTGGGCTACGTGCGTTCGTCAATTCTTGGCGCATGCCAGCATATTATTTCATGTGCTGTGATTTTCCTGATCATTACCATCCTCGTCCGCCCATCGTGACCCTTACACTCCAACGTGGCTGTACTCTCACGCCTCGGCACACATCTTCGTGAGTATATACGCTTCCATGGTGTTTAAATGCGCCCAGCAGGGTCCTGCGCGTGCTGGTCTTGCTACTGTTGATGAACTCTATATAACACTCACCCCATTACGACTCTGTTTACAACCGCCAGCTTCAATGTTCGCGCATGTAGTAGGTCTAGTGCAAATGTCTCCGCGATAACTCGTTGGACTGGTGCGTTCCATATTTGAGGCGGAGCGATTAACCAACAGCTGTTCTTCGTTGGGTGAAGTATGAATGGCTTTCCATAAAGGAACCATTTCGTTTTGAAATGGCACGTAGAAGCATTATGTATGGTGAGGATAGGCATCGAATAGGCCATGATGAGCTTCGGTGTTGTTCTGGGTGGAAAGATAGAGAAATATTGCTGGCAGCTCATCTTCGCTCAGGCTATGCTTCGTAATCAGCTTGCAGCTGAACGAACGCATCATAAGGAACGTCAAAATCCCCATGTCTCCGCTTTTAACGTTGGATCCATACCTCCGTTAGGAGAATCACCGCAAACATGGGCATCTATACCTCTATTCAAGTTTCTTATCGTTCAAGGATCAGAACTTCATGAAGAGGCAGGTATATTACATTCGTGTAATCCGTCATAGCTCCCGCCAGTGCAAGAAATCCATCATAAGGCTTTCCAGCCCGGGTTTTGCTTTCTTTTACTCCGCCGCACCGCCCTCGACGTTCTCCGAGTCTGCCTTCGCCAGGCCGTGTTCCTTGAGCAGGGCATCGATCTCGTCAGCGGTCCAGAGGTGGTGGTAGATCTTGCCGGACTTGGTGCGGCCGACGGTAGCAAACTCGACTGGATCACGTTAGCAAAGCGAGGAACGCGCAAAGGAAACAGCTTTTCTAGGGGCGGCAAACGCACTCTTCTCGCTGCTCAGCTTGGTCGAATCCATGGTCTTGCTGAGCACCTTGACGGCCAGACCGCAGGCCTCCTTCAGGTCGCACTCCTCCTTGTAGTCCTGCTTCAGCAAGCTCTGGGCGCTGGCGTTGTTGGCGCCGACGCTGGTGGCCTTCCAGCCGCCGTAGTTGCCGGACGGGTTGCTCTGGTACAGCTGGAACTGGCGCTGGGGGTCGTAGCCGGCGTAGATGAACGACACGCCAAAGGGACGCAGACCACCGTGCTGGGTGTAGCCCTGCTTCAGATCGCATAGCCGGCGCACCAGCTGCTCGCACGGGATGTCTTCGTTGTAGGTCAGCAGGTAGCGCTGGGCGGCCTGGCGGGCGTAGTTGATGAGGATGTTGGCGTCGGCCGTCATGCCCGCTACTGCGCAGATCATGTTGCTGTTGCGTACAGAGCCTTGTTAGCCCACAGAGGAGGAACTGGGCACGGATGGGTTCGGACGCACTCATTGAGGATGTACAGCTTCTCGGCGGAGGTGTCCTGCTCCAGCAGCTTGCTGGTGACCTTGCGCTCGGCGGCGAGCACGATGCCGTCCTGTGCGAGGATCCCGAGAGCTGTGCCGGCATGCGAGATGGCCTCGAGCGCGTATTCAACCTGGTACAGACGGCCCTCGGGCGAGAAGATGGTCGTCTGCGTGCACACTGTGAGCTACTGCGGCCGGGCCAGCGAGGCAAGCTTGGGGCGGCTGACTCTTGAATCGTATCTCCGAGACATGTTGAGCGGCGGCTATGCAGATTTGGACAAGAAGCGACGGGCAAGGAATCGATGGAGCAGCGGCGGATGAGGGCGTGGCGGGAGGACGAGGAGTTGTCGGTGGCCGGTGGTTGTGGTGATGGGTGAGCTCCAGGCAAGCTCCGACGCGTAGATCCAGCGCCCGCCGCGCCAAGACCAAAAGCATCATCGCCCGCGACCAACTTTCCGCCCACCACCTCCCAGTCAATCCGTCCTGCGCGCCATGCTGAAGTCGACCTACAAGCCCGCTCCCGCGGCGCCTGCCCCGCCACCCTTGCTTCCGGGGTGGACTGAGCACAAAGCCCCTACAGGTCCGCAATTGCATCTTTGCCGATTCTTCGCAGCTAACACTGGTCGCAGGGCACACCTACTACTACAACGCCGAGACTAAGAAGTCGACTTATCAGCGTCCCGTTGCCCTGCCTGAGCCTGTCCAGCCACAGCCTCCCGTCCACCAGCACTATGGCCAGAACGCCTTTCCCGGCGCTCCATACCAAGCCGGTTTCCCTCCGCAGTACCAGCAGCAGTTCCCCGTCCCGCACCACGGCGGCCGAGGCGGCTTCCGCGGCGGCCATGGCTACCAGGATCGCCGTCGCCACCAGCCCGAGGACCGACCCAAGCACAAACATGCCATCCCGGGCTGTGCGCCGTGGGTGCTCGTCAAGACGAAGCTGGGACGGCGGTTCGTGCACAACCCGGAGACGAAGGAGAGTTTCTGGAAGTTCCCGCCGGATGTGATGAAAGGCGTTGTGGAGTTCGATCGCATCGAGCGGGACAAGAAGGAGCGGAAGGAGCGCGGCGAGCCGAGCGATGTCGAGGACGAGCAGGCTGCGGCTGCTGAGCTGGCGGCTGCCGATGAGCGTGAAGGAAGTGGTGCACGCCCCTCGGTCACCCCTGCGCCGGCGAGCAAGGACTACGATAGCGAAGAATACGAAGAAGTTGAGGTCACTGATGACGAGGAAGCTGATGAAGAGGATGGGCCTTCGAAGCGACAGAAAACTGAGGAAGAGGGCGAGGATGCGGTGGAGTTCGACGAGGACGACATTGCATGGCAACTTCAGGCCATGGGTGAAGATTACGGCCTGGATCCGGGCGAGTATGGCGATATCGACGATGATCTACCAGAGGGTGCAGAAGGCCTGCCCTTGACTGAGGAGGATGCCAAGGCTCTGTTCAGGGACTTGCTGGACGATCACAACTGCAATCCTTTCTCTACCTGGGACAAGATCATTGATGAAGGTCGCATCATCGATGATGACCGATACACGGCTCTCACCACCATGAAGGCCCGGAAGGAGACGTGGGAGGAATGGTCGCGCGACAAAGCGCAGGCATTGAAGGAGCAGCGCGAGAAGGCGGCAAAGGAGGACCCTGCGATCCCCTACCTCGCTTTCCTCCACAAATACGCAACACCGAAACTCTACTGGCCTGAATTCCGCCGGAAATACAAAAAAGAGGCTGAGATGAAGAACACGAAGCTTCTCGATAAAGACAGGGAAAAGTGGTACCGCGAGCACATCAGCCGCCTCAAGCTTCCTGAGAGCACCCGCAAGTCCGACTTGTCCAACCTTCTCAAATCTCTACCTGTCACCCAGCTCAATCGCTCGACATCGATGGCTAGTTTGCCGTCGGTGCTGCTGCGCGATCTGCGTTTTATCTCGTTGCCAATCTCAGTACGAGATCCCATGGTTGAAGCATACATTTCCACGCTGCCCCCGGCGCCGGAAGCCTCTAATAAGTCCTCGGAGGATCTGGAAGAGGCAGAGCGAAAGAAGCAGGATCGCGAAAGGAGAGAGAAGGCGTTAGCGGACCGTGAGAGAAGGGTACAGGAAGAGAAGAGGAGACAACAGAGGGATCAGGCTTATGGAAAAGGAAGGCTCAGGGAGGAGGAAGAGGAACTAAGAAGGGCCATGAAGATCAGCAAGGACGGATTGAGGGCACAGCTGGGTGGTGTAGAAGAGAAGGATGGCGAGAAAGAGGGTGAAAAGGCCGAGTAGCAGGAGAAAGCACTCTTCGACCTGTAATCATATCAATGTCTTTGGATCTTAGCCTTCGTCCCTTTGGCTTCCGTGTTCGTATCCTATCTTGCCTGGAATTTGTCTACAGCTGAGGTACGTACGGACAAACATGTCCCCGGAAGACAAATCAATAAAATATACTGACTAAGGGGAGCATTGAGCCGTGGTGTAGGATCTGGCTCAGCCTGTGGGTCCCGGAGGTCCGAGAAGGGCTAAGCGAAGGGTCCATGATCGACGTTCAGGAAGACACGTCAGAAGGGAAACCACGAGAATGTGGGGACATCAATACTAAACCAGCGGGGGCACAGACGTGGGTCTCCATGCAGCCTTCGCTGTCCAACGGATATTCTGGAGACGGTAAACGGTGAGGGATAACCATATCTCCGTACCCCCAGCCCGTTTTTGTTGTTCAGCACGCACAATCCTCCCACCCCATGGATTCGCTCTCTCGTACTCCCCAATTATGCATTCGTCCTCACCTCCAATCACGCTGCCGCAGTTTCCCGATTGGGTCCAGCAACTGGCCCACATCCTGCCCCTCGCCGTCTTCGTCGAATTCGTCGACGCTTCACTGAAGTTGCACGGCTTCCAACTGAATGGACTCACCCCCCTCTGGAACTGGCCCATCACCCCGAAGGATGCGCGGCTCCTCCTCTCGACCGAAGACAGCTCCGCTGCCTGCTATCTCGACCGCGCCAACAGCCCCGGACACGCCGCGCTCCAATGCATTGACGGCCGGCACGGCGACTGCTACCAAAGCAACGCGCCGGCGACAGTGCGCCTCTGCGTGTCGAAGCTGCACGTGGCCAAGACCGTGCTCAACCCCAGCCGGGTGTTTGACGGCAGCCCGGCGGCGACAGCGCGGATGCAGAAGCTGGACTTCGTGCACGTCTACCCGGCGGCAGCGTCGTCGGCCAGCTCGCGTGTGCACAAGGCCCTCTTCGCGCACCAGCAGTCGTCGGTGCGGTACTGCCTGACGTCGATGCTGGGCTGGCTGTTCTGGATCGCGCTGACGTGCTTCGCCTTCCTGGCCGAGCAGTACGTCGGCGCCGTCTACCTGATCCTCATGCCGCTCAGCGGCGTGCTGGCTGTGCTCACCAACAGCGGCGAGCCGCGCGCCATCTCCCCTTCCGCCTCTCCTTCGTCGTCCTCGGCCTCGTCTTCCGCAGGACCGCTCTCCCGGCTGGTGCTGGCCGCCGACTCGCTCAACGCGACCGAGTGGTGGGGCTTCTACGGCGGCAGCGACGCGCTCAACGGGCTGCTGCGCCGGCCGCTCTACCGCGAAGCCGGGCTGCTGCCGGGCCTCTCGCGGCCGGTGCGGCTGGTGCTGCGCGTCCTCATCCTCGGCCAGTGGGTGCTGGCGCTCGTGGCGTGCGTCAAGCGGGACTGGAACGCCTTCGTCGTCGCCTTCTGGGTCTTCTGGTGCGCCGTGGCCAGCAGCAGCGACGTCGGCGGCATCTACACGCCGGCCCACGGCGTCGAGGACTGGCTCAAGTACTCGTGCAACGTCCGCATGCGCCGCGTCCAGGCCGTCTTCTCCTCGCGCAAGGCCATGCTGGGCGCCCTCGTCTACTTGAACCCGGACACCGTCGGGAGGCGGCTGCAGTGGGTCAACCACTTCTTCGAGGACGGGCCCGAGCGGAGGGAGTGGGAATCGGCGCTGCTGGATTTCATCGAGACGGGGAGCTGCAACGACGACGACCTCAGAGACCAGCCGTGCTGGGCGTGGATCGAGGAGGGCGTCGAGATGGGGAAGAGGATTGCAGCCGTGATGAAGCAATCGGAAAAAGGGGACTGCCTTGCCGCCTGATGGATGTGTGTTTCGGGAGAATCAAGTCTGAAATCAAGAGGGAGGGCATATTTCCCAGGTGAAGAGACTTCATTGGCGGGCAGCAAGGCATCATTCCCCAACAGAGCTGGTCTTTGTCGGCTCTGCGAGGGATGGGCCTTCAACTGCCGGATCCACTTCCACCTGCATCAACCATCCAAGACACTTTCGATTCGAAGACGCCATGAATGACATAGTCGCCCACAAGACCTCCACAAGAGCGGCATGGAATTTCGAGGCGCCAGAATCGCTGGATGACCTATCAGGTTCCAACACGTAGTCGGTTCATGGGAAAGAGAAGCCGATCGAGTCCCGGGAGTCTAAGGACGAGGAGAGAAATGGCGGATCCAAGAATCGAGACACCGGACCGGAAAGACAGCGAGAGGAATGAGGTCTACGTCTACCGCATGGACAAAAGATGGATATGCGTTGTGGTGCTCCATAAGAGTAATATCTTGGCGAGACAGCGTCCTGGCCAGCATCGAAGCATCGGAAGTACACTGAAAGCTACATATCCTAGCGGCTCAGTTGACCGTCGCGCCGTACCAGGCGAAGGCCAAGCTCGTGCTACTCATGACGGAGTCGCTGAGGCACAGGCAATCGTTCGCTTAGCGTAGTTTTAGGCTTTTCCTTGGGAAGCAGCTACTCCGCAGCACAATGCCTCGCAGTACAATGCCTTGCAGCAACAAAATACAAATTCCTCATCACCGTCTTCAATGAGCCGATATTACTGGAAGCACTTTCGTCAAGTCTCGTGGACCACTTCCGTCTCCAACACAACATTGGATCTGCCTACCATGATTATCACCCCCTCCACCTCAGTTGCAGCCCAAGGATGCTACTAATACAATATTGAATGCCCTTGAACAGCAGGTCCTGCACCACGAGGATTCCGCCATTGCATTCAAAAACTCTCCGTCACCGAGTCGAAAAGCCTCGCCCGTGTTGGGGCTTGGCAGATGCTATGCACGATCCGCAGCCAAGACACCGTCATACCGTAAGAGGAAGGTCGCTGCGCTTCACTGCAAACATTCTTCCTTGGCTGTTGATTGACCGTCTTCGACCTGTCTTTCTCGTCTGTTTCACCTGACTACCAAGGCCGTGGAACCGGCTGTACCTTGACCAGATCCTTGGCTCCCATATGGCGAAAGATAACTGCCTACACTGGTCAATGCTTATATACGTGCCTTTCGCCGTTGCACGTTTCCGCGCTTGCACTTCAGTCTCAAATAACCTACAGCCATGACATCTGCTACCATGAAGTTGGTTGCGGGGGTTGCCCTAACCTGGGCACCATTTGTGCACGCTACTAAGCCATGGGTCACTTCGGAGGCTCTTCAGGCTGGCATTACCACTGAGGGGTGAGATGGCACGCATGATTTCTCAACTAGAGCTACATCTAACCGATGTCGCCAGCTTGATGGAGAACCTTGCAAAGTTGGACACCATTGCAAGTGAGAACGGCGGGAATCGAGTAAGCATCTCGACACCGAGGACCTTCTCAACTCCGTCCGCTAACGCTGCACCAGGCTTTCGGTCTCCCCGGATACGCCGCATCAGTGGACTTCATTTCTTCCGAGCTAGCAAAATACAATGCCACCTCCAGGACTTGGATCCAGGATTTCCCGGCCCTGTTCAACCGCGTGGAATCCATCACCTTTCGAGTCGACAACACCTCGTACTACGTCTACGGCTTGACCTACTCTCCGTCCACAACTCCCGAGGGCGTCACCGCTCCACTCGTCCTAGGTCCCACCGGCGACGCCGGATGCACCGTCGAGGGCTACGCCGACTACGACGTGCAAGACAAGATCGTCCTCGTCGAGCGCGGCACCTGTCCCACCGGCGGCACGCTGGCAGGACGCATCCGGCCCGCCGTCACCGCAGGCGCCAGCAACGTCATCATCTACAACAACGTGCCCACCAAAGTCACGGGCGGCACGCTCTCGGCCCCCGACCCCGAGGGTTACGTGTCCAGCGGCTTCATCAACCAAGACGACGGACAGGCGCTGCGGGACCGCCTCCAGGCGGGCGAGGCCCTCACCGCCCACTTCCAGCAGACGCAGACGATCGAGGAGCAGCAGACGCAAAACGTCTTCGCCGAGACGCTGGGCGGCGACCCGCACAACGTCGTCATGCTGGGCGCGCACCTCGACTCGGTCCAGGCGGGCGCCGGCATCAACGACGACGGCTCGGGCACGTCGCTCATCCTCGAGCTCTTCGCGGCCCTCTCGCGCTTCGACGTCAAGAACAAGGTGCGCTTCGCGTGGTGGGGCGCCGAGGAGAACGGCCTCGTCGGCTCGCGCGCCTACACGGCGTCCGTCGCGAACACCACCGCCGCCGACGACATCCTGCTCTACCTCAACTTCGACATGGTGTCGCGCGGCTACTACGGCGTCTTCGACGGCGACGGCAGCGCCCACGGCCTCGCCGGCCCGCCCGGCTCCGCCGCCATCGAGGCCCTCTTCGTCGACCACCTCGCCGCCCAGGGGCTCAACGTCACCCCCGCCGTCTTCACCGGCGGCAGCGACTACGCCTCCTTCATGGACACGCTCGCCAAGCCCGTCGGCGGCCTGCACACGGGCACCGGCGTCGCCCAGGACCCGTGCTACCACCAGGAGTGCGACACGTACGACAACGCGAACCCGACGACCCTGACGGTCAATGCGAAGGTATGTTAATAGGCAAAAAGACGAATGTTCTTTTTTTTTTTTTTTTTGCGCGCGCGCGCGTTCGTCCCCTTGTCGTGTCCTTTTTTCCCGTCTTTCGTTGCCGAGAGATGATGCTGACTCGGAGATGATTCATATTGTCTTATAGGCGGCTGCTCACGTCCTCGCGACTTTGGCCATCAACGGCACGGATCTGATCCCGAAGACGCCGTCGAACGCGACTGCTTCGCTCGACAGGCGCTTTTGGGCCGGCGAGAGCCTCGGCGGTTTCCCTTGGACGGAGGCGGAGGGCGAAAGGCATTTGGGAACGTGTGGGCACGATGTATAGGAAGGAGCATGGGAGCCGTTCATGGGGCATTGGGGGGACTGTGTTCGGCAATTGAGTGCGTTGGCAAGAAAGACGGTGCTAGGGTTGTGAGCATCTACCAAAAACAGATAGGCTGAAGTGGTCGCTCCAAGGCTAGTATGCAGTGTATGCAGTGTTTGAAGAAAAGCTTTGATTTCGTCTATGTCAACTACCCCTCTACACACCTTATGCTTCACTACCCAAAAGCCCATCATCCGTCTGCGAGGTTCAAAAAAAGAGAAGAAAGGGAAATGAAATGAACAACAAGAGAGAACAAAAAAAAAAAAAAGCCGCCGCCGCCGCCAAAGCCACTGCTTGCTGCTGCATCTACCTCCCCACATACACACACACACACACACTCCCACCCACTCCACCCCCCGCTTCCTCCCCCACCAACCCCTCCCTCACTTCATCGGACTCGGACTCCCAAACCCCACACCCCCCGGCGGCGGCGGCGGCGGCTTCCAGCCACCCGTCCCGGGCCTCACCGGCGTCATGCGCGTCGGCGTCGCCGCACCACCCGCGCCCGCAGCAGCACCCGCGCCACTACCAGGCACCTTGAAGCCGACCTCCCAGCCCCTCTTGTAGATGTCCCTGACCATCTCGTCGCAGACGAGCCTGCCCTCTGCGCCCTCGACGCGGCGCCAGTGCTTCCACAGCTTGAGCGCGGTGCGCGCGTCCTCGACCGAGTCGTGCGTGTCCTGCTGGATGTCTTCCTCGAGCACGACCCAGGCGAGGAAGCGGAGGCTGAGCTTGCGCTGGCGGGCGGGGATGAAGTAGAGGTCGACCGTGTCGACGACCTGGGCTTTTGGGACGTGGATGTTGATGGTGCGGAAGTCCTTGGGGAGGCCGTGGCCGACGAAGACGCAGCCGAGGTTGAGGAGCAGCCAGAGCTTCTTGTACGCCACTTTGAGCCCGACGAGCGCGTGGCGCGACGTCGAGCGGTCGAGGTCGCCCGGCGAGATGCCCGAGAAGAGGGTGAGGTAGTCGACGATGGGCTCGGCGATGGCGATGTAGTCGTCGATGAACGGCTTGCCTTCGTCCGTGTCGGCAATGTCCTCGCCGTTGTCCGAGTCGATGTCGCCGCCGCCGGCAGCAGTGGTGGCGGTGTCGCCGCCCCGCAGTACGGATACCCGTGCCAGGCCTAGTCTCGACGGCCGGATCGTCTCGCGCTGGCCGGACGCGCTGATCTCGATTTCCTCCCGCTGCAGCGAGACGAACTCCGCGTCGATGGCGACGGGCCAGCCGGGGCCGGGGTGCTCGCTGGGGTGCAGCGGCTTGAAATCTGGGTTGTCGCTCATCTCGCCCGCGGGGCCCCACGTTCGGTATAGCAACGAGGTGTCCAAATTCTCCTTCCACGAGTCGTCGATGTGGTGACTCGCCTTGACGCTCTCGTATGCCAGCACCGACGGTAGCTTCCAGTTCGGCTCGAACCGCAGCGCCTCGTCCTTTGAGACCGGCCGTACGAGGAAGTCGTTGAACAAGTGCCACTTGCCGGCGCCTCCTTCCCCAGCTTCCTCCTCGTTGCGTGATGATGGTGCGACGTTGATCATTGATACTAAGTGTGACTTCTGGTTCTCGCCGCTGTTGATGTCTGCGACGACGCCGATCAGCTCGTACACCTGGATGTCGTAGAAGTTGCGCCGTAGGTGATGTTCCAAGTCCTGGCCTTCGTAGCAGAAAAACTGGCCCTGGTTGACGATGATGCCGATCTTCTCGGGCAGCCAGTTTGGCGTCGCCCACAGTTGCTTGGCCTCGTGGCTGTGAATTGCTGCATTGATCATCAGGATGGGAGGTATATTCTGTATTGTCTTTCGCGCGGCGAGTTGTTGGTACCGCTTGCACCTGTCACACCAGCCTCTGTTCTGGTCCTGTCTTTCGACACTGGCCTTCAGGATCTGTGAAAACGTGGGCCGCGAGGCTCGCATCGGGTTCTTCATGGTATTCTTCGGCGGGTAGACTAGCTCGTGGACTAGGCTTGCACCGGGGCGTCTCGTTTCATTATTGCATTGCGCACATCGAATGTTGGCCACGGCGTTGGTCGTAAATGCGTGATCCAGGTGGCCAACGCCATGCGCCATCTGCCTGAAGTCGGCCGTGAGTTTATCCAAGAGGAATCGGTTGAGATTTTGAATCATAATTGTTAAAGAGCTGTTCGGAGAGTGCTCCTCCAGTAGGCCCAGAGAGGCAGCATTCGAAAGCCCACTGAACGTCTTCAAAAAATTGGTCGCTTGACAGTTTTGTCCGCACGCCTTTTCTAGCATGTCGATGAGGAATCCCAGCTCGCAAAGGAGACAGTTCTCGAACAAGCACGACGTGGCCGCGTGATGCAATGCCAAGTTCCGCACCAACGGAGTGAATCTGAATAGTTGAAGAAGAGGATTTGCGTAGGAATTAGCAATGTGCGTCTCCAGACCCGAGTACTCCGTCTTGTTGTAATACCTGCGAGCATGTCAGTATCAGACCAAAACGACAGGGCCGCAGCAAACGAACTTGAAGTCGAAGTCATCCACACCAAACTTGCTGTACTTGATCTCGACATTTCGGTACATGACCGGAACGTCCTTTTTCGTTGACCCGTCAAGCATCAAGTCCGTAAGTGCCTCGAGCGTCTCGCTCATTCTCCGCTCCCCGTCTTTGCCCCCGTTTCCGTCCCGTGCCTTTTCGCTGAGGAATTTGGGTGGCTTGAGCGGGTTGTCCTTTTCCAGCATGCGAGTTGCTTGGACCTGGTTCCTGCGCGTCTTCCGCGGATTGGGTGCCCACTGCCCCATCTCAGCCCGTTTCAGGCTGGCTTGCACTTGGGTGTCGATCTTGGGTGGTGGTGCGCCGACCTCGAAGGTCATATGGCTGGGCCAGACGGAGAGCAACGTCTCCCTGTAGTAAGGCATGCCGATGGTACTCAGAGGAGTGTCCATAGACCACTCTAGCTTCGGCGGAGGGATGCCATGATCTGGAAATTCCGTCGGCTGGCTTTGATCCGTGAACCGAACCTTGGTGGGCGAGCCCCATATCCGCACAGAACACAGCGCATCCGTCAACGCTAGAGCCTCCCCCGATGGCGCCATCTCTAGGCACGATAAGTAAGTCTCGTACAGATTGACTTGCCGCACGTTGGCCGTATTAGGGTTCATCAGATCGACAACCTGCAGCTGACCGGATTGCGACGCCACGATACTCGTAGTCGACATGCGCGGGTGCATGCGAACGAAAGCCGCTCCAACGTGAAAGGGAATCGGCGGAAGCGGCAGCAGCGTCTTCAGATCATACACGTACACAAAGGGATCCAGGATGAGGTTGTTCATCTGGCGGCGGGAGAAGCCGCAGGTGACGAGGAAGTCCGACTTGGCGTCCATGTCGTTGATCCATTCCTTGTGCGCCTGCCACGATTTGACGACTTTGAACGAGGACGGATCGATGATTTGCACCATGCCGCCAGTGGTGGCCGCGCAGATGTACTGGCCTCCCTTCTTCATCATCGTGTAGCTGTTCTCCGCCGGCAGCGTCGCGGTGATGGTCCCCTTCTCGACATCGATCCGGAACATTGTATCCTGGCAGCCCGCCACCAGCACTTCGTAGACGCCCTTGGAGGTGAAGCTCATGCACCGCAGGTCCTTGAAGCCATCGTTCCTGCATGTCCAAATCAATCCATCAGCCCCGCAATCATCCTGCCATGCTCCGAGACTTGGAAGGGGTCCGTATTGCTGGGGCCTGCCCTTACGTGAGATGCCATTGCGTCACGCCGCGCCTGCTCGCCAGATGTACGCTCCGCACCGATATGCTCAGCACGCCCTTGTCGCAGAACAGCAACTGCTTGACCGCACCGTCGCCGTTTGGGTGTGCGCGATACGATGTGTAGCGCTGGAGCTCCGGGCCGAAGAACGAAGACACGCGGCCCTGCGCAGAACACAGCCAGTCCATCAGCCTGTTGTCTCATCATTTGCCTTCGCTGCGGAAGCAAGCGCTGATCGGAATCGCATCACAGGCCGGAGGGGGCCCCGCCCGAGGCCGGCGAAGTGGCGCGTGGGTGGGCACCGAGAAGGCAGCACTCACGTAGTCATTTCCCGCCCACAGTAGGTCCTGATGTGTGTCAAAGGCAACGGTTGTGGCGGGTGTGGGCATTGCGTGGGGCCCCGGGGGAGGCAGAGGTATCTGGCTGAGCTGCAACGTCCCAAAAGGCACCAGTTAGCATATTGCCTTCTTCGGATATGTATCCGCATGTGGGGTGGTCTTCGGCGACTGAGTTGTGGGGATTGGGGGAAGCTGTGTGCGCACCTCGTCCCAGTCGGCCTCCATGGTGGATGGCTTGCGTGGTATGCGCTATGTTGGCGGAGGCGGTGGTTTCTTCATCTGCGGAAGGGCGGAAGCGCACCAACGGCGGGAAGGGAGGAGCCGAGAAGGAGGAGGAAGAGAAGCGATAAAGTTATGGTGAGTGAGCTGAGAGCTCTCTCAGGAACGCGGAGGAGAGCAGCAGCGCCGCCCCACCGCGCGTCTCGAGTCGGCGAGTCGGCGCGCGAGGCGGGAACAATGAACGCCAGGGTCTGTGCTGATCACCACGAGTCATTATTACCATCCTTTCAGCCATTTCGTCCGCAACCATTGACAGCCTCGTGGTATCAATCACAACCTGCTTCATGAATCTGTAGACGTTGATGAGTATTTAATTCAAAAGTATGGTTCATGCACGTGAATTTTTTTTATTGTCTCTGCTTCAGCACCTGGTCACGAAAACATGTGTTAACGTCGACGCACCAAATGGTCAAGCTATAAAAATATTGCAGTAGGCGTGAAGACACATTTCGTCTCACAACTCACAATGCCATTATACAGACAAACTTTCTCGTTCCTCCACAGCACTCGTGCGAATAAAACATTGGAAACTCGGTACCTGAATATGACCATCAAGGGATATCCACCGCTGTTCCGCTTTCACGCCGATTATCTAAGCCATTTTTCACCATCATCACATCTTCGCAAGTGGTCGACCAAGACCATCACATGCACATGCAAAGCAAAGCTCCACTCACACTGTACCACTTATTTTTTTGTTTTTTTGGATAGTTTTTCATTTTCATTTTCGCCAGCAACCCCCCATGATCCGAGACTGCTAGCCAGCTCATCGCCGGTGTATATCATCCTCTGCTTGGTGGTCTTGAGCCATTATGAGAGGTCGTTCTGCACGTCTTCCTCTCCCCATCTCCGCGGTCCGTCTCGGCCTGCTCAGCCTCTTCTTCCACTACCCAAAAGAAGAGCCCAATTTGAGTGTATAAGAAATGATGCATCTGAATCGCCAATTGAATCAAGCAAATAAAGAAAAAAGAAAAGATGAACCCATCTCATCTACAACAACCCCCATTATTTTTCTCTTCCTTTACACGGCAGGGCCAGCCTTCAACACCTCAGGCGTGGCCTCGTCCTGGTACTTCTTGAAGTTCTCGGCGAACAGGCCACCGAGCTTGGTGACCTCGCCCTTGAAGTCCGCGGTGCCGGTCCAGCTCTTGGCCGGGTTGAGCAGCTCGTCGGGGACGTTGGGGCAGGACTTGGGCACCGACAGGTTGAAGGTGTCGTACGTCTCGTACTCGACCTTGGCGAGCTCGCCGCTGTGGATGGCGTCCAGGATGGCGCGCGTGTACTTGAGCGGGCAACGCTTGCCACCAGTGGTAGCGCCGGCGCCGACCCAACCGGTGTTGAGCAGCCAGGCGTTGGCGTTGTGGTGCTTGATCTTCTCCGCCAGCATCTTCGCGTAACGCATGGGGTGCAGAGCCAGGAAAGGCTGCGCAAAACACGACGAGAAGGTGGCCTGCGGCTCCGTGACACCCTGCTCGGTACCCGCCATCTTGGAGGTGTAGCCCGAGATGAAGTGGTACATGGTCTGCTCCGTGTTGAGCTTGGAGATCGGGGGAAGGACACCACGGGCGTCGCAGGTGAGGAGGATGATGTTCGTGGGGTGGTTGTTGGAAATGCAGGGGATCAGCGTGTTCTCGATGTACTCGATGGGGTAGGCGCAGCGAGTGTTCTCGGTGAGGGTCGAGTCATCGTAGTCGACCTCGCGCGTCTCGGGGTCGAAGACGACGTTCTCGAGAATGGAACCGAAACGGATGGCGTTGAAGATATCGGGCTCCTTCTCCGCCGAGAGACCAATGCACTTGGCGTAGCAGCCACCCTCAATGTTGAAGACACCCTTGTCACTCCAGCAGTGCTCGTCATCACCAATCAGCGCACGCTTGGGATCCGCCGACAGAGTGGTCTTTCCGGTTCCCGACAGACCGAAGAAGACGGTAACATCGCCCTTCTGGCCCTGGTTTGCCGAAGAGTGCAGGGTGAGGACGTTGTGCTTGACGGGCATCTCGTAGAAGAGCACGGTGAAGATACCCTTCTTCATTTCGCCGGCGTACTCGGTACCGAGGATGACCATCTCCTTGTCGGCGAAGTTGATGGAGACGGAGGTGGCAGAAGTCATGCCCGAGGTGAACCGGTTGGCAGGGAAGGCACCGGCGTTGTAGATGACATAGTCGGGGTGGAAGTGCTCGAGCTCAGCGCGCGAGGGACGGATGAGCATGTTGCGCATGAAGAGGGCGTGGTAGGCGCGAGCGCAGACGACGCGGACCTTGATGCGGTAGCGCTCGTCCCAACCGGCGAAACCATCGACGACATAGATGCGATTCCTGGTGTTCAGGTAGTCGACGGCACGTTCTCTGTTGATACGCCAGACCTGAAGCGAGACTGTTAGCATGTGGCGTGTGGTTGGGTGGACACGTGCGCTGCAGCCCAGAACAGATGGCGAGCATGGATGAGAGGGAGCGATCGTGTAGCCGAATGCGGGGAAGGATGCCCAGCTGCGAATCAGGCGGGGGAAGGCTCGGCAGCGACGCACAAACATGACGTGGGTCAAGCCGCGCAGTGTGTGGGGTAATACATGGAGTAACACCGTGGCGGGAAGGAGCACATGCTTGAACTTACATCGGTGCTCATGGGCTTGTTGACAGGTCCCCACCAGACGTCCTTCTCTGACGACGGCTCCTGGACGATACGCTTGTCCGAGGGCGAGCGGCCGGTCTTGGCGCCGGAGTAGGCGGACAGCGCGCCGGAAGAGGTGATGGCGGAGCCAGTCTCGTAGACCAATGCATCTTCGTAGAGGGCAGCGACGGACGGGTTGGCAATCTGGCGGCTGGGGTTAGCCTAGAGCGCCGACGTCATGGCGGAGCAGGACGGGAAGCTTACAATGGCAACGCGGTCGTAGTCGATGTGTGCCTTGTCGTGCAGCTCCTCCTCAATCTCGGTGTGCTCCTTCGACGGCCTGGGCGGGGCGGGTTAGCGCTCTGGTCTGCCTCGGCAGGGCTGGCGGGGGGAGGGTACGCACTGAAGGCCGGCGGGGTGGAGGGCCGTCTTGTTGACGTTTTGCGGGTTGGTGACCATCTTGAGGGAGCTGGAATGAAAGTTGTTCTTTTGCTGCTTCACAACCTGTTGACGAGCGAAGTCTCCGGTGTAGAGAGGGCCGGGTGATGAGGATCGAACAGGCACTTCGATGGGGATGCCGGCGCCTTTAGTAGTTCCAGCCATGGCTGCGCGTGCTTGTTGCGTATTCACGATCCTGTCTGGCTTTCCGGCGACGCTCAGTTAGCCGCAACGCTGATTGGCCGCCGGGGGTGGTCTGGGAGGCGCAATTACTACCGAAAAAGAGAGCCGTGGCCCGATGGTAGCTCTCCGCGTCGTGGGGATTGGGCGTTGGACGAAAACAAGTCGGGCTGGGGACGGCGTGGGCCTCTGGCGGACGAAAATGAGCCGGCGCAAAGGATCGATAACAGGTACGTAGAGGACAAAGGCGCCCAAACATGGACGGTGGAGCTTTTAACCGAGGAGAGCACTGAGGCGCAACGCCTGGGGCAGCCTGCGTGCAATCGCGTCGATGCGGCCAGCGTGTGACCTGATTTTTGCGAAGAGTCGACGTTTCTGCGAGCGCGGCAGGCGGCAGGCAGGCGTGGATGACGAAAGAAGCGGGCGGCGATCGAGGGGCTGCGGAGCGAGCGCCTAGACTGCCCCGCGTTCACAGGCGCTGCTGCTGACTCCGCAGGCCTGCGACTGGCCGTCCCGCCTGGCTGTGACGACAGCCCTGCTGCTCCTGCTCCCCCATCCCGTAACCGCCCCAGAGATAATGCCTCATCCGCCGCCCGCTCCTCGATCGCCCGAATCCCTCCGTCCGCACGACTGGCCAGCCGCGCGCTGTCGTTTGCCGCCGCTGGGACCGAGGGGGACCGGGCCAGGAAAGGCGCCGCACCGACCCAGCACATTCTGGCCTCGGGCTGTCCAGATGATGCCGCCGCAGCCCGCGTCCGGTACCTGCTGGTGCGACAACCAACGACTAGCCCGTTGCTTGTCTCTGGGCTGCTTGGCTCGCGCGTCCGCCTTCCGCGAGATCGGCGACCCCATGGGCCACGCGCCGATGACAGCCCAGAATAAATTATCGTCGCCCGTGTCTAGCCGGGTTGGAACGATCCGTTGTTTCTGATCGGACCAAGGGCATACGCGTCGCTCGCCGGCTGCCTGCACAACAGAGGAAGGAGCATCGCGGCCGCGGACGCGTCGACAGCGGCTGCGGGGCCTGGCGGCGACAGAGCAAGTGCACAAGTGCAAAGTGCATGCCGCGCGCGGCCATGGACGCTGAAACGTCAGGGACTTTGGCGTTTGGCGCGGGAGAGCTTGCAACCTCTGACGTAAGATTGCCCCATCCCCGCTAGCGCATTCTCCACAGAGCGTCGGAAACAGCCCGTGAGCACATGCCAACCTTGCCTTCTGACACACGGAGACACGCCTCGTCCCGATCGAGCCACAGGCAGGCCAATCTATTATTCACGTATTATTGAAGAAAACGCAAGGCCGCCCCGCCGGGGGCCAGGCCAACGTCAAGGGCGACGGCGCTACGGAAGAAACAAAAAAAACCCTCAGACCTGCCCGCCGCCGGTGCTCATGTCCTCCTCCTGCTGCTGCTGCTTCTTCAGCTTCTCCTTTTGCTGTCTGCGCTGCGTCGGACTGAGCGCCTGTTTGATCCTCCGTCCGCCCGAAAGGTACAGCCACGAGCAGGCGTAGACGACGGCAAAGTTGAAGAGGATATACGCCCCTGTCGATTTCCAGGTTAGCCGACATGCACGGCCGCTGCTACCCACCGTTGCGAGAGCGTTGGGCCGGGACTTACACATGATGCCAAAATCGCGCCAGACATAACGGTAGAAGACATTGAAACTCGAGGCCTATTGGCTCCGTTAGCTGCGTCCAGCGGCGGAAGAAACAAAAAAGACAGCTTGAAACGCAAATGCGGAGAAAAACCCGCAGTCCAGGATCACAAGACGGAAGCGGGAGCGGAAAGGCACATGCGAGGGTTGGGGAAAGATGGGGGTGACCCCCTGGTCGGCTCGCGTGCTTGGGGGGCGGTGGCTGAGCCGCCTCGGCGGCTATCAGCACAGGCGGTCTATTCGGCGCATCGCCCATTCCGTACCCGGCCCGTTCCGATAGCTGCCCAGCAGCTGTCTGGGGTGTGTCCCGATTTCACGCGCGAGCAGCGGGCTGAGCTCTAGCGCAAAGGTCGCGGGAAGGGCAGGCAGGGGGATAAGAGTTCCGGAAAAAGAGATAAAGCACTCACAAACTGGTCCCCTGTGGCGTATTGGCAGTAGCCGCACGTCCCGTCGTCATTGGTCTGCACGTAGCCCGACGTCTGGGCGAATGGACCTGCATAGCTCTCGCACGTCTGGCCCGGTGGCGCGTTGAACCGAGCTATCTCGCGGCTGTCGCACTGCACCCGCTGGTTGTGCGTGAGCAGTCCGAGAAAGCCCTCGAGAAGATAGCGGAACGGAGACTGTCACTCTGTCAGAAGTGCCCGTCGACAGTCGAGACCACGAAACTTACCAAGTGGTACATCCAGGAGCGCCAGAAGTACGGCAGCGTCGCAAATGGCACCACCACCCCGCAGAAACTCACGACGAACAGGAAGAACACGGGCACCAACAAGGACGCCAGCAGCTCGTTCGGCGCAAACGACGCGATCGCCTGTCCGAATCCAAGGTAATACAGTTCGAACACCATCACGAACGCCCAAACGCTCACTGCCGTATACGTGTCCCTGGGGAAGTGTGGGGGGAAATACCAACAAGCCCAATAAATCGTGCCCGCCACGAGGCGGTACGGAATCTCCGAGACGATGGCCGCCGTGGTGAAAGCGAACCACGAGTAAATCTTCGAGTTGGACTCGCGCGACTCGAAGATGGACCGCGCCTCCAGGAAGCGGGGCTGGAGCTGCTGGATGAGCGGAGGCGAGATGGTCAGCGTCATGAAGGTCGAGAAGAGACGCGACTGCATGTCGATCTGGCTGTGGCCCACGTCCCAGAAGGTGAAGCCGTTGAACAGGCCGGTGAAGATGTGCAGCATCGTCATGCCCATGACGTACTGTGGCGACCGGTACATGGCAACGAACGACCGCTTGAGCACGGTGAAGACCTGAGTGGACAGCGGCATGGCATATTCGCGGCCGTCGCGGACCTTTTCCTTGTTGCCAGCTTGTCGCCGATCGGAGACGATCTGTTGGATCTCTTTGCTGAGCTGCTCGTTTTCGGGTGATCCCTCCCAAACGTCTCCCCAATCCTGGCCCTTGTAGTCGGGGTTACCGGCGCCGATGGCCTCCAGCATATACTCAGCAGGATTCATCTTTGACGGACACTTCTTTGCTCCATTGCGTTCCAGGTAGTTGATGAGGGTCCTGCTGTCGTGGCCAAGCTCACCGAAGTAGACAGTCTGGCCGCCGTTCTTGAGGAGTAGAAGCTGGTCAAAGTTCTCAAACAAAACGCTGGAGGGTTGGTGGATAGTAACAAGCAGGGCCTGACCTGCATCTGCTAGCTTGCGCAGGAAACGAACGATGTTGAAGGCAGCACCACTATCCAGGCCGGAGGTTGGCTCATCGAGAAACAAGAGGAGCTCCGGCTTGCTCGCCAGCTCTACCCCGATGGTCAGGCGCTTCCGTTGCTCCTGGTTAAGGCCGGCTCCCGGATTTCCAATGGTTGCTCCAGCAATTTCTCGCATCTCGAGGAGATCGATGATCTTCTCGACGTAGTCGTATTTTTCCTGAAGTGGGACTTCTCGGGGCTGGCGCAGTTTGGCGGAGAACCGGAGAGCCTCCCTCACAGTTGAAGTAGACTCATGCACATCCTGCTGCTCGGCAAAGCCTGTACTACGCTGGAATGATAGCGGAAGTGGTCTGCCGTCGACAAGGAAATCACCAGTCACAACCCCAAACCGAATGCGCTGCGCGAGCGTGTTCAAAAGCGTCGTTTTGCCAGCTCCTGCTACCTGTTAGCAACAGCGAAGACATTTCAACTGTCTGCACAGTGTGGTGAAGACTGGTCCCTCCCGCGATAAGGTTGAGAAGGGACGAGTCTTCGAAACCCCACAGTGGCTCCTTGGAGTACTTACCAGAAGCACCCATTAATGCAGTCAGTTTCCCCGGCTTGACGTAGCCCTGCACATTCTGCAACAGCCGCCTCTCACCGCTCTCATACGGAATCGTATAATTAACCTTCTGCCACGTGAAGATCGTGTCATTCTTCGCCACACCCTTCGCTTCGTCGTTGCTCTTTTCCAAACCGCTAGAATCGCCCTCGAAGGACGTAGCCGCAACACCATTCTGTCCCCCCTTCTCCTCATCCCCCTTTTCACTTGCGCTCTCCATTTCTTTCTTCACGGACTCGGGAGCCTGACCACGCTTATAGATGGTCACACTTCCGCCGCCCTTGTTCGGCTTCTGCAACTCCATCCCAAGCGCCGTCAGGCAGACGAAGAAGATGAAGAACGCGCAGATGATGCCAAAGTTCCGCCACAGATGGCTGCGCGAGTAGCTGTACGCAACCGCGATGTAATCCGCGCCGGCGACGGTCTCACGGCCGGGCTGGCTGCCCTGCAGCGCGCACGTCTGGTACCGCGGTTCGGCGCCGGGCCCCTGAGGGACGAGGTACGGCGTGACGCACTCGATGTCGAGGTTGTAGAACTCGTTGGCCATCAGCCCCTCGAAGCCGTACTGCACGGGGTTGACCCAGCGCAGCCAGCTGAACCACGGGTGCATCTTGCGCGGCGGGATCAGGTAGCCGGTGTAGACGACGAGGATCTGGATGGCGACGCCCGTGAGGCGCGTCGCCACGTCGAGGCTGTCGACGAGGGCGCCGATGGCGCGGAAGAATGCGTACATGGTCATGGTCAGGATGAAGAGGAAGAGCAGGGAGATGAAGAACTGCGAGGCCGTGCGCTGCAGGTTCGACATGAAGTAGACGACGATGTCGAAGATGGCGACCTGGATGAGGACGAGCGGGACGTCGACGACGGTCTGGGCCAGGGCGTAGGCGGCTGGTCGGTAGAAGGAGAAGCTCTTGTGCTTTAGCAGGATGGGCCGCGAGTCGAATGCGGCCGTCAGCTCGGCCAAGGCAAGCAGGGCGTTGAAAAGGAGCATGAAGAACATGACACCGCCGCGGGTGAAGACGCCGGCGGCCGTCTTGGGCTGGTCGTAGAACAAGCTTCCCACGATCAGGGCCTGGAAAAGAATACCACCCCATTTACCGGCAAGTGACTGCTTGTCCCCGATCATGACAAGGAACTGCCGTTTCGTACAGGCTATCACCTGCTTGGGGAAGGAAATGGTGTAGTTCTTCGTCTTGGTGGCCTTGCTGGCGGCAGCGCGGCGTTCCTCCGCTTGAAGTCGCGTCTCTTCTTGGAACTCTTCGATCTCCTTCAGGTTCTTCCTGTGCCTCTCGCTCTTGAAGAATGTGTCGGCGAATTGTTCGGCGGATCTGGGAATGCGGTTCTCCCATCCTTCCTTGACATGACGCTCGTGATGGTCGGTTACTGAGGTAAGGAAATCTGCGTTCGTCCAACGGGCAGGCTGCACGAATCCCAGTTCCTTGAAGTAGGCGGGAGCCTCATCCGCGGGACCGAAATAGCAGCATTTGCCCTCGTCAATGAGCACGACTTTGTCAAAGAGACTGTAAAGACTCTCTCCAGCCTGGTAGAGGGCAACGGAAGTGGAGACGCGCGCCATGTTGGTGAGCGAACGTAGGCTCTGGACGTATTCCAATGCAGTCGAGGCATCCAACCCCTTCGTGCTGTTGTCCCAAGCCTGTACAGACGCCTTCGTGATCATGGCCTCGGCAATACTGACACGCTTCTTCTCACCACCGGAGACGCCGCGCACGAATGCCGAGCCAACCTTGGTTCCAAGCGTGTGTTCGATCCAGAAGAGCTTGCTGACAACGCGCAAGAACTCCTGAACGTAGTCCTGCTTCGACTCTCCCTCCTTCCTGGAATCTTGCCCCGGCGTCTTTGTCTTCAGCGCGAAAGACAACGTGTTCTTGACGCTGAGCGTCGCGTAATGAAGGTCCTCCTCCGGGTTATACAAGACCTCGCTCCTGTATTTTTTCGCCATGACCTCGGCCGACGTGCCTCCATACGTCACGTCTCCCTCGACGCTCTCATATCCAAAGCGCTGATTCCCAATGACCTTCAAGAAGGTCGAGCACCCAGCGCCGGGGCGACCAAGCACCAGCAGCATCTCCCCCGGCTTCACGCATCCCGAAAAGTTGTCGATCAGCGTCCTGACCGGCGGCTTCCCGGCCGCCTGCCGCGGGCCCTTGGTGACAAGATTCTTGACGAAGCGAAACGGATTCAAGAAGATGTCGCCGGTCGTCGGCTGCAGCGCCGCCCCCACGCCCATGCCCTTGACCGTGAGGTCCTTGAACACCATGCCCGTGTGCCTCGTGCGCTCCTCCTCCGAGTTCTGCTGCCGCGACTGGCCGAACATGCGGGAGAGCAGGCGGTTGATCTCCTCCTGCTCGGCCAGGTGTTCCGGGTCGTCGGCGGCGGCGGCCGTCGAGGCGGTCGACTGGTTGGTCCGCCGGCGCGACAGCGCGCGGAAGAGGTCGTCCTCGGTGATGGCCCGGCCGGAGGGCGTCGTCTTCGGGCCGGGCCTTTCGCTTTTCGTTTGCTGCTCCGCGCCCGTCTTGATGGGCATGAAGCCGCCCTCCGCCTCGTCCTCCTTCTCCTTGTCGCTGTGGTAGTCTTCGATGGATTCGCGCATGTGGCTGATGGGCGTGTATATGCTTTCTTCGTCCTTGGGGCTCGGGGCGGCCGTGTCCTCGCCAGAAGATGGACTGTGTCCATGGGTGCCGGTGAAGGTTGCGACATGCAAGGGGTGTTGCTGTGCGGATCCAGCGCGTCTAACACTTGGGGACGAGATTTGCCGGGAGGTTCCAGGATACTCGGTCAGTTCACTGTTCGCAGCAGGCGTCTCCAGCCAGCCGCCTGGGATCTCTCCCTCGACGTCTGGCGTGGGCTTCTCCGAATGGTCAGTGTCCATGGCTGGAGAGATGCAAGACAAGTTCAGGACAGCATGGCAGTTGAAAGCAAACAAAGAACGCGAGGCACGGGGCCCACCGAGGTTTTGTAGCAGCGCTCAAAAAGAAGGCTACTGGCCGGGTGCGCCACGACAAAGATGTCATCTTTCACGGAGGTCTTGAACGCCGAGCCCCGAGCACGCAAAAGGACACGAACCTGGCTGGGTTTGTACGGCTGAAGGATGCAGGTGGACGGATTCCATTGCGTCACCACAACGAAAAGCCATCCCATGGCGGTCGGAGCTTTCTTCAGCCGCCAAATCCGACCCCCGATCCAATCACATCATGCCCCGGGCCACGACACGCCCTCAGCACAGCGAGATATCGATGATGGTGCCCAGCTGCTAGGCCGCAGGCAACTTGCTGTCCGCGTGCCGCACGTTCAAATAGACGCGATCGACGTCAGGATCGCATGCTTGGCAACTTGGGTGCGCAGATCGGTGGATTTTCCTTTTTCGGTCCTAGACACGGCCTTCCTCGCCCCGGTCCGCCGGCGAGCAGACTCCCGTTCCTCCGTGTGGGGACCGAAGCTGAGAACAACGGCACTTCCATGCACAAGCGTATCTAGACAAAGGATTCAACTACTCACGTAGGTGGTATGATGAAACATTACTGTGAGACAGATGCGGATCAATGGCTCAGTTCTTTCCACCAGCTATCACATACCGGCATTCTCGGTTTGAATCGAGATCCCTCAACTTGGTACTGCCCTAACTGGTTCCATTTGACCTGCTCGGTGGCTAACAGCAACACCTCCCTTGATGATCAAAACCACCTGTTTTTGAATAGCATACGGAGTCAGGAAAGCTCGCGCCAAATGATGAACCAACTTCGAATCTGGATCACGATAGGGCCATTCATCAAGAAACCGCAGAAAGTGATAAAGCATGACAAAGAAGCAATGGTGAACATGAGTTGCATTATAATTCGTTAGCCCTTGAAGAGAAAGAAAGAAAGGATTTGGTCTACGGTTAAAGAGGGAGGACGTTGCCATTGAGGTTTGTAGGGTGACCACTGCTTATGTCCCGTTCTTTGGACAATCATAGATGTAACATAAAGCTTGGAATTATGTAGCCACACCCGAGTGTCCGCGTTGACCCCCGACGTAGATCCAGCACAAAATACTTATGAACAGTGAAGCTTTGGGAGCCCATTGTTGTGTTCCAACGTCGGGTTATTACCACCAGTGACCGACTCCCGAGGCTACGCCGTCACTGTGTTGCTCTTGTACAGGAAGGCTCGCCTCTACAGCCAAAAAAGAGGAAAGGGAAATGATTGAACCCATAGAATAATAAGAATCCACGACTGGATGAACGACGGTTAAGAATGAAGTGCATGATCTGAGCGTTCGTTGATGGTTGCAAAGCAACTAGTTACTTTTGAAGAGGTAACCATACCGAATCATCATGTCTCCGCGTCCACACGGATTATCCAAAACAAAACAAATGATTGTACGACGCCCGAGGTTTGAACTCGGGACCTTTAGTGGACCAGTGGCTGTGAAGCCAGCAAGATGGCCAGGCGGTGCTCGGCATCGAGAAATTTTCTCCTGGTGGAGCTTTCGGCCAGAAAATAGTAGCAATGGCCCGTGCACAGCCGATGAAAGAGACTTTTGACCAGCATGAGTTACTTTGACCCAGCGCACGGGAAAACCCGCCAATTTCTTTTATAGGCCGGCACAAACGCTAAGAAGAACACATAGCTAGATGACTTTCGACCAAACTGGTGGGCAATTGGTGGACCCTTGGAAGGCCACTTGGGAGGCGAACGGATTCTGCATGCTGGCTCTTGCGTCCCTAAATCTCAAGAGTGCATGCTTCAAGTGAAGCAAAAATGGGGCCGACATATTTAATCATTCAAAGAATCAGGGTCCGCGGGTTAGCCAAGGGAATTGGGAAGCGACATCCCACGACGGCACCTAATTGACACAGATGATGCCCGTCAGAATAACATTCCCGTATGAGCACGATCAATCTGAACTTAAGGATTTTCTTCTGATTGTAGAGATTCGTGGACCAATGTACAAGCGAACGTGTCTGTTGTTCGTGACTGGTCCAAGTCCTTGCGTTGGTGAGACTTCACCATGTCTGTATACCTAGTTTAGGCCAAGGGCACCAAGCCTTGCAGCCGCCGATTAGCATCTGTCCTAGCGCAGTAGTGACGTGGGATACTCGGGAGTGCTTGTGTCCAGCATCGTTCATCCAAACTCCATTCGCCAAACCAACTCCTTGTGTTCCGAAATCCATGCCCCTTCACTCCTCGTCTTCGTTCGTCTGGTAGATGTGACGACTGCGTGTGGGATCCTTGCGCATCTCTTGACCGGAGCCAGTGAAGCCAACTGCGCCATGATTAGCCGTTGTTACGCCTTGTGCGGGGCTGATACTCACCGCGAGCCGTGACGCTAGCGCCGGTACGGAACATGCTCTCCTTCTTCTTCATACCCTTGCCCGACGCTGCAAACTGTTGCCACTTGCTCTTGTTCGACTCCAGTTCCTTGTTCGCCTTCACTTTGCGGGGAATCTTGGCCGGCTTTGGGGGGCCATCGCTGACTTTGCTCGGCTCCTTCTTTGCTTGGCTAGCAAGGGCCGGGTTGATGTCCGCAGCAGCAGAGATGACGCCAGAGGTGGCGGGAGTGGTTGGGGTTGTCGGTGTGACTGGAGAGCCATCGATCTTGCGCTTCTTCGACTCGTTCGAGATGGGCTTGATCTCGTGGGCGGCAAGAGTCTCGGTCTCGTTGTATTGGGTGAACTTGATGTGATAAGTCGGAGAGGTCGAGGAGCCCGTGATGCTCAGGATCTTGGCAGGGTAGAAAGACTTGTCACCAGTCTTCCACTTCGCAAGGACTACGTCGTTGACCTTGTAGGAGATGGGGGCGGCAGGTTCGTCATCGGCCGGCGGCGGGGCGACTTTCCTGAAAGCGGGGTGGTTCTCCTTGGACCATTTCTCCTTGACAGCGGGCGGCGAAGGGGGCTTCGGGGCAGGAGCACGCGCGCGTTCTTCTTCGAGCAAGACTTGGAAGGTAGCGATGCCGCCCTCTAGCTCGGCTTTGAGCGCCAGAAGGCCGGCATTCTCAGGCTCGATATCAAGGTTCGCATTCGTCTCCTCGAGCTGTAGCAACGTCAGCGGACGCACCAAGCAGATGGGTGCTGTTAAAGGGGCCCGGACCTGGGTGGTGAAGTCCTTGAGGGAGTCCTCAAGGTCCTGGAGGGTGCTACTCATGTTGTTCAGTAGATCTGAGACAAGCGATGCGCAGAGCTTGTCGCAGACACACGTTACCGCTTGCGGAGAGGCTGAAGGGCAAAGTCGGGCTTGGCTGTGTGGCTGCGGCGGGGGCACGGGGGCAGGAGCGGGAGCGCAATGACGACGGAGGAGGTGGAGCGCGTTGGCGGTGCGCGGTCAGGTCAGGAACAGAGCGCGACGCGGATCCGATCGATAAGCCCCGGCCGAACGCCCAAGCGTGCCAGCCCGGCGCAACTTCGGAGTGTCACGTGTACAGGAGAGACAGGCGCGGTGGCGGCACGGCGGCCGACGGACTGTTGCGAGGTGGGCAATTTAGACACGCGCGCACGGGGGTGCAGAAGTCGGCTCTGCCCGCAGCCAGCGGCATGACATACGGGGGTCTGGAGCGTGCGGCTGCAGCGGCGCTGACTCAAGCTTCGCTGGCGACTCGAGTGCGAAGACGGCGAGGTGATGTCAGACGCTGATGGGCGACGCGCGACTTCGCAGGTGCATCACGTCGCCGCTGGGCTGCAGCAGAGCGTTTTCGGCCGCCGGCTGACGGTGACACAGTGAGGAGCGCCGCGGCCCTGGTTAAAGCAGCGCGGCCGCAGCGGCGCGCCCGCTCAGCCTTAAGCAAGCTCGGCCCTGCACGCTGCTTTACTGCTGACAAACCAAGCGCCGCCGCCGAGCGCCTTCGCCTTCCATCACCTTCCCGCACCTGTTCCTTGACGACTGCCCCGATCCGCCTTCTTATCCACCAATCCAAACCTGCCAATCGCCCCCGAGCCCCCGCCGCTCCAGCAAAGCCCCCCCCGGCGCGCTACTCCTCTTGTGGCCCAGAACAATCTGATCTGACATGCGCCTCTGACCCATCCCCTCCGGCCACCTTCGCCTCGCCCTCATCCGCAACATCCGCGAGCTGTCCGGGACTCGCCCTCAGAGACGGGTCGAGAGAACATTGTCGCTATCCTGCCGTGGCCGACGCATGCGTGGTCTGCAGGGTCCCAGGGAAGCCGGAGGTGAGCCCGTCCCAGCAAGCCTCGCCTCGCCCGCCCCGACCTTCACCATATGATTTCTACTCCGCTGCTGCCTGAGCATCGCGCGAGGCTGGAGCATGCCCGTACCATCCGTGTCGACTGCATTCCTTGCGCCGACAGTCTCACGCCGCCCTTTTCTGCTGCGCCGTGTTGTTGCAGCGTGGGCTCTCACTAACGTCAGTCCAAGACCGAGGCAGCGCACATTTCTACCATCCAGCCACCTCGCCGCAGGATTCTGACATTAGTCGCGCAAATACCGTGTTCCGTCGCCTTCGCATAGCTTCCGGGTCGCTTCTGCCTTGAATTATTGAACGCAACCCCACCGATCACCCCGCTTGATATCGCCGCTTTTGCTCCGCGGTTTCATTCTTCGCCATGGCCGGCACCACGAACAATGACCCATTCAACTCGCACCCCTACCTTTCCCCCAACCAACAAGACCTCCTCATGGCTGCGTTGAACTCTAACAACCGTGGCGGCAGGCCGGCTGGCTCCACGAACAGCCAGGCCAAGAAGCCTTCGGACGGGAATCCGTCGCAACAATTTTTGCTCGACGGCCTTGATCCCAACTTCTTTCCTCCGGATGGCGCTGGTGCAGGCTTCGACAATTTCAACCTGGAAGAAAGCCCCTACGTCGATTTCCTTGATGGGGACACCGGCTTTGAATTCGATCCCAACGATACTAGCGACTTGCTCATCGGGAGCCTGCCTGGCGATCAGGCTCAATCTTCTACATCTCCCGATCAGCCTGGTGCCGACGGCGAAAATGAGACTGGCGACAAGCGTAAGAGTCCGGATGACGACGATGAAGAGGCAGAGGGCGGTGGTAAGCGAAGGGAAGGTGAAGACAAGACGGCGAAAAAACCGGGACGGAAGCCTCTGACTTCTGAGCCAACGACTGTGAGTACCTTTGCTCACTTGTGAGGGTCAACACTGACACACAGAAGAAACGCAAAGCCCAGAACCGAGCTGCCCAGCGTGCGTTCAGAGAACGGAAGGAGAAGCACTTGAAGGACCTGGAAACCAAGGTCGGCGAGCTTCAGAAGGCTTCGGACGCAGCAAACCACGAGAATGGTCTCCTCCGTGCTCAGGTGGAGAGACTTCAAATGGAACTGCGTGAGTACCGCAAGCGTCTGTCATCCAACACCACCGGCATCTCAAGGCCCTCTGGTTTCCCCTCGCTGCTATCTCACAACAACAACAACAACAACTCCCCTCCATCGAGTAACTTCCAGTTCGAATTTCCTCGTTTTGGTGCCCTTCCTGGATCCCAGATTTTCAACAACAATGGCTCTCTTTCGAACGGCGACAAGAGCAGCCCGACAGCAGCCAAGCCAGCAACCCAAAACTCCGCACCTGGCGTTCTCAACCGCCAAGGCAGTGCTGCACGAAGTGTCAGCCCTACCAGCCAGCAAAACGGCGTGCGCTCGCCAGACAAGGCCTCTCCTGCCTCCGGTTCTGATTACAACTCTCCCGGCATGAACGGCCTCCCCAGAAAGAGTAGCGGCGGGCGTGGCAGCACATCCAGCTCTACTGGCACTCAGCGCGTGTTCCAGTTCAACAGCCATTCCAACTCGTCTACTAACGATTCTCCGTCTGCCTCATCTGTTTCGCAATATGGCGCCAACTCGTCTTGCGGCACGTCACCAGAGCCGAGTCACACCTCGCCTGGAAACGACAGATCTCATGAACTCTCTTGTGCGGTGACGACCGAAGGTGAGACGACCTTCTGCGAGAAGTTGAACATGGCTTGTGGCAATCCTCGCAATCCAATCCCTCGCGCCTTGTCCGACTCTAACGGCACGCCAGCTGCAACCTCCAACACAAACGACAGCTTCGGCATCGACTGGCTGGCCTCGCAAAACAACAACCAATTCAACCCGTCTCTCTTCGGCGACTACCGCGAGCCGCAAACTGCCGTGGTTGGCGATGGAGACTTTACTGGAGGTTTCTTCAACGAAGCATTTCCGACGGCAGACTTCGGAAGCCCGTTCAACTTTGATAACCAGAGCCCTGGTATCTCAAAGTCCAACCCCATGGAAAGTATCGATAAGATTCAGGATGGCGATGACGACGAAGTCGTGCCTGGTGAAGATCCCAACTCGCTCCTCAGCTGCCACAAGATCTGGTCCGTGTTAGCCTTTCTCAGTATTTTAGGAGCAGCTGACACTGACAAACTGACAACAGGGACAAGTTGCAAAACCGACCAGACTTCAAGGATGGCTCAATCGATATCGACGGCCTTTGCACCGAGCTTCGCGCCAAGGCCCGCTGTTCGGAAAGCGGCGTTGTGGTGGACAGCAAAGATGTTGAAGCTGCGCTCAAGAGGCTGCCAGACAAGCCCTAAGCGCTGCCAAAACCGGACTGTACCATATCGGAAAACGAACAACTCTTGGGCATCATCTTTAACGGCGCTTCGGCTTATCGGATTCGACTGCATCACGTCATCACGGTGATTGGTCTGGCGATTGGGGCAAGCAATACCATATGGATTCTTCATTTCGAGGGACTGGAGCCACAGTCACAGGGAGAACGGCGAAATCGTGTTCCGGCGCTAGTGAGGTCTTCATGTCCCCTCTATTTTCATTCAGATCCTCCGATCTTCGTTCACGATGATGTTGGCGCTCTGCGCAAACACGCTCACTTTTGGCAAGTTTTTGAGATGCTCTTCAAAGTCTTCTGGACTGCTGGGTCTGGGTCTCTTTTTAAATAAAGATTTTAGGGGAGGGTTTATTGGCCACTGAACCGCACCTCGGATGACGGTACGTGGCGTCACGATCGGAAGTGGTATCTCATTGCTATCACGTTCACTGATCTACAGGGCTATCGTATGTAGCTCGAGATACTTGGGTGGAAAGAGAAAAGGGTCTCAACATGATCGCTCAGCGTAAGGGAGGATGGTTCGTGGTCGGGTCATATTCTCTTCGCTGCTTTCAAAGCAATAGCTAGTCCTGAATTTCAAGTTCAATACCTTACCATTGTCGCCAAATTTATGCTACTAGGTTCGGTGCTCTTTAGAGTAGCTACCCAGGGTCCACAGAACCGAGATGTCAAATCAACTTTTCAACGAATCGGTTCGACTCCTGCTGCATGCTATGGGTCGTAAGGCATACCTCTTCAACTCCACAATTTTCAATAGCCGTTCGACAGGCTGAGCCTAGCGTCACCACATCAGTTCCCCTTGATATGCTTCTACTGCGTCATCCCACACTCTTCCCCGTCCGAACTCCTCCCCCATCAAGACGCTTCAAAAGAACATCAGCCAAACCCCCCTCCTTCCCCAATACCCCAAGATGAAAAGAAGAAAGGAGGAAAAAAAAACCCCCGCCGCCCAACCGCCACCCCCTCTCCTCCTCCTCCCATCACAACCCCCCCTCCTCCTCCCCCTCCTCCTCAAACTCCCCCACCTCCCCGACCACCCCCCTCAACAGCTCGGGCACCACGACGCCCGCGTCCCCCTGGAAGAACCAATCCCCTTCCTCGCCCCTCACCGCGTCCGTGCGCTCCGTGTTGACGACGGCGACGCGGGCGCCCTTTGCGCGCGCGCGCTCGGCGTAGGCCGCGGCGGGGTAGACGGTCGAGCTGGTGCCGATGACCATGACGAGGTCGATGCGGTCGGCCGCGTCGATGAAGCCGTCGACCCGCGCCATCGTGGCCTTGGGGAGCGCCTCGCCGAACCACACGACGCCGGGCCGGAGCAGGCCGTGCGTGCAGGACGGGCAGTGGGGGAGGTCTTGCAGGCGGAGCTCCGGGAGGGCGGTGCTGGGGTCTGAGGGGTCCTGGTCCTGGGCTGGGCTGGCGCTGCGGCTGCGGTTGGTGGGGATGGCGAGGGCGGGGACGATGGGGTCGGCGAAGTTGTCGTGCTGGACGTGGCGGCAGAAGAAGGAGCTGCATTTTACGTCGAAGAGGTTGCCGTGGAGGAGGTGCAGTTGCGAGCGCGGGTGGCCGGCGCGTTGGGATAGGCCTGGGTGGGGATGAGATATTGGGGGGGGGGGGGGGTTTGGCTGGGGGGGGGGGGGGAGCTGGGGGACTTACCGTCGACGTTTTGGCTTAAAGTCTGGAAGTTTGGCTTCTTCTTGGCTAGCTCGGCCAGGGCGAGGTGGGCGCGGTTCGGCTTGGCCTTGAGGGCCATGTGCCTGCGGTACGAGTAGAATTGCCACACGAGCCCTGGATCTGCCTCGAAGGCTTCGACGGTAGCTAGGGTGGTGGCATCATGGGTGCGCCAGATTCCACCGGCTCCGCGGAAGGTGGGGAGGCCGGACGAAGCTGAGAGGCCTGCTCCCAGTAGTGCCAGGATGCGGTTGGAGGACTGGAGGTGTTTCTGGAAGGACTCGATATCGGCAGCAGGGATGCCCGCGACGGGTGATGCCGCCGTGGAGACCATCCTGAGAAAGGGTCTTGGAGACGGAATGATGGCTGGCCTGCGTGGGTGTTCTTGAAAAAGATGGTGGAGATAATTTATAGCCCCGCGCCGCGGATCAGTGACGCCCAGCCGTAGATTTGGTTCAACAAGCGGTGATGAAAGCCAAGCAGAAGGACGCCAGGCAGCAGTGCGGCGCGACAAGGACGGGCGGTGACACAGTGAGCAGGCAATGTCGGGTAGTAGATGCTTTAGGGCGGCGCTGAGGGTGGAAGGCGCGTCAAGGAGCAGCCCGACCGACGTCAGACCCGGCGAATCACGGCACGGCCGATGTTATCGATAACAGCACCGAAGCAATCTTGTCGCGCCGCACCCCATCTCCGCCCGACACCCGCACCCATTCGCTATGTTCAGAAGCAGTCTGCGTGTTCTGCACGCTGCTGCTCGGGTCCAGGCCCCTCGCGCCGTACGGCGTGCCTTCCACCAGGCCCCTGCCCGCCGTCAACTCGTCTCAGCCGCTGAGCTTCAGTTCGGCCAGCCTCTCCATGAGACGCACCCGCATCTGCTTCAGCCAGGCGAAGGCAAGCAATCGCCGAGCCGATTCCACAAGCTCTGGCGGAGAACTAACACAGCAGCAACAGTGACGCCGGGCATCACCGCCCTCGAATATGCTCAACGCCGCGACGCTCTTGCAAGAGCAATGCCGCCGAACAGCGTAGCCATCCTCGCTGGATCTGACACCAAGTTCCGCTCTGGCGCCGTCTTCTACGAGTTTCACCAGGATCCCGATTTCTTCTACCTGACCGGTACGAGCTTCGAGTGTACGGGCAGCCACTAGGATACTGAGTTGATTTGGCAGGCTTCAACGAGCCCGAGGCGCTGGCTATTATCGGTAATAATTTGGGCCGGCAAGACTCCATGAGCGCGGCTGATGTGGTATAGAAAAGACTGGGTCTGGCGATGATTATGTCTTCCGTCTCTACGTGAGGCCCAAGGATGCCCACGCAGAGATGTGGGACGGTGCTCGATCAGGCCTTCAGGCCGCCTTGGATGTCTTCAATGCTGACGAGGTATGGAAACTGCACGTTCCGGACTATCTGGCTCGTTGATGCTGAAAGGACGAAGGCCGGAGCCATCAAAGACATTGGCAAGAACATCCCAGAGATCCTCAAGCGCAACGAGAACATATACACCGACCTTCCACGAAGTCTCGATCACAGGTCTGCCATCACGAGGTATCTAGGCGGAACCATGTACACAGGCGACAATGGCTTTCCGAAAGCTTTACAGTCTGTAGCGCCATCTGCGGTGAAGCCTCTGAGGCCGCTCATGAATGAGCTTCGCATGTACAAGAGTGCAGCCGAAATCCGGAACATGCGCAAGGCAGGACAAGCATCCGCAAGAACCTTTACTCATGCCATGAAGAACGAGTTCTCCACCGAAAAAGAGCTCCATGCGCATATGGATTTCGGTTTCAAGATGATGGGCTGCGACGGTATTGCCTACATCCCGGTCGTAGCAGGCGGGAAGAACGGGCTGAGCATCCATTATGTCAGGAACGACAATGTGTTGAAGTACGCACACCCTGGCATATCAAATCTTTCAACGTGCAGTCCATTGACTTGATCCCCACAGCGATGGAGAGATGGTCCTTGTGGATGCTGGAGGCGTAAGCACCGCAATCCCGGCTATTTGAATCTGCCTTCTGATAACCTGCCACAGGAATACGGAGGCTACATCACGGACATCACGCGCACTTGGCCAATCAACGGCAAATTCACACCAGCCCAGAAAGATCTCTATGAGGTCGTTCTTAAGGTTCAAAGAAGCTGCGTATCTCTTTGCAGAGAAGACGCGCAACTGTCGCTAGATAAACTGCACAACATAGCCTGTGAAAGTCTGAAGGATGGATTGACGCAATTGGGGTTCAACATGTCCGGGAACGTAAGTTTTCACCGTCTCGACTTCCATGTCGGAGTACTATGCTTATCGATTTTCAGGCATTGGAAACGCTGTTTCCTCACCATTTGGGTCATTACATCGGCCTTGATGTACACGACTCGCCCGGTTTCCCGCGCAACAAGAAACTTACAGAGGGGCAGTGTATCACCATCGAGCCGTAAGCACCTTCTCTGCGGGTTTCTCGCATTCTGATTCACTAAGCACATCTTGCAGTGGCGTCTACGTCCCCGACGACGAAAGGTGGCCCGAACACTTCCGGGGTATGGCAATCCGCATTGAGGACAGCGTCTGTGTGCAGCCGCAGAGCCCCCTCATTCTCACGACCGAGGCAGTCAAGGAGGTGAGTGCCAGAGCGAGAACTATCTCAAGAAGCAGACCTTACTAATGTGTATCCAGGTTATTGACATCGAATCCCTCGAGCGGAGAGGAGTTGATTAAGTTGAGACCCTTGAAGCCCTCTCACGAAGGGGTTACCTTATCCTTCCGTAAATTTCAGTGTAGCATTATACAGTAGGGTGTTAAAAAATGTATAGTCTTGTAAGTTTCTGCGTGCCAACAATGTCGACCGACGACCAGGTGCATGCGGGTGCTCCAGGGGTTGCCACATGGCTCTCTCCATCTCTCCGGAACGTTTTTTCAATCACAACTAGTCATCCTTCCTATTTATCATGTTCGCTTGGCAGGAAATGATGATAGCACAGGCGAATTTGGCCCCGCCCGAACATAGATGCACGCACAGCCCGTTCATGCCTCAAGCCGCCGGCGCCGCTGCCGCCAGGAACCCCCTCACCGCCTCGGCCACGCCACGCACATCCTCCAACATGGCCCAATGCCCCACCCCCTCCAGCACCCGTATCTCCCTCCTTCTCTTCTTCCCCTCCCCACTCCCACTCCCCCGCGCCTCCGCCTCGTCCTCGTCCTCCCCACCGACCCACCCCTCCCACCCCTCCGCCGGCGCCATCCAGTCCTCATCCCCCGTAATGACCAACACATCCGCCCGCACCTCGTCCAGCCCATCCAGCCCACCATCCGACCATTGCCCGTCGCCGCCGTCATCGTCGCCAGCCCGATTCTGCCGCCGTCCCTGATCCGCCGCCACCTCCCTAGCCACCACCCTCGCCAACAGCGCGGCGCGCGCCCACTCCCACGCCCACGCATCGGCAGGGGCGGACAGCCGGCACGCGGCGACGGCGAGCGGGTCCGACGTCTTGGCCTTGGAACCGATTTCGTGGGCGGCGATGAGGTCGGGGATCGTGGGCGGTGGTGGTGTTGCTGCTGTGTCGGAGCCGGAGTCGGAGTTGGAGCGGCGGCGGGACGAGGCGATGAGGTGGCGGAGGCGGGTGGGGAGGTGGGTGTCGGTGGTGGTGGTGTCGTTGTTGTCGTCGTTTGGTGGGAGGAGGGACGACGGCGGCGGCGGCGGCGGCAGCGGCGGGGGGTTGATGAGGATGAGGTTGGTGATGTTCGTGGTGGGGGAGGAGGCGAGGTGCAGGGCGGTGAGGGCGGAGGGGCCGTGGGTGATGAGTGTGAGGGGTTGGGTGGTGGTGGTGGTTGAGGTTGTGAGGGTGCGGAGGGGGTGGGCTAGCGTGGGGAAGAGGTTTGCTGCGGTTGCGGTTACGGTGGCGGTCGTGTAGGAGACGTTGTGGTGGGCGGTGTCGGGGGAGGAGGAGGAGGAGGAGGAGGGGTGTTGTAGCAGGGAAGCGCACAGGGCGGAGAAGGAACTTGCTGGGAAGCCGGGGGTGGGGAGGAAGGTGACGGGATTGTTGGTTGGCGGGAGGGTGGCGTGGAGGAGGTGCGTGGTCAGCGTGGGCAGGTCAGCAGTAGCCGAGGGCGGGTGGCTGCTGGGCGGGGGCGGCGGCAAGTCGGCGGTGACGGCGTTGGTGAGGGTTCCCAGGCCCGTCACGCTGACGGAGATGGTGTCTCCTGGTGAGAGGTAGACTGGAGGTTTTTTGCCGATGCCGACGCCGGCGGGCTGGTGGAAGGGTCAGACTGGCGTTGGAGGAGAGAAAGGGTGTGGGTGGTGGACTCACTGTTCCGGTTGCTATGACGTCTCCGGGTTGCAGCGTCATGCCTTCGGAGAGAGTCTTGATGAGGAACGGCACGGAGAAGATCAGGTCGTTGCTCGTGGCGTCCTGCTCAAGTTTGCCGTTTACAACAGTCTGAACGCGCAGGACGTCGGGAAGGTGCTTTGCTGGCCTTGCAATGGGACCCTGGAGATGTCAATGTTTGTTCGTGCCGGGGACCTGGGACATACCATTGGGCAAAAGGTATCGCCGGACTTTCCGATGAAGAATTGCTTGTGGTCTCTCTGTCTCTCGCGAGCTGTCACGTCATTGATGATGGTGTAGCCCCAGACATGGTCCATGGCGTTGTCTTGGGCGACTCTGTAGCCAGATTTGCCGACGATGACGCCGATTTCGCCCTCGTAGTCCAGGGAGTGGGTGAAGTCGGGATGGTGGTAGATTTGGTCTCCATGGGCGATGATGGAAGTGGCGCGCTTGGTGAAGATGACGGGGTGAGAGGGCACGTCGACTTTGTCGGAGCTGTCGAAGCCAGACCTGTTGAACTCCTTGGCATGGTCGAAATAGTTCTTGCCCACGGCAAGGATGTCGCGGCCGGTGATTGGAGGCAGGACCCTGAGCCGGGAGACAGGAGTTGGGTCCTCGAACTCATCCAGGCTGATGTTCTCTTCGCCGGCTTCAATCACCTGGTACAGGCTTTGGACAGGCGCGCCGGACTGGAAGCTCAGCGCGTGAATGGTGTCAGTGTCGAGGTCGAGATGGCCAATGCGCGGACGTTTGGTCGCCGGATCCTCGTAGGATACGTAGTTCGTGTAGCCGGCTGCCATCGTGCTGGAGTATCGAAAGGCAGAGTTTGTGCAGCAAGGTCGGCGAGACTTGTCTGTTCTCAAGCAAGAGTGGGGCAGCAGACGTTGACGCCATTTTTCTCCGGGTGTCTCTGCTGCGCAACAATGCTCGAGCGACCGTTTCGCTATGCAGCCCAAACGGCCCTCATGCTACATGATTGGTGGAAGTGGTTCTTGTCTTCCAGCGTTGTTGCAGCGGTAACACGTTCCGAGTCCACATGGCTTCCTGGGTGCCAGGGTCACTCCCGCTGTGATGTATGGAAAGAAGCTGAGTGTGAGTCTGAGCCAAAGCTTTTTGGTTGCTAAATTCCGTACTTGTTGTGGCGGAAACGGAGGTCAAAATGTATCAACATACCCTCTTCTTCCACATGGAGACTAGCGCGACTTCCTTGACTTGGAGGGAGTGGAAACGGGACAGGCTATATATTGTTCAGCTTCAATTATTGGGCATGCATCAAGAGCTACTAGGCTGCGGTGCCTGGCCATCCATCATCGGCAATAATGATGGAAGGAAGGCAGCTTAGTTCGCCACTGAGCGGCGTCCATGGTTCGGCTGTCGTGTTCCTGGCCGTAGATAGGATCTGGTAGCTGCTACTCCCTTGGGACCATCAAAGTCGCTAGCATTGTCAGGCTAGGTTCCGGCGGTTTGTTCCGACTTGCAACTGTCAGCGCTGAACCACGGTGCGGACTTCCTGAGCTTCCCCACCCCTTTCTCCGGGAGATCGAGGCTCAGCCTCATAATTGCTGTCTGTACTTTTCAATGCTATTGTAGGAGTGGGAGAGCTGCAACCATATGACGTCAGCCACGTCATTTGCAAGATATCCACACCGATGAAAGAGTCCAGCTTCTCCGATCAGGAGAAGTGCTCTACCGCTGAGCCGATGGTGACGGAGGAAAACGAGAGTTAATGGTTATTGATTATGCAGTAGTGAGGCCACTGCCGTGGTGTCAATGTTGGACTGTCGGAGCCAAGTGGGCTGATGCGCAAAGAAAAACCAGTCAGCGGCTTCTTCAAGGCATTGCCATCTAGATGCAGTTGAGTCGCGAAGAGAGGCTGAAGGTGTGAGATGGAGAAACATAGGGTGCGGATAATTGGCAGCCCAGTGCGGCGAGGCGTGAGCACTGACCGAAGAGCGAGAGTAGGTAGTTAAGAAGACGCCGCCAGTGGACGGAAAAACGAGGCGTTTCTTCTCTGCAGATCTCTCCATGACTTCAGCAATCAGCTCCACCCTTGGCCACTCCACCTTCCGACAATGGCCTCGCATCGGGCTTTGATGAATTCTGGAGCGCGGGTCATGATCGCCCGCTCGCCTGCGTCCGCTCCGCAAATAGATTGCCCCGGCCGCCTGAATTCCATCCTACTTTCATAAAAATGCCTGGGGCGCCCGTAGCGTAGGTAGTGCCGCTACGTCTTTGCTGTCCCTCGCTCTTTTCGATGTTGTCCAGTCTTTCTCTTGCCCTCGCGGCCTTTTGCTCTCTTTCCTGCGCTCTGCAGCCCTACGATGGCCCGGCGCCCCAGCTCCCCGACCGCACGCCTTTCGGCTTCGGCGCAGCCGCTACTGGAGGCGGCACGCCCACCGCGAACAACACCTATGTGGTCGACAACATGCCCGACCTGCGCACCGTCCTGAAAATGGAAACCCCGCGCACCGTCTACGTCAAGGGCGAAATCAAGGGCAGCGAGATCAACGAAACCGTGACGGGCGACTGCCAGTTCTACGTTGACAGCAGCAACAACTCGAAGTTCAACTTCACCCTGTATCTCATGGGCATGAACGAGACCTACACCGGCCTGGTGCAGGATGCAGCCGACGCCGGCCAGCAGTTCGACGGCCAGAACGCCACCGAGTTGCTCGACCTGATCAAGCGCCAAAATGTCAGTAGAACCCCCGCCCAATTGCCTCAGGCCGTGCCACTGACCTCCTCCAGGGCTGGCGCAGCCAGGTGCAGAACGTGCAAAAGTCGTGGGAATCCATCGACGCGGCGGGCAACCTGACGCTGGTCGGATGGGACTCGTCGGCCTACCTGCACGGCGTCAACCTCAACTTCAACACGCGCTCCAACATCATCATGCGCAACATCCGCATCTCGTCTCCCCGCGACTGCTTCCCCTCGCCCGAGACGTACCCCAGCAGCTGGAACGCCCGGTACGACGCCGTGTCCATGGTGTCGTCGCACACCGTGTGGTTCGACGGCAACGTCTTCGAGGACGGGCCCACGGCCGTCGCCCCCGACGACTTCCTGTGGGGCTGGAAGGTCGACCGCTACGACGGCCTGTTCGACGCCGAGGACGGCACCGACAGCGTCACCTTCTCGCACAACGTCGTCGCCAACCACCACAAGTCGCTGCTGTGGGGCGGCGGCGAGAAGGAGGGCCCCCTCGACCTGGGCAAGATGCGCTTCACCGTCTTCGGGAACCACTTCTCCAACAGCATGAGCCGCAACCCGCTCATGCGCTTCGGCACCTTCTACATCGTCGCCAACCTCTTCGAGAACTACGCCGAGCAGGCCCCGCTCTTCGCCGACGACAGCGTCTCCTCGCCCAACGCCACCAAGCGTGCTACCACCGCCGCCGCCGCCGCCAACGAGACGTCCTCGTACAAGCCCAACTTCCAGTACAACCTCGGCGTCTACAACGCCTCGACCGTCGTCGTCGCCGCCAACGCCTTCGTCCAGTCCGGCACCCACGGCGCCGACGACTCGTCCCGCATCTTCTCCTTCTCCGACCTATCCACCCCGCAGCTCCCCGCCACCCTCTGCTCGCCCGCCGACATCGCCAACTCTTCCTCCTCTTCCTCGGCCCTGGACGCCCTGAAGATCAAGAGCACCTTCAACGGCGCCTCCATCGACCTGCAGCGCAACGCCGAGAACACGTGGGCGTACGCGCGCGAGGACGACGACGACGGCGAGTTCGTCGACGGCGGGTTCGTGACGGGGTGCGAGGGGTTGGCGGCGCAAGAGGTGCCGGTGGACGCGTTTGGTGGGGATGCCGCCGCGGTGGAGGCGTATGTCAGGAAGAATGCGGGGCAGACGACGGCGTGATGACAAAAGAAAAAAAGGGAAGGAAAGGAAAGGGATGACGGCGACCGACCATTGGTTCGGTGTATAACGGTTGGCCGAGATGGGAATGGCCGCTTCGTTGATGAAGCAGAAAGCTTGGGGGAAAAGCTTGGGTGCGTGAAGAATGATGATGATGGAAAGAAATTATTATTATTGCGGGGTTTCGTTGCTTCTCATGTTTATACTTTCGACCAGATCCGTGGTATCGGGTCGCCCCCCCTTTCCCGGGAAAGGGCAACGTACATATTTCAGCGCCTTGTGGCCGGCGGGACGAACCTCCCTGGCGGACTCTCCGTTCCTGCCTGGCCCACGGCTTTCTCTGCAGTCAACTTTTCACCACCAGAAAAACGTAAATCCCGGAAACGGCAGTCTCCGGTTTCGATTTCTGTTTCATAGTCAATCGCTGATTCCTTCGTGATGCTTTTTCCGAGACCCAGTACTTTCTCAACGAGCGGCAGAGGTGCGGGTGCGCGATATATATGCGTTCATCTGTTCCGGAGCAGCGGAGAGAACGGAAACACACCCAATCCAGCAAAGCACAAGTGATTTTTGAAAAATTCCTACAATCCCAAGGTTGATCCGCAACGGAAAGCGGGGGATGTGTCAGCGCTTCGGACATCTCTGTGATGGGAACCTCGAGCTTCGTCGCGAGTATGAGGGAATTTCTCCTGCCCGGCATCGAATCGGGCTTCTGTGGTTCTCGGAAGCGCCTGCGGGGCAAGTATGTGTCTAGACGCTTTATGTCGGTTCAACGATCCTTCGCACATTACCTTTGAACGGTAAACTTGGGCTTGTGATGAAGGTGCAGCCAACGGACCTGTAGTCAATGCGGGAGAGCGAACTTGAATCTTTGTTAGTGACGAGCACTTTGTTTCAACACTCATTCATAAGCAATCTGAAACACATATTTTCCTCCTCGATTGGGCACTTGATCATCCGTAGCCACGTCGGTTGGTTTGAGATAGGATAGCATCACCACCAGCAGAGACTCAAGTCATAAGAATTATGATTAACAGAATTTTAACGTTCAAAGAAATAGATGACAATGAAGTACGTAGTCAACGCAATTTCTTTCGAAGTTTTGTGCTTTCCAATACCTTCAAAACATTTTTAGGTAAAAATAAATAAAACAAAAAGGCGAATTAAAAGTGAGATAGCGATGATGATTATGACAATGATGATAGGAGGAAGGGAGCTGTACTGCACATATTAGGAATTAGTAGATCACCGAAATAAAATAAGTAAATGTGTGTAGAAGTCTGTTTGATCGATCTATGATCTAGAAAGTCTCTAGTCTAATAGTACAGTGTAAAAAGAAACTCCATGATGCTTCCAAGTAAATGCTAGTCTGAAACAATGAATTCTTGCGCAACAAAAAACCCGAGAGTATCGCTCATCCACCACTTTGGGGGTATTTACAATGATAGAAAAGAGAGTGTGTGACGTTCAGCCGTAGGTAGCGCAATTCTTGCGCTCCGAGAGAGTGTATGAAAGCTCGCTAAGCTAAGTGAAAAAAACAAAAGGAAATCTTTGGAATAATACAAGGCGAAATTAGGAGGTGTAGCTGAGGCCGGCCTGCTTGGCGAAGCCGACGCGGGGAGGGGTGGTGCTCTGGTCGTAGACGACGAACTGAGACTTGATGAAGATCGTGCCGAGGATGGCGACACCGATGTTGTCGTTCTGCTGGAGACCACCGTAGCAGTTGCCGTTGTAGTCAATGGGGCCGTAGGTCATGAGGCTGCCGGGAATGGTCTGAGCAGCGCCGTTGACGATCAGGTTGAAGTTGGGGAGAGTGGCGGAGCAAGGGTAGACCCACGCGCCGTAGTCGCTCCAGTAGGAGGCGTTGGTGACCTTGGCGTAGTAGGCAGTGACAATGGTGGAAGGCAGGACCATGAGGGTGGTGCCAGTGTCAACGACCGAAGCGAAGGTCTGGGAGACGGCGGCACCGGAGCCAATGCTGTAGCCGTTGGCGTTGAACTGCCACCAACCGTTGGAGGTGTCGACGTTGGAGTAAGTGATGGCGCCCGTGTACTTCTTCGAATCGACATATCCGAAGTCAAAGGAGCCCGGAGCGTTGTGCTTGAGAAGAGAGGTGAAGACGGGCGAGGGAAGCTGGCTCTTGATGCTGTTGAAAAGAGTCTTCTGCTGGACGGGCTGGACGGTGTTGAGCACGTCGAAGGCCAAGCCAAGCATGCCGTCATAAGCAGCATCAACGAATGCGTCCGAGGCAGTCTTTGCCGCCTCGACCGACTGTCCCTTGAAGGTCATGCCGCCCATGCCGACCGTGTCGTTGTAGACGGCGCCGCTCGCGGTGCTGCCGTCAAGGTAGGTAACGTTCCAGGAGTAGCCCGACTTCAGGTTCGACGCCGAGGGCGAATAGATGTTGTGGCCCGAGGTCTGGCTGCTGGGCTGCAGGTTGGACAGGACCCAGAGGTCGGAGGAGCCAGTGTCAACATCGACGTAGACAGTCGTGCCGCCAACAGTGATGGGGATCATGTAGGCGGTGTCGAACTCGTTCACAGGGGTCGCAACTGCGGACCCACTCTGGTAGGTGCTGGATGCCTTGGTGGAAGTCGAGGACGACGAGCTCGTAGTGCGGATGCTGGAGCTCGAGGAGGAGCTGGTGGTAGTACGGATGCTGGAGCTGGAGGTCGAGCTAGAAGTGGTGCGAACGCTGGAGCTGGAGCTGGAGCTGGAGCTGGAAGTGGTGCGAATGCTGGAGCTGGAAGTGCTGGTGGAGGTTGGCTTAGGCTTGGTGGCGGCGGCGGCGGTTGCTTGTCTCTTGTTCTTGTTGAGCATGTCGGGGGCCTGCGACTGAGTGGCAACAGAGAAGGCATCGAGGACCTCGCTGGGCATGTCGGCATCGACCTTCTTGTACAGGTTTCCGAGGGCGATGGGACCGTTCTTGAGGCGCTTGCCATAGGGCTGTTGCTCAAGGGTGAAGCCAACGTTCTGGCGGGCCTCAATGGGGTTCGCCTGAGCCTGAGGGAAGGAGATGGCAGCCAGGGCTGCGATGAGTGCGGTGGAGGTATGCATGATGATTGCTGATTGCTGATTGCTGATTGTGTTGTAGAGTAGTTTGGATTGCCGATTGGGTTGTAGAGTTGAGTGGATTGGAGTGTTGGTGAGTGGAGGAGTGGATGGTGAGTTGATGATTATTTTCCGGAGGATTGACAGTCCATCTTATACCAGTGTTGATGGCCGCGGACTTCCACAAATCCAAGCCCGAGTAACGGTGCGGCGAGTACCTTGGACGGAGCGAGGGCCAGGGTCTGTGGGCCCAGAAGCGGCTTGGAATCGGCCCAATGCTGCGGGTAACAGCTCCCACGTTGAACCATTCTCTCCGGCACGGCCGGTTGTGCAATAGCGCGCAGTTTACTGTCATCCTGTGCCATGGTGCCGAGAAAGTTGAAAGTGGGGAAGGGAGGGAGCATTCATCGCCGCATGCGGACATGCAATTCCGTTTGCGGACAATAGCTTTAGAGTAGCATCTGACGGTGGCCCATAGGTGCGCTAATGAGGCACCGCAGCCTGCGGCGCGCGGGCACTAATGGAATTGATAGCTGACAGCGGAAGCGTTTCCCAACAAGGTAATCGGCTTGGAGAAGATGCAAAAATTCCAGCCTTCTGATACGCCACAGGACAAACAGATGAAGCAATGATGTCACCGGCGGCTTAGCCTATCGAGGAGAGTGGAGTGCTGGGAGGCTATGGTGGAGCGTGACTAGCGGCAGCTACCCTCGAGGGGAGGCAGCTCTGGCGGCAGTCGTAGACGAAGAGCCCAGGTCTCGAATGACAGATAGGCAGTCCTCAGATCGCTCTGGGCTGCACAGCTTTCAGGATCATAGCCATCAGGCTGGAACGAATGCTCCTTGATTCCTCACTTTGCCGGCTTCCAGAGACACCGTAGAAGAATTGCGCGTGCTGACCATGTGCATGATGTCCTGGTATCTGGAATGCCGTTCTTCCTGGTGGGCTGAAGGGCTCCTATTGGCGCAATAATGCCCGTGGTGGATTTTCCGGGCTGCAAGGGGTCTTGGGAGGCTCCGAGGAGTCGAGGCCCCAGAGGATGACAGGGCTTATTAGACGATGACCGCGCCTCGGCAACTAAACCAAGCCAACTACGTAAGGCCAAGCCGCAGCTTGGATGCACTGAGGGCACATCCTTCCAGGCCGAGCTCCGGAGCTCTGGAGCTCTAGATCGTCTTGAGAAGTCGCGTCTGTGAGAGACTACGTACAGTGGTGGACAACGAGCTGGGACACAATGCAAGGACGAGATTGCGGAGGAGATGGTCGAAGTCCAACGGCAAAGAGACACGGTGCGAGATGCGAATTGGCCTGAGCGAGCAACGTCAATTGTGGTGGATGATGATGATGGTGAGGAGATGGTGTAGGTAGCGTTGCAGCAAACGGTCAGGTGCGACTGCCGTGAGAGAAGCCGGACCCTGCACGCCTGCCTGGTCGTCGGTCGATCAACGCCACCCAATCCTTTATTCTTGGCAACAACTAACAACGACCCTTCATAGCTATCGCCGACCGTGGCTCTACCATTGCGCAGCTAGCTCGCTGGAAGACGTCTCTGGCGGTACCTGTCAATCCTTGCCGCCTTTGCTTGCCGGTCGACGTGACGCCGCCATCATGGACCCCACTGCCGGAGTCTCCACGCCCACCAAGGGCGTGCTCGGCCTCACGCTGCTAGCCATCCTCGGCGTCCTGCTGCAGCGACTCCTCCGTGTTGATCACGATCCTCGCGAACCGCCTCTGATCCCTACCAAGGTCCCGCTGCTCGGTCATGTGATCGGCTTGTACAGACATGGCAAGCAATACTACCAGAAGATGGAGTAAGTGCACACGCGTCTGGCCGAACCCGGCATTCCTACTGACCGCATCGCCTTCAGAGATCAATACGGCTATGACATCTATACTCTCGCCCTCCCGGGCATCAAGCAGTATGTCATCACCAGCCCGGCCTTGACGGCAAGCGTGAGCCGCCAGTCCAAGCTCATCTCCTTCCGCCCTTTCATCATCAACTTCGTGAGGAAATCGATGCTCTTCGACGATACAGCCCATGCCATCAACCAGAAAAACCTGTTCGACGAAGACGGTCAGGGTGTCATTACCGCCAGCCATGACGTCTTCTACAACAACTTACCCAGCGGGCCTGCCTTGGACAGCATCTGCCAAGTCCTGCTGGACGACGCCGCCGCCATCTTCAACAAGCTCTCTTCCGGCGAAGAAGGCGGCGGCGAGATCAACATGGGCCTCGTCGACTTCTGCAAGAACGTCATCGGCTTCCCCACCCTGAAAGCCCTCTGGGGCCCCGACAACATCTTCGCCAAGGACCCCACGCTCCTCGCCGACTTCTGGGACATGGAGGTCGGCCAGGTCCTGCTTGGAATCGGCATCCTCCCCTCGCTCGTGGCGCCCAAGGCCCACCGCGGCCGCGCCCGCCTCCAGGCCGCCATGACCGAGTACTACGAGAGCGGCGCGTGGCTGCGGGCATCGACGCTGATCCAACAACGCGCCCAAGCCCACTTCGACCACGGCTACACGAAGCGCATGTTCGCCCACTCCGACACGGGCCTGCTCATCGGCGCGCTGCCCAACTCGACCTTCACCACCTTCTGGCTGCTGGCCCGCCTCTTCGCCGACCCCGCCCTGCTCGCCGCCATCCGCGCCGAGCTGGACGCCTCAGGCACCGTGACCCTGCGCAAAAACGACGACGATGGCCCCAAAGCCGTCGCCACCATCGACGTCGCCCGCCTGCGCACCCGCTGCCCGCTCTTCTCCTCCACCTTCCGCGAGACCCTGCGCCTCGGCATGCCCACGTCGTCGGTCCGCGCCGTGCGCGAAGACGTCATGCTCGCCGACCGCCACCTCCTGCGCAAGGGGTCGCTCGTCCTCATCGACGCCGGCGTCATGCACACCAAGCCCGCCATCTGGGGCGACGACGCGGCGGAATTCGTCCCCCGCCGCTTCCTCGACAGCCAGGCCGGCGACTTCACCGACGGCGGCGGCGGTCGCAACAAAGTCCACCCCGCCGCTTTCCGCGGCTTCGGCGGCGGCGAGGTCTTTTGCCCCGGCAGGAACCTCGCGCTCGTCGAGGCCACGGGCATCGCGGCGCCGTTGGTTTGCGGGTGGGATATCGTGGGCGATGAGCTGCTGAAGGTGCCGCCGCCGCTGGACGACGTCATGCCGATTGGAGTGTGGAAGCCGCGAGAGGACGTGGCGGTGAGATTGAGGCGGAGGGAGGGGTGGGAGGGCGTGAAGTGGGAGTATAGGGTTTGAAGTGCGCGCACGCACGCGCACACTGAATACCCGACCTACAGATGGGGATGAGCTTTTCTATGTCGTCACTGTCGCGAAAAAGATGCATTTTGCACTTTTGTCGCATGGGAGTTCAGGAATATGCTCGAGCGGGAACGGATTCATGATCCAGTAATCGAACATGGTAGCGAAGAAAAAAGATAGATTATGGGTATCGACAGACAAACAAATCGGCCTGTGATGCGCATGTGCAACATGTCAGTGTGGTTCTCGACCGTGAGGTCTGTTTGGCGTACAGCTGTGAATTTCTCCGAACCTACGCCACTTTGGGAGGCAGCTGTTTCTGCACCTTACTGAGAAACATGCCATACCTGCATGTCCGCCTCAGCATCTTTGGTGTTGCTCTGAGTCACAGGCAACTGGTTCCGCCCAAACGAAGAAAAGTCTGCTCTCGCTACCATTGTTGTTGGTGCCCTCGGACCAGCCCACGAACAGGCAGCAGCCCACCCAAATCACAAACAGCCTCCCGCCAAAAACAAAAACGATTAAGTGTTCGAAAGTATTGGAGAGCAGAGAAGATAAAAGGGTTCTTGAATGGAGCAAAGAGCAAAAAAGCAAAACTACAGGCTCTCCGGATGGAGAGCCCGCAGAAACCTTTCTCAGCCCGACCGTAGGGCTTCATCGAAGGGTTTTTTGCGATCCGGAAATGTGAAGGAGTACAAGCGTGGGTTGAACCCAGAGCCCCGCGGGAGACCCTGGGATCTGCCAGGACTACCACTCGGCCAGAACCGAAGTAATAGCACTCGGGCGGTAGCCCTGGCAGATAGTAGAGCAGTGGCGGGGTTGATTTATATACACTGACTGCACAACCCAGAGTCCCGCAGCGAATGTCGACTGCTGCATTGCTCAGACGTTCCACCCGATCTGTGTTGCGGGCCACCGTATCCAGTGTTTATGGTCGTCGGGGATGTGGTGGACGATACCTGCCATGATATGCTCCGGCCAATGCTCGATGAACCACTGATGGCGCGAGACGTGCAACATGACCACAAAGTAGGCGAGAATGACAAGGGCAAGCGGTTGATGCTGCTGGAGACAGAGAATGAAGTTCTCTTCCAGGCAGTAGACCCACGAGAAGACGAAGGTGACGGCATTCTGTACTTTTCCTTCGTCCGACTCGTCGAGCATCGCCTTCAGCGTACGTACAAGGCGGTCCCAAGCGGCCAGGTAGGTGGTTGTGTTCGGTTCAGTGAGAGCCAAGCCGACGAGGTAGCGACGGAATTCGCGGGTGTGCTCGTTGATTTCTGGATTGGGGCCCTCGGTGAAGGCAACGCGAAGTGCACGACCAGCTGCTCGCAACATGAAAGAAAGGCGCCCCGCCCACAGAGCGTTCTTTTGCAATTGAAGGATGGAGCGCGTCCCGCGGTTCAGGACCATCCAGTCCGAGGCGCCCCGGTCACTGATCATGAGGTAGTCTCCAGGAGATGGGCCTTTGGCAAAGGATAGCGAACAGATCAACACCGAAGAGACATAAAGTGGATCGGAATTTTCTGCATTCAAGTGTGGAAGCAGGCCTGTCACTGTCTGGACCGCTGCATGCTGATATTGGTCAGCCAAGCCACGGAGGAAGTCTGAGCGTGCAGGATCGCGGCGGGCAATATCGTATGCCGAGAAGGCGAGCAGGAGTTGCAAGACGTAGTGATGGGAGAAGCCCAGCTGAGGGATTGTTTTTTGCCAAACCCAAAGGTAAGAGCTACCAAGGCTCAGGCATGTGTTGGTGAGATAGTTTTGCAAGAGTTCAAGTTCGATGAGTTCAAGGCCGGAGGCTGGCGATCCAACGTCTGCTCGAGCAGGCGGCGACTTGAGAGATGGTGGAGAAGGCACGGCGGAAGAAGGCGCGGCGGGAGAAGGCGCGGCGGGGCCAAGAACATGGCCAGGGCTTGAATCAACGGATGAAGAAGCCGGAGCGAAATCGCAGCGGATTGAGTGCTGCACACAATTGGTACAAGACGGCTTCTTCTCGTCGCACTGCACGTCACATCCAAGTCAGCAAGCAGCAGACAAGCGAGAAGACAAGCTAACCTTGATCCTCCGCCTCTTGCAGTTAGCGCAGCCCAAGCGAGACTTCCGATGGCTTCTCCTGGACGAGGCGGAAGCTCGGCCGCTTCTGCGTGGGGCAGTCATGTCTCAATGGCTGCGCCAGCGAGCGAGTGGTGATGGCGTTGGTGATGGCCTTGAGTGCAGACGTGATCGGTGGCGAACAAAAATAGAACAAACGAGCACAGCTTCTCTGCAAGATGGCTGCAGCAGCGGAGAAAGACAGTGCGAGCACCCGGATGTGGATGGCACAGGATAGATGGCTTGCGACGACGGCGAAGGCATTGCGCTTGGCAGGGAGGGGCTTAAACAGCAGCCAGCGCGTAGGGCTGGACACGAATACGGAATATGTCCGTGCGGGCACAGCCTCGCCGGGAGCCCGTAGCCGCGCCAGCATCTTTGCAGCAGCCCGACACTGGAACATTGTACAGTAATCGGCACCTGTAGTCGGTTTTGCCTGGGCCAAGCGTTGGCCAGACGGGCAATGAGCATCGCATTGCTGCATACAGCTCTGACACGCAGCGCAGTATCACGGACCTCAATATCTCGCACTCACTTGGTTCCATCGAGTGCGCAGTGGGCCGGCATCTCTGGGGCTTCTCCTGTCTTTCCGGGTGCAAAAGTGCTCCAAATAGTCCATGGTGTTGAATCTGCAGGCAGGAGAACACGCTACGAGCGCCGTATTCGTATCGTACTCGTACCACCGTACTCGTAGCGCTGTACTCGCATCGCCGTATACTGCTGCTGCCGCTCTGTAAACCGACATACAGTTCCTACAAGTAGCCTCTACTCGTCCTGACTCCTCTGCTGCTCATCATCCTCCCTTTCCACGTTCCTCGACACACCCGTCTCGAATCCAAGATGACTACCGATGGCTACAAGCTGTACAACTACTCACCCAACCTGCCCGCGGCCATTGTATTCGTTGTCGCTTTTGCTCTGACGACTTCTTTCCACATTTTCCAATTGATCAAGCACAAGACATGGTACATGATTGCCTTTTTGATAGGTGGCTTCTGTGCGTCATCCCTATCCAAAACAATAAGCCACTTGCAACTGACAACTTTGCTTGAACAGTCGAAATCATTGGTTATGTTGGCCGCGCTGCCTCTGCAGCCCAAGATAATGGCAAGTGGACGGTCGGCCCGTACGTCCTTCAGAGCCTCTTCCTCCTCGTCGCACCCGCTCTTTTCGCCGCGTCCATCTACATGATTCTCGGAAGAGTCATCCTTCTCACCGAGGGTGAGGGCCATGCCATGATCAAGAGACGGTGGCTCACAAAGCTCTTCGTCTTCGGCGATGTCTTCTCCTTCCTGCTGCAATCAAGCGGTGAGTGCTACAACCATGTTTTTGACTGCACAGTCCACTGAACCCATGGCAGGCGGTGGTCTAATGGCCAAGGGAGCCTCGGATCCCAGTTCGCTCAAGATGGCGCAAAACATCATCATTGCCGGTCTCATCCTTCAGCTTGTTTTCTTCGGCTTCTTCATCATCGTCGCGGGCATCTTCCATATGCGCATGAATTCGGCTCCCACAGCCAAGTCGGAGCAGCCCGAGATTCGTTGGCGCCATTACCTCACTTCGCTGTACGCTGTCAGCGTCTTCATCATGATCCGATGCATTTTCCGTGCAGTCGAGTACATTCAAGGCCACGACGGATACTTGCTGCAAAACGAGGTCTACATTTACATTTTCGATGCGCTTCTCATGTTTCTGGTCATGGCGTACATGAACTGGCAACATCCTGCCGAGATTGGACACCTGCTCCGCGGAGAGTGTCCGTCCGATAGTAGTTTCACCATGGGAGTTATCGGCTCAAACAAGGAGGATCGCCTTAGCGATTCTCGGGACATGGTGTGATCGGATGTGAGACAAGCCTCTTCTGAATTTCGGTGCTTGGTAGCGGTGTATGGAAAACTGTTTGTTGTTTTAGCAGCGTCCTCATCTTTTACGTATATATCGAATCCTGTGATTGAGAGGTTCGTAATCGCATATATTTAGAAAAACTGCGGTAAAATGCCCTGTAGCAGTTAGGCGACAATCTCTAAATGGTAGAAATCCTAGTCGCAGCATCGTTTGGCTCCAAGAACGCGGGTATCACGTCGGCCAAGCCGCTGAAGAACCCCATCAGTGGGAACTAGAAACTTTGGGCGTGCTCTAAGAGACTGAGACGAGGGCGCGCACAGATTGCGCAGGTGTGCCTTGTTGAGGAAGTGGAGACGTGAGTGACAGTGAAAGTCGTGGCCGCGGCCACTTTCCGGCGAAACTGGGTCCGAGCTCGCCCGTTTCGCGCTATTGCATCGGGCTGCGCCTCGTTCGGTGGCTACAAGACAGAGCAGCCCCTCTGCTTGTGCCTTGTGGACGACGCCGACTTGCTCCAATCAGTGAACGCCGCATGCTCTGCCAGCCTTCCGCGCCGCGTCCGGTCATGTGATCATGTCCGAGCAGCAACCGGTGCCGAACAGCAAAGGGTTCACAGCGTCGCGGCGATCCCATCGGAAATCCCGTCTTGGTTGTCAGAACTGTAAGCGTCGCAGAGTCAAGGTGAGTGGTCTCTACTACGTCTGTCCCGGTCCGAAGAATACGTCTCTGTGAGTCTACCCTTCGTCTGGCTCTATCCATTACCTCGCTCCTCCCACCCCGGCCTATCATTCTGACAGCTGCCCGGCAGTGCGATGAAAAGAGGCCCGAGTGCACCAACTGCCTTCGACACTCGATCCCGTGTGACTTTACGCCCGCCGTGAACTCTTCCAATTCGGCAGAATCTAGCCCAGCCAACCGTCTCAGCCCCCAAGATGCCCTCAGGGCAGGACCAAGAACCCCATCTGGGCCGGGCCGGGCCTCCAGTTCTGTCTCTGGCTACGAGAGTGGCTCGACTCCCGCACCTGTAGCTGGGCCTTTTGGCCTCTCGAATGTGCCCGATCTCGAGCTGTTGCACAACTATTCCACCTCGACTGCATATACCATCTCAAACGTCACAGACATGCAGGACTTTTATCGAATCAATGTCCCCCGGCTGGGCTTCTCCCACCCATTCGTCCTACATGCTCTCATGGCCTTCTCCGCTCGGCATCTTGCTCAGTTCCGAGCGTCAAAGCGCACCTACTACATTGCCAAAGCCGACCACCATTGGGAAATCGGCCTGCGCAGCGCCAGCGCCCTCGTTCCCGCCGTCGACGATGCCAACGCGCCGGCCCTTTACATCTTTGCTATCTTCTCCTGCTTCTACACGCTCGCCAAGGGACCCAAACCGCGTGACTTCCTCGTATTCAGCGACGAAGGACTGGCCGAATGGCTCATCCTCCTCCGCGGCGTGCGCGCCATCATGGAGACGACCGGAGACAGCATCCGCCACAGCGCCCTCTCCCCGCTCTTCACCACCGCCAGCGCGCGCGTGCAAAAGTTCTACGCCCACGACCCGGCGTCCGGAGACGAGCACCCCCGCGTCGCCGAGCTGCGCGAGCTCGTCGCCGACGTCGCCGGCGACAGCCCCAACCTGCCCACCTACCTCGCCGCCATCGACGACGTCTCGCGCTGCTTCGCGTGCGTTTTCGACGACTCGTCCTCGTCGGCCTCCTCCCAGACCGTCTTCATTTGGATGTATCGCGTCTCGGACGACTTCGTGCTCTGCCTGCAGCAACGGCAGCCTGTTGCTCTGACCGTCTTCGCCTACTTCGTCGTGCTGCTGAATGAGCTCGGTAACAGCTGGTGGATGCAAGGCTGGGTCTACCACCTCCTCGCCGGCATCCATGACGCCCTGGACGAGGGGAGCAAGTCGTGGATCAGGTGGCCGATGGAAAGGTTGGGATGGATACCCGACTTGTGACATCGGGAGTGAGTCAGGGAGGCCAGGCTTCTGGGGGCGTACATAGGGGTTCTGTCTGCATGGCGATCTGGGTTCATCTGTGTGGGCGGCGTCAAGGGTGTTTCTCTCGTAAAGTCTTAGGTTATGCGTTCACATCTAGATGCTTGCGTTAACTAGATATGAGGGAAGGTCCTCCTTGTTTATTTCGTTTGTTTCCAGGTTCAAGTTCCGCCGAATCTCTGGCAAAATCCAATCAGTTCGGCGTTCCGCGCGCCGTTGTATTCGTATCCCACGATATACAGCAGCTGCAGCATACATCATTTCTTTACCCACTTGGCGACTAGTCCTTCCACTATTTGGCCTGTTTGGCGTCTTTCGGAGGTGGGCAGCATTGATCAGAACAGGTGGATATTTCTGTTTGGGGACATGGTTAAGGCTGTCTCCAAAGATCGCGGCGAAGTCAAGATCGGTTCCCGGGTTGTGGCGGCGGAAAGTTGGTCGGTGAGGGTAGAGAGAGGATTGAGATGGCGAGTGATGAGACTCTGCGACATGTGCAGGTGTTAGGCTTGGTTGGTGTGTTAGGGTCGCACCTGCCGGGAGCGCGCTTTCCTGATCCAAACACGTCGACGCCCGCTCGTCCTCCTCAGCTTCACCACTTTGTCACCCGCCTTTTCTTCTTTTTCTTTTCCCCAGACACCCTAGCCTCTGCGACCGTCTTCTAAGATCAACTCGTCAGATCTTGCAGATCGCAAATTCTACGCGCGCGAACGACAGCTTCGCCACCGCCCGCGCTTCGTCCAACGGCCTCTCTTCATCCCAACCCTGCCGCCATGAAGGAAGAAAACAAGCCCAAGCTCATGTTCTGGCTCTGTGCCGTCCAGTTCGTCTTCTCGATTCTGGTTCTGGGCATGAACATTCCCGCCCGCATGTTCGTCCGCCAGCACGGTGGCCCCGACAAGCTCGTCGAGGGAGGCTACTGCCAGCTCCGCAAGATTGGCGATTCCGGCTTTGTTCTCCACCTGTGGTCGATCGATGTTGCTTGCTCTTCTGGCCTTGTCGGTGTTTTAGTCTTTCTAGCTCTGTTCATCGTAATCTGCCGCATGGGCTGGACTCGACTCATCCGCAAGATCCGCAACCCGACCCACCTTGTAAGCCGCCGCTCTCGCAAAAGCTCCGTGGTTGGAACTGACGAACTCTAGACTAAGAAGGAACCCCACTTGATGCGCCATGTGCCGGCTAAGATGGTTTTCCTGCATCCTCGCGTGCTCATCAGTGCCGGCCTCTGGACCAACCTGGTAAGGCCTGAAGTTGATTCGAATATCGCATGTCGTTAACATACTTGTAGTTCGTTGCTGCTACTGCATGCATATCCGTCTACGCTAGCTATGGCAACTCCGATCACTTGGATCTGACCGGTAGCGGCCCCAGGTACCTGGGCGAATTCGACATCGAGGCCTACCTCTGCGAGCTTCTGCCATGGATGTTGAGCGATCAGTCCGAAATGGCCCTCATGATGGCCCGCGAACGCTGCGCGCTTGCAAGGTTCTCTCGATGGTTGCTGCTTTTCTCCGCCATCTTCAGCTTCTTCCAGTTCATCATATGCGTTTGGGTTGTCGACAGCATTTCTCGGCCCGTAAGCGCAGCACTTGAGAAGAAGAGGGCCCGCCAGCGGCGGGAGCAGCGTGCCAGAAGCCATCCCGAACGCGCGAGGTCCAGCGCCCTTGAAAGTTTCCCGGACGTGGACCGTGTGGGTGGCATGTTCTGAGCCGATTGGTCTTCTCCGCAATCTCCGCGTCCAGTGCGGGGGATCGACACGGCACCAGTTGTCCCGCTTGCGCCCTCGGTACAACGTCCCCCGTGGCCTTTCCTTCTTTGACCAAAGCCCCTGGCTAGTCATGCGAGATGGTAATGGAGGGAGAGCTTGATATATTAGGTGTGGGCGGGATCTAGAGGACTGCGGATAGAGTCATTGTTCTTGGTTTCTTCACTGAACTCCCCATTCACTTCCCTCTGATTTGGAACCCGTATGGTCGCAGAAGCTTGGCCGTAATTCGTCAACTCTTGAAGGAAGCAGCATCTGGCAGCATGCCGTTTAGCATAGTAAAAGCAACATGGGCTTTTTCTTGTCTCCTGACGTCACACACTGTGCTTGCGCAATCCTGCTGGAGAGACACTGTGTGCGACGGCCCTACTAAGGCCGCCTTCCCAGGCCCGTGGGACGCCAATATCTACGCCCCATCCTCGCGCACCATCCAACCCAGCTCTATCCTCTCTCTCGCCAATGCCTCCGTCATTTCATCATACCCAGGCACGGCCACACTCCAAGGAAATGCCTCGGCACTCGTGTTCGACTTCGGCCAGGAAGTGGGCGGCATTGTTCACCTTTCCTACAACGCAACCGGCGCCGGCACGCTCGGCCTGGCCTTCAGCGAAGCGAAGAACTGGATCGGGCTCAGATCAGACTCGTCCAACGGCCTCTTCGAAGCAGGCGACGGCGCCATCTACGACGGCCCGTTCGACTCGGCTGCCACAAGCCCCCGCTCCTACGTCATGCCCGACGAGAAGCTGCGCGGCGGCTTCCGGTACCTGACCCTCTTCCTGCTCACCAACTCCAGCAGCACCAGCCCCGCGAGGATAGACGTCGGAAGCATAAACCTGGAAATCTCCTTCCAGCCCACGTGGGCGAACCTGCGCGCCTACCGGGGCTACTTCCACAGCAGCGACGAGCTGCTCAACCGCATCTGGTACGCGGGCGCGTACACGCTGCAGACAAACGCGGTCCCCGTGCGGACGGGCCGCGCGTGGCCTGCCTTGAGTGCCGGCTGGGCTAACAACGGCACCCTCGCGAACGGCAGCACGGTCATCGTGGATGGCGCGAAGAGGGACAGGGCGGTGTGGCCTGGTGACATGGGTGTTGCGGTGCCGGCGGCGTATGTGAGTACGGGGGAGTTGGAGAGCGTGAGAAATGCGCTGGAGGTGATGTTCGATTATCAGGTACGTCGCTGTGGAGGTGGCCGGAGTCGAAGACGCGGGAATGAACACTGACCGAAGGCCGCAGGAAGCCGATGGTGCCATCCCGGAAGCGGGCCCGCCGCTGCTGCAGAAGGGGAGCGACACGTACCATATGTGGACCATGATCGGGACGTACAACTACGTCCTCTACAGCGGCGACCTGGATTTCCTGGACCTGGTTTGGGAGCGCTATCTCAAAGCGATGGACTACGTCTACGCCAAGGTCGACAGCTCCGGCCTCCTCAACGTCACCGGCACCCGCGACTGGGCACGATGGCAGCAGGGCTGGAACAACACCGAGGCGAACATGATGTGAGTCTGCCCCGATCTCCTTTCTCTCCAAAGACACCAACTTCCCACTAACCACACCCGCCCCAACAGCCTCTACCACACCCTCACCACCGCCGCCACGCTCGCCTCCTGGCACGCCAACACCACCACCACCGACCCCACCCCCCTCACCGCAACCTTCCTCACCCGCGCCTCGCGCCTCCGCACCGCCATCAACACCCACGCCTGGGACCCCTCCGCCTCGCTCTACCGCGACAACGCCACCCAAACCACCACCCTCCACCCGCAAGACGCCAACGCCCTCTCCCTCTACTTCTCCGTCGCCCCCACCAACGACACCACCACCGCCACCTCCATCTCCACCGCCCTAACCAACAACTGGACGCCGCTCGGCCCGGAACCCCCGGAACTCCCCGGCAACATATCCCCCTTCATCACCTCCTTCGAGCTGCGCGCCCACGTCGCCGCCCGCCGCCCCGACCGCGCCCTCGCCCTCATCCGCCGCACCTGGGGCTGGTACGCCAACCACCCCGACGCCACGGGCGGCAGCACCGTCGTCGAGGGGTTCCGCGTCGACGGCAGCTTCGGCTACCGCGCCGAGCGCGGCTACGGTGCCGACGCCAGCTACGTCAGCCACGCGCACGGGTGGAGCGCCGGCCCCACGGCCGTCTTGACGGAAGGGGTGGTTGGGTTGGGCGTCGTGGGGCTGGCGGGGAGGCGGTGGAGGGTCAGGCCTGCGTGGGGCGATTTGGGGTGGGCGCGGGCGGGGTTTACGACGGGGTTGGGGAGGTTTGAGGCGGGGTGGATGAGGGGGGCGGAGGCGGACGCGGGTTCTGGGGTGGGGGAGGGGGAGGCGACGGTGGTGTGGTGGTGTGCGCCTGAGGGGACGGAGGGGGAGGTTCTTGTGGAGGGGTTGGGGGAGGTGCGGGGCGTGACGGTTGAGGTCGATGGGGAGGAGCTGGTTGGAGGGGTGGAGGTCGGGGCGGGAGGGAGTGTGAGGGTGGAGGTGGTGGCGACGGGGGGGAATTATACCATGGTTGTGAGGTGATGTCCTGGTCACTCTCCCGGCTCGGTATGTTCTGCAGGGTTCCCCTACATCCGGGATAGGCCAGTAGCAACAGCTGGAAAAGGAAGACGAAGCTGCTTGATCTGGCCATGCAAGGCTGACCTCGCAAGATAACGAAAAGCTTGACGAACTCAAGAAGGCAGGAACCAACCTTTGTCAATCAAGGTTCGGACAGTGGCCCTGCCCAATACGGGGCGGACTCGCGGAGGGGTACGCTAAAGGCTGCAGCGCACTTACTTATTTAAATAGTGAACAGTTCGCACTTGCAGCTCTATAAGTGAACAGTTCGCACTTGCCGCTCCATACCACTGCACTCTACTACTTTACTTCCTCACGGTCGCAACCATGACACTACAACAACTCAAAGGCAGCCTTTGGCCACCATCAATACCCCAGTACACAAAACTGCCAGAATACAAGGACCTACCAGCCATGGACAACGAACAGCATTCCCCACCTCAAGCGACAGGTAGGAAAACCAGCTTTACCTAAGCGCTACCACTTTGCTAACCAACAAAAACCTCAGCACCCACAGTACACAAAGTCATCATGTTCTGCCGGATCACGCTCGCTACGCTCTGCGCTATCGCTCTCATCGTCTTTGAAGTCGTCGATTACCGTGGTCGCAAAATCATCGAGACCGAGCTCGGATCTATTACGAAGAACGTCGCTACAACTCTTTGTCACGACCTTATCACCATCGCTACACTCTGCGTGATCACACTCATCACATTCGAAGTCGTCGACTATCAAAACAAGAAACTTATCGAAACCGAACTCGGGTCTATCGCCAAAAACGTCGCTACAAGCCTAGGCCATGACCTAGTCATGGCACTCTTGGAGGAATTCATGCGCACGAATGGCATGGGAGTTCCACGGAGATTCCTTTCATTGATCGCGGGACCTTTAATGTCTACCGGTTAATACTTTATCTGGGAAGAATCCTCAAAACAATCGGTGCTGGGCTTGGACATGATATGGTCATGATACTACTGCAGGAATGGATGAGTGAGAACGGAATGGAGGTACCATGGAGCTTCCTGTCACTGATTGCGGGACCGATAATGTCTGTTGGACAGTATTTCTTGTTAAGCAGATAAATCGAACTACGTAGTCCTTGACTCGATGATGATACGGACATTGAAGAGCCATGAATTGGAACTTGTTTGCTATAGAAGCCGCTATAGAGATGAGCTAAAGTAGGCAGCACCTACCCGTTGAACGCGCCAACAGTCCGATTGCTAGCTATCCCTTGGGCCGGCGCGATCCACTGAGACCGGCACCTCCATTAGGTTTAGCGGTTTCCTGATGTAGCTCTTGGCATAGCATCAACAGAAGCAACCATCCTTTGCAGCATAGCCGATTGTTCTACCGCTTTGGTGAGCCGAGAGGCGAGAGCATAGGCGGAAGCGACGTGTCACTTTCCTCCTCCATCTGCGCAAGAACCTCCATCTGCTCGACCAACGGTTCCGGGTAATCGTACTCACCCCAGACCTCCAGATACTTCGACAGGTCCTTCTGTCCGAAGACATCGCAGGCCACCGCAAGGATCATGTTGAGCGTGGTGCGCGTGTTGGCGTTAGGGTTGGGCTTGTCGTTTTTTTCCTGTTCCTGAATGGACTCCTCTTCCTCTTCGTCGCTGCTGGAAGAAGCCCTTGGCGACATGCCGAAAGCTTCGCGCTTGCTCACCATACGAGGCATCTCTGCAACACGCTTCTTGAGCTCTTCCTTTTTCGTGAGGAGCTCCTTCTTCTGCGCAAGAGCTTTCTTCAGAGCAGCGTCTCCGTCTTCCTCTTCTTTCTTCTTCCCCTGTCTCGGATCCGCGTCCACGTGTTGAAAGAAGTCCCGGTCCTCGGCGTAGTACTGGGGCACCTTGTCTTCAAGCTCGGCAATGTGCTCTCCGGTGAAAGTGACGCGCACCATGAGCGCTCTGAGGGCCATTTCACGGACGATGCTGGCCTCATCGCAATGAATGGGAATGACCTCGCAAAGCCTAGCCAGTAGAGCGAAGATCCAGAGGCTGATGCTCTCCTCAACATCCTTGAAGCATTCGAGCTTGCGCTTGAGAATGTCAAGCAGCTTCAAAACACAGTAAGAGTCCATCTGCGCTACCTGAACCGGGTGGGGAGGCATATCGGTGAAGACATCAAGCCAGCGACGGACAGCTTGCCGCATGATCTTAGGAGCGTTCGGGAATGTGCAGTAGCGAGATTTGTCGAGGGATTTCTGTTGATCCTCGGTCGGCGTCTGAGCCATGAGGTTACGGTAGCCCTCGAAGCGGAGAAGTAACCGATTGTAGTATTCCTCTTGAGCATCAACCCTACACCAAAGCGTTAGGATGAGTTCGGTCTTGTCACGGCACCATTTGCTTACCATCGAACGTAGAATCCATCTTCCAGGTACTGCTCCTCATCCTCATAGTCTTCCTCCTCGTCAAAGGCCTCAGAAGCGGCGTAGCCAGATGGCCTCACGGGTCCAATCAGGTGAGGGCGAGCAACGTAGGCGCCATCGTCGTAGAAGCCGCGTGTATCACCGACGGCAGTGCTGTAAATAGCACGAGAGTCACTGGGTTCGGTGTCTCGGAATGTTATGGGAAGACCATTGGCCTCAAGCCTGCAATACTCACCATCAGTAGATCATAACCTGTGTGTGCGTATCGAGAGGAGCATGGAATGCTCGTTCGTCCTGGAAGGAGAAGAGTGCAAGTCTCCAGGCAGGTCAACATGAGCAGCTTGGAGAGCAAAGAGCATATGAACGTACCTGACTCCCTTGAGATAGCGCATCGCTTCGACACCCTCCTCGTTGTCACTTCCAGAGTCGTCAAGGTTCAGAGCGGATGCCTGGCCATATCTGAGATCCTTCTGGTTTGTGTTCTTCTTGCTCTTGCCCTTAGGCTCTTCACGGTTCTGCTCGCCATTTGGCTTCTGGTAGAGCACCTTCCCACGTCCCATCGGCGTGAAAGTCGCAAAGTGCGTCTCGGGTGCATCAACGGGTGATCCGGGAGCCTCAGGGTTCGCGGCATTGTCGTGGTTCTTCTCCTCGGCCGTACCGTTGTCCGCGCCATCGTCATCTTTCGCGTCTTGACTCTTCACCTCACCAACCGGCTCTTCCTTGACCTCACTCATCTCGCTCTTGATCGCCGAAGTCGTCTCAGCCTGAGCAGCCTTGCGCAATTTCTTGCCATTAGCAAATCCCCTGTTACTTTGGTTGCGCGTGGCCGGATCGTTGCCTGGACCATCCTTGGTCCAGCTCCACAGGTTGGGCTTCTGAGCGCGGGGCGGGGTGATGACAGGTTTTTCCTCGTCCACCCTCCAAGCTTTCTTTGGGTTCTTCTCCTCGTGTTTGACGGCGGTTGGGGGCTTGCTCACAGTCGGGCGCGGAGGCGGCGGCATGGCCATCACCGCGGTGTAGTTGTCCGGGCGGTGACGCTTGTTGTACTGGGCGCCGTCGGCCGTGACGGCCATGTTCTTACGTTTCGCAGGCGGTGCAGGCATCGTGTCGCTCGCAGGACTGCAGATGCAAGAGTCGAGGCGTGGAGAAAGAGAGGTTTGGGTGACGGAGGGTTGGAGCTTGAGCAGGCCGAGGTGACGCGATGGAGACAAATAGTCGTGGCCGGTAGTTATCGATAAGACTGACTCGTGCGCAAGCTCACGCACTACGTATTATTCACCGAGCAGTGTCCATTCCATTATTGTCACTATTCATAGTTCAAGTTATTTCATTTCTCATCTCTGCGGTTTGGTTGAGCCCTTGTGTTTAGCCAAGCACAACCTCAATCGCCGTCAAGTGCCACCCGAATGCCCGAAACGCCATTGCTCGAGGGTTCGTGAAACACTTGAGTTCAATCGTTCCTGTACAACAGTAGTTTCAAGTACAACACTCCTTTCCAATCCATCTATAATTACTCCAAGAGCACCTTTCCGAGGCTTCCCATGTTAACAGAATAATAGATCACATATCAAAAGGCCGACAGAACTGTGAATTGTGACGCTCAACAAGGCCGTGACCTTTCATCGTGCTTGTTCATGAGCGCTGTCGTGGAAGTTTAGTAGAATACGTTCGGGAGGGGGGTCAATCTTCCATGGTCCAGACGCCGACTATCTTGTTCTCCAGCTCAGGACTCTCTGCCTTTCTTTTGTTGAAGGATTCCTCTATGGTGTCGATAAGCCGCCTCATCTCATCCGCGTCATCAACGTGCCACAGCGCGGTCATTGATACCCTGATGATGCGCAAATTGGGTATGGTGCCGTCCTGGATGGCATCGGCAAGGTCGCCTGCCTTGAGTACCTCGTCAGGGTCGAGGGACCAGCCCATGTTGCCGGAGTCGGTGAGCTCTAGGCGCTCCAAGGGGTGGTTGAGGAACCGCACCTCATCTTCCTGGTCGCGGTACACAAACATGAAGGTGACATAGTCCAAAGACACCCGGAGCGCTTTCAGACGCGGACAGAAGTCCAGGACACGGTCCATGGCATTGGCGCGAAGCCCGCGGATATTCTCGACCGTCAGCGCCTCCAGCTGTGGGCCGACGGCGCGGACAAGAGAAGTAAGATCGTGTGTGGCAAGGCGTGGACAGTGGGTGATTGAAAGGGTCTTCAGGGAAGCGGGAAGGCGGCATGACAGCAAGTCCTCGTTGAGCAGACGCCTGATGAACTGGTTCTCAATGCTGCCGCTCAAGTAGAGCCTCTCAACGGGTGGCCAGACAATGGTAGAGGCATCGAAGGAAGCGCTGTCGCTGGACGAGCGGGGGAAGTAGAGCGTCTTCAGGTTCGGAAGCCTCTCGAGCGTATGGGCAAGGGTAGAGAAGCTGACGGCCTCGAAGATGAGCGAAAGGTCCAGGACACGGAGGTTTACGCACTTTGACAGGGCAGCAAAGCAATTGATGGCAAAGGCGGACTGGGGAGCAATGAAAGTCTCAAGGCTCGACTTGGTGCGGCCAAGAAGGCGAGCAGTGGTGGATTTTGTGCTCTGGCCGACGATGCGCTTGAGGTTCAGGACACGGACGAGCCCGGCGAGCTCGCTATTCTTGACGTGCAGATTCCGGGAGGGGCAGATGGTGCGGACGAAGAGTTCAAAGCTGGAGCCCTCAAGCCACGGCTCCTCGTACAAGCGGGAGATGGCGACGTCGTACCACTGGCGCTTGACGTGGCAGAAAGCGCGAAGGACGGATTGCGACTCTTTGGTGCGTGGGATGTGAGACAGGATCTCGAGGAGGATCTCGTCAGGCAGGTGCTCTGCTTGCTTGTGGTCGGCAGGCGGGAGTTGGGCAGGGCGGCTTGCCAGCCTCATGGCGCCGGCGGGGTTCCAGCAACGGTGTCACACGTGAGGCCTTGTCGACATGGGCGAAGCGGGGGGTTGAAGAAGCGCAGAGCCGTGTGGGGTTGGCTTGATGCGCAGTGTTCCATGGAGGGTCGCCGCCGCGGCGGCGGCGGCGGCGGCGAATGACGACAGATGGCCCAAGCTTTTGCAAAGACCCTTCCTTCCTTCCTTAGCCACTGCGCTGTCCTGCACCCCATCACCAACTGCAAACGTCTCCGCCAGAGAAAGGAACCCCTGCATCAACAGACCGTATGGCGTCCTGAGGCGCAGTCAGACACAAGGAAAAACAATACCGACCCTCAAAACATGGACTGCACTTCGACCCACCAAAACAAAAAAAAAACAGGCACATCAGTGCAGGTGACTAATGGACTGGGAAAACAGATGGAGCTGCTTCATTAGGCTGCAAATCAAGTACTGTACTGAACTCAGTAGATACTGGACTAGCAGCTCATTGCAGTCGCCGCACCGCACCGTGTCTACCGCGAGCCTGAGTCACGCAGCTGATGTCGCCTACGTAGTACATGGTAGTCGATAGCTACGCCTGGCACAGACCGGAAATGTCCACGGCGCCGTGCTAATGCTATATGTCTTTGCCTTCCGGCGACATACTCCCTTCTTCACCCTCACCGCCACGTCGTGATTGGTATCCCTTACAGTGGAACAATAACTGCCAACGCCGCCTTTGTCAATGTGGAGGAGAAGCCGAAACTTGTCAGTGCAGGTTTGAAGACCATTGACCAATTGCTCGGCTATTCAGTCAAGACTGCCAATTCCATGCCGCTTCGGGTTGTTACCTACTTTGCCGATCTTGCGCCTCAAACACACGGGCCATCCTGGGCAGTCTCTTTGCTCAGGGGCGGCACACGCGAATTCAATCGTTATATCGCTGGCCAAGGACGGGACACGGCGTGGGGTTGCATGAGGAGGTAGCAGCGGTGATAAGCGACACAGCAACAGGGTTGTAAGCCGGGCTTGTGGGGAGTGGGGGAAATGATCAGCATCCCTGGAATGAGGTACAAAACCAAATGCGCCGGTGCCTCTCACGTCACTGCTAGGCCGCAATCATGAAAAACTTCGTGGTGCTCCTATCCGCCGCGTCAATTGCGTGCGGGCTCCAACTGCTTCCACCAGCAAGCTCGACACCAGGCCACGCGCCGCCCAGCGGATCCTTCGACCTCGCATCAGCTCCCAAGTCGATTTATATCGACAGCACCTTTGCCGCAGTTGCAGATTCGCAAGGCCTGACTCTCATCCCACCTACAGCTCTCAGTTTCGCAGAGTCATTCCGAAGCGATCTCTATGAGCTCTTTGGTGCCAATTGGACTTTGCACAAGGTCGACGGCATCCCCAGCAATGGCAGTGGCATCTTTCTCGGCGGTTTCACCGGAAACCTCTCGCAGCTGACCTACGAGGATGGAAGGCCCACGGAAGAAGGCTACGAGCTCACTGTATCCAGCAATCGTGTCTACATTGCCGGCGCGGGTGCCCGGGGCATGTGGTGGGGAACGCGTACGCTCCTGCAGCAGCTGCTTCTCTCCAACGGCACCGTCCCTGGCACGGCCATCGTCGATGCTCCGGCGTATGCCACTCGAGGCTTTATGCTTGATGCAGGCCGGAAGTATTATGCGCCGTCCTTCTTGAAGGAGCTGTGCACATACGCGTCGTTCTTCAAACTCTCCGAGTTCCACTATCATCTGAGCGACAACTACCCCTTGAACCGGGGCCACAACGACACCTGGAATCAAGTTTACTCTCACTTCTCGCTCCTGCCCGAGGACGAGTCGCTGCACGGCATCGTCGAGCGGCCCAATGAGACGCTTTCGCGCGCCGATTTCTCCGACTTCCAGCAGCATTGCGCCTCTCACGGAGTGACGGTCATCCCGGAAATCGAAGCCCCTGGCCACTGCCTGTACTTGACCAAATGGAAGCCCGAGATGGCCCTCGACAAAAAGGACCTGCTCAATCTGTCCCACCCGGAAGCCATCCCGACAGTCAAGCGCATCTGGTCCGAATTCCTGCCGTGGTTCCATACGAAAGAGGTGCACATCGGCGCTGACGAGTACGACTCGACCCTCGCAGACGACTACATCGGCTTCGTCAACGAGATGTCCTCCTTCATCCAATCCACATCCAACAAAACCATCCGGATCTGGGGCACCTACGAGCCCTCAGAGAACCTCACCATCTCCAAGGACGTCATCATCCAACACTGGCAATACGGCCAGTCCGACCCGGTCCAGCTGCATGACGAGGGCTACCACCTCATCAACTCCGAAGACTGGTGGGCCTACATGTCGCTCAAGAATGACCACATGCCCATCAACCCGGCCCCCTACCCGCAGTTCTTCAACACAACCCGCGTCTTCAACTTCGCCGACAAGCCGGACTGGCAATGGACCCCCGCAGACTACAACCCCGTCAATACGACCCAGCAGCTCCCCGCCGGCGCCCGCGCCAACAAAGGCGCCATTCTCGCCGCCTGGAACGACAACGGGCCCGACGCTACCACCCAGCTCGAAGCCTACTACGCCATGCGCCAGGGCATCCCGCTCGTCGGCTCGCGCGCCTGGAGCGGCCGTCGTCAACCCAACAACAACATCACGTCCGCCGCCACTCTCTCCGCCACCATCGACTTCCTTGCTCCCCTTGTCCCAGGCCAGAACCTCGACCGCCGCTTCCAAGCCCCGGCATCCACCGCCAACACAAACGACAACGACCCCACGCTCTTCTCCTGGACGCGCGCCTCCACCACCAACACCAACTCCACCACCGCCCCAATCGTCCTCAACCCGGACGACAACGCCAGCATCGGCCCACCATACACCCTCCACCTCACCGCCACCGGCCCCTTCGCCCTCCGCGGCCCCGACACGGTCCTCGCCCTCACCCCCTCCTCCTCCAACGCCTCCCACACCCTCCTCACCTTCACCACCGCCGACGGCTGGCCCTACCCCCTCCGCAGCGTCTCGGCCGCCTCCGCCGAAGCGGGCGAGCGCATCTGGGTCAACGACACGACGTCGACGCACGAGCCCGTGCGCATCGCCAAGCTCGACGGGGGCCGGGGCCGGCAGCAGCAGGCGGTGGTGAATCTGACCGTCGCGACGGACGTGCTGCGCGGGAGCCGGGTGTGGGTGGACGGCGTGTTCGCGGGCCGGTTCGAAGTCTTTGTGTTCGGCGGGCGGAATCTGGAGTTTAGCTGGAGCCAGATGGCGTTTGTGGCGCCGGTGGGGGAGGTGGAGGGGCTGGGGGGAGGAGGGCTGGTGGGGGTGAGGGGAGGAGGGCTGGTGGGGGTGAGGGTGGTGAAGGGGGTGAGTGAGGTTCCGGCTAGTCCTGGTGAAGAATGAGTGAGTGAGTGAGTAGATAGGGATGACGTTGGAGGTTTAAAGTAGCTTGCTATTTCTTGAAAATATTTGTGGCCTCGCGACGCATGAAACGCGCTTTCTCCTGCATAGCCGAAAGTGGACAGGGACTCATTGCCGTGGTGCTGCTATCGAGAGGCTTTGATCATACGAAATTTGCTTTTCTGACTTTTCCAAACCGCTCCTCTCGCCAAACGCAACGAGCATCGACATGGGCACTGAGAAGCTCATTGTGAGAGTGGACGTAATCGTGGAATTACATTTGGCTGAGCATGATCAACTTCACAGATCTTCACTCGAGGGCGGAAAGAAAATCATTGTACAGGTAGATAGTTATAGACTATATAATTTTCAACAAGAGCGGCGTATCATTTTGACCCTTACCCAGCAAATCAAGCCGACCGAAAGGATCTGCCAAAGAGTCGAGATTCCATACACCATAATAACTTTTTACAACCCCCCTTCGCCCTCTACAAAAAAGCAGCCTTCGCCGCCCAAACTCAGAGATCCTCATCGCTCGCCTCCCTCTCCACCTCCCTCCTCTGCCTCTCCATCTTCCTCGTCTCCTTCCCCTTCTTCCACGACTTCCCCCTCTCATGCTTCAACTTCTCCTTGTCCCTCTTGCTCAGCTTCGTCTTCTCCTCATCCCTCACGACGCTCGCCATGATCTTCCCCGTCGCCACGGGGCTTTCGTCCTTCCGGCCCAGCCGCATCGTCCGCGGCACCCGCGTCGCCGCGCCCAGCGCCCACAAGTCGCCCCACTGGCTCTTGCGCGCGTCGCGGTACGCCTGCCGCCCGAAGCTCCTCGGCACCGTCCAGCGCTCGAGGCGCGCCTGCGGCGTGCAGACGTCGAGGATGACGTGGCCGCGCCGCTTGAGGGGCGGCATGATCATGCGCGGGAGCGAGAGCGTGAGCTGGGTGGCCTCGCCGTAGTCTTCTTCTTCCTCCGCCATCCTGACCTGCTCCTCTGGCGCCGCTGTCGCTGGATCAAAGGACTCGCTGGTAGCTTCGGCGCCCGCGGCCTCGGGTTCCGCGCCGTCGTCAACATCGTCCAACTCCTGCAACGGATTGCGATGTCTATCGCCCAGCCCTTCGAACGCTCTCAATGTCGCCTCTTCGCCCTGCAGCACACCTTCAGGCCCCTTCCTCATATCGCCACCTCTTCGCACCGCGAGGTAGCTGAACTGCACATCCTCATAGTTCCGATCCCTCGCGCCCAGTAGCTTCTGCAGGTACGGCGGCCGGGTGAATCTCTGCTTGAAGTAGCAAAAGTCCTTTCTATTCCTGCTGATACCCGGGATCGTGTACATCGGGCAGCCGGCATGGTTCGTACACGGAGCGACAATCATGCCTTCTTCCTTCCTCGAAACACGGGTTTTGTTCGACGGGTCGAGGTGGTCCAGAGGCTGCGGCTCGACATGGGTAGCGCCAGGACTGGCAATGTGGTTGTCGAGCAGGAGCGCACGGGCGCCGGCGATGACTTCGAAACCGCGCGGAAGTCCCTTTTCTATCAGGACCAGAATGCCACCGCGCGGGTCCAGAAGAGACCAGTATTTCTGGATCGCAGCCTTGCGCATGTAGTCTTCCTTCATCGACCACAAGGAGTGCGGCGCGATGACGATATCGTAGACCTTGCGTGCTTTGGGACCGACCTTCTCACCGGGGAGGATGGTGTCGGGCAGGCGCGGGAGAAAAGTTGTGTTCTCGAGGAAGCGGGCCGCACGACGGCGCATCGTGTCAGAGCCGGTGATGACGGATGCCTTTCCAGTCGGAGCGGGAGTCGACTTGGGCGAGTCGGAAGCCTCTTGCATCCGCTCCCACTCTGCCTTGAGAATCTCACGGAAAGCCACGACGCCAGCACCGCCAGAGCTAACGTCGAGGATCAGAGGACCGTTCTCCTTCTTGAGAAGACCCTCGATCCAGTCAGTACCCAGACGCTTGCGGACTTCAACGAGAACGCTCGTAACAGCGGCATACGTGCCAGGCATGACAGCCGCCAGATACGAATCTCCCTCCATAGGGCTCATGGAAAGCTGCGACGGTTCCAGCGGTATGGGCTTCTGGACCGACTCGCCACCCATCGGCCGCGGCGTCGCCGTCGAATGCGGTAGCCTAGGCCCTCCAAACACCCGGGACGCCGCGTCCCCCAGATGCTTGTTGTTCGCATTCGCCAAAATCTCCGCCACGGGATCAACAAACTCCTTCTTCGGCAGCCGCAGCGTGCTCGGCGTGGTCGCAAACCTCCCAGCCAACGTCAACGGATGCGTCCTGATCTCATTCGCCGTCACCCCGCCATACTCCCACTCCTCGGCCTCGCCCTCACCCTCCTCCCCCTCCACCCCCACCTCCAACGCCTCCACCCGCTCCGCCAACACCTCCAAATCATCCACCACCGCCACCTCCTCCTCCCCCTCCCCCTGCTGCCGCTGCCGCTGCCCCTCCACCCCTCGACCCCCCCTCTCCGGCGCCCCGTAATAATACTCCACCTCCACCAGCCTCCCGCTCTTCCCCTCCACCCACAGCGTGTCCGGCATCCGCTCGCCCTCGTCCGGCTGCCCGCCGCGCTGCAGCCGCTCCGCCTCGGCCGCCGCCTCGGCCCGCAGCTCCGCCTCGGGCGCGATCCGCAGCGGCGCGCCGTACAGCCGCTCGTACACGACGAACTCGTCGGGCGACAGCAGCGCCTCGGGCAGGGCTTCGCCGAACGCCTGGCGCGCGGCCCGCGCCGCCGCTTCGAGCTGCGCGTACGTCGGCGGCGGCGGCGGCGGTTTGGCGTCGTGTGTTTCTTCGCCCTCGCCCTCGCCCTCCTCTTGTTGTTCTTGTTGTTGTTCTTGCTGCTGCTGCTGCTGCTCGCTACTGTCCGCGCCGACATCCCGTCCTTCTACTGCACGCGCTTGGTTCTGTTCGTTCGGTGCGCTATCGGCGGCGGCGTCATCGTTGCTCGGGTCGTCGTTCGTCGTCGAGGGAGACTGCTCGTCGCGGTGTCGGTTCGAAGCGGAGAAGTGGCGGGATTGATGTCGCAAGCACGAGGGCGTCGACGGAGGAGCGCTCAACCGCACGCGCTTGTGCACGCTCGCCCTGCTGCTCGCGGACCATGTCGCCGCGGCGGCGCTGGCGCGCAGCTTCGAACGGCAGGCGGTGCAGATGGACTGCAGCGGCCGCGCCGCTGCTAGGAGCATCGTCTGCTTTGTGAGGCCTGTGTGGCCTGTGTGACCGGGGACGACTGAACTCGCTGGGGATCTGAGCGGCGAATTGAGGGGGAATGGGCCTTCCAGCAACGGTTGTTGACCGTACTTCTCGTCGCGGGCGGCAGAGGTGAGGTTGGCCGGAATCTTTTTGGAATCCCAGAACTGTGGCGGCAAATCAACGTGCGAGTTTTGTTAAGCTTTTTGAGTCAGCCGGCACATCGCCCGCCAGCTACAGTCACGGCACATGAATCGCGCCCTTTCCTCCTACGTGCTAATTGTCCGCAGACGCTAAATTAACCGTGCAACGACTAGGCAGCCACCAGCCTACCTAACGGTTTTTTGCCTCTCGGACCTTTTTCATCACGTGGCACCACAAGTCACAATTTTAGAAAGAAACCTAATTCTGTGAATGACTAAAGAGAGCATTGTAAGTAACCGTTTCCGACTCTGGACACTTCTCAAACAGGCCGGTCTTTCCTTCAGCGTCGCGCAACTGTTCTTCCACCCGAGCACCAGCTTGTGCCGGGTGGTATCAGCCATGCTAGCATTTGGTCCGGTGCCAAACCCGCTTGTTCTCCAACCCCTCCCCTTCATTCTGGACTCTTTGGGGAGCCCAAGCCTGTCTTTCAATTTGGTGTTATGATCGTCCCCTGATATAAACGCAAAACCTCCCCACAAGCAGACACTGTGCCGGAAATGTGCAGACCATCGAAGCAAAAAGCATGGGAGAGGAAAAAGAAAAACCAAGGAAAGAGTGTTAAAGGAAATTAGTCAAGCTGCAGTCAACAGCAGAAAAAAAGAGAGTGCAATCTGAGAATCCCATAGCAGGATATGACCAGTGTTGTGTCGGCAGTCCGTCCGACGGTAGGGGTCGTCTGTTTCCGAGCTTGTCGAGAACTCGCCTTCTGTCAGATGAACCATCCTTACGGATCCCCGTGCATTTCCTTTCCACTGCCGCTGACACGAGCGTGCATGATTACTATGCCAAAGACCCACCCGGCCGGCGCACCCGAAGCGTGGGGCACCGAAACCGACCGGAGTGCCTTTGCCAGGTAGGATGCTGACGGCCGAGATTGAGTGGAGGTCGAGATCGGTCTAATAAGAGCAAACCGAACAAACAAGAGATAGGAGCTGAGAGTGAACAAAAGTCTCCGCCGTCCAAATATGCGGACATGAAAGGACGGCGAGGCCGCGTTTCCCGATGTTGACTGCTGTGCCATCAGAGTAACCGCGCCTTCCGACTGATGTCACGAAAAGAGATGATGATTGATGATGCCTAGCCCGGGCTGTCTCAGTCATTCATCAGTAGCCGGCCTGGTACTGATCAGCACCGCCGCGCTTGGAAGAACGCAATTGCCTATCGTGCCTGTGTTAGCATTGAAATTTACGCACCCCCCGCGCCAGGCGTCTTCGCACTAAAGCCGCAGAGGAAAGAGCCCTTACAAGGATGGATAATATCGTTAAACTCACATTCCGGTGCCACCTTCGCGAGGGTTGACGGGGCCACGGCGCTTGTCGGTGACGGCACCGGTAGCTGCGGTCTGACCGGCGGTGGCGGCAGCGGTGTTGGTAACGTGGCGGCCACGGGCCTTGTCGTCGTCCTCGGGACCGGCTTGGTTTCCAGCGGCCTGGGCAATGGCCTGGGCGTTCTTCTGGTACTTGTAGACGGTCCAGTCGAAGACATAGTCGTACTGGAAGCCCTCACGGACGAACAGGTCGCGGAAGATCTTGCGCAGGTAAGAGTAGTCCGGCTTGTCATCGAAGCGAAGAGACCTGGTGTAGTTCAGGTAGATGGCAAACTCGTTGGGGAAGCCACGGCAAAGGACCTCGGTGGGGGTGGTCATCTTCTTCTCCATGATGCGGTCGTACTTCTGCTTCTTGGTGGCAGCCTTCAGGCCTTGCCACGGGAGGGAGCCACGGCAGAAGTACAGCATAACGTATCCAAGGGACTCCATGTCATCACGACGGGACTGCTCAACACCCAGATGAGTGTTGATGGAGGCGTAACGGGCAGTGCCGGTAAGGTTCTTGTTCTCTCTGTACGGGATGTGGAAGTGAGTCTTGGGGTCGCGGTACTTCTTCGCCAGACCAAAGTCGATAACGTTGACCTGGTTGCCGCGCTTGCCGATACCCATCAGGAAGTTGTCGGGCTTGATATCGCGGTGGATGAACGACTTGGCGTGGATGTACTCGATGCGGGAGATGAGCTGGTCGGCGAGGAGCAGGACGGTCTTCAGCGAGAACTTGCGGTTGCAGAAGTTGAACAGGTCCTCCAAGCTAGGGCCGAGGAGATCCAGGACCATTGCGTTATAGTCGCACTCGGTACCAAACCAGCGGACGAAGGGGATGCCGACACCGCCGGCGAGGGACTTGTAGACGCGAGCCTCATATTCGAGCTGGGGGTGCTTGGCCTTGACGCTCTCGAGCTTGATGGCAATCTCCTCGCCCGAGATGATGTTGGTACCTAGCACGGGGTCAGACAGGAGTAGTAGAGCGGCGGGCGGCGTCGAGGAAACGCACCGAGGTAAATGTCACCGAAAGAACCGCTACCGATCTTGCGGCCAATGCGGTACTTGTTACCGACGCGGAGATCCTGCAACGAGGTTGTCAGAAGGGTTCAGAGTTTTGCACGGGTGGCAAGCTGCAGGGTGAGGCTCGGGCTGGCTGATGCCGCGGCGGAGCGCGCTGCTGCAGCGGACAGAGCGATCCGAGCAGGCTGCAGGGACAGGGGGGCGGCTTACCATGGTCGTCATTGTTCGTTGCGACTACTTGCCAGACAAAGCAGTCGGGTGGGATGGTGTGGGTGGAGGGGGAGAGCTGGCGGTTGGCGATGGTCGTGGGGTTAAGTCCAGCCTGTTGCGGACGAGAAAGCCGGTCAGCAAGGCTTTGCCGGCTAGGCGGTGTGTGTAGGGCCGAGCAGGTGACGGTGGAGCGAGATGAGGGGGCGGGAAGGTAGCGCGCCGGGCGGCAGTGCGAGGGAGCGACGAGCTTTTGCGGCGGCGGTGCAGAGCTGGGTTTGGGCAGATGGGCGGCTACGGAGGAGGAGCCTCGGCGGGGGAGTGACTTACTGACGCGGTTTGCGGCGTGTCTGCGGTGGGGACGGTGGGATTGAAGCCCGACGGGGCGAGAAAGCAGCACGTGTGTTGGGGCGGGCGCGAGGAGGCGAGGGTGGCGGAGGAAAGAAGCCGCGGGTGCAGCGCTGTACACAGTCGACGGCAGATCCCAAGAAGGAAGTGTAGAGAGGAAGAGCGAGGAGGTGGACCGCTCACATAGGCAGTCGCTTCGGCGGCGGTGCGTCAGGTGGTGCAGCACTAGTCCGTAGAGCGCCGGGGGAAGCCAGAAGGGCCTAGGGAATAAGCGCGACAACACGCTGGGCAGAAGTGCACAGGGCGCAAAAGTGACAACGGCCAAGCCTGTGCTCGCCGGCAAATGCACGAATGGAAATAAGACGCCTACTTGCGCCCTGCGCCCTGGGCGTTGGGAAAAGTTCATGCCCACCCCCGCCACTGTTCCCCTGTTGGGGGGCAATCTCTCGCGGCGCCTGTCGCCCAGCGCAGCGCGGCATGGCGGTGTCGTCGGGCTGCGCTGGCTGTTTTGCCTGCTGCGCCGCCAGCCCGGCCGGCTGGATCTGGCTGGCGCCTCGGAGTGCCTTGTTCACGGCCACAGCCGTCAAAACAGGCTGCAAAAAGGGCGCGGGCAACAGTCGTCATCTGCACCGCGCAGTGATTGCCGCTCCACCCACCGTGCGGACGCGCCCATCGCGCGGCCTTGCCTTGGCGCCGCCCCCAGCTCAGCTCAGATTCCCGTCAGCCCGCCATGCACGCCGTCGCTGCATGCCCCGTTCGGATCCCTTTTTATAGCACGCCGCTGCCCGTGGCCCCTTAAACTCAGAAGCTTGGCCACCGAGGCGGATGAAACTACCGTCCACCTGTTTCCGGCCGCACCACAAAGCCGACTCTCCCGCCGCGGCCGGCGAGCTCTCCTTCTGCGCCATTCGACAAAGCACCCTTACAGAAGCCCGCGCACGGCAGCCCATGCCTGAGGGTTCCGCACGGCCTTGGGGTGATTTCCGGTGCCGGGTCGCACAATAATGAGCGCCTGATTGTGAGCGGACGGCCTGCTGATTCCGTATCCAGAATCGGGAGCTTGAATGTAGATTACTGCACAGATATCATGCGCTCTGCGACGTCGCTTCGCCCACGGCATGAAGACCGCAGCTGCCAGAACTGAAAAGGCGGACTGGATCTAGCATGCGTCACAGCTCCGGATCGCACACACGCCCCGTTCTTGGCGTAGCCTGCAGCGGAGCGTGTCTCAGCCGTCGGCCATGTCTTTAAGCAATCTCTTCGCCGGCCCGCCGTCGTTCGATTAGTAGGTTCGATTAGCTGATCACGCACGGCACGTCGGCATGCTGCTCGGGCGTCAAAGGCAAAACAACAGCCAGCCATCTCTGCCGAGTTACGCGCGCCGTGAGCGCGCTCGAACTCTAAACTAACCATTGAGAGAGGCGATTCGGGTACTTCATCGCCGATGTCTATACCTGCTATCGTGGCTTTCCGCTTTTGTCGCCTGCCAGCCACAAGCGCGCGCATCATTCCCCACTTTCGCTACTCCAGGCGTATATTGGTCGCACTGTCCATCTACCTATATCCAACCTCTGATCTGATCAAGCCACCATCGCTCGGCTGCTCCAAACGGTGTCCGCTCGAGCCGCCGCTGTACACGTCACACGTGCCCGTTCCCCATTCCCCAGAGCCATTCATGACCGCCCATGCCCAAATACCCGACTGCCTCCGCAATCCGGCCCCGAACTACTCGCGCCAAGATCGGCGAACAGCTTGCACTAGCCACCTGCCAGCCTTGCTGCCGCTGTAGCAACCGCGTCTGCGCATGTCACGGAACGGCCCTCGCCCAATTCGAAGGCTGGGAAGCCCGGACCACTGACCATCAGCCACGCCGCGTCTCCTCACAGGTCGCTTACCCGGCACATGTATTTTCTTTGTACGCCCGGAGGCTGTTACGGGTACCAGGGATCGGGATCAAGGGAGAAATCGGGTAGCGGCCGGGGTTGCAGAATCCGTGTGCATGAACTTAAAGGTTCGAGATTCAACGTCCCGTCAACACTAGTCCGTTCGAGATAGACGTCCAGAGGAACCACGTCTAGAGGTCCGCAGCTCGCATGCATATCATGGGCCGTGCCGCTCGTCGCCGTTTGCAAGTCAAGTTTCACATTGTTGCCTGGACCCGCCTCGACCGAAGAGCATAATCAGGGATTGAACCGGCGGTGAAAGCAAAGAGAAAGGATGAGGTGATCAGGACGAGGCGGAGCACACGAGTGTGCGGGAAGCGGGGAACCTCTCACACTATCTGCCAAGCACGTCGATAGCATACGTATCGCCGGTCTCGGCAGAGGCAGCTAAAGGCACCAAACAGTTCCGGAAGCCGTTCAGAGGAGTCTTTATTGCTCTCTGACTATTTGTCTGGCCGCAATGCGACCGTGAGCTTCAATACAGGGCCATTTTCTCCATCTAGCATGGGTATTATACACCCCCTCAACCCGCCGATATTGTCGCTTAGTCGATCTAGTGTGCAGCCTTGACACCGTTGCGGGGGTCGTTCTTGTACTCGTCGCCTGCAGGTCCATCAGGTTAGCCAATGCGCTCCTCACATCGAAATAGTGGGAGAAGCCGAGGTGGCTTAGGGGAACCCTGAGACGAAGCCACAACGCAGACCAAATGCGCAAGTTCTAGTGGGAAAATGAAAGAGATACGCACTGTTGCGCATGGCAGATGCGGCAGAGTTAACGCCGTAGAGGATGACGAGGCCTGCATTGTCCAAATCAGCAGTGGTCCTGTTTGGTCTGCAATCCGCGCTTATATCCAGATCCTCTCGCGTCCATCGTGTCGTTTTCGGTCGCAGTCGGATTCGATTGGTTCTAATGGGCTTCAATGCTTACCGGCAGCGTAGAACGGAGCCATGGGCTTGGCTGTTGGCGGGCGCATATTAGCATTTGGTTTCGTGACATTGGTAGCCCGCGGAAGCGGAGCAGTGGTGACGTACCGATGGGCGTAGGCCACTTCTTGCCGAGGAGGGACATTTTGACGGATGGCGGTGGTGGCGCGGTGGTTTCGAGAGGGTTGGCGGATGGACGAGCTTGACTTTTGCTGGGTCGGCAGGCGATGAGGTCGAAGTCGGCGCTCCCGGTCTTGCGCCAAGAACTTTCGCACGCGCGGAAGGAAAAGGCCATGCCGCTTTTAGCGCTTAGTGCTCGCTGCTTTTACGGCGGGGAACGACGATCGCCGCAGCTGCGGGAAGTGAACACCACCAACGTCCAAAACAAACACAACCAAATCCCTCACGGTTTGCCACAACGCAACTCTGAATAGACCGCGGCATACATATTAGCATCCGGAGTCATGGCAACCCCTCTTGAAGGATGTGTCTCGTCCCTTCGATCTAGTATACAGCTACTGGACTCGTCCATCTCCATTCTCGACACCGGAGTCAACGACTTTCCTCGCATGTCCAAAGTCCTCCATGCCACTCGTGTACGGCCTCCATACCTATGCGCTACCGATCACTTCATATCCCACCCCACGAATCAAGCTGTCTGACCCTTCACCTAGCATTTCGAACTGATCTCCGAGCCCGACCTACACAACGCGCAACGCTCGCTGCTTTCCGAAATTCGCCCCGAAGTCGAAAATCTTCTTTCTCGCGTGTCCAACTACCTCGACAAGCTCGAGCGCCGCGAACAATCTCTCATTGCCAAGTGTGAACTCAACGAAGGCCGCCTGTCGCAGTACAACAACGAGCCTTCGGCGTCGCGGTCTCGGAGCGCAAGCAGGGCCGGAACTAGGGCATCTGGAGCTGATGGGTTGGCGCCAGGAGAGGAACTCAAGGTGAAGCAACTGCGACAGAAGAAGGAGAGACTGAGCTACGCTGTGGATCGATTGACGTTGCAGGCGCAGCAGCGGGAGAGGCAATTGAGGATGAGCATGGCGGCGCCGCACCAGTTCAACTTTGGAGATTGAGCTGGTAGACCTGAACGAACGTGGATCTATGGAGTTATTTGGCAGTTTACGTGGGACATGATACCCTGTTGTTTTATCATTCTGTCGCGGAAGCAACATTTCTCTCAGGTATGAAAATCAAAAGCAAACTTCTTTTCAGAGACCAATTGAGCTGTATCATTCATCGGCTCTTGCGGCTTGCTACGTTGGCGTAGAATGACTACATTCGATATTGGCTGATATATTGTTTATCGTTGGACGACTGTAGTCTTTTGCAGCAACTGACGGGATAGTCCTTCCATTTAGATGATTCTCCTTCTTTCCCGAGCTTGAATCCTTCCATAGGAGACAGATTGACCTTCGGCTCAGATGGGATGCAGGAAGATTTGCATTATCTCCAATTGTGCTCCTTGTGAGAAACCTCCTATCACTTTTCCTTTTTCTTTTTTTGACCGTGACCCGAACACCACTTCCCTTGAAAATGCACCAGTGCCATACAACGCCGTCGCCGAACCGTGAAGATGAAGATACCAATGCAGAGGCTCGCTCCTGAAGCTCCTTCTACAGCCCCTTCAACAGCTTTGCAACCAAATCTCTCTGGCCTTCGACGCCCAGGCCCTTTTCATCGGTTTCCGTAAGCGCCTTCCCCACCGCCAGGACAACCTTGACACCCCCCTCCTCGCTGCTGACCCACACTCTTCCATTCCTGCCGACCGCAATCTCGAATCGGACCCTCTCTGCCAGCTCGTCCAGTACGATAACCTTCCCCGGACCGCCTTCGCCTGCATCTTTCTTTCCCGTGGGCATCAATAACCTTCTTGCCATACCCAAACTGATCTCGAAGAGCATCCCTCCCTTGAGTGGACCTAATCCGTCCGACCTCCCCGTCGTTGCCGACACACACTCCAACTCCGGCTCCATGTGCTTACTGGCAGCGCTGACGCGGGCGTAGACAAGGGCGCCGGGCGCAAGCTGCGGGCGGGTCTTTTTCGTAGCGCCTTCGAATGCGAGATGCGGCAGGGTGGCTTGGGGAGTGTAAGGTGTTATCGTGCAAGCGTACATTTCGACCGACGAGTGGTGAACTGTTGCGACTACGAGGTCGTTTTGAGTGGGCACGTACTGAGCGTCAAGTTAGCAATTGGAGCCGCTGTTTCGCGTCGAGATTCATAGAGGAGGACATACGCGACCGCCGTTGCGCTCAACCCAGACGGCATTCTTGCGGCTATCAATGCTGAGGGAGCCGGCGACGGTGGTGGTGATGGTCGACGGCGGAATGTGACGTAGGCCAGGGCCAAGCGTGAGGGGTCTCTTGTGGTTCTGGGTTTGCTCTAGCAACGATCCAGGTAGCTCCTCTCCGGGGAGGACGACTTCGATAGCCATGGTCGCGGCCAATGCAACAGAAGGTATTGCGCGGGGCGGAGCGGCGGGCGGAGGTTGGCGCAGAAAGATGCTAGAGACGTGCGGAATATTCAGCCGGGGTTTGACCGGCTCCCAAAAAACTTCGGCCGCGATTCCCCATTGTCTTTGCACTCGACCTCGCCGCCCGCACCCACCCACAACCCTCTTCGCGCTTCCGCAGTCTCATCGCGCCCTTCAGACTCGCTCGAAACTAGCACCGCACACAGTCGCCGGACCCCACACGCCACGATGAGCGAAGAGACCTCCCCGCAGCGGGTTGCCATTGGTATTTCCTTTGGCAACTCCTACAGCTCCATCGCCTTCACCACAGGTGTAAGACCCGCAGGAGAACCCGCTTGGGGTTTTTAGGATGCTAATGGCCGCGCAGGAGGGCAAGGCTGAGGTTATCGCCAACGAGGAGGGAGGTCAGTACCGAACTTCATATACCCCGCCGCCAAACAAACGCTAACGAATGTTGGTCCAGACCGCCAGATCCCCACCATCCTGTCCTACGTCTCTGGCGAGGAGTTCCACGGCACCCAGGCTAAGGCGCAGCTTGTCCGCAACTCGAAGAACACTGTTGCCTACTTCAGAGACTTCCTTGGCAAGGAGTAGGTTGACAAACCGCCGCTCGTCCTGCGCGACGCTGACCCCAAACGCAGCTTCAAGTCGATAGACCCCACCCCTGCCCACCAGTCCGCACACCCCAAGGAGCATGAAGACACCATCTCTTTCTCGGTCAGGGATAGTGAGGAGGATGTTGAGAATGAGCGCACCATCTCTGAGATCACCACGAGGCACCTGCGCAGGTTGAAGAACTCTGCCTCCGACTACCTTGGCAAGACCGTCAACACTGCCGTCATCACCGTCCCGACCAACTTCACCGACCACCAGAAGGAGGCCCTGACCAAGGCTGCCAAGGAGGCTGAGATTGAGGTCCTCCAGTTCATCAGCGAGCCCGTGTCTGCCGTTCTCGCATACGATGCTCGCCCTGAAGCTAAGGTTTCGGACAAGATCGTGGTTGTTGCCGACATTGGCGGAACTCGCTCTGATGTTGCCGTCATCGCTTCGAGAGGCGGCATGTACAGCATTCTGGCCACTCTCCACGACTACGAGGTTGCTGGCACCCAGCTTGACCAGGTCCTTATGGACTACTTCGCCAAGGAGTTCATCAAGAAGCACAAGACTGACCCTCGAGAGAACGACCGCAGCCTTGCCAAGCTGAAGCTTGAGTCCGAAGCCGTCAAGAAGGCCCTCAGCATTGGCCAGTCGGCCAACTTCAGCGTCGAGAGCTTGGCTGACGGCGTCGACTTCACTGCCACCATCAACCGCACCCGCTTCGAGCTGCTAGCGAACAAGCACATTGCCAGCCTGACCCGTCTGATCAACCACGCTGTTGAGAAGGCCGAGCTGGATGTTCTCGACATCGACGAGATCATCCTCTCCGGCGGCTCCAGCCACGTCCCCAAGATCGCTCGCAGCGTCCAGAGCGCTTTCCCCGAAAGCACCACTGTCCTGGCTCCCGCTACCTCGACCACGGCCATCAACCCCTCCGAGCTCGCCGCTCGTGGTGCCGCCATTCAGGCTTCCCTGATCCAGGAGTTCGAGGCCGAGGACATTGAGCAGAGCACGCACGCCATGGTCACTGTTGCTCCCCACACCTCCAAGGCCATCGGCATTCTCTGCATATCCGAATCGGAGGAGCACGGTGTCTTCCGCCCGCTCATCGATGCCGAGACTCCTGTCCCGGTCAGGCGCACTGCTCAAATCGCCACTCCCCGCGAGGGCGGTGACATCCTCGTCAAGATTTGCGAGGGTATCCGTAATATCAAGGTCGAGAAGCCCGAGCCCAAGGCCAAGGACGCTAAGAAGAGCGGCGATGACGAGGACGAGGATGACTCGGACATCGACTCGGATGACGAGCCGGAGGAGATCCGCTCCAAGGTATGGAAGGCCGGTACTGCGCTTGCCGAGGCTGCTCTCAAGGGGGTCAAGAAGGGCGCCAAGGTCGAGGTCCAGGTCAACGTCGGCGCCGATCTGGCCGTGCAGATCATCGTCCGTGAGGTCGGTGGCAAGGGTGGTATCAGGGGCAACCTTGAGAAGCCTGCGGCTACCCAGAACGGCAGTGCATAAATGAGAGGACGAAAGGATGGACATGACGGGAGAGATTAACGAAAACGCTTTTCCAGTTTGGGGGCCGTTGGTGCATGCATGCATTGGGAGAATACCAAAAAATAAGCCTGGATCTCTTTGGCAGGGAACAGAGAACGCATGCGTGTGGTTGAGTGAAGGGACACCCATACCAGCTTCCTGGTTGATGACACACGCAAGAGGTCTTTGGGGCGTTTTAGCGGTTTAGATTGGGCGGAAAATAACCATCACTGTCATCAGACCTTTGACTTTGAAGCTTGTCCGGCTTCCTGCTTGGTGTCTTTTCTTTGGATTCAGGTAGTTCGCCCGAGAGACGATAGATGTAGATGAGCACAGGCATAACCATGTATTTTGCTTCTTCAAGTCTCCGACAAGTATGCTTTGACGATGATCGAGAAAATAAAAGGACTGGCTGGCACTTCAAGGAGACTTGATATCATCATCAATGGTTTTCTTCCCCTCCTGCTTCTCCTTCTCTCCCTGTTCCCCCAACCCTTCGACTCTCTCTCTCTCTCTCACGTCATTTCAACTCAGCACACATCCTCGGGCTCGGCGACGTCGCCGTCGCGGGGGCCGAGGTCGGCGCGCAGGGTGCGGTTGAAGAGCTCGAGCAGCATCTGGAAGCAGATGCCGGAGAGGGCGGGGTCGTAGCGGCCCTTGGACAGCTCGTCGCGGATGAAGGCGTGCTGCGCCCACGCGGGCTCGTAGAAGGAAAAGGCCACGCCCGCGTCGTGCAGCGTCTTGCGGATCAGGTCGCGGCCCGCGGGCGGGACGTGGGTGTCGCGTTTGCCGAAGATCTACGTGGGCATCGTTGGTATGTGTGGTGGGTGGGTTGTGTGTGTATATATATACGTGTGGTTCTCTTGAGGGGGGGAGGGGGGGAGTGAGAGCTATATATATATAAAAGTGACTGACTGACCATGATCAACTCGCCCCTGATATCCTTGACGCGCTTCAGGCTGTCATCGGCCTTGCCCTTGCCGAGCGTGGCGCTGTGGATGTCGGTGGCGAAGTAGCAGACGGCGGCGCGCACGCGCTGGTCGAAGGCGCAGCGGAAGGCGAGGTGGCCGCCCAGGCACATGCCCGTGGCGCCGACGCGGCCGTTGCACGTCGGCAGCGCCAGCAGCGCGTCGATGGCCAGCCCCGCGTCCTCGTCGTACGCCGACACCTCCTTGGAGATCTTCAGCTCGTTGCCCTTGTCCGTCCCCGGCCCGTCGTAGGCCAGCGGCTCCGGGCCCGTGAACTCGTGGTACGACGACGGCGCCGCGACGATGTAGCCCTGGCCCGCGATCTGGCGGGCGAAGCGCGCGACCGGGCCGGTTACTGTGGTGGCGGAGGGGGGGTTTTTGGCGTTAGAGATGTGCTTTTATAAGTCTTGAAAACGGACTGAGAGAAATCGGACGGTGGAGGAGCAGCTTGTGTGATGACAGTGAAGCTTTTGGCGAAGCCACAGTCCAGCATGGCAGTGAACACGGAATGACCAATCAGACCATCTGCGAGGAAACAATCGCGGGTGCATGAACAGGACGTTGGCAGGAGAGGGCATGGAAATGAAATGTGGCTGATTCACCCGTCCCAAAAGGAATTGCACCTACCCTGATAGATCTCGCTGAAGACAACGACACCAGGAAACTTCGCCTTGGGGTACCCATCAATCTTGGGATGGAAGAAGAAAATGCCTGGAATTGATCAGCGGGCGAGGCTTTCACCACGCGCCCAGGAGGGCCAATGCTCACGCATGTCACCGCCGGCCTTGGTGGGCACATCGCGGTGGGATTCGTCAATCAACATCTTGTCGGTGGTTGCTTCGAAGTGTTTGCGTGATGGAGAGGAGAAGGTCGGTTGGGCGGGATATATGAAGAAAGTTACGCATCGTCGTCCCCACGTCGTGAAGCGAGGCTGCCCCACCTAAAGTCAATTTGAACCGCACCCCTCCGCCCTCACGCCATTTCCCCTCTACACCCTTGTTCACTTTAGTCAACTGATCCTGCAGAGACTGAGACATATGTACTTCTGTACTCATTTGGCCAAAACCACCTGATTATATATGGGACCTCCAGGATAATAGCGGCAGAAATATCGATCATGCCGCACTATGCAGCTCTGCGCATATACACTTGTAATACCGAATTGCATTGTTTACACGAGCATGCGACCTATCTGTTTTTTCTCATTCATGCATCTCTATTTCCCCCGCGACGCCTCAGCCAAGGCAATTGTACCGATCGTTAGATGCTTACAGATAAGCAAGAACAATTAAGAGAAGCAAAGAAGGCAGCAGTACATTCAGTCGCCCACGTAGCCTCCTGTCCTGTCTCCATCTCCAATTCCGCCAACAAAAAAAAAAGAATGAAAGTATCCCCGCATTGAGATGCCACCCAAAGTCCACCAACCATTCCCCTCAAGCAAACCTCTTTAGCCTGTCCCAAGTCGTCTTAAGCCGCTTCTTAGGAATCACGACTTCCTCCTCACCAGTCTCGTCGCTACCCCTCGAATGGGCGGCCATCTTCTTGTCGCCCTTTCCGTTTTCATCCGCACTCCTCTTAGTCGTAATACCACCCTCAACCGCTTTCTCCTTCTCATGGTCCTTCTCGAACTCCTTCACCTCGTACTCGCCCTCACGAGACCCCGAGGTGCCCACCACAGCCCTCTCCTCGAGCTCCTGCTCCATACGCCTCAGCATCATCAGCTCTGCGATGCTCTGCACGCTCGATTCGCTTCCGGCCACTGTCGATGACCGCCTTCCTCCACGTCCTAAGATCTTTCTTCTATCGACCTCCGTCTCTTCTTCAGCACCGATGACTAACTCACCGTCGTCGTCAGACTGGTCTGAACCAGAAGCAGGATTGACGATCTGACGACGTGAGTCGCTCGGCTCGGAAGATTTGATGGTAGAAAGAATTCGATCCTTGGAGGAGTCTGCACGGACGGCATTAGCCCAGAAGTACGGATATTTGTACGATTCATGTGGGTACGGGCCGTCATCAGTGTACAGGCCCTCAGGATCATCATCATCATCTTCTTCTTCTTCTTCTTCTTCTTCTTCATCCTCCTTCTCTACCATCTTGCCCTTGCCCGCTGTTGGCGATTCTGCCGGCTTCGCAGCCTCTTGATCCGCCTTGTTTTCATCCGGGAAGAAATTCAGGCCCTCCAGTTGCTTCATGCCGTTTGTCATGGAAGAAGTGGTCGGCTCAGTCGGCATGCTGCATACGTCCTTCAAAGTATCTTTGCCATGAGCGATATGTGCGGATTGCTGACCATGACCAGCTTTGCTACTGTCGCCAAACAAGTGAACAAGATCGCCTTGTTTGATGACAGCACCTCCATCCACAAAAAGCTCGTCGTCTCTAGTCCAACCACCTTGAGCTGAAGTGTCCATCTTAGGTTTTTGTTTTCCGGTCTGCTTCAGCTTCGGAATCGAGTGCTGAATCGAAAGGCCTTGGGGTTGGCCTTTGGCACCGGTCGCTATGAGGCCAAGCTCGCGGGCGAAGATCCAAGGAAAACTCATGAGCGGCATTTTCTCCGGCGTCATTTTCATGGCAGGTATGTCACGGCCGCCGACAACCTTGGTCTGGCGGGTCTGGTCAACTGCACGCTGCATCTCCTGGGCCGTAACCGTGTACATGGCAGCGATGAAGGGGCCGAGGTTTTTGAAAATCCTACCCTCTTCCTGAAGTGCTGCTCTCGCATTTTTCGCGTCCGGACCATGAGCATCACCTTTGTAGCCACCAGCAGCTTCTTCATAACAGAGCTTCTGGAACCGCTCTCTCAAGGCTTCCCAGACGCGGCCGAATTCTTCTTGCAAAGAATAATCCCGAATCTTGTCGTTATGCTTCAGGATGAACGTAGACCACGCCTCGAACTCTGTATTGATGTCGTGCTGAGCCATCAGTCTACGAATAGCAGTGTCGTACAGTTCCTTGACACTAGCCGCTCTTGCAAGTACTTCAGCCTCGATCGTGTACGCGTTGATGATGCGACTATCGAAAGGCAAGTCATAGAAAGGCTTGAACTTCACCTCCTCAACTGCATCATAAAGCTGTCCCAAGATTCTGCGTGAGAAGTATGTCCTGTCCGGATGTTTCTCCATGAAGTGTGGATATCTCTTGGGCCTGTTGTCCTTTGCCATCTGTGCCGGGACACCGGACTTTGGATAGTCAACAGCAATAGAATGAAGCTGCGCCAATTCAAGACACTTGTCGCTCCGAACGCCCTCGTCTTCGAAGTCAGCCATAGCCAGATGCGAATTTGCAATCTGTCCGAGGCTGTCGTTTTTGATGTACTCGACAAAGAATCTGGTGATATCTTCCATGGTAACCTCATCCACGATTTGCTTGCCGGGAGGGGTGAAGTCCATGGGTGGATGGTTGATGATAACGGGGATTAGCTCTTTGTCCCAGATTACTAGGTAATCATCTCCATCCAAATCACCTCCAGAGCACATGTTTGGAACGTCTCGGTCGCCGGTTTGCGGGAACACAATCACATTCTTCAAGTGGCGCAGCTGCGGCTTGTCGACAGCGTGGACGACGCGAATGTCTCCAGGATGAAGCGAAGGGTTGCGCGCAACGAGGCAAACGCCCTCAATGACCTTGTAGCGCCCTTCATGGTCTGGGTCCGAAGCCTGGACAAATATCTCCGGCAGGGTCTCCGGAATCAAGCCCTTCGCCCCATGAATCTGCTTCTGGTCAGAGTAGTAATGCCCACGGAGAGAAGCAGTCTCGTCGGCACATCCGAGCAAAAATGCCCCTTCACCGATGAAGAGTTTTGCCTTTTCTTTTAGATTCTTGATGCTCCAAGCCCTCCATACATGCAGGACCGACATCAGGAAGGGCTCCTTGACACCCATGAAGCCATCCATTATCATATTCGCAAGTACTAGAGTGGTCTGGATCGGGTCCACAGACCTTTGCAGAAAACGAAGTGCGACTTCTTCCGATGTCATGGCGTTGGTAAGGCCAGAAAGTTGGTTCCGAAGCTTGTTCATGAAGACATACCCAGGTACTCCAAGGGCATCGAGTACAACGATGAGCTGTCGATTGAGAGTAGCCGTTGCATACTGTGACCACTTGATGACTTCGAGGCCGTCATTCGCGGCCGGGAATTTCTCCTGTGATCTTCTCACAATAATCTGATGTCCATCGAGCTCTGGTGCAACCGCAAGAATACCCTTGCAGCCCCCGAGTCGAAATTGGAATACAGAAGGCGTGTCTTCAATCGGATTGGGGTGACCAAATTCCTCCGCAACTTGCTGCGCCAGAAGCTGCGAGATCTTGCCCACGCCATCTGTGAAGGTGTAACCATTGCGCGTGACGTCTTCGGCTCCGTCAATGAGCGCCTTGACACCCGTGACCGCCCTTGTCGTAGAGAAGCACTGTCCCATGCGTGAGGCATAGCGAGCAACTTCTTTGATCTGGCTGAAATCGCCCATGCATTCACGGATGTATGACGCTGTCAAATTGTCTTCCTCATCCGTTTCGCCTTCCACAGACGAGAAGAAATAGGCGCCATTCTCACGGAACTGGGAGTTCCCGAAGGCAAGAAATTCATAGTGGCGACCACCGATTGTAATGCCGTTCCTCAGCGTGCGCCAGACACGAGTGAGGAGCTCCAGGTCTCTGTCGCCATTTCCGTTCCTTAATCTCCCTTCGTGTTTCTCATCTGTGAATTTGACGCGCAAGAAGCGGTCGCTAAACTTGATGTAGTCACGGATCACACGGTTTGATATTTCCATGGACGGAGAGGATATTATGACGGTCGATGGCGTGACCGTGACAGCGTGCGACCAGGTACAATGGGCGGGTATCTCCCTGGGCATTCCTTTCTTGCCAAGAGGCAACTTGAATATGTCCTGAGGTTCGTAGAAACGCTGTTTCTTTTGCATTGCCACCTTCAGGTAGGCTTTGGCCGTCTCGCTGTTCATTTTCGAAAGGCGTTGCAGGAAGTCCGCCGAGATGTTGTGCTCGTTGAGGATGTTGTTGGAGAGGCAGGCCTCGAGCTGATACCGAAGTTCAAAGTCGAGGCTGATTGGTTCCGGTTCAAGATCATAAGAACTCGCCTTGCCAAAAAGAGAAGGGGATTTGGGGCCGTCGATTACGTCCCACATGGTCGATTGCTCCCTCTCCAGCAGCGTAATTGGCGTGTCGGCAACGATATTCACGTTCCAGTCGGCTAAGGCACTGAGTATCTCATCATATCTCGTAAGATCCGTCGAGGATGAATCAAAGTCGATCTTGTAGGTAGTCCAGTGGCCAATATCGATGACCGGGGTTTTCTTCCTTAGCGTTATTGAAGCAGTCTTCAGTGGAGTGCGGAGATGTGTGATATCGACCTGACGGTACCACGCCTTTGAGTCAGACCAAAAAGATTCTCCGGTCTCATGGGTTGACTCCACATGCTCGACCTTGCGAAAGAAGCTCGGAACGTAATCCGAAGGAATAATCAGAACGCGCTTGTCACCTTCCCTTGCCTCATGAACTCTGCTCAGGCGCTGGATGGGAATCTCAAAGCGGTACTGTTGAGTCACGTGGAAGTTCTTCTCCTCGTTGAACAAGTCTAGTGGGAAGTGAACGGTGAGTCTGTTCCACTTCAGATTGAGAGTGATTGCGACATTGTGAGGACGGATCTTGGATGCGTTCTGCATGTTCATCATGGCCGACTCGCCGTACATGAATCCGAAGTCGACGGACTTTGCTGAAACTGTCTGTTCTTCTGTTAGAGTCTGCTGTAGCTTTTTTTTTTTGGTGGGGGGAAAGGAAATAGGGCTTACCATTATCTCAGGATATTTTTTGTTGGGGTTCGTCGGGCTGTTCTTCAAGGAGTATCGCACCTGGCCGCGAGCTTCGACTCTCAGAGGAATTCCGGAACCTGGCTGCCTCCATGGCAGAGACCACTGGTCCTCCCAGAAGCTCCTGAGGGGTGGCGGGCTTGTTGCGCAGTCGGTCAGTCTGCTCAGACATGGTAGGGGATCATGTCACTAAAGCCTTACCTGAAAACCACATAGGCTACCTTTCCATTTGACTCTGATACAATGTCGATCTTGCTTATCGTGCCCTCATGCTTGAAGAGCTTGTACACATCAACAGTATTGATGCCGACAGGCAAGTTGTGGACCTTGATCTTCAGGTCCTGCCACTTCTTCCAGTCGTCATTCTGCATGACTTTGCGTGGCTGGGGTCTCGATTGCGGCGGAGTGCTTATCGGGTGGGGACCGACTGGGAACGGCGGATAGGGCGGTGAAGGCGTGACACGCTGCATTCTGTAGCCAGATCCAGGGCGCTGGTGGGTTCTGAAGTTACTGGGGACGGCAAAGCTGGGAGGCGTACTGGGCTGACGACGGAAGTTCATGGCTGAGTTGGAGTTGGAGGAACTGTCGGAGAGGTAAGCATTAGAGCTAAGACAGCGCCGCTGACCAGTGGAGCCGCCGGGTGCAGATGCGCGGCCTCGGGAGCTGCCGCGTGAATGTCCCTGCATTGCCAGCAGGTGTTGTGCGTGAGCTTTGCGTCTCGTGCGGCGCTCGCTCCGATTGTTGGGGGACGGGACGGTTGAGCAGGTGGGGCGCCTTTATGTCGGGATGTCCCTGGTCGGAGTGTGAGGAATATGTGTCTAGATGTTCTTGGGGTCAGTGGGAGATGGTCAGGAAATAGGTGGGTGCGGCAGCGCGACTTGGCCCAAGCGATTATGGAAGGAGCGCAACCGCACCGCCGCCCGAGCCTTGGGTACCAGCACTCGCCTTCTTCGCAAACGCAACTCGGTGCCTTCAGTCGACGATCTCGTGGTCTCTGCTCTGCGCCCATATGCGAGGCACGAGAGACCTGCACGTGAGTCCGAAATGTCTGCAGTCAGCTCCGCCTTGCATCCGCAAGTCTGGCGTTTTCGCGCGATAGTGACGATGGTCAATAGCAAAAACTAGAATGAAAGATTCTCGGCACTTCCGCAAAGCCCGTTGGTCCACGTTCAATAAAGAAGAGGCTTTTGCCTAACGTCCTTTCATAAACGCTGTTCGCCCAAGCAGCCAACCGTCGCACACCTTTACTCAACTCCGAAAGTGAGTCGAGTGGGTAGACCGCAATGAACAGAAGTTCACCAAACGCAGAAATGAAATTGGTCAATGTAGCCGAAAAGACAAAGAAGACTGATATAAGAGAGCGTAAGACAAGCGGTCAGACAATACTGATTCTGTGATGCAGGTATCCGCATGCCAGTTTGCTGGGTCTTTGGTGCCCATCCACAATCATCTTCTACCTGTTTTCCCTCCTTTACTTCGCTTTTCTTTCAATGATTGCCAGCCTTGTGAAGAAGCTCCACGGATATTGACCAGATAAGAATGGTTTTCTCTAGTCTCCCCAGGTGGCTCATCAATATGACTCCCTGAGTCTTTTCCAAAGTACGGACTTCCAAAGTCTACGCTATATCCAAGGTCCAATCGTCTGAAGCAAACACAAAAAACGGCACAGTCCACTATGGTCAGACATCCACAGTCGTAGACCCACTTCCAAAAATGTCAAGATGTTGTGGACGCCGTCCAGATGGCGTGAACGGCGTGCCTTCTAGGAACTCCGAAACATCAAACGAGCCGCCAAACTGCGATGCTTGCTTAGCACTCCTGGTGCTTGTCGGTGGTGCGTTTTCCAAACTAGCGTTCTTGGCTCCGCTCACGGATTTTCGCACGGGCGAAACGTTGCCCCGTTCGGCCGAAACGTCATCCAATGGCTTTCTTGCTGCTGTTGACATCCTGTGACCCTGAGACAATCTCGTCGAGTGGCGTTTAGCATCTGCTGATGTCGACGTCGCTGCCTTAAGAATTGGTAGTTTGAAAGGCTGTTGGCGTTGAATCTTTGCACGCTTCGGCGTAGGGCTGGCACTGACGGTGCGGTGCGTCCCACGCGACTCTCCCGGCGACTGAGTACGTTCGCTCTCGGTGCGGTCGGGATCCTCTTCCAAACCATGGTCCACGTTGGTCTCGAATTCTGCATAAGTCCGACGTCTGCTGAGATTAGGGGGAGAGGTAGGCCCCGGACGGGAGCCTTGGTGCCTATGGGAGACTGTGGCATTCTCGAGCATACCTCCGGTCGGGGCGCCCATGGCGCTTAGGATATTGTTTCTCCAGGACTCCAGCTCGTTCAGCCTTGCTTCTGCGGCATTGCGTGCTTTGGTCATGTTTTCAACCTTCCCCTCCAACTTTTCAATATGTGTCTCTTTGGCCTGTAGCGCTGCAGAAAGGTCTTCCTTATCGCCTATCAAACAATCAATTTCCTCCTTTGCCAATTGGAGATGCGAATCCATGGCTTCGCGCTCGTTGGAAGCCTGTTAAAAAGTCAGAATAACAGCTTGAATGCAGACACATTAATCGTACCTCTTCAACTACCCTGTGCAGGTCCAAGTCGGCTTGCTTGCGCACAGATTCGATCTCGGCAGTCGAGGATTCGAGCAAGGCATCATGTTCCGCCTTCAACTCCGCAGAAGTGCTGCGAGACTCAATGAGAGCCACCTGCGCCTGACGAAGCTGGTCGATGTATGCCGCCTCCTTCTCGAGCAAGTCGCTGACCTCGGCCTGAGCCTGGAGCTTTGCTAGTTTTTGTTCCTCTATGTGTTGTAGAGCATCGTCCAAAGTTGCTCTTAGTTCTTCACTGCCCTTCTGTTCCTGTTCCAGGTGTTCTTGGGCAGAGTCTAGGTCGTCCTCCAAGCTAATGATATGGGCTTTCATCTGATTCAAGGTTGCCGCTTGCTCCTCATACCTAGTCTCCTCTTTCGTCAAAAGAGCACACAATTCTGACTTCATACGGTCGTAGTCTTGGCGTGCCGAATTCAGGGTTGTCTCGGCCGTTTGATTCGCGTGGTCGAGCTTCCGCTGGAGGTCCTCTGTCCTCTTGGCGAGATCGTCCTTGGCATCGCTGGCGCGCTGACAATCCTGTTCGGCTTGGATCTTTTCGGCTTCAAGTCCCTGAACGAAGAATTCGCGGTCGACCTCACGGTTCTCCAAATTTGAGGCATGAGTAGCAAGCTCGCCATGTTGCTCTTTCAGCGTCCGTAACTTTTCTTCCAGCTCCTGTACTTTCAGTTGTTCTAGACGGAGGGGTTCCTCAACTTGCTCACACCTTGCTTCTAGGTCCCGACATACTTCTCCCATTCTTCGCTCGATAAGTTCAAGCCTGTTTCGTTCCTGAACTTCGACTTCTCTTGCAAGGCGTTCTCTCCAATCCCGGCTCTCCGATTGCGTGTGAGGTGTGCACTTTTCTTGTAAAAACGAAAGTGGTGGCGTAGTTTCTTGGTTTGATCGCAAATGTTCACAGACAGGTGTTCTGGAAGAAGCCAATTCCTGTTGCTTCTGGAGGAGATCAAGTCCAACTCGGGTATGTATGCCGATCTCATCGGTCTGCGCCATGATAGCTGTACGAAGAAGCAGCGAGCACGTTTCCAACCCCAGTGCCATGGAAGACGCCAAAGCATGACATCTGCATGATCCCTCGCCGGTTTGATGAATACCCGTGTTAGCAACAGATAGTGACAGTAGCTTCTGCAGATGACCTTGGAAACAGTCCGATGACAACGTCAAAAGGATGTAGCGTCGAACAGCTGGAGTCTCCTGAGCAACATCGTCCAGATGCTTCCCTAGCAGGCGCAGCCATTGTAGCTCGCCAACCCGCGATGTTACCTGTTCAGTGGCCTCGATGGAGCAGCACAAGAAGTTCCTCACAAAATCTTCGTTCAATTGCGCCGCAAAAAGTGGAAGGGAAATCCTTGCCGCGTCAGAAAACGCGCGAACGTTTCCTGGCAGGTGTCTCGCGGCAAGAAGAGCCCTTGTGTATGCCGATACAGCTGATTCTGGCAAAGTCCGACCCTCGTGGAGAAGCGCAATGGAAAGCAGGCCTTGAAGCTGAACCCCCGGATGATCACCGGCCTTCTGAACCTTCTCGACGAGCTTGCTGACAAACTTTCCATCATCATCGAGAAACTTTTGTCTGGCGCTGGGCGGCATAATGGATAAGACTTCAGCAACAATCTTGAGGTACCGCGCCAAGTCATCATCCAGTCCCTTCTCATGTGTGCTGAGCATACCAATAGCTACCATGACGGTCAGGCGTATGGTCGCCCGTGCTCCTCTTGTCTGGAACATTCTAGGGATCTCCTCCACGTGCTTAAGAGAATTACCTCGTAGGGAAGCCTCCGATGGAATATTACCAACGGCCATGTCCACTGGAGCGACTGCGTTGAGATGAGGGTCGCATGTTTGGGCCAGAATACCCATCAAGCCTAAGGACAAGATCTGAAGCCGGTGCCAGGTTTCGTTGGGTGCGTGACTTGGATTCGCGGCAGAGCTTTTCAGCAGTTCGTAGCCCTTTTCCTCGATGTATTTGATTCGGTCCTCGGGAAGAATTCCTAGCAGGTCCCGGCAGGCCCCATCCAGCAGCTTGTAAATCGTGCTCACGTGATGCTCATCGGTAGATTTCATGGCCTCATCAAATAGTCTCATGAAGAACTCCTGGGCCGTGAATGGCAAGGGGACAGAATGTGGAAGCGGTTCTGACAGCATAGCAACGCAAGTCCCAGTGACGGCGGAAGGCCCCTCGGGCGTTAGAGCCTTCTGAAGAAAAGCGTCCAGCATGGACGGATATTGCGCTAGGAATGCATCTCTGAAAGGTCGAGCCAGAACTGTACGAGATGATCAGGATCTGGAATATGAAGGGAAATGCGGGATTTACCAAGCCGCTCAAAGATGTCAAGCGTATAGTTCCATGTATCGAAGGCTTTTCTTACACATCTTGCCAAGGGCGCAAGCTGGCATGCGGACGCATCTGCCCATGCTTGCACGACTAGAGGATTGCATTCGATGAGGATGTCATGCAATCTCTGCAGGGTTCAGAGTTAACCATCCACGGTCGTCTGCAGGGTGTGCGGGAATGCCAGAGCAAGCGGGCGCTTAAGCAACATGGGCGTACAAGGATGCGTACCTTGAGACAAACAGCATAAGGTGCCGATACGACCCGCTCGACCTCGGCCGTCAGAGTTTCCTGGGGGCCCATGATGAGATGCGAGTCCGCGCGGGGCGGCGACAATGTGGTGTGGGAGAAGCCGATGGCGGGGACGGCGGGTGAGCTTGCGACGGTGTTTCTGGCCGAGTTGTCCACTCGCCGGGCGTTACCAGAGGCAACCGGGGATCTGCGGAGGCGAGAGCTGCCTCAGGCCACGCCTCGTGGCTCCGCGTCCGGCAGATATTCGGCGCGCCAACTTAGTCAGCGCACCAACAAGCGAAAATCAACTTCGCTTTTCGAGCCCTGGAGTGTTCGACCTACGACGACGACCGACGACAACCTCCTCTTCTTACCATCCGTGATTCTCTAAACCGGAAAAATGGGCCGCGGACCGTAAGTCAGCTCCTACGATCATGCCAACCCACGACTCTGCCGCTGCGACTGCCTCCTGCTCGATTGATCGGAACGCGACCACCATTTTGAAATTTGCGACTTCGCCAAACCTGCACCCGGCGCGTACGCATTTTTCAAAACCGCAGCCATTCGACGCTCCACGCCCAGCAACCACGGCTATACAACGATCTTCGAGCGGAGGCAGGATCGAGCGGATCAGCAGTGTTGAACATGGCAAACGCACACGCAGAACACTTCTAACATATCTGCTTCCACAGTAAGAAGCACCAGCAGCGCCTGAGCGCACCTTCGCACTGGCTCCTGGACAAGTTGTCCGGTACCTATGCCCCCAAGGCGTCGCCCGGTCCCCACAAGCTCCGCGACTGCATGCCGCTCATCGTCTTCATCCGCAACCGTTTGAAGTACGCCCTCAACGGCCGCGAGACCAAGGCCATCATGATGCAGCGCCTCATCAAGGTCGACGGCAAGGTCCGCACCGACGTCACCTACCCCGCCGGCTTCATGGACGTCATCTCCATCGAGAAGACTGGCGAGAACTTCCGTCTCGTCTACGACACCAAGGGCCGCTTCACTGTCCACCGCATCACTGCGGAGGAGGCCGAGTACAAGCTTGGCAAGGTCAGGCGTGTCCAGCTCGGCAAGGGCGGTATCCCCTTCTTGGTTACGCACGATGCGAGAACGTGAGTGCTCCGCATCCATCAGACGTTGGACCAAGTTTGGGCGATGTCTGGTGAGTCAATACATGTTGTATACTGATGGCGTGTGATTTAGCATCCGCTACCCTGACCCGCTCATCAAGGTCAACGACACCGTGAAGATCGACCTTGCCACCGGCAAGATCGCCGACTTCATCAAGTTCGACACTGGTGTCATTGCCATGGCTACTGGTGGTCGTAACATGGGTCGTGTTGGTGTCATCACTCACCGTGAGCGTCACGACGGTGGATTCAACATTGTCCACATCAAGGATGCCGTTGACAACGAGTTCGCCACCCGTGAGAGCAACGTCTTCATCATTGGCCGTGAGAAGCCGTGGATCAGCCTGCCCAAGGGCAAGGGTGTCAAGGTGTGTTTAGACGTTTTGCAATGGCCTTGGCAAGCATTTGCTAACACAAGCACTAGCTCTCCATCGCTGAGGAGCGTGACCGCCGCCGTGCCTACGCTCTGGCTCGCCAGTAAGCGATCTCCCGCGCGGGAGGGTTCCACGATTGAGAACGAAAGGGATGGTAGGTCGATGGTCGGAGTCTCGGACACGATTCTTCTTCATGATGGCATAGCAAGCAGTCTCCGGTCTACGGATTGGATCGCTCATAAAGAAAGACAGCGGTCCAAAAAATGGAGAAAAGTTCTGATACCAATGCATGTTTTACCAATTGTAAATGTCTTCCATACGCGAAACGCTAGCTTAGAAGCGCCCATGACAGCGCTTAAGCCACGCAGCGTCTATGCTGCGGCGCTCCAATCGCTCTTGACAAAGACGTCTTTCTACATCGAACTCCTGATTCAGCCGTATGTAAGCTACGAGTAGCCCAAGGGGGAAATGCTAGTCCAGCGTCTCCTAGCTTTGCGTCATGATTCAGCGTAGATGAAGATGGTCACGCGAATGAGACCGGGGGGCGGAAGACGAGAAGGCAACAGCATAACAAGAGGGGGCCGTTTTCCTGGACACACACTACGCCCGACAGCACCGTTTTGAACATTCGACTTGACAAGAGACGCGTCAGAGGGTGCTTAAGACGACACAAAGATGCTTAAGACGGGGCAGTGGTGGTCTCGGCGAACCTCTGCGCTGGCTTGCCGGATATAGGCCGCTGCGCACCCCGGCAGGAGTCGCCCTGAGCAGACAGATCAGAAATCCACTGTGCAGCACGCAATCTGGTGCAGGTAATTTAGTGCCGGGATGCTATGAAGTCGGCCATGCTGATGCATCGCAATAGGCAGGTCGTCCGACCAAAGACGTGCGGCAGCGGCCGTCGACATAGGCGGTCGAGGACATCCAATCGGCAGGATTGCTGGCCAAGTGGTGGCGCGGAGACCAATAAATCGAGGCGTCAAGCTTTTTTGACCAGCGCGAGAGCGAAGCACGAGGTGTGGGCCAGTGTCAGCAGCCTGACGCGGGCGATGGCGGCGATGGCGGCCTGGGCTTTCGGTTTCAATCCGGGCGGCAGCGAAGTGGATTGGCGGCGTTGGGCGAGCCGGATGCACGGCGGTCGGCGGTCGGCCAGCTCGTCGGCCAGCATTTTGATTAGCACGCGAGCATCATGACGATGAATGGAGCTGCAGATGATGCAGAGCGGCAGCAGGCACATGAGGCAGCAGAAAGCAGAAAGGGGTGGCCAGGCGGACTGAGATCCAGGCGCGCAGTGCAGCACGCAAGGCCCATGCGCGCCATGCCCACGGCGGGCAGCAAATCTCGGATGTTTCTCATATTGCAGGGGACGGGCGAGGTACCCCGGCTGTGCGCGGCGCCATTCGCGCGCGCTGGAGCGCGGCTGGGGAGCGGGCTTGAGCCGCGTGGGCTGCCGGCGCGGCGCTGTGCGAGTTTGTGCGAGTTTGTGCGAGGGCGCGCGGTGCGAGGCAGCAGGCGTGGCTGCAAGCGGCGGCAACTTTGATTTGGATGCTCAGCGACCTTGGCAACGCCGTGGTGGGTGCGCACGGCGCGTGGGGCTTGCGGAGGTTGATTTGCCTCACCAACGGCATCAGTCATCAGTCATCAGGAACGCCGGCTGTGCTGTGCATTAGGGCAACAGGTGACAGGACTACCGGGCACCTCCCACGACGCTGCTGCATCCGCTCTTTCGTTCCCTTCTGCTTCTGCTTCTCCCCGCTCCCGCAGGCTGGGTGCACCAATCCCGCGCCGGAACCACCTGCCAACTTTCCCACCTTTGGCATCGCCACTACCAGGCACAGCTCGCTACCACCACCGCCGCTCACTCACCACGCTCATTGACCCGACCACGCCCTACGTTCTGCGCATAGCTCTGCGATGATCGCGCGACACGACGCCCGCGCCGACCTGTGCTCCAACTGAACCCGCTGTCTGTCGCGGCTGTGTCTCACGTTTCGCTCCTCCGCCGGGCGTGCACCGCACCGCCTGCACCGCCTGCTGCTAGCCGCCGCGCGACCGCACCGCCGCACCGCAGCAACAACTCGCCGTCGCCGTCGGAGCCTGACCCTTCGACACACGCCTTCTTTCCCGTTTCCTCGTCCCAGCGACGCCGGCCGTCTCCAGAGCTAGTCTCAAGCTGCCGGCTCCATCGCGCGCTCCGACCTCGAAGCCCTCTGCCTGCAAGCCGGCACGGCGGCCTTGACCCTTCGCAGCAACCATGCTTCTCCGCCCGGCCACGCCGCTGTCCATTCTCTTCTTTGCTGCTTTCGCATTGTTGCTTCTGAGCACCATCTCCACCCCCATCCTCCAGGCCATCCCGCTCGCTGAATACAATGGCATCACCTATGGTGTCTTCGGCTACTGCACCACCAAGGGCTGCAGTGACATAGGCATTGGCTACACCACTGCCGAAGGTGAGTCTGCCGCAAGAACATGTGTACTCGGTGTACTCTCACCGAGCAATCGCTGACCCGACCCTGCAGATGATGGCTTGTTCGACAGTTCATCCGACTTCGATCTTCCCTCCGGCGCGCGCCACACTCTATCGGCCATTCTGATTGTGCACCCCGTTGCCGCCTTCCTGGCGCTCGTATGCTTTGCTCTGGCCTTCGCCGCGCACTTCCATGCGCCCTCACATTCGCCTCGGTATCTAATGATTCTTCTGGTCCTCATCTTCCCAACATTGTTGGTATCACTGCTGGCTTTCCTCGTGGATATCCTGCTATTCGTTCCGCACGTGGCATGGGGAGGATGGATCGTTCTGGCTGCAACTGTAGTCATTGCCGTGAGCGGTGTTGTGACATGCGCAATGAGGCGTACGCTCGTGAGCAGGAAAGCTAGGAAGAAAAGGATTGCCGAGAACGCCGAGATGAATGGACAGAACTACTATGCCAACCGTGGTCCCCCGCCGGCCATGGAAGACCCTTCTTTACCTCGCGCCGATTCGCCGCCGCCACTGCCAGCAGGCTCGCCCGTTTCAGCGGACGGAAAGGGGCCTGATTTTGCTACATTCGGTTCACAGAAACAGAGTATGGATGACCGGGTGCCCTTGACTCAATCTCCTTCTATCCCAAGCTCGACTACGGATGGCCCGAACGAGGGTCCAGGAAGGTACTATGGAGAGAGACCACCCGTGCCGCCAGGTGGAATGGGCCGCGGACGCCCTCCACAAAGAGATCAGTATGGAAACCCGCTACCGCCCACTGGCCCCAACGGCCAGCCTTTGAGACATCAGACATCTAACGGAACCATGGGATCTGACAGGTCTGGAGGTCCGCCGCCCTTCTACGGTGCACCCGCTAGAGGAAGAGGTGGATTCCCGCCTCGCGGACGTGGAGGATTTGGCCCGAGAGGCCGTGGCGGCCCGCCTGCCATGCGTGGTCGTGGTGGTCCTCCGCCTGGCTATGGACCTGGTAGAGGTATGGGCTCTGCCGGTCCCGGCCCGATGGGTATGGGTATGGGTGTGGCTGGTGGACCGATGGGGCCTAATCATGGGCCTCCTCCTCCCGGTTACGACAATGGATTCTACGGAGGTCCAATGTCACAGGGACGCGGTCCGCCCCAGGGTCCGTACGATGACCCCAGAGACTACAACAACCAGGACCCAAATCTGGGGGTGCTGCCCGGACCGAACAACGGTATTGGTCAAGCTATCGAAATGGACCATCGGACCGGTACTCCTCAGAACGGTATGAACAACTACGGTCTCAGGGACAGTGACAACGATTTGCAAGGCATGATCGGGCTTCAGCAGGGTCTGTCTCCTCACGGAGCTCCTCAACGCCAACCCAGTCCCCTGAGCCCGACAAGCGAATACTCTCAGCCCTCCCAGCCTTCCGCGACCACTCAGACGTAAGTGTGGACCCCTTGATCATGCTTACTATTCCTGACAGTTCATAGCGCCGACTACCAACAACCACGTCAAAACTGGGCCCCACAACCACCTCCCCTTCAGACCGGTCCTTCGAACGAGAGCGTGCCATCGCAACGGGCGCGGGCTCTTTCTCCCATCGCAGCATCACCTTCCAGCTACAAGGATCCGGTTGATATTCCCGCAGGGCTTGCCAAGTCACCGCCTCGTCGAGTGATCAGCCCGCAGCCGAACGCCTCCGCTCCGCAACCTGGCCACAGTAGGATGAACTCAGGTGGTGATCAGTACATCGAGGATGTAGACCCACGTTTTGCCGATCCCGAGCCGCCAGCAAGCATGGACAAGACCGCCGCGATTCCCGCTGCGCTTCTGCCCGGATTCGGGACAAACAGGACTGGCACACCTCGTACGGAAAGTAGCTCGCCCAGCCAAGTAGCACCTCTTCCCGGCGAGCAATTCGCACCAAGCCAGCTTCCGGATGACTTTGGTCCTCAAATGGTTCCTTACAACGAATTCCCCGAAGATTATGAAGGTCCTCGTTCCCCTGGAGCTGCATCCGACACCTCTCATTTCACGTCGATCTCGCAGCGTGGGATCAACCCCATGTGGCGCCCTGGTCCGGGTGAAATGGGCATGGGCATGGGTCGTGGTGGTCCTGCATATGGCTACCAACCACAGCGCGGACCGCCTCGCCCACGCCAGGAAGACGTCGTTTTGGAGGCCAACCCTGACTTCAGCATACCCGGCGTTGTGGCACCTGGTCGAGGCAGGAATATCGCCGGCAGAGGCCGAGGCGGCTTCCGGGGCGGTAGGAATCCACCCGCAGCAACACCTCTTGGATTAGGAAGCGCAAGCGCGGCTGGTGGCAGATACCCCGGAGCGCCCGGATCGTAAATTCCTTAGTTCATTGCCGCTGACGGTTTGGTGCAATTATCGCTCGTGGGCCGGCTCTTTTTGCTTGGTCGCTCCAGCAAGTAATCCACTTAATAATGGGCTGTACTGGACCCGAGTTTCTTACATCTTCCTCTCTCTTTCTCGGTTGACATCACACTGGACGACGAGTTGACGACCTCATATACCACACTGTTCTCTTTTCCTGGGCTTTCTGCATGGGTTTTCATTTGAGGTGGCTCGTCAGTGTGCGCAATACCGCATTATTCCCCCATCCTTTTAACTTCGATTCTGCACATTCCTTGCGTCCTATTTTCGTACACATATTTTATTCGACGCTTGCGTCTTCTGTTCATTTCCCACGAGGCCTGGCTGCATTCCTTTTCCTTTCTCTCTGTCACATTACCGTCTGCGGGCATCAGGTCACGGGGGCCCAAGCAACCACACAAGAAAAGCGCGTGTGCTCTCAGCGATAACATTCATCGCTTGCTTTTTGTGTTTTTCCTTTATGTTTTGTTTTCTTCCTTGTATCTGCAAAATGCATCAGAGTATAGACATGTCTGTCTTGTTTTTTTTTTTTTGGTGGCGTCTTGTTTATAAATTTCCATGAGGCGCTGACGAGGTGGGAGCGCCGAAAGGGAGAGCAATACTTCAAAGCAGAGAGCTCTCTTGAAATGATTTCGAATTTGGTTTGTGGGGTCTGTTTGAGGTTTTTGTTTTTGTTTTTGCCTGATGAAAGGAGATCAAGTAGGAGGGGCGTGGGGGAAAGAATGGGAAAGCGATTTTCAGTTTTGTGTATGCTGTTCGCGAAGTTGTCGGTTTTTTTTTTTTTTTCTGAGACAGAAATGAGGGTACATCTCTCCCTATGGGAGATCCCTCACCCCTTTGAAAATGAGAGATTCCGTGTATCTTGCTGGGATAGTATTAGTGTCTGGTCGTGTGCGTGTACATACCTAAGGCTTCGGAAGAGGTTGGTGGTGACATTTTTGCTCTGTTCTCGATGGTTTAGGGCGGAGCTTAGAGTTTATTTTGGATACTCTGTTCACGGCAAGTACTATGTAGGGTGGTGCAAGGCGTGTTAGCGTGGCGCTAATGACAATTGCAAATTTTGTTTCCAGCACATGAACGTGCGCACGCGGGATGGTGGTGGTGGGTTATGGCCTTGGTCCTTCGGGGAAATTAGATGCGAGCTCCTCCCTAGCGTTGTTGGGCCATGTGTGATGTCAGACTGCCGTTGGCGCGAGGTCGACTTAAGCATTTCAGCGTTAGACGTGATCACCATGTCACGCGTTAGACTCGTTCGTATGCAACTTGGACCGCGTGGAGCCTTCGTCTTTGTCATGGGTCCCTTGGCTGAGTCGCGGAGCAGAGCTCTCTGGCCAGTAAGGTGGTGCATTGATCAAGGGCTGGCAGTTCCGTTTGTCTTTAAATCTTACGGCTCTTATGCTTGTTGGTTTCTGCAGGGCAAAACATATTGGTTTTTCAGCTGGGGATACAGGAAAGATGACTTTGGTTAACGGAGGTCTACTGGTGGGCCCCGTCTCCCTCCTTTGTTTCACATGTATGTGCACCGTATATAAAGCCTCACTATATAAAAAATGCTGATATCCACTGTTTCGGAAGGTTACTACAGTCCATGACTCAGGTATGAACTCTAGTAAATAGCGTGAAGGCATACAAACGAGTTGGACGACGGGAAAGAAGGGCAGTGGCTCGATACCCTTCATAGGTTTGGGACGAAGATGTACGCACGCAGGGTTGTGAGCTGATCGTGGGCAACGCCCATGATAGTTCGCAGGTGCGAGAGTTATGCGGGCATGTGCTTTGAATTTGCGATTGACGCGGCATGTAGAGATCAATGAGTACATCTCTTCAAAGCGGCTCTGTATATCGGCCGGCTTTTGCTGCATATCAAGCTTATTAACAATCCCCAAGGAAGGAAAATAATAGCATCATCTCTTGTTTTGGTAACGGCACTGTAAGATGATCAGCCACATCCACAAATGTAGTATATCGTCTGAATAGCAGCTTCCGAGTGGGCAGAGGACAATTAGAAAGCTCGGTATATTGTGTAATTCAGCGAATGCAACACCTCAAGGCTCTCGAACGTCGCTGGTCCACTGCAGATGCTTCTTTTTCCTTTTCTTTTCCAGCAGTGAGAGTAAGCAAGCATGTCGGAATGGCAAGGTATGTAGGTCGCTATCTGTAGATCGAAACAAACATGCTTTGATATGACGAAATACTGGACCGCTATGAAAAGACGTACGTGTGAAGAGGATCTGTCAAGAGCAAGTCTCATATCCAAGCGTATTAGGATAAGAAGTCGAGAACCAAAATACCCAGACGTATAAAGCAAAAAGAACAGAACCAACCACCTGCAGGCCCATCTCTCACCTCCCCAGCAACGCAGCCCTCTCCCTCGCGAACTTCCGCTCAATCTCCTCATTCTCCCTCGCTTCCTTCCTCTTCCGATGCTCCGACTTCCGCCTATCATCCTCCTCCAATCCTCGTCTCTCGTCTACACGGGGGGAACCACTAAGTCAGCCAAAGCACTCATCAAAAAGGGGTTAAGATAGAATCGTGTCACTCACCCAGCCCCAACATGGGCAACCCCAGCACTCCAGCCTCCCTACCCCCGACCCCCCACCTCCTCTCGACCGCCGTCCGACTGCCAATCACCACCTCGCACGGCAAGCCCCTGAACACTACAAACGTGTCCACGTCGCTCCTGTTGCTGGTGCTCCCCCCCTGGAAGCGCCACCGCAGCTTCACCATGCCCTCGGCGGCGGCGGGCACCGTGGCGCCGCCGGTGCCGGGCAGTATGACGACGCGCGGCTGCTGCTCGGCGCCGGCCGTGTAGCGCAGCGCCGTCGCGCCGAGCCGCTGCAGGGCGAGCTCGGGGTCGATGAAGTTGAGCTCGCAGGCGGTGTCGAAGAGGGCGCGGACGGGGGCGGTGGCGCGCGGGTCGCGGGCGGAGGAGAGGAGGAGGGGGATGTGCGTGGCGCGGGGGCTGTGGCGTTGCGGGAAGGGGGTGACGGGCTGGTTGGGTTTCTTGTTCGTTTGTTGGTGGGGGGGGCGTTCGCCTTCTCCCTTTTCTTCTTCTTTCTCTTCTGGTTTGGAGGTCCGAGGGGCGACGATTCGGATTCGTGGGGAGGTGATGGCGGTTGTTGGTGGTGGTGTTGGTGGCGACGCCTCGCGGATTGGGGGCGGGAAGGTGGATGTGCGGCGGGTGGGCCGGATGGGGCGGACGGCCGGGGCACGTTGGTGGGCAGGGGCGGCGATGGCGACGGCGGGGTCGGTGGTGGTCGAGTCGAGGTGCGTGGCGTCGAGCACTTCGACCATGCGGTCCCATGTGCGCTTGCGGGTCACTGGGTGGACGGTGGGTGGGTTGAGCTCTTCGAAGTCGCGGAGTAGGGTCTGTAGGCCGCGGGGGGTCACTTGGGCGAGCGGGTAAATGGGGCGGGCGTGGGCGAAGTCGAAGAGGGAGTCATAGTTGAGGCGGGCCAGGCGCGGGATGGCAGTTTCATGGCTGATGGGATCGGCCTGGATGGGGGAGCGGAGGTTGGTTTCTTCTCGTAGGCGCGAAGGCTCGTCACTGGTGTAGACGACGGCGTGACGGTCTTGCTTGGAGCGCACCTCCTTGTGGGTGCAGCCTTCTCCTTCGTAGGTCTTGATGCATCTGATGGACTGGTGAGTTCGCGGCCATGGGGACGTAGAGAGGACGCATACAAGCACTGCGAGCTGTCTTTTCCTGGCCTCAGCACCACGCATCTCCGGTACACGGGCTTTGACGAGGCCCTTGGGACGGACAGTCTTTGTTTCTTGCCGGTGTAGTCGCGCTCATCCGCATGCAGTTGGTACATGAATATCTACCGGAGGGATCAACACACGTCCTGGGAACGGGCGCCGCTGGAGATACTGACCCTTCCCGGAACGAAGAAGCCTCGCCAGTCGCGCGGATCGAGTGACTGGTAATCTACGATTCGTTAGGGCGGCACCGACAGGGTCAGAATGGAAAGCTTACCGCGCGAGCTTTGGCTGGAGGCGTTGCTCCGCACACCGGGGCTGGAGTAGCGTTCCGGCATTTCTCGTAGAAAATCGGGCAATAATGCAGAGCGGCACAGTCCTCTGCGGCGGCGAGGCTGCTTTTATGGGTCTGGGCCTGAGGGAAGCATGACATGCATGCGGCGCAAGGCTGGGATCCAGGAACAGCGCTATGGCCGAGCCACCACCGTGGGGGCCGCCTTGGAGGCTCTGCGCGCAGCACCCGCGGCTATGAATATATGCTGACCGCCTCAGTCGCGCAAGCTTCCCATACTTAGCAAAGGCTTGAATGCAGCGAGTACGCCGACGGTCGTCCCGGGTGTGCGACTCTGCGTGGATGAGCCGAAGGCGAAGTCCAGCCTCGTGGGGGCCAGCAGAGGGCGCTAAAAATGGACATGTGGGCGCGTGATTGCGGAAGCAGCAGCCGACCATGACGCCGCAAATGGTGTTTCGCGCCCACCACCCCATTGGCCGAGGGGTGAAGCGTGTCAGCAGCGTACAACAAGGCAGTGCGGCCCTTTCATAAGCCCTCGGCTGGCAGGCTGCCATCTTGCCTTGTTAGGAATCGCTTCCGTCGCCTTGCTGCAGTACTTATAGTGGTGCTTGTTAAGAGAAGCAAGGGTTGACGGGGCTCACATACTCAGTCACCCTTGAACTTGAACAGCACACCTGGTACTGCAGCTGTGAGGAGCCAACTCGGTACTTTACCACTCGTCAATGTTCCCTGCTTCAGCCCATGGGTTTGGCGCACTGTTTGCACTGTACGAGATTGAATCTGTGAACACAAACAGTCTACAAGTAAATGGTATCGCGCGAGCTGTGGTGCCACCACTCGTTTCGATACGTCAAGGACAGAATGGGGCGGTGCTGAAGCGATCAGTCAAAGTGGGAAGTCCTATGATTCTCGTTGTCAGGCACATCACCGCATCAGTGCTTGGATAATGCATTCATGTTTGACAATCTGCAGGAAACGAGGCTTGGGTCCTGCAATGGACGTGAAGCAAGCATTTCAGCTTGTGTCTGCTGTCTCACTTACCTGCCTGTGTCCGTGAGAACCTGAAATTACTCGATGGCGACATCAAAACCGTTCCACCGAATTGGAGTCGGCGCCTCTCGTCGGTCCATCAACCGCTTTCGCCCCCACCCAATAAGAAGTCTAATGGTTATGACAGGTATACCGAATAACAATCGAGTAGGAGCAAATCTTGGTAGGACTTCCGTATGAAGCTTGATGGGTTGCGTTGGGCATCGGAATTATTTCAATCTCATATCCTAACCGCACCTACCTCCCATCATCGTCGTTCTTTCCCATGACAATGTCTAGAGCTTTCCTGCTAAGAGCAACATGATGCTCTAGAGCGTTCAGCTTGGCCATTGCCGAAATCAAATTCGGATCCTGCGTTTCCACTTTGACCTTTTCCTTGACCTTCACTTCTTGCTCGCGATATGTGAACACCTTCTCTGCTTCGTCATGCATCGGGGCATGCGAAACGCCAAGGGCACCCGCAATTGCTTTGCGAATACCGAAAATACTGCCGTCATCGCCAGTCCATGGTTCCAACGTGCGGATCTCCAGAATTATGCCGGCATCTTGAAGGTATAAATGAACCGAGACTTCGGCCGGCAGTGGTGGGTCGAATGTCTATAGATAGTGTCAGTCAATTCGCGGCACACTCTACAGGTCGAGGGATTGCGCATTCCAACTGACTCACCTTCTCATCCACGGGACGATCCCACCATTGAGGTCGCACCTCTGGGCTCCCCTTCAAAGCCTGACGTGCATCCTCGATATTATCATACAGCAGCTGGAGTTGCCCCGAGATGTAGTTCGCGTTCCTCGCGTCGCCGGCCCATGTAGTCACGTCGACGACATCAAGACATGAGTTTATGTGAGTCCGCGCGGCAGTCAGCTGTTCAATGACCAGGGTCGATGCTTGTGGTTGTTGCGAAATGGTAAGTGGGTAGCTTGTCGCACCGCGCGGAGGAGGCAGACTAGGGAGGCGTAGCTTGATGTCCTGCAGGGCTCAGCCGTCAAAGCCTGCGCAAGTCGGCAGCGAAGCCCGAGGGAATACGTACGCCCTTCACTATACGCGTACCTACACGCGTCACGAAGCCCTTCAGACTTTCGGACCTCACGGTAGACACAACCAAGGTGGATCCATGTTCCGTCGGAGCTAGCAGGGCGGCACAGTCCTCGAGACCGGACTTGAGAGACTTGAGAGTGGTGCGAAGCGACGACAGCAGCCATTCCAGCTCGCGGGCCTAAGGCAGCGGACGGTTAGCAACATCGCAGAGGGCTGTGCACCAAGGCGGGGAGTAGTACCACAGCGGCGTCCTCTTCACGGACGAGCTCGTCCTTGGGGATCGGCGGCCAGACCGTGGTAGCCATGGGGACGCGGACGTGCAGCGAATGGCGGACGCAGGGTCAAAGGGCGTGGGAAGGGTTCAGGAAGCTTGTGTGTCGCGGTCGGTGGAGCCAGGCGCAGGTGATGTGGCTTGTTTAGGGTGCGATCGGCGCGTCTGCTGTCGGATCGCACCGACTGATCTGCGGCAGGCATTTGGGGCGTGCGCATCGTCATGGCAGCTGTGCAGGGTTCAGGCACGCGGCTCCCGCCTTTTTCGCGCAACAAGCCTGCTGCCCGCTGCTGTGGACTTGCTCACTGCACACTGGCAATGAACCTGCAGCTGCTTGCGAGAAGCCGAGGCGAGACAGAGCCAAAAGGCGCGCAGCAGACCGCCACGGCCGATCGCGGCGGAGGACGGCGGAGATGGTCCACCTTTTGAGGGTTCAGGGCGCACAGGAGCGCACCTGCACGCGGGCGCTGGGCTGCGCTTGGCCAGCGCGAGTTCGTTCGGAAGCGGCGTGGCGGTGACGTAGAGTAGGCGCATGCTAAGCAGGCGCCATGACCTCACGCCGAACTTCCGGGCTGCTCAAAAACCTACGTACTCCACACCCGCCCGGCATTTTAAACACCATCTGTTTCATCTTGCAGCTCCTGGTACGCTCGCGCTGCTCTGCAATTCGCCCTCTCCTTCAACGCACATTGCTGACCCTGCGTTCCGTTAGTGAGCACCCTCCACTCGCGGACCCCTGCGCCCCACACTCGCCCGTCGCATTCCCCGCGTCCACCACCAGGATGGCAGCCCGTAAGTTAGCCGCCCGTGAATCGTCGCACCGGCAGACCCTGACCATCCCTAAGGCCCGCTCTTCAGTATCGCCGCCTTGGTCCTCCTGGCTGGCGGCATCGTTCTCCAGTTTCTCGTTATTTTATCTGGGGGCGTTAGTGGCACCCCGGAGAACCAGATTTATTTCCTAGAGGCTTCGACGGACGGCGTGTCCCCTGGTACCAGAAATCCATCAAGATGGACATTTTGGTCTGTGTGTGGGAAAGACAGCAACGGCCATAATGCCGACTGCGGTGCCGTCGTTCCGGCCTTGCCTTTTGATCCGCCTCGCAACTTTGGCACCAGTACTGGCGTTCCCGACCAGTTCTCTGGGTACGTGTGGAATCCCGGCTCATCAATCCAGAGCAAACAGCGGCTGACACTTCTATAGGACCCACCACTATTACTATCTTTCGCGATTCATGTTCGCTTTCTACTTGATCGCACTCTTCTTCGCCGCCATTGCTCTCTTCACTGGCCTGCTTGCTCTTTGCAGCAGACTCGGCGGCTACCTGTCTGGCTTCAACACCTTCGTCGCGCTCTTCTTCCAGACCATCACCGCAGCTTTGATGACGTAAGTTTCTGTCACCCGACGCGCCCATGTTTTTGTCCCTTTACCTCGGCTAACCTGAATTTGATCTGCTAGCGCATGGACTGTGCAGGCCCGCGCTGCCTTCAAGAGCAACAACCAATCCGCCCGCCTAGGCGTGAAGGCGTATGCGTTCACGTGGTCTGCCATGGCTTGCTTCTTGCTTTCCACCGTCTTGTTCTGCATGAGCGGCGCTCACCGCAAGGATAGCGTCTACACCAAACGCAGCTTCTTTGGCCGCAAGGCTAGCACTCGCTCGCGCGGTAGCTTCATTGATGGGGAGAGCCAGCGCCGCGTAAAGGATGACTACTCTTAAGCCAAATCCCGACGGATCCAGCAAAGAAGCAAAAAAACCAACAACCACGCAGGCCGCCTTCCACGACTACGGCAAAGAACCGAAGACGAATGATACCACGATCGTAATGCTTTGAGGCTAGAGTCGACACAGACTGATGATGTACAGGGAGATGTGGCGGGGTTATTTAGCGTCATGAGCGTTTACTTACTGGCATACTATTGTCACTCTTAATGTGTGCCGGAGCGTTTGATACCAGCATGAACACGATCGCTGTATATGAACACAATATATTGAGAAAAACTATAAATCTACTTTTGATGTCTCGCTCCTGCATAGGTGAAAGATTGCTGCGCTCAAAGGTACGACAAGGTATGAACCCACTTCATACCGCCACTGGTGTTGCCATGTCATTTGAAGACTCCATCGATCAAAGTCGAGGCCTCGGCGGGTCATAGTCCGAAAGCAACTGACAGCTGACTCACAAAGGCCTTTTGGCGTCGGGCTTTTTTACAACTGCAATGCCGAAACAGCTCCTACATCGGCAACATCGGCAGCCAATAGGCGGGCCGGGGATTTGCAAACGCTGCCGCCGTTCACGGCACCTCAGGAGATCGACTGTGCAAAGCCTCCGCGGCCACAACGAGCATGCAGACGACGTGGCTTAGCGGCGTCTTGTCTTCCAATAGTGCAGCGTAATGCGTTATCTGCTCACAGTCACCGGAGACTCTGTTTCCGAGCAGCTTGGCCTCGACTTTTCCGCGGGCAGCTTCTCCGAGCTAGGCCGAAGGCGGGATCGCTGGCGTATCGATAAGAAGTTTTGCGATTGCGCCATCGGCCATTCGCTGGAATTTCTTCAAAGGCCGCTGCGCGCCTGGTGACCCATAATTAAATGGCTGTGCCTCCGATGACACTCCGTGTCTGAATGCTTCTTCAGTCGCTTGAACTCGCTGCTTGTTGAGTCCCGGACCTGTGGCCTGACACTGAGGTCTGGTGTTGTGCATTCAGAATCAAAACGCCTCCCGCCCCATGGCTCCCGCGTTGCTCACGGCTGTCGACTCGACAGATCACGTCCACCTCATCATCGGCTCCAACCCGCTCGCCGGTGCCCGCTGCACACGCGCTCTCGAGGTCGGCGCCAGACCGGTCCTCATTGCTCCCGAAGATGCAAGCATACATTATGGTCTCATGAAGCGCATCGATGACGGGGAAGTCGCGTGGGTCAAGCGCGACTTCGAGGACATCGACTTGACAACGTTGGGCAGGGAAGAGGTTGATCGGGTCGTGGACGCTGTCTTCGTAACGCTGGGTGGCAAGACCGCTCTGAGTACGTCTTGCGCACATGGGGAACTCGCCTGGACTGAATACTGACCACCACTCCGTAGGCACCCACATTTCCACGCTGTGCCGACGCCTAAGAATCCCGGTCAACGTCGCCGATGCGCCGAATCTCTGTACCTTCACGCTCCTCTCCACGCACACGGATGGTCCGCTACAGATCGGAGTGACAACCTCTGGCAAGGGCTGTAAATTGTCCGCGCGCATACGCCGAGAAATCGCAGCTTCTCTGCCTTCGGATCTCGGCCAAGCAGTTGACAGGCTTGGTGTCATGCGGAGGAGGATCTGGGAGGAGGACCACGCCGCGGAGCTGTCCATGGATCCTGAGGCCGAAGAGGACGACGCGGGCCAGAGCGCGAACTTCAACAAATTGGTGACACCCGAGGATGCAGAGGCTGCGCGCAGTCGGCGCATGCGCTGGCTGGCCCAGATCTGTGAATACTGGCCCCTTCGCCGGTTAGCAGGCATTACGGACGAAGATGTGGAGGCAGTCTTGCGCAGCTACTCAAACTCTGAGAGCTCTGGTCTCAGCCCGGGCGCAGTGGATCAGCGCCGCAGAAGAGGCCGCATTATCCTTGCCGGCTCCGGTCCTGGCAATCCTGATCTCCTCACGCGCGCTACTTACAAGGCCATCATTTCCGCCGACCTCATCCTGGCCGACAAGCTCGTTCCTGAGCCCGTCCTCGCCCTTGTCCCTCGCCGCACGACCGTCTTTATCGCCCGCAAGTTCCCCGGCAACGCCGATAAGGCGCAAGAAGAGCTGCTCCAGATGGGCCTTGAGGGCTTGCAGGCGGGCAAGACGGTCGTGCGTCTCAAGCAGGGAGATCCTTACATCTACGGCCGCGGTGCCGAGGAGTACGATTTCTTCCGCGCTCACGGGCACATCCCGATCGTGCTTCCCGGCATCACGTCCGCCCTCAGCGCTCCTCTTTTCGCAGCCATCCCCCCCACACATCGCAGCGTTGCCGACCAAGTCCTTATTTGCACTGGCACTGGCAGAAAAGGCGCTGCCCCCGACCCGCCTGCGTACGTGCCGACCCGGACTGTCGTTTTCCTGATGGCGCTGCACAGGTTATCCGCGCTTATCGACAGCTTGGTGCTCGACGAGGCGAAGAAGTGGCCGAAGGAGACACCCTGCGCGGTGCTCGAGCGCGCGAGTTGTCCCGATCAGCGCGTCATCAGGACGACGTTGGAGTACGTTTGCGCTGCGATCGAGGAAGAGGGAAGTAGGCCGCCGGGTCTACTTGTCGTGGGCCTGGCATGCGAAGTTTTGTGGAAGGGAGGCCAGAAGTGGGTCGTCGAAGAAGGCTTCAAGGGATTTGAGGAGCTGAGCGTGGATGGCGATCTGGAGATGTTGAAGGGAGCCGAGGCGGTTGTTGCTTGAGAGCAGTTTCTTTTTTTTTTTTTTTGGAAAGCGAAACGCAATACTCCGCATCGATGGCGTTATGAGGAATTCATGGGCTGGGCTAGCAATCCAATGCGAGGAAAAAGCATAGCATGGCGAACAGGGGTGGTTACAAAAGATTCAACATAACCGCGACAACTAGGCATACAAACAAGAAAGATCAATCCAACCTTACCGTACACATACATGACGGTAGCTTCCAGTGGTTCCGAATGAGCTGCTACCGTAACGGCCTCCGGGATCGGCGGCGGCTCACCGACCGAAAGCGGCAAGACAACCGTTCTCAAGTCCGGGGAAAGGCCTTATCGGCTCCTTATCGCGCCGGGAGAGCTGCACGCCATCCCAGCACACCACCTTCTAGCTACCACTCGTGCACCTTCAACCGCCGTGCAGCCTCTCCCACCTTTCGACAACGTCACCCATGGTCACCATCCACGACTAACAACCCCTCAAGCCCAACGCCAAACCCACCATGGCGCCTCCTCCTACGCCCTCCGCCCTCGCCGCCGGAGCTCCACCGCCTCAAAGCTCAATAGCCTCGTCTTCCTCTCCTCCCCCTTCCAGCACCACCCACCGCCCACGCACCCGCACGCTCTCCAACGCCACCACAACCCCCAGCACCAAGCGCGCCAGCACCGCCGGCACCGCGGGCCCCGCAACGCCGCTGTCGGCCCCGAAGGTGCACTACACGGTGCTGGTGCGGCTGCCGTTCGCGCGCGGCGACTTTGTGGACCCCGCGCAGGTCGAGTGGGACGCGACCAAGGACCAGGCGCTATGGAAGATCATCAGCCGGCCGATGAGTAGCGGGGGCGGCGGTGGCGGCGGCGGCGGCGGCGGCGGCGGCGGTGGTGGTGGTGGCATCGGCACCGGCTGGGGCGAGCAGCGGCGCGAGATCAACTGGGAGGAGCTGGCGGCGCGGTTCGAGGTCGGGCAGGGGTTCATCCTGCAGCAGGCGGCTTGGCTGTATGAAAGGCATCTGCAGCATGTGAAGGCGCAGATGAGGAAGGTTGGTGGCGGTGCTGCGGCCGGTGGTGGTGGTGGTGCGGGACAAGTCACCGCAGCGGCGGCGGCGGCGACGGCGGCGGCGGGTAGTGGGAGCGGGAATGTGGGGAGTGTGCCGATGAAGAGGGGAGGGAGCGGCAATGGCGCCTCGTCTGCGGCGCAGGGAAGGGTGAGCGCGCTGTCGATCAGGTCGACGAGGGATAGCCCGGTGCCTTGGAGGCCGGCGATTGCGTCTCCCGTGGTGGGAGGTAGGTGGCTCGTATTGCTTTTCGCAGTGAGGGGGGAGGAACTGGCTAACGGTTGGTGTTGTAGGCCAACTCTCGCGTACGCCGTCGACCACGACTATTACCCAGAGCCGTCTTCAGCAGCAGCCTCAGAGCCCGCGGCAGCCGCTACGCAGCTCGTTTCGTTCATCTTTCCCGCCTGCGCCGCGCCGGGCTTCTCCGACGCTTGAGCCGACAGCGGAGACGAGCCGTAACCATAGCAGGACTGTCAGCCCGGCTTCCATGCAGATGTCCCAATCTGAATCGGAGTCTTCGTCTTCTGATGATGACAAGGATAACCCCATTCGTCGAAGCCAACTGTTCAAGCGCCCGCCGCGCTTCATGTCCCGCCCATCCAAGCCTGGTCTCCCCCGTCTAGACGACGTGGATATCGAATCCGACGAAACCGTAGACTACGGCAACCGCGCTGGCGACGAGCGCTCCGATGGCGACGATGACGACGACGACGACGATGAATTCCTTCCCTTCGCCGTGCCCACTCGCCGCCGGACCGCTCCCAACACCAAGCAGGCCCAGCACCAAGGCACCTCCGCCGGCCCCCGTCGTGCCCACACCCACCACGATCCGCAGCAGTCGGCGAGACCCGCATCCACCCGCTACATCCCCAGCGGCACCATCCGCGCATCCCGTCCGCCCCTGTCCTCCGTGGCGGCAGGCAAGCAGCCCATCCGCGCGGCGACCATGGACGCATCCTTCACCTCCACCAGCGACGCGCGCAGCACGGACGGTGACGATGCCGGTTATGGCGGCGACGGTGCCGGTGCCGGTGCCGGTACCGGCAGGCCTCGCACCAACAGCGGCTCGGCCGCCGCCATTCAGGGCGCCTTCGCGGGCCGCAGGCAGAAGCGACGCGCCGGCACCGTCACCGCGCCGTACTCGCCTTCTTCCGGCGGCCCGGCCAGCGGCGCGTTGAGCCCGCGGCACAGGGCCGAGTTGGCTCGGCTCAGCCCGGGAATGAAACGGGAGGGGAGTGAGGGGACGCCGAGCATGGGGAGCAGCTTTAGCGATCTTGACGGTGAGTGCTACGTTGGCGAAAAAACGTTGGTAGAGGGATTGCTAACTCGGTTCTGTGCAGATGCGAGCGTCACGCAGAGCGCGTTGGAGGAGCAGCTGCTCAGCCATATGCAACATCAGGGCGGGCTGAGCAGAATGAGCACGATTAGCCAGGCGTTGAGGAGTAAGTATTTGCCCTGATACGTAACCTCGACGGAAGCATCGTTTTGGTTCTCTGAACCATGTTGGGTCGGAGATGGTAAATTGAACGGTTATTTTTTGAGGCGCTGGATAGAACATTATAGAGGCAGGTAGGTGGCAATGGAGACTTTGAGAACTTATGATTCAGGTGATGGTGATGTAATGATGTTAAGCGGTAGGGGAAAGCAGATCATAGCAAGATGAGATTCAAAAGCATGAAGTGTTAGTGCTGACGAGCAAGTGCAACTATATCGCGGCCAGAGTGCCTCAACACATTCCGACACTGAATGTTTGCCAGCAGAGGCTTCGATCACCAAAAACAACCAGCACGAGCAAATGACATCGGGCTGCACAGTTATGTATTTTAAATTCTTTCCATCTGCCTATCTCTCAAATACCAGGTGTTATTCTCCTCCTCCGCATTTTCTCCCAACTTTCGCTCTTCGGACGACAATCACCACCCCAAAGCACCCGAGCGGGCCAGGTCGGAACTGGCACCCACTTTCCGCCAAATTGTGCGCGCAGAGAAAGGGCCCTTATTCGACCGCTGGACCACTGACGCTCTGCTGCGGCTGCCGGTGCATGCTCTGCCTTCTCTGCTGATAATGCTCTTGCATGCCATCCAGCTCGAGTGCTCCCAACACGGCTTGCACTTCGACCTCTTCCTCTGCACTGCGGAGCCAACCCCAGAAACAGGCCCAGCCGGCTACGAAGGCGACAACGCCGACGCAGACACCGATGATGATGCCACCGCCTTTGATCATGGTTGCTGCTGCTGTGGTGGGTGTTTCAGGTAGTGGAGTTGTTCTGTGTTGCGGTTATCTTGATCTCCGGATGGCGTAGACATGTTACTGATCTTACTGAGTGATTGGAGATTTTGGAAAAGTCTTGCGGGGTGTGTGTGTTGAGGGTTTGTCGACATAGGAGAAAAGATTTGTGCAGTCATAGATATTCAAGTAGCCGTGGTGCCTACAATGGCTGTTCACGTCCTATTGTGTCTCGAAATCAGTTTCACCTCATTTCCAGCTAACCTCAAAGCTTGTTACAATACAACACGGCAGGACAGGCCATAACATGACATAACGCACAAATGCAGAATGCCTAACATTATGCACATCCGTCATCATTTTTCGTTTTTAAAAATTCATATCACAAAATTCGGGACTGCCGCATTGAACCATTGCTGAGAAAGAGAGTCGCCCATCCACTGCCAAGTTGCAACATGATCCTGGACCCCCACAACTCGGAGAAAGCACACATTGCATGGCGGCTGCTGCTTGACTATGGACTACACGAACCCAACCGGTGAAGGTGAGGTGGTAACAGCTCCATACAACAGGAGCGCGCGGAAGCACATAGATGGTAGACCGCAATGTCCCACAAATGTCGACGAAACGTCACCAACCGAAAGTGAGGTGGAAGTGTTGGATTTCATAGCAGAACAAGGAAGGAAGCTAGCAACAGCAGCGGCGTGAACATCAACGATCGAATCAACAGTCTCGCGTGGCTTGATCGATCCGAACTTAGGCCGGTGCTGGTCCGTTCGAACATTAAAAGAGTCGTATCTAGGACATTGGCTGTAGGAATAGAAGGGGCGATTGGGGTTAGCTGCAGAAAAGCCCTTTACATTCCAGCATAATGTATTAGAGGGATGCATGCTGTACCAGCGGATTCAGCCTTACGGTAGCTATTGTAGTATGCTCAGCATCTTTGCGCGTGTTGTGTATTTTTGTCTGTCCTCACGTTGTTGCCCTTGGGTGTTAATGGTCGTCTCGATTCTATCGAATAGAAATATGGAGAAGTGAATTGGGACAAGAATTATTGATGTCATGGCGTTTGGATGCTCTTGTTCGTTATTGGAATCATCACTAAGGCGCGGATTCAGGAACAGACCACACTGCTACACCTCGCAAAAGCCCGCATCATCACTGACTGAAAAAATCTCGAGGGATTCATAGGAAAAATGGAGTATTGATTCATGGGCAAAGGCAGGCGAAAGCGTATTTGCGACCTTGCCCGGCCTGGTGGGAGAAGCTTCTTCAAATGTTCGGGATTTCAGACGAGGCTGACGGCAGATAATTTGGCGAAGTTTGACGTAATCGGGGGCTTTCGTCGTTGAAATTGTAATGTCGACGCAGGGGCGATTCAATTCGAGAAGTGCGCGAACGATAACAGTCGGTGGAAGATGAGACCGGAAGTAAATGGTTGATCCGGAGCTCCTAAATCTTAGTACCATTTCTTCAAAGATTGCAAAACGGGTCCAAATGTAGGCGCGGGTGAGCGGTTCCATTGGGCAATGTACTCGATGTTTTGCTCTCATCAAAGAACACGAGGAAGGAAAAGGACATGAAATCCTCCCTTCATTCAATCCAGGAATGCATGGCTGCCTCTTTTGCCCCCTGCAAGGAAAAGACTCCGATTCGTGTAGTGGTATACCCACATACCCCACGCCTTTTTGGAAGAAATTTCACCACTGTCCCCGCTTTGTCCCGTCTACGACTTCATCATAATCTACGCCGACGACCTCTCCTTGCGCTTGGCGATGCCCTGCTGGAAGTTGTTGCTGGCCTTGCGGGGAACGGTCTTCAGGTACCTCATGCGGCCGGAACCGGTGGTGTGCCTCCTCTTGGCCTTCTCGCCCCAGTTGTCTGCAACAAGTCCTGTGTCAGCCGCGGTCCGTTTGCTAAGAGGACCCGATCAAGGAGAACGGGGATGTGGTCCAGGAAATCTCGGGGATTCATTGCGGGGTGAACGTACAGCTGCGGACCTTGGCAGCGGGGTAGCCGCAAGAGGAGCAAGTGTGCTTCTGAACATGGAGGGAGCGGCGACCTGCAGAACTGGCGCATTAGTATTCCGTCCTTGACTCTCGTCCGCTCTTGCATCCTTCGCCGAGCCATTTCCAGGTGATTGTACTGACCGCAACGCCTGCAGAGGGTGTGCGTCTTGTTGTGGCGCTTGCCGAAGCTGGAGGTACCCTTCGCTGTGGTGGTCGTCAGTGCCTGCCGTCGTCGAGGAAAAGTCGCGCGGTCGCCATCGGTGCCAGGAACGTACTCATCTTGAATTAGGGACTGCAGGAGAGCAATGTTAGCACGATGCAAATTGGCAGCAGGCCGGAGCAGGTCGGGCTCACCGTTGGCGTCGATTGTCGTAGCTTCGAGGTGGTGTCGTCGGTGGTGTCGTCCCGTCGGGTCGCGCAGGCGGTTTGGCCGTTGTTCGAATTTCCGCTTAGCGAGTGTGTGCTGCACGTGACCCGATCTTATCGTTAGCGCCCACGTTCCTGCTCCAACACCACGTCCGACCGCGGCTCTCGGTTTGCACAGGCCAGAGGAACCCCCGAATGGTTCATAGGTAGGGAACAGTTCATTGGCAAAGGCATCTCTTAAGGAAATGAACCCTGCTCTTCAGTCGCCTCGTCTTAAGGCGTGGTTTATTGCACCTCCAATCTTTTCGCATTATTGTGTATGTACTTAACCGAGACTGCTTTCACATTCCCGTACTCCGTTGTCGTAACTGTTCATCCGTGGCATGCGCTACGTGCCCTTCAGTCGTCCCCACTCAGCGCGGATATCAACATGGCCGTCGTCGTCAACGACCTTTCCTCTATCCCATTCTCGGTCCTCGCCCTTCTTCCGCCAGCGGACATCCTCCTCGGTCCTCTCCCCTCCTTTCTCCCACTTCTTTACCTCCTCTTCCGTGAAACCAGCAGCCTTCAGTCTTTCCGCGCCCTGTTGTTTCCACCGCTGCCGATCACGCAAAGCCTCTAGCGCCATGTCCCAGTCATCATCCTCTGAACCAGGCTGCACGTCCTGCGAGGGATCGTAGTCAGCCGCAAAATGGGCATCCATCGTGGAAGATGCTCTCATGGCTCCACGCCCGCGCACACGGACTTTGGGTTGAGGGCGTGGAGGCATTGGGCCAACAATTGCCTCCAGGGGATCAGATTCCGACGCTGACGGCTTCGCACTGCGCGGTGGCCGTTCCGTGGTGGGCTCCTTCTGCTTCTCGTGGTTCCGTTCCTTTAAGCGGTCCCTCGAACCCTCTCTCGATGGCGATCTGCGCCTTCTGTGTTTGTGACGGCGTTCTTCCTCTTCAGATACACTCTCGGACCGTGTCTCCCGGCGAGACCTGTGTCGTCTGTCTCTACTTCCTGATCGGCTCCTGTGCCTATGCCGATGGCGTCGCTCAGATTTGTGACCGTCTTTGGTATCGTCATCCGTCGCGCTCCGATCGCGGTGTCTGCGACTCCTGTGCGAGTGTCGCGATCTGCGATGCTCTCGATCCTCCTCGCTATCGTATGAGCGGCGACTGCGTTTCCCCTTGTCTCTATGGTCATTCCGGTCTATCGATTGGTCGCGCGTCGAACGACGCGATCGGCGAGAGCCACGCTCGTCGTCCCGCCGCCGGCGGTGTCCTCTGTCCGACTCTGTGTCGCTCTCTCCTGTACGCCGTCGCTTGGAAGGCCTGGACTCGGCGCCCCCGCTTCTCCGATCTAGTTCGCGCGACTTGTGTGATCGCTCGTTGCTTCCTTGGCCACCGCTTTCACGAAGAGCCTTGAGTCTTGCTCTTGATTCCTCGGCCTCCTTTGCAAGAAGAGCTGCATTGTGATTGTCTGTGTCGCGCAGGATATTTCGGAGAAATCGCGTGTTTGGCTTGGGAGCCTGACCCGTTGGCCTGCTCTAAGTCAGCTTGTCTTTCAGGGCGAAAACAGTCTTGCGCTGCTCACCTCGTAGGCAGGAAGGCCTGAAGCCCTACGGAGGCGTAGCGTGCCGAGCTTGACCTCGCATCTTTCTTCAACAACTCCGCCACGTAGTTGTCGGAGAGTTCGTCAGTAGGCATTACGAGGAAATATCCTCGCGGTATCGCAACGCGCTGCCTGAAAGCACGCAAGGTGGGGAAAAGGTACTGATGGGCGCACACGCCGGGCAGTCGGAGTCGGCCAGTGACGTGAGGAAGCGGACGAGTAATCTTATCAGTCCCGAGGAGTAGCCGAGCGAGATCCACGCCGCCTGCCGCCAGTGATCCCCGCGGTTGCTGTCGCATTGTTTACAGTCGACAATAATCTTCCAGCGCAACAGAGCAACATGGGTACCGACCACACCGAGGCGATTGAGCGCCTGAAATCGCTTCAGAAGTCCCAAGAAATCAAGATAATCGAGCTCAGCAACGAGATTCGTCCACAGCCGGCCAAGAATGGCGACAAGCGCAATTCCGCTGCCTCTGAGATGTCTGCAGACGACGCTACGCCGGCCAGTCTGCAGGCTGACCTCGTTCACTACAAGGTATAGATCTGGCTGCTAGCAAGAGAGCACTCATGGCTGCAGCTAACTTCCCGTGTAGGAGCTGTTCTCCAAACTGCGCTTTAGCTACGTCGAGCAAGTCACCAAAGAGAAATACCTTACGGCGATAACTACGGACCCGCCCCCGATGATGGAGGCGGGTGAAAACGCGGAGCTTGAGGCACAATTGGTCGAAGTCAAGGCATCCCTCAAGGCACAAAAAGCCGAGGTTGCGGAGATGCTCGCTGAGCTCGAGCGCCGGGGGCGCGGTTTGAGCAAACGTAGGTGTCTCAGGAGCCTGAAGTGCGTTGGAAAACCGGCAGAGATCTTACCAGAGAGTATAGGCTACGAGTCAATTGAGCTGCGTACCGCTCAGCTCGAAGCACTTCCCGCCGAAATTGCCAACCTGGAAACCACGATCGCGAAGCTGCGGGAGACCCAGGCACCGCACCCAACGAACCCTTCGCTCTCGCTGCCACTCCCGGAGACACTTTCTGTCTTGGCAGCCAGGGAGGCCGAGCTTGCAGCGCTTGACAAGCAGCTGTCCAGTCTCGAATCGACGGTTCCGCGCAAGACGCGAGAGTTAGAGCGACTGGAGACAGAACTGCAGCCGTTGGAGGAAAAGAAGCGCAATACGGTGCAAGCGGCGAAGGAGGCACAGAGAAGGAGAGAGGCTGGTGAAGCAGGCATGGGCGATGATCTGGAAGAGCGTGGACGTTGGTTGACTGCGGTCGAGCAAGGGCTGAAAGGTATGTTGGAGGTTTAGGGCGGAGCTGAATTTGACGATTTCGATATGGCGTCTGGTGTCTTTCAGGGTAAGGTTATGGCGGAAACGATACCATGGGTGGCTGCGCGAAAATTGATCTTGTTGGTTGATGCTGATCTCGCTGGGCGGACTGGTGACATGGACTGCGGGTGATACATGATGCAGCAGAACAGTCACGGCTGTGGGGGTTGGAGATAATGATCATTGGGAAGCGATCCGATAGACTCGGCGTCCGGTGTCGGCAGCCAGGGCGATAGTCGGCTTCGCACCCGAGCGCCGACTCACTCGCTCGCAGCCCCGGATTTGACAGAGACCCGCGTAAATCACAACGAAGCTTGGCCCGCTTACGATCAGCACTTGGTTGACTGGCCACTGACGTAGCGAGTTGATCTGTATTATCCCAAGCGGTGACTACAGCCTGCGGCCAGCCCGGATGCCAGCGCCAGCCCCGCCACTCGGAATCCAACGATTGCAATCACCCCCCCAGTGGACGCCGCAATTCGGTCCGACGCTTATCTATGAGCAGCTCGCGATAAACATTTCACCACCAGATATTGTAGTGTCAGCCTTTGGGACGAGGTCAGTCGCGCCCGCGAGAAAGCAGAAGCGTTTCAACCTCTCATCGCTCCCCGAGGCGCCGCCTGCAACGAACAGCCGGACCAGACGCCCAGTACCAGCACCATGTCCACCCAGACAGAAGCCCCAGCAACGCTCTTGCCGCCGCGCAAGAAGCCTAAGTCGCGCGACGGATGCCAGCGCTGTAAAGTGAAGAGGGTAATGAAACCCGGTTCAGCCCACTCTTCCCCTCAGTTCCCCTCATTGCCCAACATGTCCATGTTTCCCCGTCCCGTCCAGAATGCGCAGTACTATATAACTTGATATCGTCCCGTTCGCTCATCGCAGACTAACATGTATCCGGCACGCAGCTCAAATGCGACGAGACCAAGCCAGACTGTCGCAACTGTGTCACTCGTGGCATCGTCTGCCCTGGCTACAAGAAGTTCATCAAGTGGAGCACCAAATATGAGGCGTACATGCCCGGTGCCTCGCGCACGCTTATTCTTGGGCCCAACCAGCTGAGGGAAGACAAGCGACTGAGGGATGCCGGCAGAGTCATCAATTTCGCCGAGTCGTCAAGTCCAGAAGAGGAGGAAAGAATTCAAGAGGCGGAAGAGCGCCCGAGGAAGCGGCTGAGACGGACAGAGAGAGCCGGGAAACCGCTCGGTGGCCAAATCCGAGATGCGGAGCAAGAGGAGAGGTTGGCGCGGGACAAAGACGATCAGGCACAGAAGCGTGCTGCGGCTCTCGAAGAGCACATTGCACGGGTAGCAAAGTGCGTTCAGCCGGTTCAACAGGAGCCTGAGGAGGAGGTGGTGCAAAGTATCGAATCAGGCGAAGACCAAGGCGTAGACAATACTGTGGCACCACCATCCACCACGGAACCGCCGGATACGGACGACTTGCCTGAGGACGATCCTCCGCTCCCCGACTTCAGCGAGTTTGAGATACCAGACCTCGACTTCTCCATCTTAGAGGCGTTCCCTACCGATGATCGTGCCAGCCCGGTAGAAGATGAAGAAGCCGAGGAGAACGTGGAGTCACATGATCTGGTCACCCAAAACGGCACACAAGACGACAGCCGGCTCTCACGCGAATTGCTCCGCAGCTTCTACGGCATGAACTCCGGCCCGTCCCGCGGCCCTGCTTTCTTCGAGCCCGGCATGGCTCTCGTGGAACACTACTTCAAGAGCGTCTGTGCGCTCTACTCCTCTTTCGACTCTGCTCTGAACCCGTTCCGCACAGCCGTAGGCCGCATCTGGGATTCAAGTCCTTCTGTGAACTACGCTATCCAGTCCATGGCCGCTGCTCAACTCGCCAACTTCTACCCGCAAATGGTCGTCATGGGTTTGGAGCTTCAACGCAAAGCGTACCAGCATCTACAGGACGACATGGCAATGGTGACAACTGGCTGTCAAAGCAGTGAGCGCGCACTTCTTGCTATCCTGTTGCTTGGCCTGACGGCATGCTGGCACGACGAGAGCGACCTGGGCTTGACGCACCTGGCGGCAGCGCGTGCTCTGATCTATCCGCGTCTGATCGCCCCGGTTCCTCCTGAGAACAACGTCATCCGGCGGCAGAACCAGTTCTTCGAGGAAAGCTTGATCTACTGGGAGATGCTTATCGGGTTCGTCTCACCAGAATCCGCCATCAACGACACCACAGGGCGTCACGGCAAGCCCTGGCAGTCCGCCGGCGGCAGCCTCGGTCCGCTGGGCATCGCATCTTCCTTCATGAGCGGCAACCGCAGCCACGCCTTCGCCAGCGGCAACAAGCTCCTCCCACACCCTTGGACAGGCATCGCTCCCAACGTCCAAATGCTCTTCGCCGAAGTCGGCCGGCTCGTCCGCCACGAACGCCTCTCCCACCGCGGCAACCAGTCGTCGTCTTCCTCCCCCTCCGACCCACCCGGCTACTCCACCCGCCCGCCGCCCACCTCGGCCCCAGCCCAGCAGGAGCAGCGCGACAAGCTCGCGTGGGCGACGCTGCTCGAAGAGCAGCTCCTCTCGTCGGACCTGCCCGCCGCGGCCGACCTCATCGACACGGGCGACGCGGCCACGGCGCGCCGCGACTTCGTGCAGCTGGGCGAGGCGTACCGCTGCGCCGCGCTGCTCGAAGTCTACCGCGTGTACCCGCGCATCCTCAAGCGGCGGCTGGGCGCCGACTCGGCCTCGCGCGGCTGGGAGAAGACGGGCATCTGCAGCCTGACCCCGTCCACCCCGGGCACCGCCCGCGAGGACACGGACCTGCGCATCTGGCTCAACAGCCTCGCCCTGCACGTCGTCGACCTCCTGCAGGAGATGCCGCACAGCTCCGGCACCTGCAGCACCCAGCCCATCCTGCTGGTCGCCGCCGCCGGCGAGATGCGCTTCGTGTCCAGCTTGGATTACTTTGATCTGCATGCCAACAACGAGAAGGTGCGGCATGCGAGGGAGTTCGTGAGGGAGCGGCTGAGCGAGTTTGCCAAGAGGTTGCCGAGCAAGCCGCTGATGCGGATGATGCAGTTGGTCGAGGAGGTCTGGAGGCGGCTGGATGCCGGCGATAGGGATGTCTTTTGGTTAGATGTCATGTGGGAGAAGGGATGGCAGACTGTTATGGGTTAATTTTGGCTGTTGTTTCGGTGCTGTATTTTTCTATTGTTCTATGTGAAAACTGGGTGTCATCGGAAGAATTACGACTGCATGGTATGAATACGAATGTTCTCATCGGACTTGTGTACATCAATGGTAGTGAAAATAACTTGTGAGGAGATGCCAAACAAGGTAGATATCTTTCATGGAAATGCTGGCTTTCTGGCATTAAATTCTCCGCTAAATTCTGTCGGATGTCCCGAATCTTAATAGTCGAGTCAATTTCTAGGCAACGAATATATTCACTATATTTAGTATATTGCTCACCAACTATACTAGACTTATAGCCTCGAACGCCTTATAAATAAAGGTACACGTAAATTTTCTTTAGTATCTAGCATAACGTGTAAACGTGTCTATTTCTCTCTCTTCTTTTAGTTTTATCTCTTCTTTCATGAAAAGTCTTATCTTGTATGGGGATTTAATATTTACAAACTGGGTTCATTTATCAGCCGAAAGCCCCTTTCCGATCCATGTGTCGCTTTTCGAAGGCAGCAATCCTGCCAGTATATCGTCGTGCGGATGTAGTTTCACTATTTTGATCGACCACGGCCTCACCTCGTCTTTCCTATCTGAGTAGGATTGTAAACGGGAATCACTAACAATTTTTTTTTTAGTGTAATCATCGAAAACCGCTGCTCAATGTAGTGTTTCAACTTAGTACTCCAGGCTGACTCTATTCCCTCACATTGCCTATCTTGTATCTTTTTTTGAAAGCCGTAAGCTCTACCCTGTACAATATCCGGAGCGTTGCACTTCAAACCCTGACGATGCTAGCGGTTACCATGATGAAATATATGAGCAAGTTCAGCATCTCGGGACAACAGGTGGTAATGCGCAGAGCGCAGACCATTCATTCTGGACTACGGCATCGGTCTTTCATTGGAAACCCACGGTACCTTCCACTCCAACGCCACTGATCTCGCTGCTTATGGTCGTCTAAGATCATATTTCATTTATATCATGCATACATAAAGAACGTTCAAATCGCCTTTCCCTTTCCCGAACGTTTGATCCCCACCATTTCCATTACCTCGCCCTTCACTCATCGTACACGATTTATGAGACGTAAGGTCAAAGAGGATTAAAAAGATACAGCAGCCGCACCAAGCATACGTACCGGCACCCTGAACCGTGGTCGCTGAGCAATAACGAGTGTCGAAAAGATGCTAATCGTGTCCTTTACATCTCCCGGGTGCCCGCATCTAGAGGGCTGACAATTCCATTCAATTCCCATCCCGCTCTTCTCTGCGCTGGCGAACTCCTTGATCATATGCTTCCGTGAGCTCGCTTCCATATTGCCAGTACGCGATCTCCTTCATCCAGCATTCATCTTCTTCCGGTCACGATCGTCATCACCACCACCACTTCTTTTCCACGAATCCTCCCGGAACCACCTCGTTCGTTCGAAGCGCGGCTATTTCTCCTTCTTCTCCGTCTCCTCCGTGTGAGGATGCTTGATCGTCAAGCACCAGATGTCCAAATAATCGCAGATGGTCCAAATGACGTCGACGACGAAGCTGCCGTACACGCCGATGGCCAAGCCCAAGCACATGAAGATGAAAGCGACCTGGTAGACGCCGTCGCCCAGCGCGCTCGGCCAGCCGGCGTTGCGCAGGGCGCTGAGGTCGAAGCCGTCGATGTGGGCGTTGGCGAACGTCTCGCGGATCCACGGGCCGAGGCTGTCGACGACGGCGAAGGTGAGCGGCAGGACGAGGATGTTGGTGCGCGGGAACGCCGACTTGCACAGGTGCGCCGTGATCATGCGGCCGACGGAGAAGGCGTTGATGAGGCCCACGTAGAAGACGAAGGGCACGAGGTGGGCGTTGAGGATGACGGGCTGCAGGTACAGGTACGTCGGGATGAGCGCCCACGCCGTGAAGAACGGCAGCAGGCCCAGCATGGCGCCGCGCGAGCGCTGGCCGCGCTCGCGGCGCGCGGCGATGACGTTCTGCGAGGCGCTGACGGTGTTGAAGACGAGGATGATGCCGCCGTACACCATGTACCATTCCGTCCACGCCATGTTGTACAGCAGCTCCGGCAGCCAGGCGGGCTTGTTGACCACGCCGATGGAGGCGAGCAGGCTGCGGCTCCAGAAGCTGCCGCCACCGAGGTAGCCGGTCAGGCCGAAGATGACGCAGAGCGTGAGGATACCTTCGACGGGCCCGGAGACGAAGCCGAGGGTGAGCGTGTGCGTGTGGTATTCCTCCCACGTCTGCACGTAAAAGGTGAGCAGGCTCGCGAAGAGCGTCATGACCGTCTTCCAGCCCTGGCCGAGGTTCATGGCGGCGGAGAAGATCAGGACCTCGAGAGAGGTGTTGACAGCGTCGACGCCGTGGTCAAAGAGCTCACCGAGCGGGCCGCTCTGGCGGGTTCGGCGGGCCTGGGAGCCATCGACGGCATCAAAGGTCTGGTACAGGAACAGGCCGACGGCCCAGCTGTAGTACACCCACGACGGACAGTCCTGGTCGAGGGTCGGTGTATACCACAGCAAGGTCAAGAAGTTCATGACCACGAAGCTGAAGCCAGTCAGAGTGATCAGGTTGGGCGCCATCCACATGGGAAAACATTTGATGACGACGTGGGTGTAGAATGGTTTCATGATGTACTGCGAAACCAGCGAATGGTCCACGCCCGAGTACTTGTACTCCTTCAGCCGCGGGAGCTTGTCCTGTCGTATGTACACCATTTTGTCGCGTTGTATCTGGTATGTCGCTGGCTGTGGTCGTCCTTGTCCAAGCTCTTTATGGGGCCGACGCCCGCTGTTGTCTCGTCTTTTCTGGACTAGGTTGTGGATGAGACCAGAGGTACCGCGTGCGGTTTAGTGCGTAGCTGTGGTCGAGAGCAGGCGCAAGCCGGAAGAAGCGTCGGCGTGCAAGTCGTCGTCGTGGCGGTCGTTGCGGTCGTGTCAGTCGTCGCAGCGGGGGAAGAGTATTTACAGAACGACGTGCGTGGGTCGAAAAAGTTGTTTTGGGTCGCGATTCCTGGCATTTCCGACGCGTTGGCGTCACCGGCGCCCCGCCAATTGCGACTGGACCGTGTACCATGTGCTCCTCCGCTTGAGCGGTCAAGCTCTGGCAGCTTTCACATGCTGCTCCACAACGCTAGTCACTGCCCTTGGGGTGTCATGCGTAACAGAGGAAAAAAGCCATTGGGATTTGGGCAACGCGAAAAGGCAAGCGTGCAGCTCTGCGTACCATGAAGTTGCGCTGTAGCTTCAAAGCGGCACGCCTGCCGTCCCGTCCACAACTGCTGATTCAGCATCCGTGCGTCAAGGTATCGGCCTGCGTTCAATATAGATTCTGGACGATTAGTGTGTTCGAACTGTGCATTTGCTATTCGCCTGAGAACTAAACCCATCGCATGCTCATTCTCATACCGTTCGCTAACGGGGACACGTAAAGCCTTGCAGCAAATGTTCTTCGTACTTTTATCGCCGCCTTAAAGACCTGGGGCCACTGCTCAGGCCATCCATTTGCTGTTCTTGGTCTGTATGTTGAAGACCGATCTCTCATGCAACAGGGCTCCACTTCATGGGGATCAGGATGCGGCTCTTCATCGTCTGAATGAGCGGCACCGTCTTGTGAACCGTCTCTCCCCAACCCTCGACGCTCCAGCTCTGCTCACGACGCTTCTTGCGCTCCTCCAGGTTGGCGAACTGCCAAAGGTGGTGCACTGTGTTCAGGTCACCGACCTGAACGAACCAGGCGCCGACGCCCTCCATGACCTCGCGCCTCGCATTGAGACCGCGCCTCCAGTGCGTCTCCCACTCCAACAGGTTGCCCGGGTGTAGCGTGTATGAGCGAAGTTCGAAAACGCCACCGAGTGAGCGGGGCGGGGTCGTCGGCCAGAACGAGAACTCCTGCATCAGGGACGTGCGCTTCGAGTTGATGAGCTTCTTCAGCTTGGAGTCGAACTCAGGGAATCCGGGATGCGACTGAATGTTGTGCAGAGAGGCGTGGTAGCCCTCGTAGCGTTGGTACTCCCAGATGTGGACTGTTGAAAACTCGCAAATCAGCCTCATTCAGCCAGCAGCAGCCCAACGTTCGAGCAGAAGTTGGGCGAGCCTGTGACTAACCGAAAGTATCGCAATCTCCGACCTCAGTCCTCCAGCTGCCGACCAGGTGCACCTTATTCTCTGGCAGGGACGCCATCTTCGGGTACCATTCGCCCACCAGCTTGACGTACTCATCCACCTTGTCGGGCTTGACTTCATGGAAGACGATCGAGTGGACGTACTTGCCGCGAGCTAGGACCTGCGAGAAGCTGCGCTCCATCTCGCGATCGAGGTTGCGGCCCTCGGTGGTGCCGTAGATGAGCCTCGACAGCTTGCCCTCGGATTTGCTGCCCTCCTGCGACTCCTCGCGAGCCTTTGCTTCTCCTGTAAGGTTGGATGCAAGTGAGCCAGTAGCTTTACCATTGGGAGAGGAAGGAGAAGAAGAAGAAGAAGAAGACGGAGAAGGAGAACCAGATCGCTTGTTGGGTACAGACGCAGACACATCATCACCGGCAGGGGACCTACTCTCTTCACGCTCCCGCTTTTGGTGTTGCTCCCTTAGCTGTTGGCGGAACTGAGCCTGCTTCTGGTCGAAGGTGGCAGCGCCATCGGGTCCGACGTCGGCGAGCGCTGGGGCTCGCGTGGACGACAGGCGCGTGGTGAGAGCGGTAAGGGAGCGGGAAACGCACAGAGACGCGGGCGCCGCGCGAGAGCGGACGGCGGGCGCGAGGCGAGACAGCATCGTGAATAGTGCTGTGGGGGAAGTGGTGTGCAGGAATGGGCGCGTGCCAGAGCAATGGAAGGGGAAGGGAGGTGGTGCGTGGTTCGCCTGCCTCGATGACGTTGGGCGGTGGAGCTGCAGGCGAGCTCAGGACCGCGTCGTCGGCAGCGGCGAGTGCAGCAGTGGAGTGGTGCAGGCGAGAGGGGTGTACAGGTGCCAAGGGGGATGGGCGTATGGGGACCGTCAATGAGTGTCTGCGTCTTGTACCTTCCCAAGTCCAGCGTCCGGAGAGTTACTTGCGTGGCCAGGGTCGGCCGTCTGAGGCCGTTAAAACGACTTCCCCGCACACCAACCCAGCTCCACACCCCAGCCTCGGCCAATCACCGCTCCTGCGCGCGCCCACCCTGCACCCGCCCGCACACTCATCCGCCGCTGCCCGTCACCATCGCTGCCGGGTGCAGAATGCGTCGGACAATGGTTTTATCGATCGGACCCTTACAAACCGCGCTTTAGCCATTGGCGCTGCTCCGCCCGCCCCCGCATCGCACCCGAGCACATCCCCCATGTTTCCCGAGTCGTGCCGCCGAACGACTCCCACCCTGAAGAGCTTTGTCGATCCCAACGCTGATGTCTCTTGCACATACAAGCCCATCGTGGCCACATCAAGAGATCATCAACCATTCGCATGGCTTTGCACATATGTTTGATCGAGGAACGTCTCACGTTTTGCTTCTGTTCCGGCCGTCTGTGCAACTCCTGCATGATCAGCCGCCTGCACCGTTTCTCTCGGGACATGGCGACCCCATAACGCAGCGAGAAGCCGCCACTACGAATGTCTTTCTTCTCTAGCAACATGCATTCATCCCCTATGCCTTCTACCCCGGACCCCAAGCCCCAAACGTCCTCGCTCCAGAAGTCAACTCGGATCCGCCCGTATAAGCTATCTACAGCAATCAGAAAGCCTGAACCTCCATTCCTATTCGTGCCTCGGAGCCCTGTACTCCCTGGACCAAGCCAGCGTCACGAGGTATCAGCCAAGCCCAGCCCCACCCCCACCAAGCTCCAACGACGCCCACCGAGTGTATGCCTTCAAACGCTGCCGAAACCATGAACTTTTTTTGTGAAGAGCTGGAGACTGAATCCCGAAAAAAGAGTGTTGTTAAGAGGAAGTAGCTGGGCCTACGGCCTGACCCGTTCGTAGAAAAGAATGTAGGCCACCTTATTATCCTTGGCCCCCTTGTCCGCCATCGGCGTCCTCTTACCCGTTGACGTAGCTGGGGTAGCCGTGCCATTAACGACGCCGGCCCACTTCTTGGAGCCAGCAGTGGAACCCGAGCCGTTAACCTGGCTCCAACCACCTTCAATCTGCGAGTCATCCTCATCAAAGCCAGCCTGTTCGTAGATACTCTTGCTGGCGCTTGCATTGTCCTTCTTGTGCTGTTCAAGTGCCTTCGCAAGTATACGAGGATCTTCCTCGCTGCCGCCTTCAGCGACATCTTCACTGCGGACGCGCCGAAGGACCGTGTCGTCCATCCGGATCCATTCTCGGCCATCTTGACGACGCACGTCCACCGTGTAATGTCCGCCGCTGGCTGTCTTTCCATGATGGTAGACGACACCAGTCAAGCGGTACTTGGGCTCGCCGCCCTTGACAGCCAAGCCAGCGCGCATGTGCTGCGGGAATACCTCCTTTGGAATTTCCAAGTCCAGAGGGTAGCCGACCTTCTTCCAGATCTTTTGAGTACCACCAGTGTTGTCGTATTGGAAACGCTTCAGATGGAGGATCAGCACCGGCGGAAGTGTTTCAATGAAGACCTGCTTCGTGGTAGAGGCATTAGGTCCACGAGGAGAGTTGAAGTCACCCTGAAGAGTCTCAGGCTTGGTCAAGGCCCTCAGCGCCTCCACGATGTTGTTAACGTTGGGAGCGCCAATATCAAGCTGCAGAGGCTGATAGGGTTCGAGCGTCACCGAGGTTTTCAGGCCCGGAACGCGAAGTTCTGAGCGGAGCTTCCCGCCAAACATTTTGGTGATGGGAGTCTCAGACTCAATGATCCCTGAGGACCTTGTGACGGATGATTTTTGCTTGGGTCCAACCTCATGCCACCCTTCAACCTGCGTCGAATCGGTGTTGGAAGTAGAAGCGCCATCGTCAGTCACGGTGGCGCTCGCAGGCGCACTCTTCATAACGTGGACACATTCATCGTGAAGGCCAGCCAAAAGGAAACCCAGGAACTCTTCAGCATCTTGTTGATGACCACGCTACAAAGGTCAGTATGTGAGACATCCGGATTAGAAGCGAAACTCACCCTCATATGAGAGAACCTTGGCTGACGCTTGATCACGTCGTAGACGAACTCGGGGGTAAATTGTTCACCATATTTCTCAAGTTCGGTATCCTTAAGTCGTAGTCTGAGCTGTTCCTGCGAGACTGCAGAGTCGATTATGGTGTATTCGCGCATGAACATTATCCTGCAAACATGTTAGAGGCGATGTAGCATCCGGTTGCATAAAACTTACATTGCGTCAAGCAAAGGTGTCTCGCTTTTGAAACTGTACGCCGCGCGCTTGCCCACCTGATCCAAAAAATCATAAAATGGTATACAGAAAACAAGGGTTTGAAGAATCTTGTAGCTCGTTAGAAAAACGGTGTTGTTGTCGGGTGAGACCCGCAGGGACGTCAACTTACAGAGTTCATATAGCACATGTTACCAGTATTTACAAGACCTCGAGGCGCAAGGAAGGCAATCTTGTTGTCGGCATTCACGTTGTAAGTCTGTAGCACGTCGGCAATCGAGTCGCTCTTGGTCGCAGCAAAGCCGTTGGCCGTTGAGATGGCATTGGAGCCTGAAGTGGCCGGGGCAGCAGCAGCAGCGTTCTGGGTCCTCACAAGATCAGCCCATGACTTCGGAGCTGATTTTGGCACAGGAGAGGGTGCAGTAGTAGTGCGTTCTGACTCGGGCGATGCGACGGGTGGTTGCTCTACACTTTCGCCACTCTCTTGTGGCACATCACAGCCCGCGCGGGGTTTCTCGGCGGTTGAAGTAGCGGTGCTAGCCTTGCGCTGAGAAGGTAACACAGCTGGCTTGATTGGAATGAATGGCACCGCAGGGATGGTAGCTTTGCGAGTATGTCCAGTTGCCGCCTGCGTCTGAGGCGTTGTGGGGGGTAAAGCAGACGAAGGTGTAGTAGGGTGGGTAGAATCAGCCTCTGACTGGGCTTGAGAGGTGGCGGGAGTCTCCTGCTCAGAGGCAGTAGCAGCAGCAGTAAGGTCTCGAGACTCAGCAGAATCATCTACCTGTTCTAGTCCTTCCGACTCTGCTGCATCCCTCGGCGGGAGCGACACGTTCGGCGCGAGCGCCCGGGGTTGCTCACGCCTGCGTCGCCTCTGCCGACGCGCCTTGGGCGGGAAAGGCTCCTCAGGGTTCGAGTACCAGGGAAGCTGCATCCTGTTCAGCTCATCTGCAATGCCTAATCCATCCTGCGGCGAACTTACGGGGGGATAGTACGGCATCTTCACTCCAGGAGATGGCGGCGCATGCTGCGACGCGAAGGACGGGTGAGATGTCGCGGGAAGGAGAGGCGGGGTCGCTATGCTCTGCGCGATGGTCGGCGTCGAAGGCGTCAGCAGCGTCTGCGAATGGACCGAGGGACTCGACGGCGCAGGCTGTGGCGTCGATGAATGCGCGACCAGCGGGGCTGGAGGCGTATGGGTATGGGCAACCGGCGGGGTGCGGACGGCGTGGCGGTGAACGGGGGCGACCGACTGGATGTGAGGGTGCGAGGACACGACCACGGGAGAATGTTGCTGAGGCGGCGGGGGCTGAGGGAAGGGACGAGGCGGCAGCGGGTGTTGATACTGCGGGTGGTATTGCGGCGGATGGAACTGCTGCGGGTAGTAGGGGTAGGCGCCATGGAATTGCGCGGGATGGTGGTAGCCGCCGTACATGTTCATCGGCACCGGGGAATGGGCCTGCGGCGGCATGTAATAGTGGTCGCCCTGCCGCCGAATGGCAGATGGTATGTGAGGTCCTGGCATCATGGGTGCGGCGGGGACGGGTGCCTCACAGTCAGCGCTGGCCGGTCAAGGACCTAGCGACCGACTTGTGAGGCGCGGGGGGACGGCGACGGAGCTGCCAACGCGAGCCGGCAGGAAGCAGGATGGGTGAGCGCCGGCAGGGTGGTGGGCGCTGAGGTGCGGCAGGATGTGAGGTGGTGATAGTGCGTCGTGGTCGGGGTCGCGAGGATGATCGGCTCGTCGACAACAATTTGGTGCAAGCCGTTAGAGATCGCCGCCGACTGGGGCGGGGGCGCGGCAGGCAATGGCTCTTCTGCCCGCTGGATGGTCGTGATGCAGGCGGCCTTTCACCAGCCTGTGGAGAGCTCGACGTTCTCGCGCGCGCCGGCTCCGGCGTTTGCGGCCTCTTTCAAGGTTTAGGAGCTTGCGGCTCACAAGGGCTGCTCGCCAAGCGCGGAGCGGAACGGAGGGGCAGCGGAGGGGTGTCGGGCAGTGAGGAGACAATGGGCGTGCGGGCAGGCTTCCCTCAGCCTGCACATCCCGAGATCACGTTTCAGTGTAGCGCGAGCGCTGTAGATCCGCCTTGGTCGCTGTTGTGCGTCTGCAGAGCATGGCGGCAACCTAAGCTCTCAACGTGGATGGGCTGACTAGCAGTCATTCTGAGGCAACAACTTGCCCCCCCCGCGCCACCGTCTTCGGCCGACGCCTCGCGCGCATCCAAGTCCCTGGCCACGCGAGAAGCCTCTATGCTCGACCGAACGTGTGCTGCTGTGACAGGACAAGCCTTCTTTGACACGCCGGCACCAGCAGCCACGGTTTCGCCGCCCTCTCAGTCACGTGCTAGAGGCACCATCCCGTCCCTCGTCGAACCAACGCTCCAGACCATCACGCCCCGAAGGACTCTCTCCTGCAAGTCCGCCTTCGGGGGACCAGCGTTTTCACCCTCCCAATCCCATTGCACCCGGCCCTCGGGTATTTCCCTCGCAACCTTTCGCGCCTCCGGCCAGCTGCTGCCGCCGAACAAGCCGTCGGCGGGGTCTTTGCCGCATCGTCATAGCTGCGGTGCGTCATGTCCGCGCATCCGCCGGGTGCGATAGCCGCCTCCAAGTCAGCCAACACCGCGGCTCAACTCTCCCCTCAAGCACAATCCAGCTCGTCACCTGCTGGCGATAGCTACAGTCAGCGTCGCGCCGGCGGTTCTGGCAGTTTCGGAGCGGGGGCAGCGTCGCGAGCTTACCCCTCGCCACGCCACAATCAGGCCTCGAAGAGGAAGCACAAGTCTGCTAAACGCCCTGGGCTGGCGGATGAGGATGCCATTGCGGAGGCTGTAAGCTTCCTTCCACTTTCCCTTTGGTGAATGCGACGCTGATACGAGACGCGCCACAGGTCGCTATGCGTTCCACCAGCAGTCGCAAGGGCCAGACTTCCATCACCCATCTGATGAACTTTAGTCTGCCCCCGCGCCCTCAGAACCACGGATATGGACATGGTCGTTCCTATAGGAGAAATCCAGCGTGGGGCCCAGGCTCGGGCTACCATGCAGTGGACAAGGCGCGGTGAGTGGATGCGTGATCGCGACTTATCGGAGCGCTCTAACGTGGCTCAGATATGTCCACGCGAATTATCGCTTCATTGTCGACCCTCGCGGTGACTATCAAAAGCAGGCCATTGACGCGGATGTCCACTTGGACTGGAACAATGTCCTACAAGTTCTGGCATCTGCTCAGTCGCAGTCTGCTTCCTGCCCGATCTGTTTGGAAACACCCGTCGCACCTCGGATGGCGAGATGCGGCCACATCTTTTGCTTGCCATGTTTGATTCGTTTCATGCATGCTGAGGTTGAGACCAAGCTTCCAGAGAAGAAGGCGAAATCGAAAAAGTGTCCGATTTGCGAAGATAACATCTACATGTCCGACACTAGACCTACACGTTTTTACATTGGACAAGAAGGCGAGCCTCCGCGAGAGGGTGCAGACGTTGTTCTGCGATTAGTCATGCGGTCCTCTGGCAGTATGCTTGCTCTGCCCAGAGATGGTGCAGATGCTCTGCCGAAGGGTGAAGAGGTCCCTTGGTACATAGCTGCCGAGGTCATGGACTTTGCCCGGATCATGAAGGGTAGCGAGGACTACATGGTCGAGCAGCTGGAAAGAGACATCCGAGAGATCGAGCGTCAAGCCAGAGAGGACGAGGTTATGTTTGGCGAGGATAACATGGAGTGGACCAAAAAAGCTATCCGGATGATCAAGGAATCGAAGGAAAAAACCAAGGGTATCGGAAACCCTCCCACATCTACTACGAAGCCGCCAGAGAACAAAGCAAAAAAACCTGGTGCGCCGACGGAGGTATCACATATCGACTCATCCTGTACCGCCCTCGCAGACTCGAACTCCGAGCAAACACCGACCAACGAGGAAGGCCCTGTACCGGTGAACACAAGTGTTCACCCCGGAAGCGCCGTTCCTGAGCAAGTTTCTTCGGGCAGCTCTGGCGAGCCGCAGTCGGCAAGTGCAAGCAATCTCTCCAAGTCGCTGGCCGAATTTCGGAACCGTCAACCCGATGGGCAGACGCCGTCCGAATATTACTTTTACCAAGCCTTGCTTCACTACTACCTTTCGCCTTTGGACATTCGCATCCTCAAAGCGGCATTCGGTACCTTCGCTTCTTTCCCTTCAACGATTTTGCCAAGAGTAGAGCGAGTGTCGACCGGTCACGTTGTAGACGACGACTTGCGTAAGCGCACAAAGTACCTGGCGCACTTACCATACGGGTGTGAAGTTGGCTTTCTAGAATGCGATTGGACGGACACGGTTGCTCCCGAGATTCTGGAGAAGTTCAAAAGCGAGATTGAGCGGAGACGGAAGCGGAATCAGGACAAGGAGATGAAGGAAGAGAAGGCGCGTGTGCGGGCGGAAAGAGAGGAGGACCAAAAGGCGTACGCACAAGCTCGACGAAAAAGGAACAGTATTTCCAATACGGGCTTCACGGCCGACGACTTCCAGCCCTTGGTATCTACAGAGGTGTCGGGATCTGTTGAGGCTGACGGCGCCTCATCATCACCTCCGTACGCCCAACGGCAAGGTTCTGCCTTTGCGTCGCTCGCTTCCCCTTCGACGAGCCCAAGTGCGCCTCGAACAGTTTGGGGCACGACAGCTATCCCAGGATCAAGTCCGGTGCTGCAAGCGTCTATGCACGAGCACGACGCGGATGATGGCTGGCTTCAAGGCTGGGAGAAAGAACTGCTAGGGGAGGATGAGATGATCGCGCAGGCACAGGCCTTGTCTCTTGGGAATGGCGAGAGCTCAAGTGCTGGAGCAGGGGGAGGCGGAGGCGGCGGAGGCGGCGGAGGTGGCGGAGGAAAGAAGAAGAAAAAGAAGATAACACTGATGAGCACTGGTGTGCGGAGAGGGGCGTGAGGGTGGAGGAATATTGTCAGGGGTGTGATTGGCCAGGACGGACCGGGTACCTTGCAGGAGGCTTCGCGAAGGAAGGTCAGCGGCTTGGTATTCTAGTGTAAACAAAATTTCCTCCACACGGCACGTCTAGCAAAATTTCTAACGGCGCTATCGACGACGGCGGCTCGGTTGATGCAAGTGACGGGGATGTCGAGCAATAAGAGGTGTAGTGATGTAATTTAGGGCGTTAGCTCGAGCACGGCGGCGGCAGCGGGCCTTTTCAAATTTGGCGGTGTCACAGTGTCAACAAGGCCGAGGAAGGTACGATTTGCAACAACAACCCTCCGCAAAGCAACTGAGTCGCGCAAAGCAGGAGGCCGTCAGCTTCACACATCCGCCTGCGCTGCCCCAGGGAATTTGCGCGCCCCCGCCCGCTCGCCGCTCGCCCTCGCCGCCATTGCTACTGCCATTCAGACCGCCCCTTGGTCTCCTTAACCATGTCTCAGCGAGTGACGCGTTCGCAGACGGGAGCCACGCCCAGGTATTTATACCGCCCTACAAGCGACAGAACGGCACCGCGCATCCGAAACGCTACGCCAATTGGCCTGCGCCGCGCCGTCTTGCGCGTTCCCAGCACCGCCATGGACTGAGATCCTGACCTCCAGTAACAGGAAGCCCTCCCAGCCGGGATTCGTCGAAACCCCCGGTCGCCGCCGCACGACGCGAAAATCTGTTCTCCAGTCTGCCGACGGCGATTCCTCTGAGAACGGAACGCCTATTCCCGATGCTGTCTCGATCAAGACCGAAGAGCCCCTTTCGAACGGTACCGCCAACGGCTTCGCCAATGGTCACGCGAACGGATTCGCCAACGGATTCGCGAACGGTCACGCGAACGGCCACGCAAACGGCCATGCGAACGGCCATGCGAACGGCCATGCGAACGGCCACGCGACCAATGGCCATGTCAAGGACGAGAAGCCTAAGAAGCAGGTCGTCGACCCGACCATGACGGAGGTCTCACCACACTTCGAGTTTGGCGGCTCGTGGGGCACGGGAGCCATGATGATTGGCTTTCCGATGTTGATGTACTACATGTGGTTGGGCGCGACATTCTACGGCGGCCGTCCTCCTACACCGGCTGAGGGCCAGAGCCTAGGAGAGTTTTTTCAGCATATGTTCCAGATGTGCTACGAGCATGCGTTCCCCCATGCGCGCGCCTGGACCATCTACTGGACCTTCATGACCATCCAGATGGTCTTCTACCTGTTCATGCCTGGCGTGTACTCCAAGGGCCAGGCGCTGCCGCACCTTGGTGGCAAGCAGCTCGACTACTACTGCTCTGCGGTTTGGAGCTGGTACACGAGCATCGCTTTGGGCTTGGGTCTGCATTACACTGGCCACTTCAAGCTATACACCTTGATCGACGAGTTCGGGCCTCTCATGACCGTTGCGATTATCTCGGGTTTCTTGATGAGCTTCTATTTCTACATTAGCGCTCATATTCGTGGTGCCACTGTTCGTATGACGGGCTACCCGGTCTATGACTTCTTCATGGGCGCTGAACTGAACCCGCGTCTCTTTGGATGGCTAGACTGGAAGATGTTCTTCGAAGTCAGAATGCCTTGGTTCATTCTGTACTTCCTCACTCTCGGCACGGCGGCGAGGCAATATGAGAACTACGGCTACGTCTCTGGCGAGGTTTGCTTCCTTGTCATGGCCCACTGGCTCTACGCGAACGCTTGCTCCAAGGGCGAGGAGATGATTGTCACGACCTGGTATGGAGATCTGGCATGCACACGGCTTCATAAAGCACGGCTAACCTGGCATTTTTAGGGACATGTACTTCGAGAAGCTTGGCTTCATGCTTACATTCTGGAACCTGGCCGGCGTGCCGCTCAGCTACTGCCACTGCACTCTGTACCTCGCCAACCACCACCCATCTGAATACGCGCACTCCAAGTGGCTCCTCGCGGTGATGTTCCCTGCCTACCTGTTTGTTTACTGGGTCTGGGACACGGCGAACAGCCAGAAGAACCACTTCCGTCGCAAGGAGCGTGGCTCCGACTACGACCGCAGGACGTTCCCGGTTCTTCCCTGGCGCGAGGTGCACAACCCCAAGGTCATCCAGACGGATACCGGCAAGGACCTTCTGGCGGACGGCTGGTATGGGCTTGCGCGCAAGGTGCACTACAGCTGCGACCTGTACTTCGCGCTCAATTGGGGCCTCATTTGCGGTTTCGCTAGCCCTTTCCCGTGGTTCTATCCGTTCTTCTTCAGCTGCATGATCGTGCACCGTGCGGCTAGAGACATTCAGCGCTGCAGGGAGCGGTATGGGCAGGCGTGGAAGGAGTATGAGCGCCAAGTGCCGTATCTCTTCATCCCCGTAAGTTGCACCCTCGAGCTATTGATCATTGGATATGGGCCAAGCGCTAATCACACGCTGCAGTATGTTATCTAAGTGACGGACAGAGTCCGAACATGGGTATTCTTCTCAGATGCCGCGCGCGAGTAGGGCACTCCGGGCGTGGCTCAGCACACGCACCGGAAGACGGCTTTGATCCATTCAATTCTGCAAATTCTTCGCACCGTATCGTTGGAGCCAGCGTCGCAAACAAGGTTTTAATCAGCAGTCTCTTTGACGGCGTAATACCCACTTCATTCTTGACAGTAGATGGGGTCAGCAAAGGAGGTTAGAGAGGGTTAGGGAAGCAGAGCCAGGCAATGATTTGATCTTCCGATTAAGAGATGACGGCCATGACGATATCTATCAGAGGTGAGGGACAGAAGACAGGGGCGTTTGGATGTTGCTTTGCATGCCTCTGTCGTGGAGTTGTTGTTTTGGAGATTGTTTCCATTATTGGTCGCCACAGGGGCAGGGCTAGGAGTAGCATCGTAATAGTAATACAAGCATCTGCGAATCAGCGGGACGGCTTGGAAGCCAGCAGCTGACACAGGCCGACGGCGGCACACGAGACAAGACTCGGGCCCCACCGTTTGAATAAAACGGAGAGGCCGGACGGGAGCATTAATATTTCTGGGTTGACATGGCTTAGTGTCAGGGCCACGATGGCCCCGAGGCTGCAGTTCCCATGATGCGAGCAAAGAGCGGGTGAGGTGGTATTGATGCATGCATGTCTCGGGGACATGTCGCCGTCATCAGCGACACACATCAGCTTCCATGTTGCCCTGGGCACGCGCACATGGTTCCGCCGCAACGAGCCATTTACAGAGGCCGAAGCGCAGCACGATGCGGACCCAAAGGCCAGGACCCGTCTGTTACTTGGGCGGCGCTAGTGCGCGTGGAATCATCATTCGCATCAGAGGCAAAGACCAACGTGTTTCGCCGGGGCGCGGCACGTTCTCTCATGGCGCCCCTAATTTCGACGTCGTGCCAAAACGCACATCCGAATAATACGTGCTGCACACCAGCTGGGAGGGGCGATCGGCATGCCGACCGGCCGCTGCACCAGTCGAGCACCTGCACGGCAGGCGGGAGATGCGTCCCTTCCGCGTATGGCAGGTACGTATCGGCGACGCCGTAGATAGGTCAGCGCTTCAACACGCCCGTCTTTCCGGCAGAGGGGCCCTGTTTGCTTTTCCTGCGCCGCGCTCCTGCCGGCCTCCGCTTGGGTCGGCCGATCCTGTTTCGTGTGGCTGAGGTGCGGACGCGGATTGGTCGTCGCATCTCGGGCGTCTTATTTGGAGCTCACCCCGCACGGGTTCGGGTGGCGCCAGCCAGGCACACACGCACGCACGTCCTTCACGCTTTGGCTGCGAAGCCGTCCCCCCTGCTGTCATACGGGCAGTCCGCCGCTGGTCCATCATCTTGTCGGCTGCCATCTCCGTGGGCCCAAGGCTCGGCGGCGGTTGCTGCGGACCTGGGTGGACACGCGAGTTCGTGCTTTCCCGGACGCTACTGCTTTATTTTTTTTCGTCATCTCTTTTAATGGCCATGATGTGGCTCCTCATTCGTTGCTGCCGCCGCCAGGCTAGCAGCAAAGCGGCTTCTAGAAAAAAGAACGGATGGGACCAGCGCGCATATGAGCAGGCAAACCGAGACGTTCATGATGCGCACGACCTACCACGACGGCCCACGCGCCAAAGATAATCCCCCTGCGGCCTCACGGGTCAGTCGCCACGCCAGCCATACGCAGTACAGGCACTGCGATTCGCGATTCGCCTCGGTCCCCATCCGCTTCATCCGCAACGGGCCCCCTATGGCTTGCATGCTCCTGCTGCACGAGTGGCCGTCCCGAATCCCATGGCGGGGCAGAGGCAGCTATCCTGGTTTTTCCCAACTTCTTACCCTATCCCGACCCTTGAAAGCTGGGTGATCGACGACCACCTGTCAGGGCTGCCCGCCTTCTGCTCATGACCATCGGCATGGCTCCCTAAGATTATCGACGAGCCTGCATATATAATATATACTTGTGATGGCCCTGCATTGAGCTGATCCGCTCTGGTTTTTGGGATCCTTCGTTTCATCTGTCTGTTCACACCATTATCCCCGTCCAGCCGCAAGAAGACGGTCGATTTGCTGCCTCCATTTTCCTTTGCTGCTCAGATACCACTGATCTCCAAGTTCCTTGACCGGGTATCCTCTTATCCATCGCTATGCGGTTTGCGAAGCGTGCCGGTGGCGGAGTACTGCTTGCGGTGCAGCTGGCCCACGCCCAATGCTCTGGGAAGATACACGTCCGGGAGGCTCTTGCAGAGCGTGCGCTGGAAGGTGTACCCCAGTTTGTACTGGATTATGGTAGGTGAAATCATTTATTGACGCGATCTGATGTCGTGATTGAGCTTCAGCGAGTGGGAGAGCATAGTTCGAAAAATCATTGTTTTATTCCTCCTTTCTTTTTTTCATTTCTGTATTGTTTCCTTTGCTTTTTATGCACTGTGTATTCTCGAAGGGAGGCTAATGTTTCTCGCTTTGCAGCGCCGTTGAGCTACATTCACCACGAGGACGCTTATTTCCCGTCCGACCTACAGGCACAGATTGATAATACTCAGCCAGAAGTTGATTTCAAGGTTGTGTCTGGCGCGGAATCCCCACTTGATCTCAACAACCTTGCTTCTCTGAACTCTTTCGGTGATGAGATATACCTTACTTCGAAGGATGATATCACGCAGACTCCACCTTGGCTGAGGGGCGTAAAACCCGACTGCAACGGAAAGACAGAAAACGCCACCACTGCAGCCGTCATTGTCAATGACAAAGGGAACGGGACGGTGGACGCCTTCTACATGTATTTCTACGCGTACAATTGGGGCGGCGTCGTGCTCGACCTCCAAGTAGGCAACCACGTTGGGGACTGGGAGCACAACATGGTGCGCTTCGAGAACGGCGAGCCGAAATGGGTGTGGTACTCGCAGCACGCCAACGGCCAAAACTTTGCCTACGACGTTCTGCACAAATCTGGCGATCGCGTGAGTATCTGTCACACCAAAAAGCATGGACTGAAGACGAACTAACACACCATACCAACGCATCAGCCCATCAACTACGTCGCCAACGGCACGCACGCCAACTACGCCATCCCCGGCGGCCACGACCACACCATCCCCAACCTCAACTTGCCCGTAGGTCTGCTGGAGGACCACACTGAAGGCCCCGACGACGGCGGCCTGCTCTGGGATCCGCTGCTCTCGGCCTACTTCTACAACTACACCAACGCCACCGGCACCCCGACCTTCACGGCGCTCGGCGACGCTGCCGACTCGGTCCCGACGTCGTGGCTCGACTTCCTCGGCAAGTGGGGCGACGAGGAGTACCCGGAGGACGACGACAGGCAGCAGCTGCTGTTCGGCGGTGCGGTTGCGAAGTACGCCAGCGGCCCGACGGGACCGGTCAGGAAGCAGCTGGACCGCAAGGATGTGTGCCCGGACAACGGGAACTTGTGCATTTATAGGTGGATTTTGGTGCCTTGAGCGCGGTTCTTCCTCTGGGGTGTATACACTGTGGACGAATGATGCTTGTAGAATTTCTTTTCGTAATGTTCATATTATGTGCGGGCTTTGGGAAGTCATGGAGGAGGCGGCTGGACATTGATTCGATTCATGTGCAGAATGTTAGTTCGTCGACCGACGGTTGGCCGAATAGTATAAAGTTTGGATTCACCTCTAGCCAGCAAGGCATGCATATTGCTTGGTCCAAGGACGCAAAAGGTAGATATGCCGTAGTTTGAATTTCCGTGTTGAGGAGACGCGCTCTGACGGTGACGTAGACAGAACAACGCGTCGCGGCAATGGATGGAGCTTGGGCCGCGCCGCTGATCCACCGCGGGTGCGCGCAGCTGGTCGACCATCTCGCAACCTCGCATCTCACCTTATCGCTGCAACTCGCCGCAGCGCGCTGCCTCTTGCCGTCGCCACCATGCAACTGCTTGAGCCCCGTCAGCCGGTAAGCCAGCCTGACTGCCTTCCAGCGCAGCGAAGAGATCTCCTAACGCCGTTCCAGCATCTACTGTCGCTGCCGGACGAGCTCGTGCTAGACATTCTCCGCTACCTCGGCGAGGGCGACCTGTTCGAACTCGCCCAAACCTGCCGCTGGGGCTACCGCCTGTCGATCCCGCTGCTCTGGAGAGACGTCGAGCTCAAGGATTGCTGGACTCTGCACCCGCGCGCGTCCCGGCCGCAGCTCAGAGCCCGGCGCGTCATCGACGAGTTGGCGGACGAGCATGATGATACTCCAATAATTCGAAAGCTGCTGGTGCTGGCAACGTGAGGCCACAGGTACATGCGTCCAAGCACCACCTATTGACATGCTGCAGCAAGCCCGCCATCGCCTGTCATGTCCAGACCGTCCTCCACCGCTGCCACCTCCCGACGCCCAGCATCTACCACGAGCTCCCGCTCTTTTGCTTCCGCTCGCTTACTCTCTCTGCCGACAGTCGCACCCACAAACTACTCATGCTGGCCATTCGGAACATGACCAACGTACACACGTTAAGGATCATTTATGGACACTACTTCCTCACTTACGGGCTTATCTGGGGCTTCTTGCACCCACGTCGCCCAAAAAATGTGCCTTTGAGGCGGCTGTGGCTTGAGTACTGTTCTCTTTCTATGCCAGAGCCTGGGCCGGTCGGTTCGTCGTTCTGGCCCGACCTCTCAGGCATTACGAGCCTAAGGCTCAGGCGCCTGAGCTATCTCAATGACCTCACACACACCAATGTCGTAACCCAGGGCATGGCTCTGAGCAGGGCTTTGATCCATAAGAGAATGCTGCAAAATGGCATAGGAGGGGAATACATGACCACCATAGACAAAGTGGTCCCCAATGGCGCTGCCGCGTCCCAGGCCTCACTGTTGGAGGCGACCCGGCTGGACCAGATTATCTACGACGCTCTCCCCGAGGTCAAGGACTTTCTGGAATCCACCCATGTGCCTGAAGATCAGCAGTTTGAAAGGACTCGACCTACCTCCCCTGCGAAATTCCTGAAGCTTCTCCTGAACGACTCCGCGGCTACATTAACCTCGTTAAATCTCGATATGCTACTATCTGACGACGCGTACCGACAGCGCGAGGAATGGCTTGTCAGAGACATGTTTTCCTGCTTGAGCCATTTGCGCTTCCCTCACCTCCGCGCCTTCCAGCTGCGCAATGTCATGACTCCTTGGACAAAGTAAGTCTCCTGAGCCCTCTTGCGAAGCCTTTTCCTTATACTCTTGTCACAGTTTACCGCGCGGGACGTATTTACTGGATAGACTGGATACACCTGGCTCTCCGACACCAGTTATCGATTTCTTGGAGTTCATGGAAGCCCACCCAAATATTTCGTGTCTGTCTTGGCCCATGGAGAATTTCTTCAGCCACTTACGCCCAGAGGGTCAGGCGGCAATTCAGCAAGACCGTGTCATATCAAATCTTGCCCGTACCTTGACAGAACTACGGGTGGACACCACGTTTCATCCCGATGCGGAAAGCCACAACTTAGGAGATTTTCAATACCCCTTGGGAGCCAAGGGACGGCGCTGGCATTTCATCACTAAGTTTGCCTCCCGAATGACTAAGGTCGAACACCTGAAGATGGAGGGTGGTATACCACGTGAGGAGAAGCATGAGACTATCCGGGCGCTGTGGAAATGCCCCCTCAACAAGATCGTCATGATCGCGAATTCAAGTCCGATCGGGAACTGCTGGGGAAGCAGCGACTTGTTCCAAATAAACGGCGATGATGATTGGGACCTTAATGAAGAGGATCTGAACGCCTTGAATGAGACGGCAGCGAAAGCGCCTGCTCCGCCTGGGGCAGACTTCCAGTTTGAACCCCAGTACGACTGGCTCGGCCCGTCCCTGATGCTGCACACCGTCGCGTCCTTTCACGCCGACACGATCACCGAGCTCAAATTTTGCGGTTACGTAGGCGCACCAATCCTCTTTGCCCCCACGGAGCTCTCACACTCGCTGCTCTCGCCTCTCCGACATTTCCACAATTTAAAATACCTGACCATGAGCATGTGGCTGGACACAAACTATGAGGACCGTCCCCGTGACGAAGAAATAATACAATTCTGGCTCAACACCCGCGACCCAGACTCGTCAGCCATGATCGTTCTCGTTCCCGAGTACGACGCCTCATCCGAATCCGACTTCAACATCGACGACAGCGACGTGGAAATGCGGCCACCAACACCAATTTCACCTCGTCCGCCAACCACTCCTCCCGGCGCCGCCGACCCCGAGCTACAATTCTACCACGACCTCCAGGACCACATCGCCGCCAACCCGAACAATCCACATCCGCTCCCAGACCCACCAGAGGAAGTCGCTCAGGCCCAACAAGCTCAACAACAACAGCAACAACCAGGTCCGCCCAACGACGCCGCTACCAACAACGACAACAACAACAACAACATCAACATCAACAACAACCACCACCACCACCACCACCACCACCACCACCACCACCACCAACCCCCCGCCGCCATCGCCCAACACAACACGACGCACCACCTCGTCGCCGTCACGGGCGACCCCGTCACCGGGCCCGAGCCCGTCCTCGCCGCCTCCCGCCCCCTCTCCTGGCCCCGCCGCCTCAACGCAATGTACGCCCCGCGCGCCCTCGCCGGCCAGGTCGCCCGCCAGATCGGCCCGTACCTGTCGCCACAGGCCAAAGCCAAAGGCAGTAGTAGTAGTAGGGAAGAAGGTGTCGTGGTTAGGGCGAGTTTCTGCTTGAGTCATAGTGTGGGGTGGGGGACTGTGTTTGATATCGATGTGGGTGTGGGGACGTGGATGGGGATGGGGGAGAGGGGGAGAGGGAGAGGAGGGGGAGGGGGAGGGGGAGGAGGTGGAGGGGGAGGTGGTGGTAGTAGCAGCATCGAGGCGGTGAGCGGTTGGAGCGCCGGGATGGCCTCCGGGCTGGGAGAGGGGAAGGTCTTGTGGTGGGAGGGGCCGAGGGAAGAGGGCGAGCGGAGGAGGTGGTGGGGGAAGTTGAATGGGAGGCGGTGGTTTTGATGTGGAGAGAGAAAGAGAGTGAGTAGTAAGGACAGGGAGGGAAATAAACATGATGCGTGTCCTGGGAAGTTGGCTGGCGGTTGCGATGGGTGGAGAATGGAACGGGAAGGTTTCCTGGGGGAGGGGTTTTTTTTCTCTTTCATAGAGGGGAGAGAGCAAGCGATGGGCAAGCGAATGGTGGGTGGGTTATTGGTTTTTTTTTTTCTTCAGCATTGATGAAGGAAGTTTTGGAGTCAATCCTAAGTTGGTTCGGGACTTTTCAGCGGAGAAGAGGTGTTCTGGGGTGTTGTTAGTAGTATAGCACAAATAGTGCGTACATACTGCTGCTTATTCAATATGTTGTTGGTGTACACTCAAAGGGCTCTCGTGTCATATTCCTTTCAATTTTTTTTTTTTGCATAGGATCGATCACATTCAGACAGACAACTTTCTTCTCTATTCGTTGCTCTTTTTGATCTGTAAAAAATATCTCCGTATACCCACTCAAGCGGGAAATAACAAACTCATCTGTATCTTTTCGACAATCGTCATCCATTTTTTTTTTCAACTCGCTCAAGGCAGGATCCTCTGCGGATCGCGGGGGAACAGGCTGGCGAGGCGGACGTTGCCGACGCCGGCCCAGAAGCTGACGATGCGCTCGAGGCCGAAGCCGCCGCCGGCGTGGGGCGGGCAGCCGTAGCGGAAGCCGTCGACGTAGTCCTTGAGGCCGGGCCCGCTGGGGTCGACGGGCGGGTCCATGCCCTTGCAGCGCTGGATGAGGAGCGTCGGGTCGTGCACGCGCTGGGCGCCCGACATGATCTCCTGGCCGCGCATGAACATGTCGTACGAGTTGGACAGCTGCGGGTCGTGGGGCGACGGCATCGTGTAGAAGGGGCGCACGGCCAGCGGGAACTGGTCCAGGACGTAGAAGTCGGAGCCGTACTTTTCGAGGACGAGCTTGCCCAGGAGCTTTTCTTGGGGAGTGCTGTCGGAGGTTTGGGGTTAGTGATATGAAGTTGTGGGGGGAATGGGATAAGGTCAAGCATACCTCAGATCCTCGTAGTCGCCAAGCTCCTCTCCGGCTTCGCGAAGCATCTTGACGCCATCCTTAAAGGGAATGATGGGGACCTTGCCGTCCTCGGGCAGCTTGAAGTCCTCGATGGTGTTCTTGCCGCCGCTGGCCCACTCGCGGACGATGTCGGTTTCCTTGCTGTAGCGTTCACGCAGCCCCTTGAAGATGAACAGAAGCATCTCGACAATCAGATCGACGACCTCGTGATAGTCCTCCTCGAAGGCCATCTCCATATCGAGGCCGGTGAACTCGGTCAAGTGGCGGGCGGTGTTGCTGTTCTCGGCGCGGAAGACGGGGCCGACCTCGAAGACGCGCTCGAAGCCGCCGGCGACGAGCATCTGCTTGTACAGCTGGGGCGACTGGGCCAGGTAGGCCTTGCGGTCGAAGTAGGTGCACTCGAAGACGTTGCTGCCGCCCTCGGACGCGGCGCCCAGCAGCTTGGGCGTCTGGATCTGGGTGAAGCCCTTGGCGTGCATGAACTCGGCGTACAGGGCGCAGATGCCGCTCTTGATGCCGAAGATGGCGCGGTTGTGCGTCGCGCGCAGGTCCAGCACGCGGTTGTCGAGGCGCGTGGCCAGCGCGACACGAGGCCGCTCGCCCTCCTTGGCCGCCTCCTCCTCGGCCGTGGCGCCCTCTTCGGGCAGCGGGCGCTCGGCATCCTCGACCTGCAGCGGCAGCTGCGGCTCCGCCTTGGAGATGATGTACAGCTTCTGGATGTGGACCTCGAGGTTCTTGAGCGTCGCGCTCTTGATGGGCTCCTTGACGCCGCGCACCAGGCCGTGGACCAGCACGATGGACTGGGCGCTGACGCTGCCGGCGAACTTGACCATCTGCCGCGACAGCTTCTCGCTGGCCGCCACCACCGCCTGGATCGTCTCGTCGCCCTGGCGCAGGTTCAGGAAAGCCAGCTTCGCCGACTGCGACCGCGCGTTGATGACGGTGCACCGGAACACGACCGGCTCGTCCTGCTCCTTGAGCTCCGTGAACTTGGCGCGCTTCTGTCCCGAGGGCGTGTGGGGGACCGAGCCGATCATGGGCAGCTCGCCGTAGTCCTCCTTGGACACGTCCTGGCCGGCATCGCCGCCGCCCTGCTTGAGGCGTTCAGCCAGCTCGCGCTCCTTCGCCGCGGCCTTCTTCGCAGCCTACGGGGAGAATTGTGTCAATGGCGTGTCTGATGGGGCGCTGGCACAGTCGGGCTTCCAAACCTTCTCGGCCTCCTTCTGGGCCTTCTTCAAGGCGTTCTTGGACGGGGCAGCAGCGCCCTCGGCCGGGGGTGCGTTCTCAGCCATTGTGGATGTTTGTGGACTCAAAAATACGGATGGATGGGCGGAGTCGGGCGCGGAATATATAGCACGGGCGTCGGAGTGCGGTGACCGTGTTAGGCGTGGAGTGACGAAGGTGGTTGTTGATATGAGTCGAAAATTCCGTTCGCCGACCAGGCGGGGTGACGTGTGGTGGGGTGCTCTGGCGCTCAAGCCAAGCTTTTCCCGCCGCCCTGCGGATCCTGAGCAATGAACGTTCCATTTCGGTAGGCATGTTATTATCTGCCACTGAACTCACATAGCCCAACTACAAAGGTTAATAAATAGCTGCAACTTCTTTTGATTTTCTGGGCTTGTGGGCGGTCGAATTGCTCTCTGGTTTGCCTGTATACTGCAAGCTCGCTCAGATGGTGACTCAAAACACCGCCGCCAGAGGTCATTGCATAGGGACACCGACGGTATCGACTTGATGCTTATCCTTGCAAAACACTCGAGCTCGATTGACTAACCACCCTTCGCAAGCCCCATAATGTCGGTCCAGCAAGCAGAGCAAGCGGCGGTCAAAAGCCACCCGCTCGCACCCATCCCACTCCATCTCGTCATTACTATTAAGCCGTAGACGCCATCGCTATGTGAACCACCACCGAATGCAGTATGCAGACCGTGACTAATGAACCGTTCCCAGAAGGAGAAGAAATCAAATCGCTACAAAGCACCCTAGGTTAGGAAGGAGAAGAATCGAAGTCCCTAGACGAGCATGAGGCTCGCAAGCTTCAGGGAGAATAGAAGAGAACGTTATCCCACCGGTCTAACGTATTAAGTCTCACTCGCGGTTACCACCATCGGAATAGTTGCCCAGTCCGCTGCACTCGTAGATGTTGATGTGTGAATCGTGCAGCGCCGAGCCTGCGATCATCATCCTGTGCGGATGGAAGGCTGTCGTCGAGATGGGGGTATACCGCTTGTTTTGGAGGAAGCCCGAGTATGGCTCAAAGCTTGAGAGAGACTTACCGCTGTTCAGGTTGAACAGCTTGACAACATGACGCTCCGTACCACTGTTGCTGTCAGCATTGGTTCGCGAGCGCCTAGAATGATGAACTTACACTGCGAAGACCGGCGCGTGCTCATGCACACTCAAGCTTCTAAGCGTGTCTCTTGTTGCCTGGATGGTCTTCACACTGCGGTCCATGCGAATGTCCCACAGCTTGACTTCGCCATCACGACAAGCGCTGACAAGCTCGCGCTGACCGCCGCGTTGGAGATGGATGTTTGTGATCCACTGCTTGTGCTCCTTCCAGACCTTTACCATCTCGCGCTTCTTTTCCATGCGTTGGTCGTATATGCGCACCGCGCCGTCGCCGAAGCCGGCCGCAAACACCTGGCCTTCGACTTGGTCCGATGTAAGCGAGGTGATGCAAGAGCCCGATCGGGCATTGATATCCTGGTCATCGTAGTTAGCACCGAGCGGAATCCGCACTGGACGCGACTAAGCCTACCTGCGTGCACGTCTCGCTTCCGGCATTCCAGACACGGATCACGCGAACGTCACCAGCCACCAAAATGTGGCCACGGCCTTGCTGCCAGTCGAAGACGAGCCCAGCATACCTGTTGCTGGGTACTAGATCGGTCAGGGCGCGGAAAGCCGATACAAGCTCCACCTTGCTAGGGTCCTCGTAGTCGCGGTAAAGCTTGACAACGCCGTCAGACGACCCAGTCATCAACAACGCCTGGTCATCCTCGTTGATGAACTTGACTTCTGTCATCTTCGATCCAACCGGATTGCCGTTCGAAAAGCGGTTGAGGCGAGTGTGCCGCTCCCAATCCCAGACACTATATAGAATCAGGTAGGTGGCTCTTTACAACATCAACAAAGGTAGATACGTGACTTACCAAACCGTGTCGCTGTCGTCTGTGACAATGAGATGTTCCTCGAACTGATGGAAGCACATTTTCTGAGGCTGGCTGCCATTGTTGAAGAAACCCCTTGGTCGGTCCCACCGATTGCTTCCTGCAACGTCCTTGAGCGGCTGCGTCTCGGCGATGATCTTATCGTTACGATTACGGCGCCACAGTCGCATGTTATAGTCCATGCTGCCAGGTTCATCGCCCTCGGTAGGCTTCATCTGCGGCTCGCGGAAGTATTCCGCTGACCATTCGAAAAACTTACTCCTCAATGGAATGCTCGGCTTTTGGTGAGGGTCACGCCGCCGGTACGTCCGCGTTGTGGGAACCTTGTCCGGAGAGTTCGACGACATTGCTGTGCGAACCGAGTCCTTTTCGTCAGGTGGACGATTCCACTCGCTAGGGATGCGACCGCGTGATCCAGTAGTGTTGGACCTAGTCATGCTCTTCGTGCTGTTTACTGGACTTCCGTCGGAGCTTGAGTGCGAGCCAAACGCCAGGTTCTTGAGAGATGCAGCAACACTTGCGGTCCTACGCATACCGGCGGACAGGAAGCCGTCTTGCTTTGACGGGACGGACGGCTCAGCTGACTGGGATGGCTGCGGTACTGAATGAGATTGGTCCGCGTATGAACTACGAGGCGCCTTCTTCTTGGCTTCAGCGCTGATCTGCGCGATCTCATCCATTAGAGTCTGCGCGTATGATGCAAGAGGTGACTCAAGAACTGCGTTCAGCACGTAGTCGACTATTACGCAAGCATTGTCTGCGACCTCAGGGTTGGGGTCAACGGAGAGAATAAGGATATCCTTCCACATGGCCGAGAAAACGGTGTTCTGGGGCAGAACGCTAGGCGACTCCGTTCCTGCGTCACTGTTAACCTCCTCAACACCTTCGTAGGACTTTCGAAGCGCATTTCGCTCTTCCTGAAGCTGCTTGAAAGCAGCAACGACAAACTTGTTGTCATATCGTGCCACGAAGGTGGAGAAGAAGACGAGAAGTTCTTTCCGAACCATGCTGTTGCCGTCGTGTGCCATGAACAAAAGGTTTCCAGCAATCGACTCCTCAATCTGCGCGACCTGAGGGGTGACATCGGGAATGCCCAAAAACGTGGTAAGAGCGTGAAGCATCGAGGCTCTCACCTCGGCAACTGGATCTGTGCGTAGGAAAAGTAGGCGTTGATGGGCTTGAACTTGGATGCCAGTCCACTTGGCCTCAGGGTAGTCGACCCACAGCATGCTCAGGCACAGACATGACCATTGTCGGAGAAGGGGGTTGTGTAAATCTCCAAGGTGACCCAGACAACTCTCAAAGACCTCCGGGCTGAGTGAAACCACCTGGCCTTGGTGGAAATCTTTGCAGAACATGGCAACAATGAACGCACACATGGCGCGATGTTCGCTCTGATTGCCGATTGGGATACCCGAGTTAGGATTGAGAATGCTGATAAAGTAGGTGTATCCATTGTCCTTAAGCAGATCGGTCTGACACGATTGGTCTACTGCCAAGATGCGGGCCCAGATGAAGACCATGACGGGCTTCAGTTCCATGGCTTGTGACTGCAGAAGCTTCAGAACATAGGGAAAGATACCAATGCTCAAGGCTAGGTTAACAGCCCACGGACCAAGATCCAAGAATTTGCTGAGTAATATCAAAGCACGGAGACGATGCACTTGACTGAGGAGAACCTGAAGGACGATAGGGAGTTGCTCAGGAACTCTCTGCTCCATGGCGCCACCCTGGTCGAGATAGACTTCGAAGGCCGTGAGCTGCTCCGCAAAGAAGTTGGAGTGTTGATACTCGTATTGCTTCTCTCCCCGTTCTGCAGCGATCAAGTTCGGCAATTGAGCGAGGATCATCTCCACGGCCAGATCCCAGCTTTTCCACAGCGGGTGATCATGAGTCTCGGGAATTTCCGGGTAGCACTGGGGGTGGCAGTGATACACTCGCATAATGCGCTGCGCTAGCAGAAAGTTTCGGAAGAGAGCCGCAACCATCAGATCCTGGCGGAAAAGTTTCTTGAACAGCGGCTTGGACAGCGAGTTCCATGCAATGGTATCCGTAATGGCTGTGAAGATCCAGTTGAGCTCACCAATCGGAGTACGCCTTTCAGAGACGCGCCCTGGAATATTTGCCGCATCCTGAAGTGTTATTCCCGTCGGCAGAGGATTCTGTAGGATGAAAAAGCGGACAGCCATTTCAATGGGCGTGGTCAAGCACGACGTGAATACGTCAGCCGGAAGATCAGGGTTGGTGGGCAGAGTTTCCTTCTCCCTGCACGCTGCTAGATGTATGCAGTCGCTGAAGTCCATGATCTCTGCATTAGGCTCCCTTCTCAGCACCTCAGCGTTCTCTTGTTCGTGCTTCTCTGCAAATTTGTTGAAATTCTGGATGATGAGACCTGCGTCGGAGCAGTCATACACAAACAGGCTAGGTGCGCCGAGCCACGATTGTAGATCGTAAAGCGAGATGGGAATGTACTGGGTGTAGTTCCTGTTGAAGACCCAGATTTCTCCCGACGAGGTCGGCCTCGGCACACCATGACCATTGTAGTGGAACAGGACACGCTCGTTACGGGCGTTCTTGCGCAGTGTGGAGCAGTACCGGCGAGTCTCATCGACTGTCGGGTCAAGACACAGCTTGTAACGGGTGCGCATGCTCAGCTGTTCGTACTGAGTCTGCAGCGCCTTCCCAATGTTGTTCATGGGAGTGTGACCGGAGGTCCCTGTCGAGATGGTGGGGTCGATCCAGCACTCCAACTTCGCACACGGGTTCGTCTTGATCACATCGGGCGGGTCCACACCAATGTTCAGGCAAAGGGCGAGCACAGCCGAGACCGTCTTCAGCCTGTCCTTCATGCGCCATTCCTGAAGCGGATATATCTCACTGTCGTCCTTGGGGTTGCCATTGGTTTCGTGTTTCTTGTCGGTGAAGTACATGAAAAAAGTCGAGCTCAATAGATTCTGGTATTCCTCTGAAGTGAGCTGAGACTCCCAACCGTGTCGGATGGTCCACTCTCCATCACCGTGCTCGTGTTCATCCTCATCTTGCACTTGGTGCTCGTTGTGTCGCGGTCCAAAATCGCTCTTTGCGCGCAGCATCAGTGGTCGCGCGGGCGCAGATCCGTTTGCGCCGTTGACGCGAGATTCAGCCATGGTTCCGCTGCGGTGTTCGGGCGCTCTGGTGGCGGATGACGAGCGGGGGCTCAGGGCGCCGTCTCGACGGTCACGGGTGTTGGGGCGCTGGTCGCTGTGCTGAGGAGCTGCGGCAGCAGCTGTGCGTGAATGCGGGATGTCGGCGGGTTGAGGATCGTTCGCCCCAGGCGTTGACGTGAGAACCCTCATAGCAAAGCAAGGCCCATCGGTTAAAAGCGCGGCGGAAGCGGGGCGCTTGCGGTGGGGTGAGGGCGGGAGGTGTTGCTCTGAAGAAAGCTCACCGACGGAGTGAGTGAGCGACGCGACCTTCGTGGTTGCCCGACAGGATAGCAGCCTCGAGCTCGAAGTTCACCGGCCGCAGTCTGACCGCCCGGTGTGCGCCAGCCAATGGGAAAGCGCAGGCCGGTCAGCTGCATCCAGCGTCACCAAGCGGACGTCGAGGAAGTGTGCGCTCTGGTTGGCAGGGCGAGGGAAACGCTGGTGCTTGCTGCTGTCTACTGTGCACACCAAGCCGCGCATGCCTATTTTCCCCGCGGGTTTGGTGGGTTCGGGGCAGGGACATGCGTTGTGCTTGCCGCGCCTCTTGCATGCGCCTCGGACGAGCGATAAGCGATAAGACACCTCGGACGGGCGCTGCAGGGATCCCGCCCGCCGCTGGCGAGAAATTGCGTGACGGCATGCTCGCCTGGAATGCACAGAAGCTAACACCACCAGCCACATGCATTCCTGCCCCTTCGGTCGTCTTGCCCGGCGGCTGTAGCGCTGGATTTTGCGTGCCAGCATGACCCGCGCGCCCGCCTCCGCAGGGCTCGCGGCCATGCGCGCTCTGTTCGCGGCGGCCAATTGCAGGGTGTGCTAGGCGCAGATCCTCAGGGGAAGCCGGGCGGCGCTCAAGGGCCCGGCAGAGACGACTTGCGCGGTCGACCAGCTGTAATTTTGGACGAGTAACATGACTCCGTGGAGATCACCAAGGCCGCCTCAGGGACCAGGCGGGTATAACGAGAGGCCTTAAGCCCTGCTGCTCTTCGCACGCGACGACTTTCTGGCGCGGCCCGAGTGCTTGTTGCATTGCACGGCGACCCAGCACCAGCGAACGCGAGGCCTCTTGCAGCCCAGCGGCGACCCCTTCTTCCCGTGTCCTCTGTCTCAAGATTTCCCGAACACCCCCGACTACCAATTTCTCGAGCGCTGCCATCAAACGGCCCGGAGCTTGCGCCTTCCACCGCTGCGGAAACCGGCGCACAGACGGTGATTCATGAGTGCGGCCGCCATCCGCTTCAAGACATCTGGTCCACCCCCAGCGACGTTTGTCAACACCATCCGAAACGTCCTCCTTTCGCTCCACCCGCCCAGCGTCTGGATGTCCAGATAGCCGGTCCACCGCTGGCCCTACCACCTTGCGACCGGCCCTAGGCCCCGCTGCCGCCCATGGCGTTCCTGTTCAAGTCCAAGAAGCAGCAACCGCCCGCGTCGGCCCTCCCTGCCGCGTCGCGCAACATCACCTCGTCCGATGGCCCGCCGCCAGCCTCGTCCATACCCACTGCCAATGGCGCGCGAGCCGGCCCTCCGCCGCGCGAGGCCGAGCCGGCCAGGAACTCGCCGCAGGCCCAGACACCCACGCCCACCGCCTCTGTGAACAACTCGGTGAGCTCCCTGCAGGGCACCGAACATACCGCGAGTCCGGAGCCCACCAAGTTGCGGGAGCGATCCAACTCCCAGCTTCAGGTAATTGACATCTTAGCCCTGTCTTTCTGCGCCGAGCGTCTTCGCCACTGCCCAATCGCCGTGGGGCCGAGCGCACCGCAAGTCGTGCTGATGCTGACATGTCCGCTAGAACGGGCGTGCCTCGCAAGCTCCCCCGCCGCGCGGTCTTTCCGAATCCCCCTACCCGTGGTCTCAACGCCGCCTAAATTTCACAACCGCCGCAAGCCCGTTCCCGCGCTATGGAGCCGCAGTCAATTCCCTCGCGTCCAAGGACGGCAGCATATATCTTATGGGCGGTTTGGTTAATGGCACCACCGTGAAGGGCGATCTGTGGATGACCGAAGCAGGCGCTGGGAACATGGCGTGTCATCCTGTTGCTACGACCTCGGAGGGACCAGGCCCCAGAGTTGGACATGCCAGTCTGCTGGTTGGGAATGCATTCATTGTGTTTGGCGGCGATACTAAATTGGACGAGGGCGATCTCCTTGACGACACGCTTTATCTTCTAAACACATGTATGTCTAACCCCGCGCCGATCTCTCGAGCTGACAGGCTGACGCAAAATAGCAACGAAGCAATGGTCGCGCGCCCTGCCGGCAGGACCGAGGCCATCCGGTCGTTATGGTCATACGTTGAACATTTTGGGATCACGGATCTATATCTTTGGTGGCCAGGTCGAGGGCTTTTTCTTCAACGATTTGGTTGCTTTTGATTTGAATGCGCTGCAAGTCCCGAACAACCGATGGGAGGTGCTCATTCCGAATAGCGCAGACGGTGGCCCAGCCCCCGGTCATGTTCCCCCGGCGAGAACTAACCACTCCATTGTCAATTGGAACGACAAGCTATATCTGTAAGTCGCATCGAGAATACCTTTTCTACGTGAGGACTGAACAACACCCGCTAGGTTCGGTGGCACAGACGGTGTAAACTGGTTTAGTGATGTCTGGGCCTACGATCCTAAGACCAATTCTTGGTCGGAGCTTGACTGCATTGGCTATATCCCGCTTGCGCGAGAAGGGCACGCCGCCGCCATCGTCCAGGACACCATGTACGTCTTCGGAGGTCGGACAAGAGAAGGAACTGATTTGGGTGATTTGGCCGCTTTCAAAATAACGTCGCGCCGGTGGTACATGTTTCAGAACATGGGCCCATCGCCATCCCCACGCTCTGGACACAGCATGACTGCTTATGGAAAACACATCGTGGTACTTGCCGGCGAGCCGAGCTCTTCTGCCCCGGATCGCAATGAGTTGAGCATGGCGTACGTCCTGGACACTTCCAAGATTAGGTATCCGTCAAGCGAACAGTCTCCTGCGACTGCTGTTGAGAGACAGCCTGTACGGAAGATGAGCGGTGGAGGATCAGGAATTCCGCAGAGTCGGGCAGGCCGCGAAAGTATGATGGCTGGCCCCATGGGAGCTCCCCCCGCTAGGCCAGCTGAAGGACCTCCTGTTGCTGGCAGCCCGCAAAACAGTCCTGGCGGCTCACGCCTTCCTCTCCCTCGAACCGTCGGAGGACCTGTAGCATCTTCAGGACCTCCTCCGCAACAACAAGCTCCACAGCCCAGGGCAAATGGTGCCAGACCAGGCAGCAAAACTCCTACCAAGGCATCCGGATTTGGACCTACGGTTGACACGGCAAGAGCCGCCGCGCTCGATCGAGACGCCATGTCTCCCGTGGCCAGGGAATCCCCCGTGGCCAGAGACAGCCCGTCAATGCGGGAGAATGAGCCGCAGAGTGTTGCACAACGCGCCATGCAAAACCAAGGCCGGGAACAGAGCCCGCGTGGTGTTCGCAGTCCCGTTCAAGCGAAGCCACCTCATCTCCACAAGGACTCGGTCGACTCTGTAAAGAGTGGGCCGCCGCCGCGGTCTGAATCTCGTTCACGTCATCAGCAGTCCTTGGACAATGTTGTGCAAGACTCTCCTCGCGGATCCTCAGAGGGCCACAAGCACAGGCGATCAGCAAGCCGCGAGGTGGAAAAGCCAATCGACAGCGGAATGGGGTCCTCGCCATCTGGAAAGGCGCCGAGCGAGGAAGTTGTGCGGGAACTGGAGGCTGCGCGAAGCCGGAACGCTTGGCTTGCATCCGAATTGGCCTTGGCGCGCAAGGCCGGCTACCAGGCCAATGCATCAAATAGCCCTGTTTTGGACGAGAGGGCCGCGGAGGCCTTTGGCGACGACGACAAACCACTCGTGGAAGCTCTAATCAGGATGAGAGCTGAATTGGCCAAGGTTCAAAACTCCATTGACGCACAAGCGGTCGAAGCTGCCAACAAGATTGCTCAGATAGAAAGGCAAAGGGATGCCGCTATCGGTGAGGCAGTGTATGCAAAGACCAAACTTGCTGCGCACGGTGGAAGCCAAGCAGGAACTCCGCAGCCCGATGGAAACCGGAACATGACTCCTGATATGGATCGGATGAACGACATGAACAGGCGCCTAGCAGCTTCTCTTGCTGCTCAAACTGAGCTGTCCTCGCGGGTCGATGGTCTTTTGGTCGAGATGGAGTCCGAGAAGCGGGCACGCACTCTTGCCGAAGAAACCGCCGAGGCCGCACAGAAGCGCGCGAGTGATCTCGATTCCTACCGCCAGCGGACTATGATGGAGTTGGAGTCGTTGAGAGCTGAGCTTCATGAGGCGGAGAAGGCTGCGCGTGAAGAATCAGCCTCTTCTGCCGAAGCGAAGGCATCCGCGCAAATGCTTACCATAGACAAGTCCGAGCTTAGCGGGAAGCTTTCTAGGGCTCTTGACGACGTCAAGAACCACTCCGGTGTTCTTGAATCGCTTCGTGCTGCCGTTAACGCCTCCACGGACAAAGCAGCCCTGCTCGAATCGAAGCTCGACGACGAACGGACCCTGCGCAGCGAGCTCGAACAGCAATTCGCCAAGATCCGCGCAGAGCACGAAGATAGCAAACGTGAACTCGAAAGCACCGCTCGGCGCCTCAAGGATTCCGAGGAGATTGCTGCTAAACATGCCGAAGAAGCTGCAATGCACCGGGAAGCCGTGCTCAATGGATTGGCTCGAGCCACCGACAAAGACACGGATGAAGACGTCTCTGACCAAAGGGTACAAATATTGCAGCAACAGCTTGATGCAGCGAGCGCCATGGTCCGAAAGAACCAAGAAGCTGCCGACCTCGCCTCGGAGAAACTACGCCGTGCTGAAGAACGGATCGCCGGCCTGGAAACGTTCCAAGAGCAGGCAAGCAGGGAGGGTTTGTCGATCCGGAAGCAGCTGCAGAACGCCATGCGGGAGATGCAGCAGCTCCAGTCGGATAAATCTGAACTCCAACAGCAGTACGAGAGACAGCTTCTCGAAGCTAATGCGCACGAGGTTCAGCTCAAAACTCTCAAGAACTTGCTGGACGAGCGTGGCATCAGCACAAGTGCTGCGGAACACCGACGCTCTCGGGCGCTTGACAGTCCCAGCTCACGCTTCAGCACCCCTGAGCTCAATCGCGTGCGTGAGCTTGAACAACAGCTCGATGCCAGCCTCAAGGCGCACGATGAGATGCGGGCAAGCTTTGAGAACCGTGAGGCTGAAATCAGCAAAGAGTGGGAGGAGAAGATCACCGCGCTGCACAACGACCACCAGGCCGCAGTCAAGTACCTTCGCGGAACGGAGAAAATGCTCACAAAGATGAAGTCTGAGTTGGAGAGGTACAAAGCCACCAATGGGGAGCTGGAGAAGGAGCTCAGCCAAGCGAGACAGAGAGGCCTCAGCCCTAACCAGGACGCAAACTCCAACTGGGAGGCTGAGCGTGATGCCCTTCGATCACAAATCACCAACATGCAGGGCACGCTCAAGGAATCTGTCACGCAGCTTGAGAGCCAGATTCAACAGCTTCAGACCGACTTGGAGGCCGCTCGCGTTGAGCAGGAGTCTGCTGCGCGTCAAGCTCAGCAGCTCGAGCATGTTTCTGCTCAGCAACGCGCTGAGATGGAGAGCCTTCAACGCGAAAAGGTTTCTCTGGAAGAGCGCGCAAGAGATGCCGAGCAACGCGTTCAGATGTTCCTTGACCAGTTCGAAAACAGCGTGGACAACTATCGTCGCCAGTCTCAAATGGTGCTCCAGCCCCACGGCCATGACGATCACTCGCATGGCCATAGCCATCACCGATCACACGGCAGCATTGCAGGCGATAGCATCTACAGCCAAGCTACCGACACCACCGAGCGCACCGTCACACCTCCGAATCCGCAGGCTGCCGCAGCGGCAACCCGCAACTCGATGGCCCTGGACAGTCTGGCGACTGAACTCGAGTCTTTGCGTTCGCACTGGGAGAGTACGAACAAGGCCTACCGCCTCAGTCAACATTCGTACATCGACCGTACCCCGACGACTGAACAGGCAGACATTGGCGAGAGTCTTGGCTCGTGGCGTAAGCGTCTGGACTTGGATGATGAAGACGAAGACGAAGACGACCATCCGACGCCGCAGTATGCGTCCACGCCGTCGTCTTCGCAACATGCAAAGCAGCCATCTCCAGCAATGCAAGGGGGCCTCGAGCGCAATGGCAGCGACGATGCCAATTCTAGGACGCCGACCCTTGCGACGATGAATGGCGTTTCGCCGGGCTCTCCGACCGGCCCTGGACCGGGTGGAGCAGCGATGATCTAATGAAGGGGCAAAGATATTGAACTTGTTCCACCACGTGCCTGACGATGGAGATTTGACAACACAAAGACAAGCAGCGCATGTTCCTTCGCCACGATTATGGATAAGTCTGAGTCAGGACGCTGCTATGATGGATCGATGAGGCAAGTCACTTCTTTTACGCTCCAAACATGGGTTTGGAATGCGCCTTTTGGCGGATTCGGGAACCATGAATTGTCATGCCAGCCTCGAGGAGTTTCAGTTGTTATTGCCGTTGTTTGTTTTTTGAACATTTATTTCACGATTCTGTATTCCCCGTACCTCAAGTTTTTAGTGCCCCTAGTACCCCAGCTGTTCATCTCAGCCACGCTATGCGATTTTTTTTTTTTTTTGGTTTCCTGTTTGATTTCCCGTTCCAACTCGCACAGATACCTTTTTCTCGTTTACAACAGTACGGGTTTTATTCTCGCTCTCGCAAAAAAACAAAAAAGAGGACTGGTGAGGCGTGCTCTTCATAGCGTGGAATCGTAGTATTCCCTAATTAGAGACGCATTTTTTTGTTATCATGGGGGCTCCCATGCTGCCTTGGCGCAGTCTTCACCAGATCCCTTCTTCTTTCTTCCTCTTTTCGTACTTCTCATCGCGCCCATCTTCGTCATGGTCAAGGCGTTTGTGCGGAGAGAATACCACCGTTGCTCTGCCTGCAGCAGGCTTGATGCCACAGTTGCTGTTTGTTGGTGTGCATGTTTCGTGCGGCATAAAGCGTCTTCGAAGGACTTTTGACGGCGGTTTGAGTGGAAAGGTTGCATGTAACTGCGCGAGCCAGTCCTGGCCGTTGGGGGCGTGTTATCGTTCTCGAGGCTTTGTGTCAGTAGCGAGGGTTAGTTTGTTGCCTTATTTCCACGTTTTGATTTTCTCCCCTTTCATGCAAGCATTTTGCAGGGTGATGACGAGCCGATGAAGGGAGATAGGTTTCTGTCGTGTGTACTAGTAAATGATGAGCGAAGTGTCAAGATGCATCAAATGTGGGGGGTGTGTATACGATTTATCCAATGGTGTGGGTGCTTTGTTCAAAGCTCATTGAAACTCTTCACGTCAATAGCTTCTATTTGATATGTAGACGAGTTGTGATCCTCTTCTTCCCCATGTCTGTTCACACTCGCTGGCTCTCGAGATACTGGCACCAAAGTGTATCAAAATGTGCAAGTAGAGAAGTCACCTAGTAGTTCCTTGGATCCGTCTACCTGGCTCTTCAGATTCGTCTTCAACGTTTCGGTACCTCTCGGGGTGACGTCTTCTATTTGCGTGTCAGCGTTGCACCCTAATTGAGTAGAACGTGATAACGACCTGTCCCATTTGTACAGATAATCAAGCAGGTACATCCCTCCGACAGCCAGAAGTCCGAACGCGATCAAGAACTGATAGCCATACTTGTAATGCGGAGCATCCTGCGTAGGGAATAGCACGACTGTTTGCGTACCAGATTCAGCATCATATCGCTCAGTATACAGCAGCAGGAGCACACGCAGACTCACCGGGAACCCAGGCGCCAAACGCATACGTGAATATGTTACCCGTCGCCACGAGCAACTGCCGCAAGTTGGCATTGTGCTGGGTGATCTCATGGCCCCAAGACTGGACGGATTTCGGTCAGCGACCCGTCGATATCGAAGAGAATGTCCCGCTCACAATGACGACAGGCTGTGCTGCGCTTCCCACGTACGCGAGGTAAAACGCTGCCATGAGCGCCGCTTCCGGCACGTGCCACACCACCATTATGATGTTGGACACGAGCACGATCGCTTGCACGACGTTGACCACGAGCAGGCGCGATCCGGCGGCGTCCGACAGCCAGCCGAAAACGAAGGCCGCGACGATGCTGACGGCGTTGCCGGCGGTGGGCAGGATGTTGGTCTGCACGACGGAGTAGCCTCGGTCTTTCAGATAGAGATTGAAGAAGCTGCGGCCCATGTAGGCTTCGGCTACCATCCTGGTGGCGGTTGAGTGGAGGAAGCTCTGGTTTTGCATCACTTTGGAAGGAAAGGCTTACAGGTATGGTACGATAAACGCCCAGATTTGCCAGCCTGTATAGACTTCTTTGAGAGCTTTCCATGTGAGTTTCTTGGGAGGTTTGCGTCCGATCCTCTCCATGCGCTGGGTGCCGTAGGCGCGATCCTGGTGAGATATGTCAGTCGGTTGCTTCGTAGACGCGGTAAATCTTCACTCACGTCTGCATTCAGATAGAACGCTCGCGTATTGCTCGGAAGATCTGGAATCGCGAAGAAGCCCCAAATAGCGATGGGGATCGATATGATGCCATCGAAAACGAAGAGCCATCTCCAGCCAGCCAGCCCGGCTGTGCCGTTCAGGCCCGTGTACAGACCCGCTTGCAGGTAGCCACTGAACATGCCGGCTATGCCGCTGCTCTGCTCGAATAACGCCATGCGCTTTGCCAATTGGGAGGGCCTGTACCAGCTGCCGAGGATAGCGGCGTAGCCGGGAAAGGCACAAGACTCCAGAAGGCCGACGAAAAATCGGAGGGCATAGATGGTTTCGACCTTCTTCGCGGTAGCCATGAGCATGACCAGGATCGACCAAGCCAGTTCACAGGACGGGATCCAGATCGATGGTCGGACATACTTCAGCTGAATCATCTGGCTTGGTACTGTACCGATGATGATGCCGATGTTGAAGAATGTGTTTAAGAGATTTCTCTCGTTGCCGTAGAGCTCGAGCTATTACACTCGGGTGTCGGGTCAGCCTTCTGCTGAACCAGATTAAGACGTTATTGGTTTGCTCACATCTTCCTTCATTCCGCTGACAAATGCATTGCCTGAAGGTGCAGATGGATATCAGCGCCTTGTCCTGGAGGAAGTTGACCAGCGCGGAGATTTGTCAAGCTGCCGTCTTTCTCTTGCTTCGTTTCTTTGGTGCTGCCGGGAAGTCCTTGTGCTTACTGTAATTTTCCTGGTCAAGATACTTGATAAAGTAGCCCAACAAGACGTACGAACTGTGGATTGATCAGACTGCAGAGTCGCGGTATACAGTCTGGGATGTATTTCGACTCACAAAAAAATGCCATCGACTTTCCGGAGGTACTTGCGCTCTCGCGCATCATCGCCCCAAATCTTACGGGCCAGCTTTGATGCGCGGCTCTTTTGAACACCAGTAACTGATAAATGCCCCTCGTCAGCATCGCCGGAGGATTGCTGCTGCGGCGCCACAGTAACTATGGTATCTTTAGCTTCTGGAGACTTGGCTGTCATGGTCCTAGATTGAGAAAATGGTAGGGGCCGGTAAGATGCGGCATTGGTGAAATTTTGATTCCTATGAATGCCACGCGGACGCATTACGCCTTGGGCAAGCTGCACAATCAGGTTGCGTGGTCGCTCTGTCGGCAGCACGCCATGATATCCGATATGGCAAATAAGCGACATGTGAGTTGGTAGGTCAGCAGTGGGAAGGTGTGTTGCAGCAATAGGCGGGTCAAATGATGCCAACTGATAAAGGATAGCTGGAATGGATAGCTCCATCCGAGCCGTCGAATAAGCCGTAAGACATATTGGCGGGGTCATACCCTGGTAAGTCGGGGTCCGGTGGGGGGAGATTGCCGTGTTGAATGGGCTGTCCGCAAATGGCGTATGGGGTCGGGATGATGTCGCAATGCAGCGACCGATTGCTAAAATGGAGCTGGAGCTTGTCGGCAACAACCATGCCAGCACCGAAGATACAGCCTACAAAAAATGACTACCGCTTTTCCCGGCGTGAAGCATATTTTCACTTCGTTTTTTGACTTCTTCTTCGCCGGCTTGACTGCTTCGCCGTACCTTGAAGACTACTACCAGCGCCTTGGCCATGGCGACCGAGACATCGACGACGGAATCCTCTGGGAATCAGCAGAAGGTGCAGTTGCGTGCGGAGACGTCCATAGACTATGATAAAGAAGCGGTCAGTCAAACATCATGATGGAGAGCAAAGCCTATGATTAACACTGCCGCAGTACAAATACAAGGAGTACCTGTCGCATCACACGCCCGGTTTGCAGCCTCCGTTGCAAGAGTTCGCGCATGAGGATGTCGGTCTCCGGGCTGATCCGAAGAAGGCGAATCTTCTCGGTGCGCCGGGTGCTGTAGTCGAGGAAATCACGCCGGCCATCGGAACTGAGATCCGCGGCATTCAGTTGATCGAGTTGTCTTCAACACAACTGGATGAAGTGGCATTGCTTGCAGCCGAGAGAGGAGTCGTCGTTTTCAAAGACCAAGAGTTTTCGGAAGCCGGACCGGAGCGTTGGAAAGCATATGGGCAGCACTTTGGCCCGCTACACGTTCATCAGATGGGTGGGCAGATCAAAGACTACCCGGAGATACTGCCAGTCTACCGTGACTTTACGTATGTGTCGCTCTGCGGTCTCTCAAAGTGGTCATGCTGACAAAGTCCAGTGCTGGCGCTGTTGACAATGAGATCAAGGACAACATAACGAGCGTCAAATGGCACAGTGACATGAGCTATGAGATGTGAGTTCGGCGGTCCCGAGTGTAGCACCTGGGAGATTGCTGACCAGGTGCAAGCAACGGCATGGGGACGACGACGTTTTTTGTTCTGAGCACGCCACCGTCTGGTGGCGACACACTCTATCTCTCGACCACGGCAGCGTACGAGCATTTGTCTGAATCGTTTCGCGAGAGGCTCCATGGGCTGCGTGCAGTGCATTCCGGCTACGACCAAGCATCAGTCCATGATCACCGGGACCGCTACATCCGAGAGCCGGTCGAGACAGAGCATCCCGTTGTTCGCCTTCACCCTGTAGGCTGGAAGTTCCCAAATGCATTTCCTGGACTAACAGAAGGCCTGCAGGTGACCAAGAAACCCTCCCTTTACGTCAACAGGCTGTACACCAAGAGGATCGTTGGATGGAAGCGCGAGGAAAGCGGTATTGCGATGCCCCTGTGCCAGGAGCGTGGAGTTGGCGATGGACTGACTTGTTCCCGCAGACGCCCTTCTCAGCTTCCTTTTCGACCACATCGAACGCGGACAGGACTGGCACATTCGGGTGCGTTGGAAGCCGGGGACAGTCGTCGTCTACGACAACCGTGTGACGCAGCAGTAAGGAACCCATGATAACAACCTGGCCGATCTAGAGCTAACAAAGCCAAAGCTCTGCGCTAAGGGACTTCAGGGTGGAGGAAGGGAAGACCAGAAGGCATATGATTAGGATCACGCCGCAGGCCGAGAGGCCGTTCTTCGAGGGCTAGAGCAGGGACGGGGCGGGCAGAATGCTAATCGTAAAGCTGAGCTTGCTTATGAGATAACGAATGATGAATGGATATTTAATGTTGAACGACGGTTGCGCGCATGTGATGCAGCCTGGCCGACGCGTCTTGGGCGATGACGACACGCGGCGGGCGGGCGCGTTCCCCAAGGGCCCCGCGCCCAAAAATTTCGCAGCCAACCTAAGCTCCCATCATGCCGCCGTCCTCGTCGCGCATTCCGCCCTTGCTACAGCCATACGTACGCCTGCCTCCAGCTGGCTCGCTACACCTCCTCACAAGCGTCCTCGGCGCCAGCACCAATTGGCTGGTCATACGGTACCTATGCGGCGCCTTCGCCGGACATGATGCGCGGAAGCCCGCCACGAGCCCAGATGAGAACAACAACGGACTGAGAGGCCAAGATGAGGATACGGCCGTGATCCTCGTCAGCTTCCTGCGGGATTGGGATTTTTGGAAGACGGAAAGCCGCAGAGCTGGGGTTAGCACATCCATCCATCCATCCATCCACACCCTCAGAAGATGCACGCTGACCTTGGCCACCCCACCAGGGCCTCGATCTCGCCCGTCTCGCCCAGCAGAACCGCTTCGCCTTCGTCGACGGCCTCTCCAACCTCTTCCTCCCCGCCGACGCCGCCTCCGACGCCGCACCATCCCCCGTCCCCACCGCCGCTCATCCCAGCTCGCCCATGCCCGTCCGCTCCGGCCGCACCATCACGCCCCGCACCCTTCCGCAAGCATCACCACAACAACCCTCCGCCGCGCCAGCTGCAACCCCAACAGCGCCACCACCACCACCGACCTTCCGCCTAACCAGCCCCACCCTCCCGCACCTCGAAGCCGTCGTCCAAAAAGCCCGCGCCCATCTCCTCAGCACCTCACCCGCCCGCCGCATCCTCCTCGTCCTCGACGCCCCAGACCTCCTCCTGGCAGCCACCGCCACCAGCACGCCAACAACAGCAACAACAACACCCGCAGACTTCGCATCAACCCTCCTCGCCCTGCGCGCCGACGTGCACGCCGCCGTAGTCTCGGTATCGGCCGACGCGCCGCTCGTGGCGGCCGCCGTGGACGCGGTGACGGCGCATCAGCACGACAACAGCGGCGACAAGGGAGGACCGTGTGGTGGCAGTACGCCGTTGGAGGCGGCGCAGGCGGCGCTGGTGGTTGGGCTGGCGCACGGGGCGGACTGGGTGGTGAGTTTGCGGTTGCTGGACACGGGGTTTGCGGCGGATGTGAGTGGGGTGTTGAGGGTTACGAGGGGGGATAACGCGGATGATGATGGGGACGGAGAGGAGGGAGAGGGGAGCGGGAGCGGGAGCGAAGAGCGGAGGATGGAGGAGAAGGAGGTTTTGTATTATATTGGTGGGGATGGGAGCGCGAAGGTGTTTGAGCGGGGGGCTGGGGCTGGGAATGGCTGATTTTTTACTTTTTTTTTGGTCGCGGGTTCGTGAAGATGATGGGTGGGTATGATGATCGAGTGGAAAGAGTGCGGATTCTAGTCGTACTGGGTGAATAACCGGTCATACATGACTATGCGGCTTCCTTTTTTCTTTTTTTCTTTTCATCATACATGTTATATCGCAGCCGTCAAAGCTCATTATCATAGGTCTTCTCTGCACGCTTCTACAACACGGGCTTCAACACGCCCTCGAAATACCTCTCCATCCCCGCAACATCCTCCATCTCCCCAAACCACCCAATACACTGATCCGGCCTCATCACCAACACCGCCCCCGCCTCCCTGTCCACGCCCCACGCCGCATACGCCTCGCCATGGCGATCCAACGCATCGACCTCGACCCTCTCATCCACCCAAACGCAATCGTAATCCACGCCCCTCTCCCCATCCACCGGCCTCAGCAACCGCGGGAAGTCGAAAACGCTCAGCCCGCCCCGATCCCCGCAATGCACCGCCATCACGTCCACCACCTTCCGCCCGCCGAACCGCGGCACCACCCGCCGCTCCAGCTCCCCGCACAGCGCCGCCACCCGCGCCATGGTGGTGGTATTCTGCCGCGGCCGCCCGACGCCGACGCCGACGCCGACGTCCCCAGCCAGCACGACCACCCGCCACCGCCCGTCGCTGCGCATCGCCGCCGTCGACCACACGCCCCGCCCGTCGGCTTGGTTGGTCAGTTTTGCGGGCCAGAAGCGCTCGCCGGGGATCAGGCGGCAGTGGCGGTGGCGGTGACGCGCGGATGTACTTGCGCTGCTGCTGCTGCTCTTGTCGACGACGACGCTGGCCGGGTAGTCGAGCGCGAAGCCTTGGGCGAAGTCCTCGAAGCGCGCGCTGATGCTGGCGAAGTCGTCCGCTTTTGTTTTTTCGGGCTCCGTCTCCGTCTCCGTCTCCGTCTCCGTTTTCCCCAGTACTGCCACTGCTGTACTCGCCACCGCCGCCGCCGCCGTCTGCTGCTGCTGCTGCTGCTGCTGCTGCTGCTGCTGCTGCCGCCTTTCCGCCGCCGGGAGGAAGAGGCGCGACCAGTGCCGGTCGTACTCGACGAGGCGGCGGGCGACGGGGTGCCGCTCCAGCGCGTACGTGGGGAGGAGCGTGGCGGGCGAGAGGCCGGCGGCGACCGACGCCACTTTCCAGCCGAGGTTGAAGCCGTCTGTTTGATGGGTTTTGGTCAGTCGGTCGGTCGGTCAGTGGCTTTGCATGTATGTATATACGCGCTTCGTGTGTGCGGCCGGAGGGGAAAGAAAGAAAAGAAAAAAACATGTGTCGTTACCTTGGATGCTGATGTTCATGCCGGCGCCGACCTTGGGCGAGTGCGTGTGGCAAGCGTCCCCTGCGATGAAGATGCGGTCGGCCGGGTCGGACAGGGCTGAGGCGACGCGTTGGCCGACTTGGTAGGCGGACCACCCTGGATGGAGAGGAAGAAGAAAGGGTCAGTGTTTGTTGGGTACTCGCGGGAAGAGGGAATGTCAGGGGTGGCAGACAGTCGCAGATCTTGAAGTCGAACTCGTAAGGGTGGAGGATTTGTTGGGCGGTGGTTTTGAGCATGTCGAGGCTGATGGTGGACCGGTCGACGGGCTTGGATGGGTCGTCGGCTGAAGCCAGAGAGATGTAGAGGCGCATGAGGCCTCGCTCTCTGCTGATCAGCAGGATGGTGCCCGCGTCGTTCTTGATGGTGCAGGAGTGACGCATATCAGCTACACAGGTGTCAGCAACCTGCAGAGCTGGAGACCGGGAAGATGCCTCTTACGGAAGTTCGAGATGGGTACGATATCCATGACACCCCTGAAGGAGGTTAACAAGGCGACCAGGAGTACAGCGGGATCGGGGGGTCAATGGTACCAGATGGAATCGGTAGCGGCTCCTTCCATCTTGATGCCCAGCTGCTTCCTCGTCCAGCTGTGCGCTCCGTCGCAGCCGATTACGTACTTGGCCTTGACCACTTCGGTTGCTCCCGCTCTAGCCTTGCTCTTGTTGACCAGGTCCTCCCAGTCATCTGGAGACAAATTACTGCGGAACAGGCCGTCGCGCACCCCGGAAGATCCGTATGCCGGTGAAGGATTGGCTTCCTCTTCGCTCAGCGCCCTTAACTTGACCGTTATGGGATAGGACTCTGGATCCGCCGCAAGCTGCTCGTCGCATTCGAGCGTCTCGGCGATGATGCCGCGTTCGACCTCGAGATCTGGTTTCGCCTCCTTGATGGCGTCCAGCATGAAGCGCTCGATTCGCCCCTGATTCAAGCCGCTGATGAAGAATCGGGACTTGAAATACGACTCCTTGGAAAACTTGGTACCTGCCGATCTTTGGAGTCCCCCTTTTCCATCGGGGTTCTATCAAGTCAGCGAGGGTCCAGGTCAAGTATTCGAGGCACGTGATACCTACCCAGTGGTGGAACTCGGTAGCGTTTTTGCACTCCCGAGATACCCGGTCCTGGATGCCCATGCTGTCGAACAGTTCCTGTGTGCGCGCCCGTAGACCGTCGGCCTGGCCGGTAAAGACCTTGGTGCCGCGCTTGTCGATGATGCGGGCGTCGATGCCGTACTGCGCCATCCAGTAGGCGGCTGCCAACCCAGCCGGGCCAGCACCGACAATCAACCTGAGAATGAATCAGACTGGGGTGAAGGTGACAGGGTGAACTGGCTTACACATCGGTGCAAGACTCGCTACCGTCATTGGAGTGCATGGTGGAGTCGTGTGAAGGTTAAGAAGGCTAAGCTTTGAATTAGCCCGGAAGCGTGCTCGATATGGCACAGTCAAGGCTTCTTTTATACTCGGCGTGGCCACGTAGCTTGGCATGCAGGCAGCCACCAGGCACCCAAAACCACTGGATAGGACTGCGTTGGAGCGCATTCCGGTCTGAACCACCAGATACCGTTGACAACCGGACAAGAATAGGTCCGAACATCCCGAACTCGGCCCCCATCTCGACCCCTAATTGCTCTCCAGGCCTAAAAGGGCGGTGATGTCTTTCATACAGAAACACCATTGGGCACACTAACGCGTAGTAGTGGAGCTTGTACTACTACAAAGTCGTCAAATAAAGTGCGGATCTCCCCACCCCCGCAGTAACCCCCCTGTTTGCGCATTCTGATACACAGCTCCGGACAGGCATCAGGAAATCTTTCAGAAAGTCGTTGAGGTACGTGGTGAAAACGAAGATAAAGGTATGTAGTGGGGAAAATGAGTAAAAGTGTAGAAAGAAATCTCACAATACGTTAAACGAGGACCATCTACAAGGTAGACACCGCGTCCATCCCGATTCAGCGCTTGGTTTCGGCTTAGGGTCAACTTTCCAAGCAAGCTCGACCGGAGTACGTTCGTAATCGAGTACTTCAAAACTGCGGCAACGGAAGTAAAATAGTTCTTCCAAGACCAAGTCTGCGTTGATATAAGCTACTATTAAAAACAAGGATAGATGATGTGCTCAGTAGATCGGCCTTTTGTGGCGTTCATCAGATCTTGCTAACAGGGTCTTTTTATCAAGGTTGGGGCTTTGGATCATCCGCCGATCATTTCTAGTACGAATAAAGACCCCCGTCTGTTGCGTTGACGACTAGGGAGTACTTCATGTCTTGAGAGCACTGTCATTAACTTCACGAGAGGAGTTCTTTTGGAACCCGCGGTCCATGGCTTGAGAAGTCCCCGTGCCGAGGTCAACCGTAACGCAACGAAACTTTGTAGAAGGTTGGCCACAAATATTCTTTGTTAGACCCCTTGTGCCTTGACCAAGAGGGTGTGCGAGGACTATGTGAATAGGTTCACTTTATGGTTTTGGGTTGTGCCTTGTGCACGGAAGGGTATTGTGTGAGCCCGAAAGACAAGTCATTGGATTGTGGCAGCCTCCTTATGAACGATTGCATGTTGGACATTTCGTCAGCAACCGGTCATCTTTGATCATCAGGGCGGGGCCGATCAGGTGGTGATCAAAGGAACACTCGTATTCGGTGAATCCTTAGTGGACGCACACACGAGGTATTGCAAACGGAAAGCCAAATGGCTGGGGAGGTCGAAGAGGGGTCGGAATTGGAAGTGCTCTAGCTGAAGTCTGCGCCAGAGACGTCCAGTTTCTGGTGCTTGTGATGGATATGCGCCGAACGGCGGAAAGGCTCTGGGCACGGTGCTCGCTGCCCCGCCATGGTTGACCGGTCGTTTTCGGCAGGTTTGTAAGCCGTTGGAAGGATGTAGATAGCGTCTGGAAAGGAGCGGGGGAAAGGAGAACATGCGGGGGGATGACGATAGATATGGGCCTTGAGTAGCCGCCGCTAACGGACCGTCTTCCGGGCAGGCCGGGGAGACACGGTCCGCCTTCTCTTCATAAAGCCCCAGCATCTTACCTCGACAACGGCCTGCAGTCGTCTTCCCCAGGGCAAACCGCCGCCAGCATGACGCCGATACTCGAGCACACGACGCGCATGGCCGTTCTGCCCGCCTACGTTGCGGCGGCGGCGTCTGCGGCTTTCGTGGTCTACGTGAGCACCACCCCTGCCCGCGATGCTCCCATTGGCCGGCACTGCGCAGAGATCACCGGCTAATGCATCCCATCCATCCACCAGCTCGCCCTCCTCGCCGTCTACCGTCTCACCTTCCACCCTCTGGCCGGCTATCCCGGGCCCTTCCTCGCCAAGACCACCCCTTGGAGAGACGTCTACCATGCCTGGCGCGGAGACAAGCATCTCGACTTCTACGAGCTGCACCAACGCTATGGTTCGTTACCTCCCCTTCTCTCCACCGACACATGCAGTCCCCCAAACCAAATGAAAAAAAAAAACAAGAAGAAAGAAACACAAAACCCCATCACTACCCAAACAGCAAACAAAAAAAAAACCAGAAACTAAAAACAAACCGCCCAGGCCCCTTCGTCCGCTACGGCCCCAACACGCTCTCCGTCAACGACCCGGCCGCGCTCAAGGCCATCTACGGCCACCGGGCCAACGTGCGCAAGTCCGACTTCTACCTGGCCTTCCCCGCCGTGCCCGGCGCCTTCAGCACGCACACGGCGCTCGACCGCCACGCGCACGCGCGCAAGCGCCGCGTCATGTCGCACGCCTTCTCCGACCAGGCGCTCAAGGGCGTCGAGGACTACGTGCTCGGCTACGTGCGCGCGTTCGTGGGCAAACTCACCGCTGCTACCGCCGATGGTGATGGTCATGGCCTTGGTCATGGTAGTGCCGGCGGCGGCGGGCCGGACGGTTGGTCGCCCGCCCGCGACGTGGCCGAGTGGTGCACCTATCTCGGCTTCGACGTCATGGGCGATTTGGCGTTTGGCAAGTCGTTCAGCATGCTCGAGGGCGACGTGCCCGAGAATCGGGAGGCGGCGTTTTTGCTGACGCAGGCGGCGAAGAGGCATAATATCGTAAGTACATACATACATACATACATGTTTTGGTTGATCGACGAGATCACCCATCATCACCACCACCTCCTCCTCTTTTTTTTCCCCCCCTCGCCACGAAAGGAGAAAAGTAGCTGATTGATGGGGCAAAATTTCAAGACCGGCCCGATGCCCTGGCTGCACCAATCCGGGCTCGACAGGCTGCTGTTCCGCAAGATCAACCAGGACCGCGACAGATACCTCGCCTTCAGCCGCAAGCAGGTGGGCCAGCGCACGCAGAGCGACGTGTGGAAGTCGGACCGCAAGGACTTTTTCTACTACCTGCTCAACTCAAAGGACCCGGAGACGGGCGAGGGCTTCGGCAAGCAAGAGCTCTGGGGCGAGAGCAACACCCTGATCATCGCCGGTATGTATATTTCTCCCTCCCTCTCCCCATCCCGAATCAAAGATAAAAAAAGAAAAAAAAAGAAAAGGAAAGAAGACTGACCCGTGCCAACCCATCCAACACAACACAGGCTCCGACACCACCTCGACGACCCTCACCGGCGCCATCTTCTACCTCCTGCACAACCCGGCCGCCCTCGCCCGGCTCGCCGCCGAAATCCGCACCACTTTCGCCACATCCGAATCCATCCGCTCCGGGCCCTCCCTCAACGGCTGCGTCTACCTCCGTGCCTGCATCGACGAAGCCCTGCGCCTCTCGCCGCCCGTCGGCGCCGTGTTGCCGCGCCTCACTCTGCCCGGCGGCCTCGACGTCTGCGGCCGCCACATCCCGCCGGGCATCGGCGTCGGCTGCCCCATCTACGCGCTGCACCACCACGCCGACCACGTGCCGGACCCGTTCGCGTACCGGCCCGAGCGCTGGCTGGCGGGCGAGGTCGAGGCCTCGGGCGGCGACGAGGGCGTGCGGCGGCTGCACGACGTGTTCAACCCCTTCAGCGTGGGGCCGAGGGGTTGCATCGGGAAGCCCATGGCGTATCTGGAGTTGAGCTTGGCGCTGGCGCGGCTGGTGTGGGCCTGGGACATGCGGTTGGCGCCCGGGGAGCTGGGGAAGGTGGGCGCCGGCGCCAAGGGGATGGGGACGGGCAGGGAGAGGGAGGGCGAGTTTCAGTTGGAGGATATTTTTGTTAGTAACAAGGTGGGACCGATGGCGCAGTTTAGGCCGAGGCAAGATTGAAGGGATTTTGGGTTTGAAATGAATTCTATGAAGCGCTTTTTTTTTTCTTGGTGGCAAAGAAGGTGCGGAACTCGGGAAGTGTGTCGTATGTCTGGAAGTGTGTCGTCCGTCTAGAAGTGTTCAGAGGTTTCCTTGATCCCACCACTCGAACGATGCTCCCAAGACGTCGTCAAGAAGTGTAGTTTGGAGAGACTGTTCGAATTGCCGGATCTCGGGCGCGAGCGGTGTGTTTGAGCCACCGTGCGGGTCGGCGGTAAGCTGAGCTTGGTTGCCCTGAGTCTGCATTTCCAAAGCGCCTGATGTTGCCCGGCTGAGCGAGGGCAGGCAGGCTGGAATGGATTGGTACGCAGGCATGTCCACAAGCTTGGAAGAACGTCTTGCATGCTGGGGCAGCAGAGATTCGCTGAATAGCGAGGGTACGGACTCAGAGCATGACGCGCTCACGGCGCTGTAGCTGAGGAGAGTCCATAGAATCTCAATTCTCTCGCGAGAGTAGTTAGTATCAGTTTGGATTTGGGCAGTAGTGGTCCGCTCGAGGCTTTGCAACAATTGTGCCTGTTTTGTAGTCAGTAAGGCTCGCTATTTTAAGCCAGTATTTGGAAAATATCACCATGTTTGCGGCTATTGGCCAAATCCTCCCAACCTTTCGAACGAAGGCCATGCACTTGATAAACTTGTCTTGCGCATCTCTCCTGGCCTGAGTCTCTCCAGATAGTCGGTAATGGTCAAAGATGGTTGCTGCTACTGTGATAGCGTATGCAATGTAAGGATCTGTTATAGCGTAGTCAAATTCCCTCGCGACTGTGATGAAACGGAAGGCCCAGTAGGAGTGCAGCTTTACCTGGTCCGAGGTACTTTGCCGAAAAGTTCGGGGGGTGCTGTCCTTGATAGGATCCAGCCTGACAGACAAGAGGAAAGGATGGTTCAATACGCAGAGTATGGCGTGGTACATGAATTGGATGGAGAACCAGGGAGCCCAGTATGCCGGATTATTGCTGAATGCGCCAGCGGTCTGCTCCGAGAAGCGATGTTCATCCGGGAACTGAGACTCGTAATCCATCAATGCGGAGACTATGGAGCCGTATTCAGAATCTCCTGTCCATAGGCTCTTGCCAGCTTCGGCGCCGGACTGGGCAGCAAAGTTCTGCACTCGGCCCCAAATTTCGTACAGCTTGATGCTGTTTGCCAATATTATCTCCGTGTCTTGCGTTGAAGTTTGCGGCGAACCGTCACGCTGCGGGCGAATGGCTCCGGGAAAGCGACAAGTGAAAACAGGAAGCGGCGGCTCCAGTCCGAGCGTGCAGCTGAGAACATATAATGACCAAGCACACCGTCGACGCTCTTCGAGCTCCGGCGAGTCGATGTCCCAATCCGGCTCTTTCGTGAGCCCCGACTCTTGTGCAAGACTGAGGGTGATATTCAAATGGAGCCAGGAACGATCTTTCTGCCCAGCTACCAGGTTAAGCAGGTGAAATAGAAGGGCGACGGTGGGGGAATTACCAGTAAACTCCCAGAACGAAAGCAAGCACAGAGCCTGGATGGTTGCCAGACTGACTCCACCGTTGTTCAAACGCTTGGTGATCAAATCATTAGTTCTCGCAGCATAAGTAGCAGAGGCTTCAGCAGCAATGACATGGTCATGCTCGTGAACAAGGCGGAATGCAGTGGCAAGAAGAGCGCTCACGAGTTCGTCGTCACGGGATTCGTATGTGCGCGAGAAGTGGGAAGCAAAACCGGGTGAAAACAGCGGCAGGGGCTGATGATTGCAACGCTGCTCGTATTGGATCAATAAGTCATTCAGTACCTCTGGCGGAGGGTAAGAACTTGAGGCAAGTCAGTGCGGGCAGAGGAGTTGACTGTGGGCAGCGTGGCAATACCTTGGACTCTGCGGCGATGCTTCATGTGCGGGTGGAACAGACCAAGGCCGTTCAGGCACAGGTGCCACAGCTGCAGCAACCTGATGGGAGGGCGGATAACTTTGTGTCCAGGTCAGCGTCAAAGCACTGGGTGGGGAAATATTTGACGAACACGCTCGCACTAAGCATCAGGTCCATCTTGCTCTCGAGGCTTCGCAAACGTTCGGTCTGCGAGTGGGTCAGACCAGTTCAATGGCATTGATTTCGGTGATAGCTACAATGCTTTGGTCGGGGTCTTGGGGTCTGATGCCATAATTGCTACCCTCGCTGTATGAGCAGATTTGGCCAAGGCGTACACAGAGCGAGCAGGCGGGTTGTTCTCCGGGACAACGTGTCTTTTTGCGGCTGTGGGGATTCAGTGGGCGATTTGGAGAGCGGGTTGCACGATAGCTCACCGGCAGCCTTCGCAGGCTTGACGCGTGCGCTTGGACGGACGCGACGAATCGTCGGCCATGGCAGCCAAGTATAACAGCTCAGATGGGCTCAGACGGGGGGAAACGCTGGCGACGCCCCGTGCAGGGATGTGGTGGAAGGAGCCATGATGCTCGCGCAGATCAACGATGAAACGGTCACAGAACCAGCTGGCAGCGGAGAAGGCGCGATGGGTTGCGATGGGGCAGTCCGGGGAAGTGAGGATTGTGCATTGACGCGGTCCGGCCAATCGGGTTGCATCCTTTCAAAACAGCCTTCTCCCAATCGGCAGTCGCAGTCCACGCCAACCCGTCGTCCGCCTCTGCGCTTTCTCGGTCGCAGACGTTGCCTGCCTTCCGCCAGATTCTGCTGATCCACAAGCTGCAGCCAAACTGGGCTGGCTGTGTCCTGCTTCGACCATTCAGCTCTCTCGACAGTAGCAAGAGCCTGAGCTCCTCAGCTACGTGTTGCTCTTCTTCGGCGCACCAATAATGACCCTCGGCGAAACGCAGCAGACGCCTCTTGGAGCGGCTTCCCGCCGCCTGAATGTCGTGCTGACCAACATGATAAGATGCGAAACATCGCATTGGACGGCCCAGACCCCTAGAACGCCCATGGCCTGCGCCTGCGGTGCCACAGGGCTGAAGGCAGCAACGGACTGGACCGAACTGGCACCCTCCGCGACGCACCGTGCGCTGTGTTACTGAGGCTGTTTGGGGGCCGAATCTTTCAGCCTCAGTGGGATCCAACCGGCCCCCCTCCCCGTCGGCCCCAGCCTTATATGCTCGTGATCGCCTATCTCCCGCTCCTCGCCCGGGCAGGTATGCCTCAAGCACTTCGCGCGCTGACACATGATGGGTCCCCCCCGTGCCACCGTGTTTGTGGTCGTCGTCTTCTTCATCCTCGGCTGCTATGCTCTCTCCCCAGAGGAAGCCGCAAGCGAAACATGCTACCCGCGGTACTCGTACGAGTACTTATGGGTGGACGCCTCAAACTCCACCACCACCGAGGACCCGACGCTTGGAGGTAGTGTTACGAAACAAAGCTTGCCAGACAAGAAAATCTCAAAGATCAAAGATTCAGACAAGGGGACTGCTTGGCTCACCAAAATGAAGGCGCCAGCTCCGCTGTTCGTCGTCAACGACACCAAGGCCACAGCTTTCCGAGCCGAAAAGGAGGGCTGGAGAATAATGGGGGCCGAGTTTCAGTGGTGGTGGATGTACTATGTCGAGGATGACTGGTCATTGCAGATGGAGCATGATGGCCTGGTCGCTGGCAATTACTCTTCTGTCGACCCCCTCGAAAACATCAGATATGACATAGATCAGTACAGCGCGATCGCATTCCCCTGCAACTCGACGCTCAGCAACACCCTGCAGGACGAAAACACGAACATCAGCTCCTATGGCTCAGAGTTCATCCGAAAGTTCAGAGCGAAGATGGATGACTTGTATCTGTCGGACAACATCTGGAGTGACCTTGTCACGCAATACTTGAGAGACGAACTCCAGGACGCGAGCAGGTCCGCAAACCAAACCGCCAATTCCACCCACTGGAAGGTGACTGCGTCATACATGGGCGTGGGTTGGAACGTCAGATGTTGGGGCGACATCAATGCCGCTCTCAACATGGCCACCGAGTGGGACAAGGCTGCATCATCCGCTGCCACCACTTTGATGGCTCTGATACCCGTTCTGCTTACTTTTGGTAATCTGTGAGTCACGCCGTGAATTTGTCGCTGAGTTGCACTGATCCGTGTGCGCCAGCATCCTCCCCCGGGACTCTGAGGCCTTCTGCTCCAGCTTCCTTGTTGGCATCATGTCTGCAGCATTTAGTCTCGGGCTTCCGGGAATGAGCGTAAGCTACCCTTTGCATGAGGGCGTTGATGGCCTGATCTCACACCTCTGGACAGATATCCGCCATTACGCGAAAACTACACCGAATAGACGTCGGCTCATTCGAATATTACCGCCAAAGCATCATCAGCAAGCTCGGGAGGCGACAGAGGGCGGACGGTCGTGCAAGGCCAAAGGCTTTCTACAAGGTGACCTTCTCCAGTTTGCGGAGCTGGTTGACGGCTCCGCCAGACGATGGAACACTGCCGTGCAAACAGTACGTCCAGGGGCTGAGTAACGCCCCCATTGGAGCGGACCAAGTGGCTTGCTCAAACACATTTTGGCATATGCGCCAAGAAGTCGACAAATGGAGGAGCCGGCCGCACTACTGGCACATCCTTGGTCTAATTGTCTTCGTCCTGCAGTAAGGGCCTCAATACTTTGCAGCTACTGCTTTTGCTGACCACTCATACAGATCGGGTATTTTCGTTGCCGGTATCGGGCCTCTCTTCCTCAATATGGGCACTCCGCTTTTCATGTTCAGCTGCGATCAAGAGTGAGTGTATCGCTTCGGTACGGGCCACATGGATGCAGTGCACTAACGGAAAGACACAGTCTCTCATCGCTATGGATGCTCGTAACCGCAGCTACTAACGCTGTATTCCGGTTTGTCATGTGGGAGTTCAGTTCCCATGAGCGTGTGAGAGGTAAGATTCAAGGCCCTGCAGCCATGGAATTTCTGACTGTTCCGAAGTGTATGCGCTCTCGGAGAAAACCAAAGAATCCCTGGACAGAATGATACAGATATCGGAACACGGTCCAGATGAGGGAGTGGATGGAGTCCTGAAGAGCACAGAAACCGAGCTTCCGCCACGATATCATCCTTTGATCGGTCGCGGTCTCCGTGCCTACTATCGCACCTTATCTTCATCGGCCTCAAGCGTCAGAAAGCAGTATCGCCGAGTGAGCAGGCAAAGTGGTCTCGAGCCGGATGGACCCGCTAGTCTCTACTGCCATAACGAAGACATTGACACCATTTTTCAGTCGGTCAAAAGTCAATGTCTGTTCTTCTGGTACCACTGGGTGCGATTTCCATTCACGCGACCTCTAGAATTCATCCGGATTGGCTTTCGGACCAGTAGCGGCGCAACGGACAGCGCTCGCCGATGGCGGCCCGTAACTGTACTCATGCATCTCTCCAGCAGTGGCCGTAATCCCTTTGCGAAGCTCCTGACTGGACTGATGGAAGGATCCATCCTGCTCCTACTTACAATCTTCTTCTCGGCACAGTGGGGAGGAAACATCTTTGTCGTCTCCTATACAATTGCCTTACTTCTAATCTTTGTGACCGCAGGTCGCCTTCTCAGCCTTTTCTACATCTGGCAGAGCGCTAAAACACTTGGCTTACACGTCATCGAATGTCAGAGTGACGCGCAGATCAGCGGTTCTCTACGTATAATTTGCAGCATGACTGGAGTTCTGGTGGTCGTGAACGGTGCATACTACTATGATGGCCACCGCTTGGACGAAAGACAAGGATGGAATACCTGGCGCGCAAAATACGACCGTGGAGACTACGATGAGGACCGCAACAATGCACGCACCAGAAGTCAAAGCGCGCCGGCCAATCATGGGAGCTTTTCGAGACATGGCGGATTCAGAGAAGCTTTGAAGATTCGCAGAAAGCCAGTTGGTGTCAGGCAAGGTCTTCCACGGCATCGTTCGGATGGGAGTCAGGCGGAAATTTTACTACAGGACATACCCTACCACTCTCGATCACCGAGCGACCACAGCCTTGCCTCGAGCATGCCACGCGCTCCTGAGGCTACTGCAGGTCATCCCTAAGCTTAAGGACCATCTAAATTCTGCAATTATCAATTTGGTTTACTTCCTCCAGAGTAGTCGATGCTTGGGAAGGGTTTAATATGGGTTTTATTCTGGGAGTACCCAATCAGCGCCGGTTCCATTTGAATGTATGTACGAAGCACCATTATGAATCATCGCCGAAGTCACTAAACTTTACAGGCTTGATTAATGCGTTGGGTGATCAGCACATAGGGGAGAGAAACAGAAAGTCAGCAAAATGAAGACAACAGCTACGCGTTTATCTCGAAGACATCTTGCCTCTCAAACCCGCCAACCCCATAAGAATCACAATGAACGACACTTGGCCTCACCAACCAACCCATCCTAACTCACCCCGTATAAATCCCCCCGCCCGCCTGTATCGTCTGCCCAGTGACCCACCTGCTCCGCGGCTCCGCCAGCATCGCCACGACCAATGCCATATCCTCCGCGGCCCCCAACCTCCTTTTCATCGGCGCCAACCGCGCCTGCATGGGGTAATTAGTGATTTGCGATGGATGGAGGTCTTATACGTGAAAGGAGTGGCGTTTGACCAAACGCCAATGGTGGGTTCGGATTTGCGTTGACTTGGGTACAGATCGACTGCAATGAAAAAATAAAACAGCGTTCCCACTACCAAGAAAGCAGCACCTAGCGTCCGTCTTGATCCCTCAGTCTTCCTTCTCTGCTCCGCCCCTCCCATACGTCGTCGCAAACCGCTCGAGCATATGCTCCTCGACCGTCAACGCCCTCCCACCCGCGTCCTTCCCGTCCAGCCGCGCAAGCTTGGCATCCAGGCAGCCGTCGAAAAAATACGGCACGCTGTACCGGTGCGCGTCGCCCAGGTTGCGCACGCGGTGGACGTTGCTCTTGAAGCGCCCGCCCGTGACGTGCTGCAGCATGTCGCCCACGTTGACGACGTACGCGTCGCGCTCGGGCGGCACCGCCACCCACTCCCCGCTGCCGTGGTCCAGGACCTCCAGCCCCGCGTGGCCGTCCGTCAGCAGCAGCGTCGTCCAGCCGAAGTCCGTGTGCGCCCCGGCGCCGAGCTGCTGCTGCTGCTGCGTGACGCCGCCTCCGCCTCCGCCTCCGCCGTCACCATCACCGGCTTTTTGCCGTTGTGGATCAGGCGGGTAGTGCAGCAGGCGCATGGACGCGGCGACGGGCTCGTTCTTCAGCTCGGCGAAGACGTCCGGGCTGTGGCCCAGGGCGGCGGCGATGACGTCCATGACGGTGCGGCTGAGCGCTTCGACCTGGGCGTAGTAGCGGTTCATGGGGTGCTTGAAGACGGCGGCGGGGAGCTGGTGCTCTGCCGGCCAGACGTTGGGGTCGGTGAAGGGGCGGTACGACTTGGTCTCGTCGAAGGGGACGGCGTCGGTGCCGATGTAGTAGCCCTGAGTGGGAGGTTTAGAAACGGGTTTGCTGGTTGGGTCATGTATGTATACATACTTCTTTGAGATCCGGAAGGGTCCCGTCCTGTAGGGCTTGGGAGCCGATGGCTTCGTAGCCGCGGTTTTTGCCGCGCCGGAGCACTTTCTTTTCCGCGAAAGGGAGGTCGAAGAGAGCTTTGGCGCCGGCGAACATGGCTTCTCGGATGGCGGGGTCGATTCCATGGCCGATCAGTTGGAAAAATCCGGAGGTTGTGCATGCACGATTTACGGCCTCGACGACGTCGCTGGCCTCGGCGGACGATGGATCAGACACATATGGGCTGATGTCGACGGTGGGGATGTGGAAGCCAGGCCGTACGATTGCGGATGGCATGATGGCAGTGAGGTGGTGTTGGAAAAGAAGAGGTGCTGTGGGGCGGGTTGTTTTATAGTGTTTGGGGCACTTCTGATTCGCTGCCGACTATCTTTGCTCCGATAGCAGGAAAGTCCAGAGCCAAGGCAGAGCAGCCACTCGCAGGCTAGATATGTGGGCGGGGCGAGGAGTGGGAGTCGGCGGGGAGCGGACAGCCCCGGCCGGCAGCGACGTCTTATCAATGACGGGTTAGTCGGCCGAAGCGCTGCTGCACCTTCCCCGCCTCGATGCAGCGGCTTCCTCTGCAGATATATCAGCCCGTAGCGGCCCAGCACTCGTCCGCGTTCGTGCAACCACCAACGGCAAAATGGGCAAGACCAGATACACAGCGCGCACCATCCCGCGCATCTCCCTGCGCGACTTCGCCTCGCGCATCGACGACATCACCGCGCAGCTCGTCCACGCCGCCTCCACCGACGGCTTCTTCGCCCTGACCGACACGGGCATCGCCGTCGCCGAGATCGAGTCCATGTTCCGCCGCTCCGAGGCCTTCTTCGCGCTGCCGGCCGCGCAGAAGGCCACGGTGCCGTGGTCGCCGCGCAACGTCGGCTGGGAGCGCAATGCACAGGTGCGCCCCAGCACCGGCACCGCCGACCTCAAGGAGAGCTACCAGCTGCAGTTCGGCGCCAACATGCGCGACCCGGACGCCTGGATCGCCGACGACATCCTGCCCGGCTTCCAGGCCGACGCCCGCCGCTTCATGGACCGCTCCCAGCACGTGTCCGAGATGCTCATGCTGTGCTTTGCCCGCGGCCTGGGCTTCCCGGATGACTATTTTGTGCGCGCGCACGACGTAGCACGCCCGGAGGCCCAGTCGGTGTTGAGGCTGATCTACTACCCGGAGCAGGATAGGGATGCGCCGGCGAGGGAGGGGTACTATCGTGCAGGTTGGTTTGACGCCCCGCCTACCCCTTGTTGTGTTGTCGCTGCTGATGGCCATCGGACACGGAAAGGGCCTCATGCGGACTGGGATCTGCTCACCTTGCTGTATCAGAGACCGGGCCAGAGCGGCCTCGAGATCTGCCCAGGAAGAGAGTCGGTGACTGAGTTTGCCATGGGCGACGAGTGGACCAAGGTTGAGTTCGCCCCCGGCGACATTGTGTGCAACATCGGTGATCTCCTGATGAGCTGGTCCGATGACAGGTTCAAGTCAACCTTTCATCGCGTGAAAGCGCCCGAGGATAAAGAAAAGGATTACTGGGGTCCGCGATACAGCATGGCATTCTTCAACCAGCCGTGAGCCTCTAGTCCCTGCTTGCTCATCTGGAGCATGATACTAACATGAGTTGCAGCTGTTGGGATTGCAAGATTCAGGGTCCGGATAAGAAATACCCAATGGTGACCGGCGAGGAATTCAACCGCAATGCTATGCAGCGCAACTTTGCCGCGCTCAAGGCGAAAGTAGAGGCGATGGAGAAGGAGAAAGCTGCAAGTGATGCCGAGCCGACTGCGTCCGCGAGCATTTCTGTTGGCGCATGAAGGGCAGCGAGAGTATTGTTGTGGTAGCCAGAATAGGCGCGATGGGGGCTTGATACGAGGGTCATCGATCCAAGTTCGAAACTGTGATAGATCAACGCAAAACTTTCAAGTGAGTCGAGTGGTTGCGCCCATAGCCCTATGTCGTCACCGATTCGTACAACGGTATGCACGCATCTTTGTCGAACTGAGATGTATTGCGTCCCCCCTTAACGCAACCCGCGAAACTTGTCCTGCAATAACAAATTATGCCACTCCCTCCTGAATGAATCCGTCCCTGGAAAATCCCTCACTAACTCCTCTGCCTGATTCTTTTCGTAGATCCGCATCACTGCCAGTAGCTCCAAGATGGTGTCTTCAAACCAACATAGCATAATTCCCTTTCTACAATCTTTCCCGCACTGCATCTTGTCCGCCAGAAACCACCCTACAGCCAAAGCCCACATGAGCGCCTCTGCATCCAACGCCCCCGGTCCTGCTCCCGCCCCGCCGCTCCACTGTTGCATCCACACTTCCGCATGCCAGCCAACACCACCACCACCACGACGAGGCGTATCCACCCCCACGCCCCCGCTCTCAAGAGCGGCCCTCAGCCGCTCCAAAACCATCAGATTCATATCCGAACTCGGCGGCACATCGCTCAACGCCGCCCAGAGGTAAACATGCGCAGCGTGCAGCATGACCGCGTGCGCCCACCTAGTGCCCCGGCGGTCATGCAGCCGTCCCTCGCGCTCCCCCACCCCGCCCTCACTCTTCCCATCCTCCTCCTCCTCCTCGTCATCATCGTCATCGTCATCATCATCATCATCATCATCCCCCACCTCCCAAACACAGAAACCCGCATCAGCATCCCGCCCTGGGTCGCTTCCATCGCCATCGCCATCGCCATCGCCAACATCTTCTTCCTGCATCCGCGCCAGCTCGACCAGCAGCGCGAAGGCGGCCTCGTCCAGCACCGCCGCGGCGCCTTCCTTGGCCGCGGCGTCCGCCTGGAAGGCGGGCGCCCACTCGGCCGTCGTCGACGCGCTGACGAGGGTGAAGGCCGCGTAGATGAGGCCGAGGGTCGTCGGGGCTGTGGAGGTTGCCGATGCGTCGTCGTCGTCGTTGTCGTCGTCGTCGGCGTTGTTGTTGTTGTTCTTGCTGCGGCGGTGGGGGTGGTGGCGCTTGGGGAGGTGGGCGGTTGTGCGCGGGTGGGTGGCGGAGACGAGGGAGGTAAAGGTGGGCGGGAAGGGTGATGGTGAGGAGGAGGGGGCGTTGGCGTCGATAGTAGTAGTAGTAGTAGTAGTAGAAGAAGTAGCCATCCTATGCGAGGGAGGAAGCCAGGGCGGGGAGGGAGGAGCGAATGTGGGGCAGAGGCCGTAGGCGCCGCAGACGAGCAGCTCGCACCAGGTGATGGAGCGGCGGGCGAGTCGCTGGAAGGTGTCGATGCCGCCGCGGAGTCGGACCAGTTCGCGGGCGCCGCTGAGGTGGGAGAGGGCGGCGGGGCGGTCGGGGAAAAGGGCCTGGTGGGAGGTGAGCTAGAGCATTAGTGACGTGTTGGCCTGTTTTCATGTGGGAGGAGAGGTTGGAAGTACCGATCCGCCGCCCACAGCAGCTACGGCCCAGACGAGGCCGTCGGGTACTTTCTTGGGTGATGTCTGGGACGGCAAGCGCTCCCTGATGGACTGGAGGAGTTCCTGATGCAGCCTCAAATGGCTTGTTCGCCACTTTCCAGAAGGGCTGATCAGGTCACGTAGACGGGTTACCCCTGCGAGGAAGACTAGGAAGCTGCTCTTGTCTGAGACTATCAGATCCCATTGCGTGTTACTGCGTCTGGCAAGCGCACGCTGTGATTCGTTTGGGCTCCGCAGTAATTTGTCTTTTGCGTGTAGTCAGCGTCATTGATGTCTCCATGGCCGATCGTGATTGATGTACGTACCGTCGGTGAGTGGTGGGGCACCGGGATAGTGCTCGATGTCTGGTTGTGGTTTCAGCTTAGCAGGGGGTACGATTCAGGGTATCGATCGAGAGCTACGAACATTGTGTAATGAGATCGTGGACGCCCGAGAAAGACGTGACGGGTAAAGAATCGAATGGGTCTTCGGTCGCAAGACTCGCCTCCTGTAAAGGGCTTCCGGCTCTGTATAAGATGCGAATCATTTTCTTGGAGTCGGCCAATGAAAGCCGAGTCTCTTTCTCCTTGTCAGCTTTGGTGTCCTTCAAGCCCCGGCGGCGTCTCGCTTCGTGGGTGGCGGTCATGACATGAGCACGGATCTGTCTTTGGTCTGATTTGGTCTTCGCGGCTGTGACGTCTACAAACAGTAGAGTTGAAGGCGGCTCTGCTTGAGATGCAAAGTCTGGCCGTGCTGCGCGGGAGCATATCGTATAGGGCGGACCGGATGTGGGCTGTTTGTTTGCTCGAGACATGGCTGCTGTGGTGTAGGTCAAGGAAAGAACACGATTGGAGGTTGGACTTATATATAAGAAGGTTGTTGGTAGGAAAAGCGGACCGAGCATGGGGGCGGAAGGCAAGCTAAGAATAGGTAAGCTGCTTACATGCAGCACGGATGCTTGTAAACAACAAGGATCGTCCCCTAAATTGTATGAGGCAGCAGCAAATAGGGCTCGTATGTTCGTATCCAGCGATGCCGTAAGTTCCGTTGCTACAGAGTAGGTGAGCCCTTTCTGCGTGTGGGCAAGCGTTAGGGCTTACAGCCAAGTGGTGCCTGGCGGATTGGAGCAGGTGGCACGAACCCTCTTGCCCTCTTTCCCTCTTTCCTCTTTGGCTCGAGTCACCCGATCCGCACTCTTCATCGCAAAATCCATCGCTCGTGACAAAACCTCCAACGGCATCCAGGTCGTGATGTCTCCGTCCACGATTCGTGTCCTCTCTCGGAGAGACGCCCAGATCATGCCACGTACATACGTCTATCGCTTAGTCAAATTGCTTAGCATCACGCTAACCATTAGAGCGCTTCTTGCCGTCGTCCCCGTTTGCCGCCCGCTTCCCGTTCAGCTTCGTGTTGGTCGGGCAGAACGACCTTACCTCGCCTTTGGAGGTGCTGCATAGAAGCTCGCCTGTTCATTGCAATTCTGGTAGAGGCGCCGAAAGGGCTTTCGACTCACGGCTGCGGCACAGTCTGCAGATCGTCGCCTGGAGAGCGTGGGGCCAGTTTTCTTCACAGTAACGGATGACGGTTGCTTTGTTCTCCGACGTCCGACCCAAGCCTATTCCTGCTAGCATCTCCGTTAAACCGCCCCATTCGGGCCACGATTCTGACCTCGACTGACTCGCAGATACAGTGAGCGCGAAAGTGCTTGGTTCTCACGAAGCCCGCTCCGAGAGAAGGCGCAGGGACGGACGAATTGGAGAATGAAGCTTTGAACGCCCTACACAGTAGCTCAGCTGCGGCTCAGTGGCCTTTAAAGCAGAGATCATGCTGCCACTGGTCTTCATTTCAGTCCTCTTGACCATCCCGTAGCTTTACCTTTTCGTCTTCACGACTTTAACGAACGCTCAACGCCCTGCACGAAATCTGTCCGGTCGCCCAGTCCAGCCCAGTACCCTTCCACCAGACCAGCACACAAAAAGAAGGAAAGCAAAAAAAAAAACAAATGTCATCCTCCCCCTCCTCCCCCTCCTTCGCCAACAAAACCATCGCCATCACCGGCGCCGCCTCGGGCATCGGCCTCGCCCTCGCCCATCTCCTCGCCTCCCGCGGCGCTGCCCTCGCCCTCGCCGACGTAAACGGAGCCGCCCTGACCGCCGCAACGGCTTCCATCCGGCAGTCTCACCCCACCGCGCGCATCCTCGTCGCCACCGCGCTCGACGTCCGCGACCGCGCCGCCGTCGCGCGGTGGATCCGCGAAGCCGCCGACCAGCAACCGCTGACGGGTGCGGCGAACATTGCGGGCATCATCAACAGCGGGCTGAACGTGGAGGATGTCGAAGAGACGAGCGATGGGGAGTGGGAGAGGGTTTTGGGCGTCAATTTGACGGGGGCGATGGTGTGTTTGAGCGAGGAAGTGAGGGAGATGAAGAGGTGGACGAGGGAAGAGAGGGAGAAGAAGGAGAAGAAGGAGGAGAAGGAGTTGCGGAACGGTGGTGGTGATGTCGCTGCCGCCGCTGCCGCTGCCGGTGCGGGCGGTGTTACTGGTGGGTTTTCCATTGTCAACACGGCGAGCATTGTGGGAATCAAGGGCGGGGCGCGGTGCAGCGCGTATGCAGCATCGAAAGCCGGAGTGATTGCTTTGACGAAGAGTGTGGCGAGGGAAACGGGGGAGTGGGGCATCAGAGTGAATGCCGTTGCGCCGTGAGTGTTTTTCCCCCTTTTTTCCTCTCATGTACCCATTGAGCTGGCTGGCTCGCATCGGATTTCTCTTCTCTCACCATGTGTGTTTTTGGGTGTGGTATTGGTCACTTCTTGTCAATACTGTTCACGCTTTCTTCTCCCCCCTTTTTCGTCTTGGAAAGCCGGAACTAACGCGACTTGTTTCCATAGTGGCGTTATTCTCACGCCATTGACGGGTTTGGACACCTCTGGTGCAAAAGAGGGTCAGCAAGAGTGGAACAAACTTGCACCCCTTGGCCGCGCTGGGCAACCGGAAGAGGTTGCAGAGGTGATTGCATGGCTTTTGAGCGATAACAGCTCGTATGTCACAGGCATGGTGCACGAGGTTGATGGTGGTATTCTGGCTTAACAAGTGATACCATTTCCTTCAGTCTAAGATGAATTGACCCTCCGTTTCTCCCCAACGGTACGGAGAAAGGACATTTCCAATATCCGACAGGTCCCCCTGAGTCGTCAACGTTGTTAATTACAGATGCCGCGTCGTCATACATACAACCGTGCCAATCAGACCGCTGTTACACATGAGCCTCCAAGCAAAACCAGCAACCATCCTCCAGCCCTACTTGTCCAAGCAAACACGACGACTACTTCATCGGACTGACAAAATAGTGATTATTCGTCGTCTCCGTAACCTCGAACCTCATGCCCACCTCGACCAGCCCCTCGTCTCTCGGCGCGCACAGCATCCCAAAGCTCGGCTTGAACTTCAAGCCCTCATCGATCCTCCTATACTTCATCAACTCGTTCCACGGCTGCCTCGGATGCTTCTCCGCCGTCTCGGGATCCACATTCGGGACCTGGCACCTCAAACACCGACAAACGACATCCAACACCAACCCCTTACCCTTTCCCCCCACTCCTCCTTCCCCTCCCCCAAGCCTCAGCGTCTTCCACCCATCCTCATCCCACGGCACATGCCCCCTCACCACGACATTCGGCCGAAACCGCTCGATGTCAATCTCGACTTCCTCGCCCGCCCCGCGCAGCCGCGCATTCAGCTCCGCCACGCTCGCCAGCGACCCCACCTGCACGGGCATCATGTCGGCGAACTTTGTCGCCTGCGTGCGGCCCAGCACGTGGGGCGCGCCGCTGCCGCGCAGCACCCGCGGCGTGGGGCCCTTGTACACGAGGCGGACGTCGTTGGCGTCACTGCCGCTCAGAAAGCGCGCGAACGGCGCCGTCAGCGCCGCCGGGTACTCCCACCCGTCCGTCTCTTGCGACCAGATGACGTTCCCGGCGTGGAGGGTGCAGCCGTTGGCGGCGAACCAGGCGGGGGAGGGGTGGGCGGGGATGACGATTTTGTGGTTCTCGTCGTTTTCGTTTCCATCCTTGATGGCGATGGTGAGCGTGTCGGCGGCCCAGTCGACGGCGGTGGTGATGAGCGTGAGCCGCGGGTTGGTGCGGATGGTGACGAAGTCGCGCTTGGGCAGCGAGACGAACATCCAGTTGCGGTCGAGGTCGAGCCCCGTGCGCAGCAGCCGCGCCGAACGCACCTCGATCCCGCGGCACGACTTGATCGGGTAGATGCGCAGGCTGACGATCTCGTCGGCCGGCGGCAGCGCGGGGGAGGCGGCGGCGGCGGCCTGCTGGCCCGCGACGGCGCTGCGACTCTGCAGATGTTGGCGGAGCAGGAAGAAGGCGGCGGGGAGGAGGATGAGGAGGGCTGAGGCGAGGAGCGGGATGAGAGATGGGTTATCTGCGACGAGCGGTTTGGGCTTTTCTGGGATTACGTCCATGGCTGATGGGTTGGTGGGGGTGGTGTTTTGTCTGCGAACGATTTGCTCTTGATCAGAGTGCTGTGCTGGCTCTGTTGCGTGACTCGGGGTTCCCGAGAGCCAATTGTTGCTGACGGTTGCCGGGATCGTGGCAAAAGTCCTCAGGCATTCAACCGGAGAATTCCAAGAAGTGCTTGCTGCTGCTGAGCGTTGAAAAAAAGGTGTGGGGCGGAACTTTATGATGGTGGTCGCCATGGGCTAATGGGATGAGTCAGCATCGCCAGATGGGCCCGCTGCGTCATGGCGCTATTCCCTGCAGCGTGATTCATACATGGGCCGCATTATTTCCAATGGCTGAAGGGAACGGCTGGTCTAGCTCTTCGCTGAGGTCAGGACGTTATGCAAGCAACTCGGCCTAGGTTCCACAACAGCCGACATAATTTCGACGACACGTTCGAAAACCATAGTCATTCATCTCATCTGGTATATCTTGTAACTCATATGCTCCGAGCCACCCGAGAACAACGCCGTTGCCTAGCCCATCCCAATCCCACCCCATTCCTGTTTCCAACCCGCCGATGATTGAGTTTAAGCGAGAGCACCCATAGGGTCCCACAGATCAAGCACAACAGGGTCCTGCTTCAGCACATCCCGAACCTCTTTGCTCACGACGCTAGGATCCACAACAGCCTGGTACACGAACTCATCCATCCAGGCGTCGCTCATGACAAAGTAGCCCTGCGAGCCGGCCTCCTCGCTCCAGCTGTTCTCGACGCGCCAGCGCACCGGCTTGCCCGTCTTCTCGTCGATGTGCACGGCCGTCAGCACCATGGCGTGGGTCATGGCGCTCTCGCCCGTCATCAGACGCTCTGCCTTGCTCATGCCGAGGCGCGTGTTGAAGCCCAGCTCGTAGTCGTACAGCGCCGTGTCCATGATGCCCTTGGTCGAGTCCGAGTACTTGCCGACGTCGCTGCCGAAGAAGACGGGGAAGCCCTTGCGCAGCATCTCGATGACCGCCTTCTTCATCGTCGTCATGTCGGCGTTGACGTACGTGATGGGCCGCCCGCCCCACACGTTGCCCAGCCGGTTCACCGTCAGCAGCGTGTTGTACGAGTTGCGCGGGTCGTTGACCAGGCTGAACAGCCGGTGCACGTCGGCCCCGCCGCATGCCTTGACCGTGCGGTTGTCCGACAGCTCCCTCGCAAACGCCGTGGGGCGCGTTGTGATTGAAGTGAAGTTCTTGTCCTTGTTGTAGAACTCCCAGGTGAAGGGCTTGGATGGCGACGGCGGGGGGCCGAGCATCAGCGTTAGGATGAGGTGGATCTCGCGCATCATCTTTTCCTTGGCGCCGCCGATAGACGCCCGGACGGACGGGTTGGTCGAGGAGGCGAGTTTGCGCAGTTTGAGAGCGTGCTCGCGGAGCTTCGTGGTGATCAGTCGGTCCATCAGGGAAGAGCTCTTCGCGTTGAAGGTGTCGGGGTAGATGGACTGCGGGACCAGGCCATACTTTTGGACAAGATTGGCGACCATATCCCACTGGCCGCCGTCACCGACAGGGCTGGCAAGCAGCGTCTGCAGCAAGCGGCCATCGAGAGGCTCGTCGAGGGTCTGAAGGACGTTCTCGAGGAAGTAGTTGGCCTTCTCGATCTTGTCCCAGTAGAAGACATACTGCTGGCTCAGTTCGAACTTGTCCAGCTTGTATTTCTTCATTATCGACACCCTGAAGACATTCAGCGAAGCGAACAGCCAACAACGGCCGGACGAGCGCTGGTTGGTGACCGGGGCGCCCTCGAAGGGAATGGAGAGGTTGAAGATCTGCGAGTCGCGCACGACGGCGCGGTTGTTCATGAGAATAGCGTTGGCGTTGTTGGACTGCAGGGCGTTGAGGGCGAGCTGGTTCTTGGGATCGTCGAGGAGCTCCCTCTCCCACTTCTCGGTAGTCGATGTAGAGACGGTCGACTGGTGTTCACACGGCGTGTACTGCGGAGCTGCGGGTAAAAGGCTGTGAGTGTCTGGCACCGCAGTTTCGACGAGTGGGATACTGACGCGCATCATCCTGGACGAAGACGTAGTCCTTTTCAACAAGCTCGCGGTCGTTCCTCAGCTCGAGGGCGCGGAGAGCCTCGGCCAGCTTCTCCTGCGCGCCGGCCTCGACCTGCTTGGATGGAGCGCTACCCATGGTGAACAACCACTGTGTGAAGGATAGATAGCGAGGGATGTGGTAGTGAAAGCAGAGGAGGAGAGAAGGTGTCGTTGGGAGAGAGCGGGACTGGTGGGCGACGGGCGGCTGAGCAGTGCACCTGCCACCTTGATGGCGCCCAGTCATTTTGCTCCCCGCATCTGGGTAGATAACGGGCACGAGCCACCCAACGCGTGATAAGATAAGCCCAAGCCCGAGTCATGCGACCGTGTCCTCCTCGCCTTCTCAACACCACACAAACCACTGTGAGCGGTATCCATCGCTTTAATCCGCCATGTCTCCTTCGCTTTTCACGTGTCTTCCAGGGCATTTCCACGCACTGTCCCGTCACAGCACGAATCAGCAACCAGCACGTCGTGTACGGAGGACACAACCCGCACATCGGAATCTGTTTCACCTTGCATCTCACGGTAAGGCCAGTTGAAGCTCTGATAGACATTACTATAGACTGCTACCACAGTCGTTGGTATCAAACATTAATCCTGTTCCACCTCGTGCTTTCTACTGTTCAGCCCATCACAGGATGAAAGCAGCCAATCCGAACGCAGCGGCGACGGCGCCGCTCAGGCCCGCATTGTTCGCAACCGCGGCACCGGTGTAAGAGGCGGGAGTCGTCGTAGCACTGGATCCCGATCCGGATCCAGATCCAGACCCGTCATGCGACATGGTAATGGTCGTGCCGTTGGTCTTGACAATCGACAGCGTAGGGCAAGGCGTGCTCTGCGAAGCCATCATCACCGGAGTGCGCGTGACAATGTCGTTCACCGATGCTGTGCTTGACGCACAAGGAGTGACCATCACAGTGGTGCTCGCGTTGCTGCTGGCACCATGGTAAGTACGTGCTGAGGGCAAAGCTGAGGCGGATTGTACACTTACGCAGCGAGCGCCGGCGCAGCGGCGGCAGCAATGATGACAGCGAGGAAAGACTTCATTGTGGTTGTGTCGGTGATGTTTGTACGGGATTCTGAGAATACAAGGAAACGAGGAGAAGTGATGGAAGACCTGCAGGGAGTTGCACAGGTGGGCAGTCAAGGCAGACAGTAACCTTTTAATCCACGATGCTACCCTCACCTCTTGCGGCCACAAAGATCGGCACAGTCAGGCCCGATAGCCCATTATCTGGCCTTGTCTGAAAGCGCAGCACGGGGGCTCCTTTTCCACCCGGAGATTTCCTGCGGGCATTGGCGCCACTCCCGTTTGCGCGCAAAACGACCATGTTCTTTGTCCACAGTTCTGCAGATCTCAACCTTCAGGGGCCGGAGAAGCACTGGCTGGTGTTGAAATGCCCCGCCCTGGTCCGTTAGCGCCGTCATCGGGCGGAGATGGTGGCTTGTCTGCCCGGATGCCTGCGTTCCGTTTCGACACCTCAAACCGCTTTGGGTTTAGTGCAGGGACAGGCTCCAAAACTAAACACAAGCTCGTTTCTTAAGCTTACTCGTGCACACCCCATCGGGCAATCCCTCCTACGCCACTGACGAATCGACTTGCTTCTTTGGCTTGTGGGCGCGGGAATGCTGCCTTCCGAACGCCACCTAATTTGCCATCTTTCCTAGTCTGACATCTCACGGGGGCTGCCCGCCTCCATGCCATTGGCCAACAAAGAGAACTACGCCGTTTTCGGTTGCTCGATCTAACGCTACTACTACCCCGCGCCTGAGAGATTGCACGACCTTTCTAGAATGCACTTCACCGCCCATCTGCTCCACAATGGGGGACACTGCTTGTCCTCCAAGTGGAGACCGGGGGAGAAACAAGGCCCACTCTTTCAGGGAGTTCCGTCTTCGGAACCACGCCCCTCCGTGCAGATCGATTGACCACCCGCCTAGTCGATGGCTCCATCTCGACAATGTCAGAATGTCACTGCGATCGATATAAAGAGACTTGTCGGCCATCGAATATCCCATCAGTCGCCGGTCATTCAACGCTCAGGTCCCCTCAAGTCAACCTTCATCGCAATCTCTTAATCCCTTCTCCTCTTTCAGTAATCCATCCACCTTCAAGATGAAGTACACCGCTGCTGTTGCTGCCCTCGCGGGTCTCTCTGCCGCTGCTCCCACGAAGCGCATGTCCGCGCCCACCGACGCCGACATCCTCCAGTATGCTCTGACCCTCGAGCACCTTGAGAATGCCTTCTACAAGGAGGGTCTGTCCAACTACACCGAGGCCGACTTCAAGGCCGCCGGCTACGACTCGACCTTCTACAACAACATCAAGACGGTCGGCTCTGACGAGTCCTCCCACGTCGACTTCCTGACCAAGGGCCTGACCGCCGCCGGCGCCACCCCCGTCGAGCCCTGCACCTACGCCTTCGGCGCCACGGACGTCAAGACCTTCCTTGCCACCGCCGCCATCCTTGAGGGTGCGTTGACTCCGCCTCTTCCTCCTCCTACAGCGTTGCTAACACACAAAACAGGCGTCGGTGTATCCGCCTACCTCGGCGCCGCCGCGGACATCATGTCCAAGACGTACCTGACGGCCGCCGGTTCCATCCTGACGGTCGAGGCGCGCCACGCGTCGTACATCCGCGGCGAGATCAAGCAGTCGCCGTTCCCGCAGGCCTTCGACGACCCGCTCTCGCTCAACGAGGTCTACACCCTGGCCGCGCAGTTCATCACCTCGTGCCCGACCGACAACGCGCCGCTGCCCGTCAAGGCCTTCCCCACCCTCGTCGCCAGCTCCGAGGACGCCACCATCAAGAAGGGCAGCACCGTCATGCTGAGCACTCCCGGCTACGAGGTCAAGGCCGCCGACGGCGTGCAGATCTACGGCGCCTTCATCACCGTGACTGGCCCCGTCGTTGTCGAGGCCAAGAGCGTGGATGGCGGTTTCACTGTCGAGGTGCCCGAGGGTGTCAACGGCCAGAGCTATGTCGTCCTGACTGGCTGCAAGGACGCCGTTACGGATGATACCGTTGCGGCGGGCCCGGCTATCGTTGAGATCACCAACTAGAGCGGAGGGTATTTCTCAATGTATGGCTTAACTTTTACGGCTTTTTGGAAGGATTTATACAGTAATGTAATTTATATTGTGTCACGAGTTTGACCGGAGGATAGTTCTGAATGCATCAGCTCACTTTGAATGTTTCTTCACAGCCGGTACGGCACTTGCAAAGTGAGAAGATATCCATCGTTGCTCTATAACCATGTGCTACCTAATGTTCTCTTTCGAGTTTCCGAACCATCCAACGCAAATTCAACCTAACCCAGCCAGCAATCCCCTACACTTCATCAATACCCTCCTTCTGCCCCTCGATACACTCGACCCTCCCGGACACCAACCAACCCAATAACGTCATACAAGGCTATGGATGGAAGTGAACGATGACGAGGTGAAGAGCGTGGCGGGCTTCATGACTACAAGACGTCGCCATTGGGTGTGTTTTCTTTTTCCAGTCCTTGTGGTGAAATATCGTGGGATAATTAAGCGAAAATAAAATGTCGGCAGTCTCTGATATATGTATACAATCTTGCAAGAGATAATGCGTGCCTCCTTGGCGGTGGTTTTCCGGTGGCAACCAAAGAAGACCTGGGACCACCTGCCCTGGGACCATCTGCGATGCAAGAAGGGCATTCTTTTGAGGCGAGCAAAGCGAGGGGGGTGTCGTCTCCACACTCTTGTGTCCCACCGCACCGTCCAACCGGTTTAGGGGCCGGGAGGGGGTTACAACACTGCCAAGTCGAGTCATCATGGCCAGCGCCCATTACGATCACACCCATCACCACCGCCTCGCCTCCACCATTCCTCGAAAACATCCACCGCCGATCGAGAATCTTCACACACAACCCTCCTCCCTCCTCCCTCCTCCCATCCCCCGCGCCGCAATCCGCCCTGCAGCTTAATCCAACCGAAAAGTAGTCGTCAGCAGTACTTAATTCTCCGGCACCATCCTGACCTGGTCCACGATGACGCCCTCCCTCCACGCCCAGAACCCAACATACGCCGCCCCGGGGCCGACCGCGCCCTGCGCCAGCAGCAGCGCCGCCGCCGCGCGCCACGCGCGCTTCGAGTCGACGTAGCCGGTGCGACGGAGCTCGTACACGCCGTACAGGCACCACACCAGCACGGCGGCGAAGCAGAGCGCGAAGTCCCACTTGAGGAACGACCAGACGGAGTCGTCCTCCTGCGGGGCGAAGAGGTCGAAGAAGACCTCGAAGACGCTGGTGGTCGGGGCGTTGGCGGCGAGGTACGCGATGGCGGCGGCGTGGGCGGTGGCGGTGGCGCCGAAGACGGCGGCGTACGCGGCGCGCAGGGGGCCGACGTCGGCGAGGGCGAACATTTCGCGGTCGAGGGCGGTGGCGAGGGCGGGGCGGCCGTCGGCCTTGCGGATGAGGAAGGCGATGGCGGAGGTGAGGGCGGCGGTGTAGACGGGGAAGGGCTGCCAGAGGGCGATGAAGGTCTGCTGCGTGGCGGGGGAGGCGTGCGGGAGGAACATGAGGGCGGTGGGGAGGGCGTGGCCGAGGCAGATGGCCGGGAGGAGCGCTTTGGCGACGGACGAGGGGATGGCGCGGCCGGTGGTGCGGGTGTACAGGATGTTGCTGGTGGTGTAAATGCTGAGGAGGTAGTAGAGCGGTGCGACCTGGGACGGGGATCAGTCTCGGTGTGTGTGCGCGCGAAGGGGGTGGAGGGCGTTTACCTTGCCTATGCCGAGGAGTTGGTAGATGCTGAAAAGAACTGGCCTGTTGATGTGTCAGTTTGTGCTGAGCTGGTAAAATCTGATAAGGTGAGGAAAACATACATGGATACCAGAGAGTAACTGTTTCCAAATCGGTAACCTTCCACCGTCCAGATGAGGACAACGGGCAGGAGCATAATCATGAAATACAGACATTGGACCCTCTGGTTGAGATCCTCGCCTGCCACGCCCTTGGAGAATGCCCAGACCAGGGTTGATAGAGTGGCATCAATCGCCGGAATGCCTGTGTATGTCTGCTTCAACTCATGGCCAAGGAAAGCGGGAACGAAGCTCGTCGGGTCTATCTGCAAAACTTGCTGGGCCACATAGAAAAGCAGTCCAAAAATTACAGCAACAGTCGACTTTACGAGAACCGAAGGGTTGAAAGGCTTGCTTGGGAGGTTGTCCTGGTATGGCACGAAGCAAGGTCGCTTCGGGACGTCGAGCATGTTGAGCTTGTGGCCACCCTCGATGGATTTAGACCAACCAGACAGCTTGGTGTCAATTGACATGTACGGCACGTAGTATTTGGCGATGAACTCCAACAGACGCGTCTCCATGGCTTCGACCTTTTGCTGCTCATGAGATGCATTCACGAGCTCCCATGCGCGTGGCGAGCGCAGCCGTTGAGTCTCTGAGAAGGCTCGGTCAATATCGATGTCGGACAGACCCTCCGGACGGCTCTTGATCATTTCTGTGAGATTGTTGACCAGGACGGCGGCGGTCTCGATAGCGTTGTTGCCTCCTTGGCCGCCGATTGGTTCAAACTTTCAGAGGTCAGGTATGGTAGGTATATCGATAGACTTTGGGTACTCACCTTGTGTGCCGCATCGCCGATTGTCATGATACGCTTGAAGTGCCACTTTTTGAAAACATACTCGGGAAGTGGGGTAAGGACGGAAGAGATTCGTGCGGCATACATATCTCCAAAGGTGATGTTTTCCGTAATCGGTTCGTTCCAATGCTCCTTCGCAAGGGCCTCCTCGTCCTGCTTTGTATATTGGGGAAGGTCTGGGCCGTCACATTTCTTCCCCATATTTTCGAACATGAACCAGTACACCCGGTTGCTGCACAGATCAGCCAAAGCATGGATGATGCAGCAAGAAAGTCAATACGAACCTCGGTCCTCCAATTACCAGGAGGGAGTGGCCCTTGAACCAAGACGTGTTCATTGTGGACGGCAGGTATTCCTTCATGATGGAAATTCCGAAAATGCATTTGTAGGTCGTGTGTGATGCCAAGGCTGAGGCAGTCAGTATCAATGCTTCAAAAGATCGAAGGCCGAAGTCACCTGTGTGTTCAGACGCCGGGATGTATCCGGGCTCCAACTCATCCGCGATCCGCCACATTTCCTTCCTGACGGTGCTGTGAACTCCATCCGCGCCAATCACGACATCTCCAGTGAATACCGAGCCATCTTCAGTGGTAACCTTGACTCCTTTCTCCTGCAAGCTGACCGAGCGGACTTTTTTGCTTGTCAGAATCTTGTCCTTGCTTTGCAAATGGTCATAGAGAGCCTGGAGGATCATCTGACGATCGACGAAGATGACGTCGTAACCGTGACTGGGAAAGTTTTAGTGGCTGCGTCTTTCGCATTTGAGAGAAGCACTTACCGCTCCCTGAGATGATCCATAGGTGGACCGTACACCGACAGCACCCGTCCATCAGGCCCGCGGTTGGTGGATACTTGAAGCGGCTCGTGTATCAACCCTCGCAGAGTTGGGTATAGGCCAAGTTGATCGAGCACGCGGAGGCCGTTTGGTGCAAGGCCAATGCTCGCACCTACTTGAGGAGCAATGTCCCGGTAAGCTTCAAGAACAACAAAGTCAATTCCCAGTCTCTCAAGCATGTTAGCAAGCGTGAGGCCCGCTATGCTGCCTCCGGCGATGATGACTCTGAAGGGTTTGGAAGCCATGATTGGCAAGACCTCAATTCGATATCAAACCGGGTCAAGGCGTGTTTGGGAGAGGATTAGAAGTCTGCGAGCAACCCAAGTAGTGATTCGATGGATATTTATTCTAATGGGTTGAATGCCAATTGAAGGTATGAAACAGCTGCGCATGGCCTGCAGGCGCCCAATGTCTGACTGAAATAGGAGAAAAGATGTGACAGGCGAACGGGGTGCAATATCACCAGGTCTTCTCTGCTCCTCGTCAGGAAAGTGGATACAGAGCATGCTGCTTCGACCAGTCGGATCGCCCCACGATGGGCTGTATAATAGCTGCCGGACTGCGGCTGCCGGCTATCGGTTATCGGCTTGCGGTTGTCGGCAGTTTTTGAGACATTCTTGCACCATATAGCTACAGTGGGAGTCTGCGGGTAGACCGGAACAGACAGGGATGACGCAACACTTAGAGCTGCCTCGTATCCCACCGTTAGAGCCCCACTAATGTCGCAAAAGCCTCGTACCCCCGCCGTTAGAGCCACGGTAATGTCGCAGAATTAGCCGTAGTGGATAACATGGCACGGACTTAACCTTATAGCAGGAATGCATCGGCCGAATTCCAGTTAAATACATACTCCAGGTCGGGGAAGAGTTCTCTGGCGCTTTCAAATAGGCCGGAACCCGGAGACTCGCAGAACAGCGCACTGTCCAGCGCAGATGGCCCGGGGGCCCCTTGGGACTGCAGCCCGAGCTCCGGCGGTTGGGATTGGTCCTCCTTCCGTTTCCGTATCCTTTCCTGGAGCCTGGAAAGCGAAATACGAATGAGCTCTCGGAACCAGCCCGCGGGCTTCCAGGTCTCTTCAAGAATGCCAAGGTCTTCGTTGAGCTGCCGGAGGAGTCTGAAAGAGCTGGTCTTGCGAGGTTCGTCCGACTCCAGTAGGGCGTTCCGGCAGTCGCTCAGCAGCACTGCCATCGTGTGGAATACGCCTGCAACTCTGCACAGAATCAACCTTGTGTTACCAGGCTTCAAGGAAGATACTCACAGCCACAGAGGACAGTAAGGAAAAAGTGAATACGCGCGCAGGTAGCTCATCACCTTCCAAAGTATCAGCGACCGTGTCTCTGTGGATATCGCGTTTCTCACCTCGCAAAAATCGTGGGCTGCGTTCTGCGACATCCGCCGACTCTCGAGTTTAATGGCAACATCACTGTGTTTCTCAGAACGGGCCCAGTGATAGAACAGGCACAAAAGGCAGTGAGCTGCACGGAGCAATGGCTGATATATGAGCTGGGCTTTGGGGGTTGTTGCTGTATCTTGAAGTTCCATGTCAATGAGATCCGGGCAATTGGTGGCGTATTGGTCCATTTTCCCATGCAACTCATCCAAAACCGCTGACGCCATTGGCTCTGTGGGTGGATTGGGTATAGCGTGGAGCTTGTTGATCGTCATTCCCACTGGTCATGGTTGAGCTGTTGCCACGTGCGACACTTCCGGCCGAGGGAGAAGCTCACCTAATGCTCCAAGCCATACGAGCGTGGTGCTGTATTTAATCGTCTCGGGACTGCGTGATGGTTCTGATTCGACAGCTTGCCCCTCGCGAGACTCGTCAAAACAGCTTGAATCCCACACGGGCTCCTCGGACTCGTCCGTCCACCTGTCGTCGATGATGGTGGGGGTTCCAAAAATTGCCGCAACGAAACAGTCCTTGGCCTTGCAGACATTAGCTGTGGAGATGGTATTGCTGTTTCGAGCTTACCATGGTCACCCAAGCGACACGAGTCCAAAGTCTTTGTTGCAGTGGAGATATATTGAGTGTTTCTATCCTGAAACACAACATGTTAGGGGGTCTATGGGGCGATCCGAGAACGACAGCGGACGTACTTGCGGTGCAGCCCCATCATGTACGCCACATTGACGGCCCGACTCATCCAATACCTCGTGTTTCTTTCTTCGGTCCAGCCAAACCACCGCTCGGCCAATAACACAAAACTCTGAACCAGTGTGATTTGATCACTCTCCAGTTCGAAGTCAGCCAGTAGCTTGGCCTTCTCAAAAAAGCTCGCGGTCATCTCAGTACGAGTAGCCCAGGGCGAGGCGGCGACATGCTCATCGCAGGCGAAATGACTCCCGACGAACAGAACGCTCTGGAGAAGCAATGGAGGGACATTGCGAGTTGCGTAGCGTTCTAGAAAATCCGTCTTGTCGATCAAAGGCACATGCGGATCGGCATAGTCAAAGAAGTTTTGGACCAGGTTGTCGGCGAGATGGGCATCTGGCAAGTCAAAGACGCCCTTTTCTGCAAGAAACCTCCGCGTCGGCGAGTCCAGGCGGCCGATAGCCTCTCTATACCGGCCCATGGCAGAGCATGCGCTGGTGGAAGGACCGGCGTAAAGGTGGACATTGCGGCGGGAGTTCTCGTCGGTGTCGGCGGCGGCATTGAGTATGGATGTAAATGCCTTGTTGTTCGTTGCGTGAACGATTGCCACGCCGTGTTCGTCGTCAATGGGACTGTCGGGGTTATCTATGAAGTTCTCGAGCGAGCGGATGATATCAACAGAAGAAGACGAGGAAGGGACGCAGGCGGTCCGTCGGAGATTTGGCTGGACGGGATCGGGTCGTGCGGATCGCGGGGTTTTGGACTCCACATGGCCCCCATTTCGCGCGATCCTAGTGCCGATTCAGTCAGTAGCGTAGACTACCGAGCACAGGTAGATCCTGCTCAGTTACCTTCTTGACTTGCCGCGATGGGAGACGCGAAGGGTGCATTGGAGACTGGATTCTTTGCACCTCGTGCAGGGGTAGACCCTAAGCGCGTCGCACTTGACCTTGCGGGAGTGGCAATATGTGCACGCGCGAGAGGCTCTCTGTTCAACGTATTACATGGCCGGTCTGAGCGGAGCGGAGCGGGGCGGAGAGGTGCGGAGAGGTGTGGAGGCTACCTGGCGCGGATGTTGCTGGTCAAGGTCGGCCTCGGGTGGAGTGAGCGACATGACTCATAGGTACGGCACGGAAAGCAGAGCTCGATTTCGTGAAGAATGGGCGATAAGCTCTGGATGGCCTGGACTTGCGTAGCGGAGGAGGGGGGAAGTGCCCCGTCGCCGACGGCTTCCGCAACCGTCTTGCTGACTAATCCTCTCACGTGCTGCGCACCGGTAATGCCCCATGCCACACGCTGCGAGTCAATTTATACTTCTGGAAGAAGCAAGCGAGTCGAGAAAAGGTGCGCAGTCATCTTTCCTCCAATCTGTTCCAGACACTCTCCGCGGCCTCAAAGCGACAGGCCATAAGCCAGTGGTAGCATGCATCTTCGTGCGTACTTATCAATTATGCGTTGAGCGATACGATATTGCCTAGCCCGACGTTTACAGTTTTTCTGGGCCAATATGGCTATCAAGGGAGACCAGCGCAAGGGCTGATAGCCAAAAAAAAAAAAAAGTTTCTACTGTGGGAGATATATAGTGTGAGCGAAATGTCACAGCAGATACATGACAGTGAGCGGGGCAAGTTAGAAAAGGAATCTTTGCAACAGAACCTCCTGCGCGGGGAGGGTTCCGTGTCTATAACTCTAATTTCTTGAGGTATCTTTTCTCTCTCTAAACTCTAATTGTAGCATTCCAGAACTCTCATCCCCAAGGACACTGGTTGCGGAGCATTTGCTGAAACCCCGGAGTCGCGGGTATTTGTCGAACAACCCAAAAACAAAACGCCAAAATCCTTAGCCAGAATGCGCTAAGCTGTTCTATCCTTTCCTGTGAAATCTAGTCGAGCCCATGTTCGAATTTCAGATTGACACATCAACGCCAACGCGACCGAAACTTTTTTTCTCTTCAGTTCGTAGCCTTGGCCGACGGCTTGACCCAGTGGAACATCTGAGCCGCCGGGGCCGCCTTCTCCTCCCTGACCCAGCGGCACGTGCGGAACGTGGTCCACAGGCTGCTCAGGAAGTTGGTCTTCTTGTCCTCGTTGTAGAACTCGCCGAGCATGGGGCGGATGGCGGCCGTGGCCTCGTCGGCGTAGTAGAAGGGAATCCTGGGGAACAGGTGGTGGACGACGTGCGTGTCAATGATGCCGTGGAACAGGTGCGTGCCGATGAAGCCGAAGTCACGGTCAATGGTGCACAGGTTGCCAACGGTGAAGTTCCACGTGTCCTCGCCGTAGTGGGGAACCTCGGGGTGCGTGTGGTGCAGGTAGGTGATGGCGATCAGCCAGTGGTGGACCCAGACGTAGGGAACGACCCAGAGGAGAGCAACCGTCTGCCAGTCAAGCACCTGCGCGGCCTGGTAGAGGACGTAGCCAGTGAGGGCAAGGCCAATGTCCGAGATAATGATGAGGTGCGCCTGCTGGGGAAGGAAGAGGACGCTCCAGGGGTCGAAGTGGCTGCCACGCTCGGTGAACCAGCCCTTCTTGTCGTTGTCGCGGACGCGGCTCTTGTGGCCGGCCGAGACGTTGAAGAGAAGGTACGTCTGCCAGCCGAGAAGCTGGTGGAAAAGCAGCTTGAAGGTGGTGACGATGGGCGTGTCCTCGGTGAGCTCCTCGAGGGCCTTGATGGAGATGCCCAGCTTGCCGGCGATCTCCTCGACCGTGCGCGGAACAAAGACGAGGTCCTTCTCAATGTGGCCGGTGAAGCGGTGGTGGCGGGCATGCGAGATCTTCCAGGAAAAGTACGGGACGCCAATGGCAGAGTGGCAGAACCAGCCGACGACATCGTTCAGACGCTGGTGCCTGGAGAAGGCGCCGTGGCCGCACTCGTGGGCGAGGATCCACAGACCGGTGCAGATGCAGCCCTGGGCAAAGCCGTAGAGGACCCAGAGGGCGGTGCGGGCAGCAAACGACTCGACGTGGTGGATTTGCAGGGCGCCGTAGACCAGGGCAGCGACCATGACGATGTCACGGGCAAGGTAGGCCATGGAGATGGAGACCTTGGGCTGGAAGCAGTGGGCGGGAATGGCGCGCTTCAGGTCGCCGAGACTGGGGCATTTTGCCGGGTCGGCGAGGTTGGACGTCGGCTTCAGGCTGATGACCTTTGGCAGTTGTTAGCTGAGAGCCGGGGCGGGCAGGACTCGAGCAAAGGAGGCGTACGTTGTCCTTGGAGGCGAGCTGCTGCTCGCCCTTCTGCAGGGTGACGGTTTGCGCAACAGACATGGTGGGCAGGAGAGAAGAGTTTTCCCGTTGCCAGGAGACGCAGCGGAGGGAGGAGGCTTTTAATAGTGGGAAAGAAAGGGGAGCGGTGGTGTCAAGGAAGAGGAGGCCAAGCAGAGTGGGGTGCCGCCATTGACGGTGAAGGCCCTGCGCGCGTGGGACCGAAACTCAACGGACAATTGATCCACCAAGCACGCCCCAAGCGTAGCAGCCGTGGTTTGCCATTCTCCTGACTGGCTGGAGCGATGTGCGTTGCCGCACGTGGCACGGACGGCGACTCGAGCCTGGCGGCCGCCAACGCGGCAGGCGTAGCCAGTCGGGCCGGCCAGGGAGGCTGCTGGAGGCTGGAGCCGCGAGGGCGCCGCGGTGCTGCAGCGTCGCGGCAGGCGCATTCGCCGCAGCGTTTACGAATGCGTTGAGGTCGGCGGTGGGGTGGGGTACGGTGCTCCGCGCAAAGCTGGGGACTGGGCAGGCACGGATGTGCGCTGTATCGGCTGTTTCGTGCTTTCGGACCTTCTGTTGTTCGAGAAAAAAAAAAGGGCTCCGGCTACGCAGCCAATGACAGGCGGCGCCGCGAGCTCAACGCGCAGGCGGTCAAGGCAGGTCGGGTAGATCAGGGTCTGATTCGAGCCTCAGCGTGCCTGAGTCTGGGTCGCTTTCAGCTGAAGCCGTGTTGGCGTCCCCACGCCGCGCCTGACAGAGCTGGCAGCTGCCTGTCGCCCGGCCAGCGTACGTGTCGCTGCCGCTGTCAGTGTCGCTGTCGCTGCCGCATGCGGCGAGCCGGGCGCGGCGTCGCTCCTTCCTGGCTCCTGCCCGCGGCGATGGCTGAGGCGAGAAATGTGATAAGCGACCAGCGCCTCAACGACGCTAGGAGTAGCCTCCGCCACTGGGTCCCTGAAACCCCTAATCTTTTTCGATCCGTCGCAAAATTGCGCCGCCCGCGTTGATCTGAATCTGTGGACTTCGCGCCGCCCAGCCGTGCCCCTTCTCATCCTATTTTTGCCCTCCGCCATCGGTCGGCCGGGTGGCCTGTGGCCCGCATCCCTGCCGACGTATCAGCCACTCACCGCGTCTGGCATGCCCGCCGTGGATCCGTCGCCAGCTCTGTGGACACGCAACCGACGCCGCTGCAGCGCAGCCCTCTTCCTGACCGGCGCCCCTGACGCTCGGCATGAGCCCAGCCTAGCGGTGTGGTGGCGTCCGTCGGCTGAGTTTTTAGGGGTTCGTCTGAGCGGTGGCCACGGCCCTTTCGCGCCTCGGTGGACTGTGCGAGCGGACCCTACGATACTTGCCGGATCCAGTAACTGCGAAGACGACGACCGCCCAAAGCCTCTGCCCGCACGCTCACGTCCAATGACTTCCATGGCTGGTTGGTAGTACCGTCGCCGCCGTCACTTGGCCGCAGTGCTGTTGCGCCGTCCGCTCCCGCTGCTCCAGACATTGTCAATCCGCCCGTCCAAGAGCGACAGCAAACGGCCGGGAACGGGAACCTGGGGACTGGAGAGGCAGTCGTTGCCACGTGTGGGCCCAGTGCGGCCCGGCGGTCAGACTGTAAGGTGGCCTTTCGGTATCTTTGCTTTTCCGAGGCCAGCGCTCCGCCAGAGAAGCCGCCTCGTGCAGGTCATTACACGCTCCATGGCTGTAATGGAACAAAGCCGAGTGGATTGCCCTACCCATGGCGAGGAAACGTCCCGGAATCTTCCTTTGAACAAGGCCCTCGATACTGTGGGTTTCAAGGTTGGGCCTGCACTGATTACTTTAGGCTGGCAGCCCTCAGTGAATAGACCAGCTGGCCCCCCATCCCATCCGGTTAGCCATTCGGAACAACCTTTTCGACCTTCCAAACCCCCCATCTCTCGTTCGTCGTCCTCGCTCTTCAAACGGGGCCGTGCTCAGCAAACATCTCTTGTTTGAAGGAACCAAGGTTGCCATGGGACGGGAAGGGCCAGAATCCGTCACTTGAAGTGGATTCTCCGACCACGCGGCGGACCGAGGCCGTTGCCCAAGATTTCGAGGTTGGTGTTGAGTCCAAACAAGCTGCGAAGTACCCCACGTTACATCCTCGCTTACTTGTCGCCATTGGACCCTTGGACCCGCTCATCTTTCCGCTGCCATCCGATCGAGCCACTGGGCACCTGATCCCCACAGATCCCGAATCTGCCATCTATTCCTGCTTATCTGAGTGTAATCCCTGCTCGTCCTCTCCCTGTGCCCAGGTCACCCTTTGCGCCCGGCTTGTCATACCAATCACCCACACCTTTGGAAACTGTGCAACGTACCCCTCAAATACAACGCAGGTGAGGCTGGCACCTCTTCTCTCCGGCTTCTTGCGTCGCCTTTTCCAGATAGAAGCCTCCGAACATCTGTAGTAAAGCCAAGCCATGTATGTGGCAACACTTCCTTGTGTTCAACATACGCGCACCGGGCACCATCCTACGAGCTCTTCAATATGATCCTTCGACAAACTCTTAACGACGTAACTGTCCACCCAGTCAGGGTTCGTGTGCCTTCTTTCCATATCGTGCCATCTACCAAACATCGATTCTGTCGCACAATCCAGGGAATGCAGCCCTTCACGTACGCGACCTGATTCAAGAGAAGCTAGGGCCAGCAGGCGCACACCAATACTAGTCGGTAACTGCGGCGTGCGGGGCATAACCGAACCTTTCACACCCAGACGGTCGTGGCCCTCGACCTTGTTGCATCATCTAATATCAGACGCTTCCTGGATGGAAAGAGTATAAACATCTTTTTCCAACACTTTCGTCGGTCAGCTTTGATGTGTATTATTTTCTGCTATGCTTTCAAACACGGCTCAATCTTGAAGTGACTCGACACACTGCACAGCAGGACCACAGGATTGTGAATGAGCAGCACAGAAGATCACCGTAAGATGGATTTTGGGAACAGTGCTGCTGAACAAGGGCGGCTGGACACCGGCCGCATCCAACCGCGCCTTTCTCCTTTCCACACCGGGTTCACCGCCGGTGACTCGATTAGCGCGACGGTATCGATAAAGACTTGCGAATAAGTCACACCTATACGCAACACATAAAAGCCGCGACCCATCAAAACACCAGCCCCACCTCAGAATTGAAGGAAAAAAACGAAAAAGAGAGAAACAAGAAACCCAGAAGCACACAAAACACCCCCCCCTCCAGCAACACGGCCGAGCCAACAGCTCGCTGCAACCCCACCACCATGACCACTACGACCACCACCACGCCGATCCCCCCAGTCCCACCTGTTACAACCCTCCAACCGTCACCACCGCCGCCACATCCACCACAGCGCCAGATCCGCGCCCTCTACGACTCCACAACCATCACCGTCTACCAGGCCTACCCGTCCGCCATCGCCGACGCCGCCGTCGCCACGCAGCGCCTCTCGGCCTCGCCGGCCTTCAAGCCCGGCCGCATGACGTGGATCAAGCCCAGCTGGTGCTGGATGATGTACCGCAGCGGCTACGCGCTCAAGGACGCGCGGCAGGAGCGCGTGCTGGCGCTGCGCGTCACGCACGAGGGGTTCGCGGCGCTGCTGCGGAGGGGGGTGCTGACGCACGAGGTGGGAGCGAACGAGAGGAAGGAGAAGAAGGAAGGGGCTGGAGGCGGAGTGCGGGTGCAGTGGGATCCGGAACGGTCGCCGCGGCTGGAGAGGTGCGCGTGGAGGAGCTTGCAGGTGGGGATACCGCCGGGGCTGGTGCAGAGGTGGGTGGACGAGTGGGTGGTGGGGATTGAGGATGTGACGGCCCGCGCGAGGGGGCTGAAGGAGGCGGTGGAGGGGGAGGGGGAGGCGGTGGATGATGCGGAGTTGAGGAGGAGGGGGTTGCTGCCGGATGAGAGGGTGTATGTGTTGCCGGCAGATGTGGCGGCGGTGGTGGGGGTGGATGGGTGAGGTTGTTGTTGTTGATGTTGATGATGATGATGTTTTAGTTGATGGTGCGTTTTACTTGTTCTTCTTCCTTTTCTTTTCTTTTTGGCCAGGAGAAATCGATTGGCTGTTGCCCCCCGGCCTCCGCACGCGACTTTTGGAGCCTAATCTCTATGATGGAGTCCGCTCGTTTTCGGGACGAGGAGCCAACTAATCCCGGTGGCGGCCAGCAATGCAACGAGTACTGGTTGCAACACTTTCACCCCAGCGTGTGCGGCGACGATGCCTGTGATTGCGGGGAATATGGAGCCTCCGATCTGACCAAGGACGAAGACGAGCGCGAGGGCAGACGAACGAACTCGGGTGGAGAACAACCTCGATCCCACTGAGACTCCCTGAGGCAACAATACTGAGTCAGCAGACTGCATGAAGCACACACGGTGGGTTTTTCAGTGTGAGCGGCAGGATACGACGAATCTTGCACTGACGCATTGCTCGAGAGTAACGTTCACTAATCAGTACTTACAGCGGCGAAGAAAGGACCCAGAACGAATCCCAGCAAGCTGATGGCGACCGATGCGGCAATGATATTTGGCACACTGGTGCGGTCCGACTGTTAGAGACGATATGTGAGGGGGGTTTCTTGGAATTAACGTACAGCCAGAACAGAAGCTGAAGCGCCAGACCGATGACACTGTAGATGAATATCATGCGTCGCTCGCCCCACCTATGCGTCGGCTCGGCCAACAAAAGTCTTCCCAGGAAAGATCCACCATTGAAGCCAGCCGGGACGTAACCCATGTCAGCGAGATCACCATCGCGGACCTCGACAAGATACTCTACCACCCAGCCTGACGGTGGACAGCACGTCAGCGGTACTCCTTAAAGTGCGAGCATACTCACTCACCACTCGCGGTAATGACGGCGCCAAGATAAAAGAAGTAGAAGAGGCTGAGGAGCCAGACACTCGGGGTCTTGAGCGTCTCTTTGATCTGCAAAAGTGCACCCTCGTTCCTTGAGCCGTCGCCGGAGCCGACATTGACAGATCGCTTTGCTTTGATGGTCAAGCTATCCCGGAAAGCGCCCACACAGAGGGCAAGGTTCACAACGCCGAGCCCCAATGGAAAAGTGTAGAACAGGCTCCATCGCGAGGGGGTGTCTGCGGAGGCGATGGCGGTGGACACGAACGGGCCGACGAGGCATCCGCCCGAATACATGGCATGGATGAGACCCAGAAACCGGTGTGCTGTCTTTACCGATGCGACAAAGGTGTTTGCATGCGTGTCCTGATATGCCTGGCCGAGGCTGACTATGCCGAAGGTGACGGCAAACAGGGCAAAAGGCGGGGTCCAGCAGCGCAAGGCGTGAGCAAGGAGCTGCAAGAAGGCTCCGAGGACCAGCATTGCGCCCAGGTCGAGGTATTGGCATAGATGGCTGTTGGAGATTGCGGCAAGGAACCATCCGGAGAAAGTAACGGCGTAGCTTCGCATCTGACTATAAGCACTGCTGCACAGGAGCCAGACGGACGCGCGAGAGAGCTTACACAATCGAGATCATGGCGGTGTTGATGTCGTAGGATCGAATGAGATAGGGGATCAAAGCACCAAGGCTCCCGTCGTTCACGCCTGCAACGAAAAAAGAAAAGGCGGCGCTGACGACTTTGATGTAGGTCCTCTTTGGGATAATCGGTTCTCCCTCCGCTTCTGGGGGGTTTGCAACATCTGCGAGCTCGACGGCCTCATCGCGCGATGACGGGCGACCTTCCTTGACCCTTCTGGGCATCTTCTCGATCCAAAGGAGATGTGTGGATGTGTTGTATAAGAAGATGAGAGCGAAAGAGCGGATAGCACCCTTCGCTAGTGCTCCGGCTAAGCCTCGGAACACCCCTAGGCATGGTGAGGGGAAAACGGTCCGACATGCCGCCAGTGCTGCCTTGGTCGGTGCGTTGTCTCAATCGGGAAGTACTTTCAACTTGCAAATCCCACGGAGCAGCGATGACGTCCCGAACCCGTACGCCTATCTTTTTTCTAACATGGGTACGAGTGCGAACCCGTTTTCGTGACTTTTCTCGGCAAGGTGATAATCACTGAATCATTACTCAGTGTCAGACAATATAAGGCCTTTAGCCATCACTGAAAACAAGTGCGGCGCTGCATCCTTTTTTCAAGTGCGATACTCAGTCCTACTTTGAATGGCAAGTGACGGGCTTGAACCACTGGGAGCGTTAATACCGACGAGGCCGAACAATTCCAACGCTTTTTTTTTTATATTGAGGGTATTGTGAGGGCATTGTTTTCCCGGGTTGGAAATCTGAATATCGCGGGATGAAAGGCAAGGAAGGCGGTGAAGAGGACGACAATTCTTGGTATATGTACTCTGATTAAGGTGTTTGCACTCCGGTCTTGGTACCCTGAAACCAGTGGTCCTTCTCACCCCAATATACGACAAATGTATTGCAACTGAGACCGTAAATCTGTCTGGTGAAGTTCCTTCTCCGCAGATATCATTCATTTTTGCGTACTTCGCATCTCTCCATTCTTTTTGAGCAATGAAGATGCGACAATGGCTAGTGCTGCAACGGCTGTCGAGAACAGGAACGCGTAGCGTATTCCGTCGTAGTAGACCAATCTGGCGGGATATTGCAATTCGGGTGGAAGATCTCGCAGCGTAGTCACCGAGTGTCGGATTTGGTCAATTATCTAGACGGCCATGGTTAAGATCAGCGGCTAAGGGTGTTTGAAGGATACATACGTCGTCTTTACCGGGGACGTCGGGAAGAGCGGTGGGAAGGCTCTTTTTCAATGTATTCTGGAGGATGGCCGAGGTGATAGCCACGCCCCACACGGATCCCAGAGAACGAACCAAGTAGACAGTCGAAGCTGTGACAGCGTGATCTGCAAAATGTCAGCAGACAAGACTCTCGAGGGGAGGTGGTGAAGCGGGACATGCCGGAATGATCGAATGCCGCAAGCGATGTGAAAAGAAGGCCTGGATAGATGATGCCCTGACCGAGATTGGCAGGAAAGGTAAAGACCAGGTATTTCCAGGCCTGGTCGTGAAAGCCCAGTGTCAGAACAAGTAGATTACCAAATGCCATCAGAGAGGCGCCTGCGCGCACAAGCCAGAAGAGCTTGCCCCATCGAGACATGACAACGCCCGAGATAAGACCACCGATGGGTGTCGCCAGCGAAGGTAGTGCCAAGCGTACGCCCGCCTTTGTTGCAGAATCCAAGAGGACAACCTGGAAGAATAGCGGAAGCATGAAGAGATACTACAATGCGTTAGCAAGGCGTTCCAGGGGGTGCTTATGGAAAATCATACAGCATACGCCGCAAGCCCAGCGCATATGTTGGCAGTCTGCGCCGAAACCGGAAGACGGCCTTTGAGCATGCGCAGTGGTATGATGGGAATGGCAGTGGTCCTGGCTTCGACAATGATGAACAACACAAGCAGAAGTACGCTCCCGACAAGGGAGCCAATGACCCATCCATTGCTCCAAGGCAATTCATTGCCGCCGAGACTCAGCCCTACCAGCTGAATCGATATGGCTGAGACGAGCAGCAGCGATCCAGAGAAGTCGACCTTTGTCCAGATATCCTTCAACGACGACTGATGAAGGCTGAAGTCTCGGCTTGGATTTTGCACCACCAGGAAGCCCAGAACCAGGGCGACGGCGGAGACGGGAATCTGCAGTAAGAAGCACCAGCGCCATCCAATATAGTCGGCAATCGATCCGCCAAACGAAGCACCGCAGATTGCGCCGAAGCCGAACATGCCATTTTGCACAGCTTGATACATGCCACGCTTTTGGAATGGTATCATGTCCGAGTTGACAATAGTCGCTTGAAGTGAAGAGTCAGCCATGGCCATGTATGTATAAAGTCATGAGCAGAACAAGGCTTACCCATGGTCATGAGACCGCCGCCGCCAAATCCACAGACAGCCCGCATGACGTTGACGAGCACAATGTCTCGTCCAAGTCCGCAGCCTAGACATCCGATGGCAAAGGTGATTGTCGAGACGAAGAAGCAGATGCGCCTGCCAAACAAGTCGGAGAAGCGACCATAGAGCGGCTGGAACGCGGTACTCGTGACGAGGTACGAGGTGGTAAGCCAAGAAGCAGTGTTTGCCGCGCCAAACTCGGAGCTAATGGTTGCATATGTTGCCGCGGTGATGGTACTGTCGAAGCCGTAGAGGAAGACATTGGCAAAGATTGCCGTTTCTATCCAGATGAAGTGTCGTGGTGGTCGCCACGAGTTTCCCGGTTCCGGCGGCCCGAGCAGCGGTTGCGTCTCCCGCTCTGACGGTTGGGGAACCACATGGCCGGTGCCATCGTCGTCCGAGATCAGCGTTCCGTAGTCTGTCATTTGGTCAGGTGGACTTTGCTGGTGAAGCTGTAAGATGACGAGACGCGGCCTCGCCGAGTTCGAGGCTTCTTTTCACATGGAATTAAAGTAGCCAGTTTTTTCTTCAGATCCACACCAGGGAGCATGAGAATCCATGCAGAACAGTGGATAGCCTGAGATCAGCGACAGCACGCAATTTGGGATGGGTTTCACGAGCTACAGAACTCGGACCACTTGACACTTGCGGTTAGCCTCTCGCTCGGGATGCTTACCTCGCAAGACGAATTGACAATGGAAACGAGCACCCCGCATGAGTGGACGTTCGCAATGAAATGGAAGCGAAGAATCAGAAGCATCGATTCATCCGAGGAAACAGACGGGCCATTACGAGAACCATAGGCCGTCAGGTTGCGCATTGGAAGGTAGGAGTTGGAGCATACGTGATACTGCCGAAGTAAGGCGTGGCTTGTTCAATGACGTCGGAGGAAACGGGTGGGGTTGCGCCAAGGGGATGGGGCCTCGAAAAGTAGAGCTTGCGAAGAGTGGTTGGGGGGACTTTTCCCCGTCATGCAGGTGGAGCTGCAATTGCATCAAGGCGGGGAACGAGTGCGTGACTAGGCCGTGGAAGATCGTCCATCTATTAAAGAATTATAAACACTGCAGAAAGCAAGATTATTCTCAAAATATTGTTCTTATCCACCCCATCTGACCAGTACCATGTACCGAGAAATTGCTGTCCTCGCGTCTCTACTATGCTTTGTGAGGGCTGATTGGCAGTTCAAGTCAAGGCCCGATCTCGCTCCACCACGGCTCAACATCACGATCCCTGCAGCTTCTACTGTCGACAAGGGATACCTTTTCGTGGCGCCATTCGCAGGCCTTCCAGACACGCCTACCGAGCAACACGGCCCACGACAAGCCGGACCATATATCTTTCGAGATGACGGCGAGCTTGTCTGGTCGGGGTACGGCATCTACTCGATCTGGGCAACAAACTTCCAGGCTGCTCGGTGGAAGGGGGAAGACGTCCTGTTCAGCTTTGAGGGAGACCACAACCCCGGATATGGTCACGGACATGGACACACGACCATCCTGAACAAGCATTATGATACGATCAGAGAGCTAAGAGCTGGCAATCATAAGCTCACCGACAAGCATGAGTTCCACATTATTGGAGAGAAGACGGCCTTGATTCAGATATACCAACCGGTTCCGCGAGACCTCACTCCATGGGGAGCAAGCGAGGAGCAGCAGTGGATTGTCAATGCCATCATTCAAGGTACCGTCGACTGTGACCAGTTTCATACTCGCATGAAAGACCTGACAAAACCACAGAGCTCGACATCGAGACGGGAGAACTGCTCTTCGAATGGGCCAGTCTCGACCACGTCTCCCCAGACGGTAAGCGCCGCCCACAGCGCCCGACGCCCAGCCCAAACTAACACCCCTAACAGAAGCCGTGCTCCCGCTCAACCCCGGCCAAGCGGGCTCCGGCTACAACTCGTCCGACGCATGGGACTACTTCCACATCAACAGCGTCGACAAAGACGCGTCAGGCAACTACCTCATCTCCGCCCGCGACGCCTGCTCCATCCACAAGATCTCGGGCGCGACGGGCGCCATCCTCTGGCGGCTCGGCGGCAAGAACTCGTCCTTCACGCTCGGCCCCAACGCAACCTTCTGCTTCCAGCACCACGCGCGCTTCCTGCCCACCAGCCCGGAATACGACGACGACCCATCCATCGAGCTCATCTCCCTCTTCGACAACGCCGCCCACGGCACCGAGCACTCGGGCGGCTCCGAAGTGCGCACGGCGCCGACCTCGAGCGGCAAGATCCTGCGGCTGAACAGCAGCAGCAGCAGCAGCGGCGGCGGCGGCGGCGGCGCCTGGACCGCCGACCTCGTGCAAGGCTTCTACCCGCCTCCCGGCACGACGTTTCTATCCAAATCGCAAGGCTCGACGCAGGTGCTGCCGAACGGCAACGTCCTCGTCAACTGGGGGTCCGAGGGCGCGCTGACCGAGTACCTGATGCCCGGCGGCGAGCCCGTGTTCCACGCGTTTCTCGACAGCGGCGCCGTGCTGGGCGCGGGCGTGCAGAATTATCGGGCGTTCCGGTACGAGTGGACGGGGGTGCCGGGCGAGGAGCCGGCGATTGTGGCGCTGGAGGAGGATGCGGCGGCGGTGAGTGGTGGGGGGACGACGGTGTATGTGTCGTGGAATGGGGATACCGAGACCGCGGCGTGGAGGTTCTTTGAGGTCGCGGGCGACTCTGGTGGGAGAGGGGGGGAGACGGAGCTGGTTCGCCTGGGAGACGTGCGGCGGGAGGGGTTTGAGACGGCGCTGAGGCTGCCTGGGCGCAAGGTTAAGGGAGTGCTGGCGGATGCGGTGGGCCGTGACGGCGAGGTGCTGCGGACGACGAAGGTTGTCACGCCCGAACCGGAGATTTTGAAGGCGTTGCCCCACGGCAAAGGCCAAGGTCGTCCGCAGCAGCAGTTGCTCAACGTGGAGTACGGCCAGTAGCGTTGGGCAGACCATCATCCATGTTCAGTTATTACTTCCAAGGCCCATGCTCTTATGGCGCATGGTCCCGATAGGCCGGTGGCAAGATTATGTATGATCGTCGGCATCCAACGAGATATCTTAGATCTGGTTTTGATGTTTTAGCAACAAAAGGCGTCTTGGTGGTGGAAGATAAACGAAGCTCGGTGTGATTGGAGGCTCACATGGAATTCACTCCAACTTTGATATCATTTCCCCAGAGCGTTCGGAGATGACTGTCTTCCCTGAACTGTAGAAACTCCGAGGGAGAATAAGCGATACGCCAGGATTCCTGCTCTGAAGTTACCATCCTGTTGCGGGGCAAGGACCCACTCATGGATAACCTGTCGGGGTCTCCTTAGATGAAGAGGGAACAATGCAAACGAGTCAAATTTGACAACACACCAACACAAACTCTGAAGCTCGTTCAAAACTAAAATCCTACTCGATGACGGGCAGCACAAGATAACTATCATACCTGCCCCCCGCATGCACAACATGCTCACCAACATTCTCATCAACCGGCTCCTTCAGCCTCAGCATCTCCACCTCGGGCAACCTCAAATCATGGCCGGCAACCCTCAGCATCACGCCCTCGCCTTCCTCAAACACCATGCCGATCGGCCACACGGGGATCTCGAGCGGCACGACGGCGCCCGCGGGCACGGGCTCGCTCCGGAGCGACGTGTAGAAGGGGCGGCCGTCGCGGTACTCCTTGGTGCAGGCGTGGCTGGCGCGCAGCATGCCGCCCGGGCCGAGGAACTTGGCCACGTTGGTGTCGGGCACGTCCGCCTCGTCGACCGGGCACGGGTAGTTGAGGTGCGCGAGCGGGCGCCCGTCGCGGCCGGTTTTGCGGATCTGCACGTTCACGTCCATGTCCGACTTGGCGGCGCAGGACATCCAGAGCTTGACGACGGGGTAGCCCGCGAGCTCCGTGTGTTTGGCAAAGGTGAGGGTGAAGTCGAGCGTGTCGGTCAAGCTGTGGGCCTCGTAAGAGGCCGAGGCTTCGGCTTGAGGTGCCGAGCTGGTGAGGGTCTTCTGGGAAACGTCCAGGTAATATCTGGTCTCTTTGGCGCGGGCGATCGGCCACGCTGCTTCTGGCCTTTCGAAGATGGTCTTTGCGGGGCTGCCCGTGAAGCCCAGAAGGGAAATGCGGAAGCTTGGCGTCTTCTCCCAGCCGTTTTCGATACCCTTGCAGTACCGGTCGAAGAAATGTTGGAGTTCATCGTTGACTTCTGGGCGGTAGATGTCGAACCCTTCTGCCTGTCAGCAGTGATGAGACGGGAATGAGCGGCACAGCTTACACTCTTGGTATCCGTGCACTCGAAGCCATTTCTGCTTCGTCTGGGCTTTCATAAACGTATGAAAAGATCCTTCTGAGTGGATGCCGGTCCTTGGGTATGCACTGTTAGCGCCCACCTTCGCAGCGATGTCGGTACTTACGAATAAGAAGCGGTAAGATACAGTGGCACGTCGCCTTTGATGTTTTCCACTTTGACCGTCTTGTCTTCCCAGTACTCGTCATAGTGCGGCCTTTTGTAGTACATTCCGGGCATGTTCTCAACTCGGCCATTGCCTTTGAAAAGTAAGTAACGCGCTCAAGGGCGGCAGAAAGCAGGGCAAGATACCAGCAAACCCCTTGAGTATCACTGTTTCGGCGAAAGCCACCCGGGGGACTCCTCCACGCACGGCTTGCTGTCTGTACACATCGGTCATGGCTTCCCATGGGGCAAATGCTTTTACAGCGGGATGGCTTAGTCGTGAGGCAAAGTTGATTTGCGCGATGGCAAGCCACGAATTGCCGCTTGGGGAGGTTAGCGAGGGGGCTCGGATGAAGACGAACGGAGCGCAGTTCTTACGCAAAGGCGACAGAGCCGTTGCACCAAGGCTGTTTGTAGACCCAATCAACCACATCGTACATGTCTTCTGCTTCCTGTTGGCCCCAGAAGACGATGTCGCCTTCAGAATCACCGGCGCCACGGGCATCCGAGTTGACGATGGCGTACCCTCTCTCCACCCACTCAGCCGGGTCTGGCGCCTAGAGAGTGTCATGAGCAATAGTAGGGTCTCGTTCCACGACCAAGGGGCTGTACTTCGAACTTGTGAAAACCCGAGGTGCGTTCCTTGGGGATGCCGCAGCGGTAGGGCCCCATGGAGTCATAGGTCTGGGGCCCTTTGATGTCTCAGCACTGACGGATACGCACGCAGCGGCTTGCTCACCTCTCCCGCTCTTGCCATATGGACTCCAAGGGATGATTGCCGGGACCTTGGCGTTCTCGGTGTCGGACGAAGCGGGACGAAAGATGTCGGTGTAGATTTTCACTCCATCACGGAGCTGGACAGAGACATCTCTCTCGAAGATGGTGTTGACGCCGAACGCCCTGAAGCCGGGCTCTTTCGTGTAGCCTGTGGCAAGGGTGCGCACAGATGGATTGAATCCGTCGTAGTTGTAGACGGGATGCTGGGCAGGAGCCACAAGCGGCTCGAACACGATGTCCGGGAATCTTTTCTCGAGCGCAGACATGGCTGCTTGGTTCGTGGGTGCTCGGGCCCGGGTGATGTCAATGTTAAGTAGGCAGGGCGTATGTGGTCCCGATGTGGCTCCTGCCGGCACCACGCACGGCAGCCACGGCCCCGTTCGGGCCTCAGGCACGGCAGCCACGGCAGGCACCGCAGGCCTGCCCGGCGAACGAGGGGCAGCGGCGTCGGCCCATGGATCACGACACGTCAGAGAGCCGACAAGTCCGACCTCGCTCTCCCCATCCTCCCTCTCCAATCACACCCTGACGTCCTCAATCCAGCGCTGGCATTCCCGATCCGAGAGATGTCGACCCCTCCGGCCAGCCCCAACGCAGCGCCGATTCCCCGCCATGAGCAGCACCAACACGACCATCCTCGACGCCGGACCCTGGAGCCCACCACCGCCCGCGCCCGCCTGCTCGAGCTCCCCGCCGAGCTGCGCCGAATGGTCCTGGCCGAGGCCCTGCACGACCCCGCCGGGGTGCGCGTCGCCCAGGCCAGGGTGTCGAGCATGAGCCCGGTACTGCCGACGCTGGCCGCCCTGCTGCTGGTGTCGCGCCGCGTGCACGACGAGGCCCTGCAGGCCTTCGCCTCGTCCAACCACTTCTTCGTCGACAACGCCGACGGCCTGCTCTGCCTGCTCAGGCTCGTCGGCCCCCACGCCCGCCCGCACCTGCGCCGCGCCGACGTGGCTTTCGCCCGCCCCACCGGATGCGGCTTCATCGACGCCCCCGACGCCCTGACCGAGGCGCTGGCCGTGCTGGAAGCCGACGAGGAAGAGAGTCGCTCGACGAGGCCGAGGCTGAGCTTGACGGTCGAGCTGGCGTTGCGCGCCGTGCAGGCGCCGTGGAACCACGCCCACGCCCGTGAGAACGAGCATTGCCATCACTATCCCGAGTCGGCCAAGAACAAGGCCGGCAAGAACTTCTGGATCCATCCCGCCAGCGTGCGCGACACCCCCCACGCCGACGACCTGAAGCGGCTTGTGGCACGCGCCGTGGCGGTGCGCTGGTCCGGCAGCCCGCAGTACTCGTGGTCGAGCGCCGCCGACGACTCTTTGGACTTTGTACGCAAATCCGAGGCGTGGCTGAGGTCGGCCGACGAGCCGGGCTTTGAGTACATCTGCTCGTGGGAGGTGCTGCCGCCCACGCCGCTGACCTCGGCCAAATCGAAGGATGATGGTGTGCTGCCGTCCATTCCGGAACCGACGCGGGCGTGAATGGCAGCTGATTGTCAAGGTACGTGCTCCTCATCCGCTTGTCTGAGCGGATGTGTGCCCCTTGGTTCCTTCTAGGATCGTGTTATGAAGAGGCCGTTGTAACCATGTGCTGAAGCTTTCCGATTATTGTGCCCGCGGCTTGTGAGACGAAAACTTGCAGCGTGCAGTATGAGGCCATCCTTGCGCATACCCCACGTTGGTGGGGCGGAGTATGTTCTATATCTGGCAATGTGTGGTAAGCATCGCCTCCAGGATCTGTGCCGTCATGTGTAGCATGGCCGTCTAGAATTTTCACACTCACCAATGAAGTCGTTTGCGCGGAGAGAGATATAGAGAGAGAGAAGAGCGTAGAACAACTTATCGAGGCGTGTAGAACCCTTTCACGAGGAACCGTTTAATTCTACGATCATGAATCAACGTCTCCGTGACAGCAGTGGTCATTCGTGACGCTGTAATAGACTATTTCTCCTACATGCAAGTTACGAACACAGCAAGAAGTTGCGACAGGGGGCATACGCAGGATGTAGCGAGATTCCTTGGGAGATGCTTTTGCTGGCTCAAACAATACGTCCATGTTGCAGATGACAGGTACTGTCGTAAGCACCACTCGGAGCTATTCCACGTCTGGATGCATGGGCCGCAACATCCCGGTCGTAGTGCTTACTTTTCCGACACCCACGCGCCGTTTTACCCACCGACTGACAAAATCGCTGACGATGATTGGCTGTGTGTTGGTGGCCAGCGCATTGGTATTTATCCATACCCGCCAGCAAGTTCCGTTTTTAGCAGTTCCTCAAGGCCTGCATGGGGGCCGAAATATGTGTATTTGAGCCGTCAATGTGCCAAATTGTTTGTCTTTTATCAGTAATCCCACATCCAAGCAAACATGAACACCACAGCCGGGGGCTCCGGCCCTCAAACCGCAGCATCCCCACCCTTCCCTATCTCTGCCTTTGCAGCGGCAGGCCTTGGCGCCGCTTTCCACGTCGCATCCCAAAGCTTCGAGCTTGACAAATATGGATGGCGCCTTGTCGGAGGCTTCTACCTCTCTTTCTCTTTGGCCATCGTCGCTGCTGCTTATCACCTGGATAATGGATTTTTGTCAGCCCTTATTCACGTTACCCCCCTAGCTGCCGCCGCCGTTACTGGTCTTTTCACTAGCATCGCCATTAGGAGGCTCTTTCTCTCTCCTATCAGGAATTTTCCCGGGCCATGGCAGGCACGTCTCACCAAATTCTACCATTGGTATCTCGAGTCAAAGAACATGCAACTGTTTGTCGAAATCCAGAAGCTTCACGAGAAATACGGCGACTTTGTCCGCACTGGTGAGTTGGCACAAATATCAAAGGAAGCGCAATCGAACTGATCAGTCGTACACAGGGCCCCGTGAAATTTCCATTCTGCGGCCTTCGGCGATCCCGTTGATCTATGGCGGCAAGTCACCGTGCAAAAAGGCTTCTTGGTATAGGCAGTCTAGGTACGAAGATGACACCGACAACTTATTAGCCATTATCGATATCAAAAAGCACAACCAGCGGCGCAGGATATTTGACCGGGGCTTCAGCACCAAGGGTACCTTTGAACCTCACTTTCCCAGTCCCCCGTCCATCACAGCTGCGGTGACTCACTGACGACGTCTTTCAACTGCAGCCCTCGCCAGTTACGAGCCACGCGTTCAGAGCAAGGTTTCAACTTTGCTCGAAAGGCTCAGCGGCTTTGACGGAAAGCCCGTCAACGTGACCGAATGGATAAGTTACTTCTCGTTCGACATCATGGGCGACGTCATCTACTCAAAGGAGTACAACATGTTGCGTGCAGGCGACGGCAAGATCGTGGCCGGCGGAATGGAGACGACCCTGGCCAAGTTGCACGAGGGAATGAAGATGCTCGGCCTGGTCGGCACGACGCCCTGGATGCTGTGCATGCTCGACCAGGCGGGCCTGGCCGGTGACTTCGGCGTCATGCAGGAATGGTGTCGTGCGGCAATGAGGGACAAACAAGCTGTAAGAAACACACCCTCCCCTCCCACCTCATCAAACCCCCTCTCCCCTACTTTACTCCAAAACCGCCGACCAACAAACGCTGAACGCCCCACCTACGAAACACACAGGCCTGGCAGCCCGGCACCGAACCCACCGACACATCCTCCTACCTCCTCAAAGACTTCCTCGACGACCGCGCCACGACGCACCAAACCCAGCTCTCCATCCTGCAAGACAGCATCCTCCTCATCATCGCCGGCTCCGACACCGCCACCTCCGCCGCCACCAACGCCCTCTACTACCTGACCGCCCACCCATCCGTCTACGCCCGGCTGCAGTCCGCCCTCGACGCCGCGTTCCCCGGCGGCCCGGCGAGCGTCGCGCACGACAAGGTATTCCGCGAGATCCCGCTGCTCGACCACGTCGTCAACGAGACGATGCGCCTGAAGCCGCCGGCGTGCGAGGGCCTCGTGCGCGAGACGCCGCCGCAGGGCCTGACCGTCGACGGCGTCTTCATTCCTGGTGGGACGATCGTGAGCGTGCCGACGTGGGCGGTGCAGCGGGATGCGAGGTGGTGGGAGGAGCCGGCGGAGTGGCGGCCCGAGAGGTGGGAGGGCGTCAACCCGAATGAGGAGGGGCTGGCGTTTTTGCCGTTCAGTAAGGGTGAGTGATGCGTTGAGCTTGGCTTGGCTTTTTTTTTTTTTTTTTGGCTTGTTTGCGTCGCTTCGCTTTTGCGGCGCCTCTCTTTCTATTACTCCCTTTTTCTAGTCTGGTTCTTTTTTTTTTTTTTCCCCTTCTTTGTTGCTTTGACTTGGTTCTCCTCTTTCTCCTTTTTGCTGCCTGTTCTTCTATTTTCCTCTCCCTCTCTCTCTCTTCGAGAAAGGCTTAGGAGAGGATTGGGGAAAGTGGCAGTGGCGGGTGTGTGTCGGGTGTGGCGCTTAAATCTTGGTTGTACCTCGCAGCTGACTTGTTTGGAAGGTATCTTCTCTTGCCCTGGAAAGACGCTGGCGTACATGGAGCTCCGTCTCTTGCTCAGCCGGATCGCCCTCACCTTCGATATCGAATTCGCCCCGGGCGAGGATGGTGTCAAGTTTGATACGCACCCGATGGATACGTTCACGTTGTTGAACCAGCCGCTGCAGCTGGTGTTCAAAGAGCGGAAGGCTCGTGCGTGAGAAAGCCCTGGGGACGATCGAAAAGATGTTGGTGTCTTTAATAGCGGAATATGCTGGCGCCAATTTGCTGTGTTAGTCCAAGATGGGGCTCATGACTTTTCCTTACGGCCACGAGGTGCATTTTGTCTTTTTCTCCTGTCGGAACAACTTCGTTGCAGGCTGCGGCTTGCGGGTGACGTGCTCTAGTCATGTCCGATATTTAGCACCTCTCCCGTGATAGATCTTGTTGCCAGCTCTACTGAATAAAAACCCGTTCAATGAGAACCTCCAGGAGGCCTTGAACCGAAGCCTCTTGCTCGGGAATGTGTTGTCAAATACGGCACCGCCTGAGTCTGGAATGAAAGGGATGTTTCATGACATGTACTCGCCTCTATCGATTTGGCTTATCGGCACTACGGGTGATGATTAGGACGCCGAGACCTCCACTGGCCCAAGACAGACTCTAGGCGGCTTCGTTTTGAGTCTAAGTTTCAGTGGTGGGGTTTTACTCTCTAACATGTACTTCTGGGGACCGTCAAGTGTTCCTTGTATCCACATACCTTCACATTGGCCGTGAGAAAGAGCATGAAAGGTAGGAGTGTAATGACAAGAATACGATGTGATTTGCTTGAATCCCAGATCCAAGGAGTATTAGACATTGCTATTTCGTAGATACATCGATCTTTACGCAAAGAGAAGCTACTCTTGCCGACAAAACTCTACGGAGACGGAAGGCGACGGCCAGCGCGCAGTGCTGTCGAGAGTAGATTACAAGGGTTCTACGTGCTCGAGGCCAAATAGACACACGTGGAAGAAGTGAAAGTATTGGTACAACGCCCAAGCAGAAGAATAAGCCATCAGTGTGGAACGCGTAGTGGCGCCCACGTCTATTCCGACATCCTGTCAACATTGATTGGAAAAACAAACATGCCATCAAAACGCCAACGCCGCCAATGCTTTGAGGAGTCTGCAGTCTATCAACCAGCGATAAGGACCCAGAGAAGGAAGACTGCGGGCGAAAGTCAGCGCACGGGTAATTGAAAGGTTCGGAGGGAAGGGGGACTCACAAATCATAAGAACACCGAACATCTTAGCGACTAGCCATCTGTTCCCACTCACACGATTCCAGTACTTCATCAGCTCGCGCTGGGCACCCTGGACATTGTCGACGACGTCCTCGGTATTGGCGTCAATGCGTTGGATCATCTCGCTCTGTTCCGACACCATCTGCGCCAATTGGCCAAAGATACCGCCAAGCTCGGATATGGTCCGCTCGATAGCTTCGATAGCCTCACCGCGCTGGTTGATGTATGTGTTCTCAGGCTGAGCCTCCTCCATGAGCAAGAGTTGCTGGTCCGACGCCGCACCGCCTCTTCCTCCCATCAAGGCGGATGATCCGGAACCGTTGGGCTCCAGCGTAAGAAGGTCCTGCTGAGCCGCGTTGGTGTTCTGGAAACCAGGCTTTGGGCTACGACCCCGTGAAGGCGTTTGGTAGAGCGGCGAATCGGTCCGGCCAGGCTCGAGGCCCTGCTGGGCGTTCTGAGAGACAGAAGAAACAAAGTTCTCTGTGCGCGACTTGGAGGCCTGAATGTTCTTGGTGCGGACCTCGAGCACTTCCTTGAACGACAAACCAACGTCGGCCACGCGGCCCTGCAAAAGCAGCAGTACGTTCTTGTTGTGCTCACCCTCCTGGTCCTTCTGGGCCTGAGGGTGCTGGGCGGCCGAAAGCTGCTGCAGTTGCTTGATCGAGGTGTTCAACTGGGCCAGGTCCTGTTTTATGACGTATGTGAGCTCGGCGATCTCGACCGGGCGGTCATCGAAGAGCGTCTTGCGGCGAGCCAGCTGGGCCAGGCGCTCCAGCTTCGCCATGGCGCCCGAGATGCCGCGCCCGATCTCGGCCGCCTTGCGGGCAAACTCGCTGCGCTGCCGCTGCGGCGACTGGCTGGCCTGCTTCTCCGATTGCGACAGCAGCGACTGGCGCTGGGCGCTGGCCTTGTTGTTCTGCACGCGGCGCTGAGCCTGCTGCAGGATACTCCGGAACTCCGGCGTGCGGTCCTGGATCGACGTGGCGGCCATGACGGGCGACGGGCGGGTGCGGGCGGATGTTGGCGAGGGCGGAGAGGGTGGTCAGTGGCCGGCGGAGGAGAGAAGGCGGGTTCGTGTGAGCGACGCGAGCGGGCGAGATTGCGCTGGAGACCGTAATTTCAGCACGAAACGGGGGGCCGCAGGCGTATGTGGCACTCGGTCGAAAGCGACTCGGGACTGGGACAGCGGCGAGGGACTACGCGCAGCGGCAGGACATGTGAGTCGATCGGATGGGCGGCGTTGAAAAGATTGGGACTGGAGAGGTAGCGTGGCTGCAAGGACAAAGGCACAGACGAAGGTGGTTGAGTCGCAGGGAGAGCGGCGCGAGCCTGGAGCGCAAGGTGGCCTGGCTTCGTTGCCGCTGCCACAGCCCCGACGCGCCCGCAATCGCAAGTGTTCAGGAGGCCCAGCCACTGGAGACAGACGTCAGCGCCTGCCGCAAGCCACCGTAATGCCTGCCCTGATGAGGCAACTTTGCCGCTGGTCGTTTCTTATTAAGACAACCACGCATCAACGCCAACTTCTTCGCGCCTGTAGTGTCTGCGTCTTGCCCAGGCGTTGCACCGGGTGGCGAGTAGGAAATAGAACACCCCGGTTGCGCTGAAGGTTGCTGTGACGTGTGCATTGTAGTCCCCCCATGCTTCATGCTGCAGGCCGGCCGTTGAGTGCTCTCTGCAGACCGCGGGGTTACACTGTATTGCGCCCCCTTGACTCAGCCTCTCCGCGCTGCGTCAACCACCTTCTCGCATCGTGGCTGCTGGGTGCCCTGTCTGCTGCTGCCCTGCTTCCCTGTCGCCCAGCCCGACGCCCTGCCGTCCCGCCGCGCCCGCCTCCTCCGCTTCCAAGCCCTCTCTGCCCGACCACGCCTTTTGCTACACTTACAACCTCCCTCTTCTCCTCGAAACATTTGCGGCATATCCTGTGCGCTGCAAAACTGATTGTCGTAAGGGAGCGGACCGAGCGTCATCAGCCCACAGCCCTACCTCATTACGACGGCGTCGTGTCCGCCCATCACCCGTCGCGGCTTGCGACTATACACCCGCAATTACGAGCGACAACGCCGATCGCCGCCTGTCGCATACTTCTCCCGCTCCGCCTCCTTCGCTGCCGTCTCTCCATCTTGCTCGCTGCCCCGTCCAGCCCAATGCCGTGGCCCTATTAGCCATACCCACCGCGTAATCCACCATGTCGGGGCCCTATCGCTTCCCGCAACAAGACCGCATAACGTCTCCTTTGTAAGTCCGAGCAGACATACCTATCGTAGGAATGAAGCGCGCATCCGGGTAGCTGCGGTCCCCCTCCCATCCGACTTCTGCGCTGGACGTGCGCATTCTTACACTATGTAGCCGGGACACAATTCCAGCTCACTGCATAATGCGCGATCCAATACTGACCTCCCTACAGAGACCAGCGCCCCCCGAACCCTTTCACCGCCGGCCAGCCCCCGTCGTTCAAGACCAACATCAACCGCAACAAGACAAGGAAGTGGGTGCAGGCGAAGGCATTTTCATACGACGGCGACGATTGGGGCGACTATGACGAGGACGATGAGTACGGCGTGGCCGCCCACGCCTCGCAGAACCCCCAGGCTCCCACCGGCCTGAGGCAGCGCGGCCAGAGTGTAGACAAGACTGGCGCGTCGCGGAGCTTCACTGAGCCCGTTCAAGTTCAAGCTCCCGAGCCTGGTCGTCGCTCGTCCTTTGACTATGGCGACGACAAGAGGGCCTTTTCGGCCTCGCTGAACCACGCGCAAACGATGCCGCCGCCTATCGATACGTCAGTACGAGAAGGGAGCGCTGCAGGGAAAGCGCCCGCCGTCGCGGCTGCGCCTGGTGCGCATCCGTCGCAGCAGGTGCTGTCCTCGTCTCCGCAGCCATATCAGGAGCCGGAATCCGCGCAGAGCCGCGTCTCCAGTACAAGCTGGGACCCGTCAGTAGTGAGTGACTCTTCTGCATATCAGGCCCCTCAACTCCGCCGCGACTTCTCCGTATCTGCCCTTCCACCCCCTCTGCAAATGAGGCCGCACAACACATCCACTCCCACTGCACCCCAGGAATCACCATCTTCCCGCTTTCCGCCCCGGAAAAGCAGCCTCAGCCAGGCGTCAGCAGAACCGGCCCCGGCCGGTGATTTGGCGCAGTCAACACCAACAGCGTCTCGGCAGCGCGCCCTCAGCAACCCCAATAAGCCCCTGCCCTTCATCCGCCCAGCCGATATCTACAAGCGCGTGGAACAGGAGCGTAGAAAGGCATCAATGGACTCAGAGAGGCCAAGCCTGGATTTCGCGACTCGCCCGTCGCAAGCTGAGTTGCAATCGCCGGGTGTGAGATCAACGGGCAGCTCGGATGGGCTCGATCGCGGCCACAGTCCCATTGTGGAGCGCTACGATGGCGGAAGGGGACAGAACTTGGCCCCGCTTGAGACTGTCGCCGAGAGGAAGAGCGAGTACCTGCCTGAATTTTCACTCGTCCAAGCCGAAAAGACAGCAAAGGCCGAGTCTCAACAGGCTACACCTTCGCAGTCTGGCCCGCCGCAGATATCAGCGCTGCCTGATGTTCCGGTGTCGTCTTTCGGCGCGGACTTCTGGGGTTCTGCGGAGAAACCTTCCACATCATCCTCCAGTGCGCAGGACCTTGCAGAGGCTAACGAAGTCCTTCCGCAGCCCGAGGTCGGTCCCTCCGAAGAAGCGTCTCTCCATCACCAGCCTTCGCACGGTTTCCGTACCGCTGTTCGTAATGCATTCGATCGCAAAGACGATAATTCCGTCCCGCCTACTCCGGTGTCTAAATCAAACTCGCTTTCTGCTGGTGGAAGTGGTGTCTCCAGGAGTAATACCGATAGCACAGCTGGCATCAGCCCCATCATGAGCAGGGTGCCTAGCGGCGCAAACCCTACCTCTTGGAAGAAAGACATGGAGAATGCCACGCCTGCTATTGCTGAAGAGCCCGCTGTTGGATCAAGACCGGCTTCATCGGGGACACTCCTTGCGCACTCGAGAAACGGATCTGGGAGCTCGATTCCACGCATTGGAACGCCGACTGGTAGACGACCGCTGGGAACTCCTAGTCCGAGCCAAAGCCCCGCCAGATCCCCCTTCATTGAGTCCGCGAAGCCAGTGCCCGCCGGTGAATCTGGCGAGCTCAGTGGGGTCAGTCCCCTTGACCCGGCGAGCCCCACCAACTTCGCCACGCGAGAGGCCGATCTAGTCTCATCCCCCTCAAGCAATAACAAGCGCACTAGTGCTAACATGGGAGCGGAGGAGAAACAGGCACAAACGTCGTTTTTGGAACACCAACGCAAATCTGCCGGTGGAGCATCACCCGAACACGGCTCCCCCGTTGCCAGGGCAGAATCACCTACAAAGGGAAGGGTCCGTGATCTCGCGGGGAAATTCAACGACATCGTTGGCTCAAGACGCAATTCGACGCAATCAATTTCTTCCATCAAAAGTAACGGATCCGCAAATAAGAGACTCTCTAGGTCGCCCTCTCCAACGAAGGAGACGGCCACGGAGCGCCCGCAACCCGGAAGGGAAGCCAGTTTCAGGCCAAAGCTGCCTGGCACGTGGGAGTCGTACAGCACTGTGGGCCAGCCGTCTCCCGACAAGGAAAGGCAGGAGCCCGTTATGGAGTCAGTGCAGGAACGCGAAGATATGCCGCCAACTAAGAACAATGATGCTCTTGGTGAAGCGGACATAACCCCGACAACGGCGAAGCACCCTGTCGATCACAAGGATGCCGTCGATCCGGTGCATGATCCTGTGGGAGCTCTGGCTGCGGCAGGGGCTGCCATTGGAGAATCGATCAAGTCTACCGTTGCCCCAAGGCAGCGGAGCCCGGCCAAGTCCGAACCTGAGTCTTGGGAAGGTTCCAACGCGTCGGACGAGCCGCCAAGGGTCGAAGAGGAAAGGAAGGGCAGGGCGGTCGGCGATGTGTATCTTCGGCCGCTGCAGCTGGACAGGACAGCATCGTCGATCGCGTCGTCGAGCGGCGCGCCAACCCCGACTGCCAATGATGGCGATCGCGAGGATTACTCGCCTGTAAAGGCGCCTCCACCACTCATGTCATCCAGGAGCCCGTCCCTTCAGCCGCCGGGACTGGATAGTCGTGGCAATGGGCAGGCATCCCCGGAGGAATACAGCCCGGGTCCTGACACATCTGATTTGGCGACGGATAGGCTGACGGCGGACATCATGAAGCGGCTCAGCACTCCTAGTCTGGTTGGCAGTGTCCAAGAGGCTAACCGTTCTGTCACGCCGCAGCCGCCTGCTCAAGAGATGCCCCAAGCCTTGCAGGAGGAGAACCGTGCCAGCTCCGTGGTGCCGAGCGAGTACGAATATTACTGGGCCGCTGGCGGTGAAGATGCAAGCGGCGGCGGCTCGGGCCACGGTGCGGCCCCGCAAACCACAGTGTCGGATAGCACCATTCGCACGGTTGAGCCAGAAGGGCCGCCGGCACCTGCAGGTGACAGCTCGTCGCGGGCTGGTTTGTTGACGAAGAAGTTCAGTTGGGAGGGACAAGAAGGTGCTGGAAATGCCGCCGCTCAGGCCTCTCCGGCCGGAGCACAGGCGCCAGCCGCCAGCAAAGAGAGCGCACCGACCGCTCCTGGAGCTGACAGCTCACACTTTGCGGCAGCCCAGCAGTCTGAGGACGGCCCGTCGGTCGCCAAGGCCATCGCTGAGTTGCCCGATGCGCCAGGACTCCATTCTGATGGCCTGCACATTGTGAACCCAGAGCCCGAGCTTGACAGCTCGTCGGCGTCAGGTGTGGAGCTCGAGGCCCCTGCAGCCCCGAATCAGCCACTCAACGCGGACGCGTGGCGAGCACAGACAAACGATGTCGATCCCCCATCCTCGCAACCTTCATTCACGTCGGCTCAACCAGCGCCTTTTGGAGCCGCGCAGCAGCAGGAGCAGCGTGTCCCCCTGTTCCGGGAGATCCTTGCGCTGAAATCGCCCGAGGAGCGCCTGGCCAAGTATCAGCAGACGCGCGAGCAGTTTGCCAACATGGACACGGGCCTCCGCAACTGGGTCTCCACTGCTCTGGCTAATAAACCAGAGCACGCCGAGCTCGCAAATCTTCCAAAGCAACCGCTGCCACCCATCCAAAGCACCCACACCAGCAGCGGTGGCGGCCTGATGATGCGCCACAAGCACAATGTGTCGGTTTCGCACTTCACGACGGGCTTCCGCAAAACCAGCCAAACCGCCGCCGGACTGACGTCGGGACCCAGCGCACACGACACGATTTCCAGTCCCACGGATGGTGGCCAGTCAAACAGCGCCGGCCGTGAGAAGATGCAGGTCAGAGGCAAAGACTTGCTCAAGGGCGCCGGTGTTCTGGGCGGAAAGGGAATGAAAGAGGCGAAGGGTCTGTTCGCCAAGGGAAGGAGCAGGTTCAGAGGCGAAAGCAAGGTAGATTGATGATTTTCTTGGTTCTCTTTTCCTACTACATCCACGACCTTCCCCGTCACGCCCGAGTCCTGCTCGTTTGCTTCCTAACCCTTTCCTTGGGAGTCTTGATTGCTTGGGGAAACGTGCGGTTGCTGGCGAGCCTTCCCGGTTTCGGATTTTCTTTTTCCTTCTGTCGAGCTGCGGTCTTTGTTTTTTTTCGCGAGGTTGCGCGACAGCAAGGGGGCTGCATGTGGAGTTGACGCTTTGTCGCCGGACGAGAATGGGCGGTTTCGCGTTGCATTCTCATTTGCTGACGAGAGGTTCAACTCCCCGTGCACCCTCCTTTCGAGTGTTGCAATCATTTACGAAAACGACTGGGCTTGGCTCACGGCCGTCTCTTCTTCTTCTTCTCGCTCTATTCCCCACCTATGCTTCCTCTCACCATGCATGATCAACACCTGTACGAATAGGCGAATCTTGGTCCCTTCAGGCACTTGCGTACTTTGTATAATTTCTTCAATCCTAATTCCTCGCCTCCAACTTGCTGCCACGATTTGTCACCGCTTGAACCAGATTACTCAACATTGAGAACGTGAAGGTTGATTCGATACCCGTGTGCAAGCAGGCCTCTCGTAACATCACTCCCCACGACACTTCCGCTCCTTCATCAAGTAACATCAACACCACTGCTGCCGCATCACCGTCCCAGCCCGCGCCCCCTAGTACTTCTGCTGCCGTTGCAACGCCCAAAGCTCCGCCGACGGACACGGGTGCGGCCGACAAGATGGCTTACCCACCCCCGCCCATCAACACGGCGTTTGCGCCGGCAGCCTCCCCTCCCTCTGCGGAGCCGCTCCACAGCAGCGTGCTCCAATCACCCGCAACCCCGCTCGACGGAGGAGAGGCGGGGAAGGAGAAAGAACAGAAGAAAAAGAGACGGTTTTCGCTGGGCAGACTGAGGCAGAGGAGCAAGAGCGGGAGTCGGAGCGTGAGCAGGAGCAGGCCGACGAGCATGGTGTTGGTGGAAGAGGCCGGCAAGGGCGCGGACCCCACGGGCGCTGCTGCGTGGCAGGCCCCACCGCCTCTGCCCATCTCGAAGGACATCGATGCGGGTGAGCAGGCTAAGCCGGTTGGAGCAAAAGAGCACGAAAAGGAGGGGCGAGTTGGCGAGCAGGGGGCGCAAGAAGGGGGCTACGAGGAAGAGACGGCAGCGGAGGACGGCGGGGACAAGAAAGGGGCCGAGATGGACAAGGCAGCGGAGGAAGAGGCAGAGGCAGAGGCAGAGGCGACCGGACTGAGCAAAGAGGTGGACAGGCACATGCACGGAAGCGAGACGAAGGATGAAGGCACCGCCGTGGACGCCGTCGACTTCGGGGCGGAGGCGGGAGGGGCGGACCGGCCCACTGCCGAAGGTGCGGAAACGCAACCGGCTGCCGCATCCGGCGTAGCGCTGTCGCAGCCCACGATAGAGGCTGCTGCTGCCGCCGCTGCTGCCGTGCCCCGACAAAGCCAAGAGGCCGTCGACAGCAAGAAGGAGAGCCGCGCCGTCGCCGAGATGAACATCAGCAGGCCCATCAGCCGGCAGATCTCGGCCGTCAACTCGCCGGCCGGCAGCAGGCCCGTCAGCAGCGTCGGCAGCACCTCCGCCGCCGCCGCCGCCGCCCAGTTCGTCGCGCCCGAGGAATGGGAAACCCTACCCGACCCCGCGTCGCCCGTGAGCCGCGCCTTCAGCCAATCCCCCATCTCGCGCACCGGCACCCCCGGCCACCGCTCGTTCGCCGAGCGCGCCCAGTCGCCCATCCAGCGCTCCGTCACCCCCGGCAGCATCGCCATGCCGACCGCCCAGTACGCCGGCGGCGCCGTCGCCCGGAGCGGCAGCCAGAAGAGCGGCAGCGGCAAGTGGGAGCGCCTGGGCGTCTTGCCCAGCCCGAGCATCGAGCCGCTGTCGTGGCTGGACGAGAAGGAGAAGAGGAGGAGCCTGGCCGCCGAGGCCCGCATGGAGCGCGTCATCGAGAGCGTCGTGCGCAACAGCACGCCCGTCAGCGTGCGGAGCAAGGGCAGCGCCGGCAGCATGGGCCGCTTCATGGCTGGTGGAGAAGGCGGCGAGCTGCAGCCGGAGAACGTCGACGAAGCGGCGAGAGGGGAGGAAGACGGTGCCAAATCCAACAGGCAGTCCTTTGCCCAGCGTGCCAGCGCCGGCGGTGCTCCGTCTTCTCGCCAGTCCATCCGCACGAGAGACTCCAAGGGCTCCATCGCCTCGCTGCTGCCCATCCCGCTAGACGAGATGGCGAAGAAGGGTCTCACGCTCGAGGACCACGAGCTGGACAGGCCGAAGTTTGATGTCTCGCCCATCGAGCTGGACGATGTGGATGCGGACGAGCGCGATGAGCAGCTCAAAGCAGCCACTGCCCAGCTGCAGCCTGAGCAAGCTGAAGAGCACCAAGATGCTCCTGATGCGCATGCTGGAGCTCAGCGATCGCCCTCCCCGGCATCCCATGATCACGCCAGTACGGCCGAAGTGGTACAGTCTCCGGGGCCCATTCAGCAGCCCCCGCGTCTTGCCTCGCCTCTGCAAGATATAAGCACTGCTGCGGCTTCGGTGGATGCCCCTGTGTCGGGAGAACAAGAGAACTTCTCGCGTGGGTACCAAGTCAGCCCTATCCAAGCCGGGTTCGACAACACCCAGCCTGGCCCGAGGCCGCCTCGTCGAGAGCTGGAGCAGGCTCCACGCCCGTTCTCGTACATGGAAGGCCAGAGCACGCAGGAGGAGAGCATGCAACAAGGATACGTGGGGCCGCGTTACGCTCAGCGTGCACCGCCCCAAGCTCCAAGTGGCCCCTCCGATGCGGCCAGCCAGAGGGGCATGCCGTACGCCAGACGTGGTCCTTACAGCTGGCAGCCCGGTCAGCTGCCGCCGCGCCAGCAGCAAGGTCCGCCCCGTCAAGGCTACCCGGCGCCGCCCCCAGGGCTTGACGGGCGCCGCCGCTCGTTGCTCCTTCAAAGCGACGCGAATGACAACTTTGCGCGCCCGGATTTCGACCCCCGCCTTTACTCGTCCGAGTTCACCTTGCCGGGGGTCGGGCCACCGGACCACTCCGAGACTTCTGAACTGCGTGTGAAGAGGAGATCGATTCTGGGTACCATCGGCGCCGGCTCCAACAATAGAGCGTCGCCCTCGGGCTCGAACACGAACACGCCGCCGTCCAAGTCGAACGAGCGCATCAATCCACAGCACGTCGACCAAGGCGCGGTGCTGCACCGGAGCTTCTCGTACCAGTCCAGCGTCGATGAGTCGCAGCTGAAGCTCACCACCACCGAAGAGGCGAGTAAGAAGTCGAAGGATGCGGACAGTCAGAAGTACAAGCGGCAGCGATCGGGCCTGTTTTCGCCTTTCAAACGGAACGACGACAGCACCTCACAGCAAAAGCCCACCACAGCTCCTCCGCCATCCGAGGCTGAGCCAGCTAACCCATCCGCTGCGGCCGGTCAGTCGAAGAAAGGCCGGAAGGTGCTGCAGCGCAACGCCAGTTCCGGCCGCTTGCAGACAGAGCCAATCTCACCAGCAGCGGAGAAGGAAAAGAAAGAGAAGAAGAAGCGGTCGTCTCTGTTCGGCAGTATTTTCGGCCGGTCTTCCTCTGCTGTTGCTGCGGAGCGCGAGAAGGAAGAGAAAAAGAAGCTTCGAGGCAGCGACAGCAAGGGTAAACTGTCGAAGCTGAGGAAGACTCACACGTCCAACAGCAGCAGCAATCTGTCTGCCGTCAGTCAACCCCAAGGCAACACCACGGAGGTGAGAGAGGCGGCTTACGCGCCTGTTCCCCAGCCTCCGAGGATGATCGGCAGCTACCGCGAACTGCGCGAAGGCACAGGCGTGACTGAGGACGCGCTCAGAGAGCAGAGCTCGCAAGGCGAATCCCTCAGATCGGCCGGTGAGCAACGGCTTCCCCCTCCCCCCCCTTCAGCAGGCTCTGCCGGGTCCAGCTTCTACTCGACCGGGCCCCTCCCTGCCACTCAGCAGACGGGATACCCTGGACCCACTACCGCCGCCGTCGCTCCTGGCTTCACACCTCCCCCGCACCGTCCCGGCCCCGCAGCGCGCACCCGTTACTACTCGCAGCAGCAAGCCGCCGCCGCTGCTCCTCAGCGCGCCCTCTCGCACGACCGCGCCCTGTGGCCTGCCGGCGCTCCTCCTCCTCCACCGGCCACGGCCCCCCCGCCCGGCCGTCGCTTCTCGGAGCAAATGCTGCAGCAACAGTATCCGCCGGCGGGGCCGGCAGCAGCAGCTCGCGCTTACCAAACGCCGCCGCCGCCGCCGAATCATCAGCAATACGCCCGCCACCCTGGCAGCCAAAGCGGCGAATACGCCGCAGCGCTTTCGCCGCAGGTCTCGGCGTTGGCGCCGCCGCAGCCGGGGGAACAGCCCCTGCCGCCGCAGCAGCAGGGGCAAGGGGCCGGCAGCGCCGTCGTCGGCAGGACTGCCGCTGAGGAGATGCTGGTCAGCCCGATCACGTCGAGGGCGAGCGAGTCTTCTGGCGGTGGGGGTGGGGGTGGGGGTGCGAGTTATTTCGGGCGAGTGAGTCCGGAGGCGCATAGGAGACAGGGCGCGATGGATGCGTTTGAGAGGCAGAGGCTGTGGCATATGCAACAGCAGCAGCAGCAGCAATCGCCAGCGCATACGGAGCGGCAGAGAAGTGCGGGAAGGATCCCACAACAACAGCAACAGCAACAACGAGGACCACCACCAGGGGTGATGGCTCCGTACCAGCAACAGCAACAGCAACAGCAACAGCCACCGCCACAGCAAATGTGGGCCCCGGCCCCTCACCACCCGCACATCATTCCCCACCAGCACCAGCAGCAGCGGCCCTTCGAGCTCAGCCTGCCCGGCAACAACAACTACAACACCAACGAGTCCTCCGAATCGAGTGGCGAAGACGCCATCGCTGCCACCACCACCGCCGCCGCCGCCGCCGGAGATTTCGAAAAGGGCCACCAAAACGGCGCGTGGCCGTCGTCGTCGCCGTCGCCGGGCGGCCCCGCCGCCGCCATGGCGGCCGCGTACAGGGAAGTCCTGCCGCGCGGCTACACGCCCGTCACCACGACCGCGACCGCGGCCGCCGCCGTCGCCGCCATCAGCGGCGGTGCCGGCGGCAACTCGTCGCCCACGACGATGACTACGACCACCACCGCGCGCATCGAGCCCCGGTGGAAGGAGATTTCGCCCGAGGAGGCGGAGACGGAGCTCGAGCGCGTGCGCGAGAGGCAGGCGCAGGAGCGGCTGTCGGCGCAGGAGCGCGAGAGGGAGAGGGAGAGGGAGAGGGAGAGGGGAGAGAGGGAAGAGAGGGAGAGGGAAGAGAGGGAGAGGGAGAGGGGGCGCGAGCGCGAGCTGGAGTTGGAACTGGAGTTGGAGCAGAGGCAGCAGCGGAACGTGCATCCCGTGTTTCGGCACAGCCCCAAGCCCAGTCTGAGCGGCAGCAGTCCTGCCCTTGGGCCTCCTTCCCCGGCGCCGCCGGCGAAGCTGCCCATCACCGGCAACATCTCGCCCAGACCCCCGCCGGGGTTCGAAGGCGTGGTGGCGGCGTCTCATCCGCAGCAGCAGCAGCACCAGCAGAATCAGCACCAGCAGAACAACCGCCCCCCGATCCCGCCGAATCAGCGCTACTCGGCTGGCCCGGTCACGGCGGCCGGCGACTTGCAGATGGACCCGGCGTATGCGAAGGAGTACGGCATCACGGGCTCGGAGCCTTCGTCTCGTCACCATCATCCTGCAGCCGAGCTGCCGCAGCAGCAGCAGGGTGCCCAGAAAGTCCTTGGCGATGACAGCGACGACGACGACGACGACGACGACGAGGATCTCTACGCCGAACCGACGAACGTCCTCGTCCGCAGCAGGGAGTCGGGCCAGCAGGGCGCGCAGGTGCTGGAGCGCGCGCAGAGAGAGGCGGCCGGTGCGGCGTCGCCGCCGCCGCCGATGATGATGTCGACGGTGCCGGCGGGAGGCCGGGAGGGGAAGGAGGAGGAGGAGGAGAGGGGGCAGGGCGAGGATGCGGATGAGCCCGTCGTCATGCATGGGGCTAGTTATCCGGGTATGGAGTGGACGCCGAGTTGGGATGGGACGGTCGAGTGAGTGAGTGAGTGAGTCTTGGTGGTTAATGGGTGGTGGTGTACACGCACGGTCTTTTCACAGTGTTTTTTTTCTCCTTTTCTGTTCATACACCTTTTCCCTTTTATTTTTCTTTTGTCTCCTTTCTCTTCTTGTTTCTCACCAGATTGCGGATTCGTACAAATGGGTGGCTTCAAGTGTTGTTATTTAAGTTATCAGTCCCTCTCGGCTACTATTCCCTTGTTCATCGTTGGCTTTTTGTTTTGTTATCGTCTTGTTGAAACTCGCGGGGTGGGCGGTACTGTCAAATTGTTTTGCCGAAGCAAAGGCTAGCGGATGGAGCTTGATAAAAGAAGGCGGGCGGTGGATCAGTCCAGGATGTGTGGTTGTCTGTCTTTATATATAGGTTTTCTTGTTTTTCTCCGTCTCCCAATCCTCTTTTTTTTTGCGCCGTCGGTATTATAAGTTTTTGAGATTCCCCATCTATGCGCACAGGAGAAGCTGCTGGGTTCGTTCCTTCGTGTTTTTGCTTTCGAACGCTGCCGACACTAATTCACTCGGTCGGGGCGTTCAGCATTGCCTGCGGGTGTATGCCATCGTTTTCTTGGGCTCTCAATCCCACAGCTTCTCCTATTCAATATTTAATACAAGATAGCTTGGAAACCGATAATGGAGGCCGGTCCTGCTTTATCAGTCCTGTGTCCTATTACCTCGTGGTGATAACAGGTCCTGTAATATCGCGTCCTCACTGCAAGCCCGTATTGCTTGGGTTCAGCACCCCGTTGCAGTCCAATCACGCATCACGCTCCGCGGAGAAATGGTGGTTAGGATTGTTGGTGGGATGACGCACCCACAATCTGACTCATACCCGGTAGGATAAGTGGAACACCAGCGACTGGCTAGTGGCATAGGGTGAGATTTATATCGACGTCTCTCAAAAGTAAGCACACGTTGTGGAGCTGTCATCGACATATATACCTCGGCACTAGTCCCCGCAACGTCAGCATAAAGCCTGCAGGCAAGCTTACATCCATTGAAACCTCACAAACTCCTCTTGTGCACCCCGACACAAACCCGAGGTTTCAATTTGCCAAAAAAAAAAAAAAAACCCTCAGACCCTCAGACACAAAACCAGGCCGTCGCCCGCCCGGCCGCCCCACTCACTCACTCAGTCATCCCACCTGTCGACCCAACTACCACCACGACGACCATGGCCTCCCCCATCCTCCACCTCCAAAAGTCCTACCCCTGGACCCGCGCCCCCCTCATCGCCAACGCCCCCATGGCCGGCTCCGCCGGCCCGCGCCTCGCCGCCGCCGTCACCAACGCCGGCGGCCTGGGCTTCATCGGCGGCGGCGTCGACATGGCCCAGCTGGCCGCCGACCTGGACGCGTGCCGCAACCTCGTCGACATCGACGTCGACCGCCTCCTCGCCACCACCGAGACCACCGATCAGACCACCACCTCCACTCTCCTCCCCCTCCTCCCCATCGGCATCGGCATCCTCTGCTTCAACAACAACAACAACAACGCCAACAACGCCACCGCCGGTGAGCCACTCGTCCCGCCCGCCGCCCTCGCCGACGTCGTCCGCGCGCACCGCCCCGCCGCCGTGTGGCTCTTCGCCGCTGCCTCCGCCGCCGCCGCCGGTGCAGCAGTCGACGCCTCATCCGCCTCCCCCGTCGCCGACTACACGCCCTGGGCGCGCGCCGTGCGCGCCGCGTGTCCGCAGACGGCGGTGTGGGTGCAAGTAGGCAGCGTTGCGGCAGCCGTGGCGGCGGCGGGAGCGGGAGCAGCCGACGTGCTGGTGTTGCAAGGGGCGGATGCGGGGGGGCATGGGTTCGAGAGGGGGGCGGGGTGGGGGGCGTTGGTGCCGGAGGTGGTGGATGCGTTGGGTGAATTACCTGGTGTCGGGATCGTGGCGGCGGGGGGCATCGTCGAGGCGAGGGGGGCGGCGGGGGCGCTGGCGGTGGGGGCGGGCGGCGTGGTGATGGGGACGCGGTTCCTGGCGTGCGAGGAGGTGGCGTGTCCGGCGTTTTGGACGGAGAGAGTGCTGCGGGCGAGCGATGGCGGGGTGGCGACGGCGAGGTCGAAGGCGTTTGATGAGGCGAGGGCGGGGGGGAACGTGTGGCCCGGGGGGTATGACGGGCGGGCGTTGGTGAATCGGACGTATAGGGATTTCGTGGCGGGGGAGGTGCCGGTCGAGGAGATTCGGAGGCTGCACGGGGAGGAGCAGAAGAGGGGGGATGCTGGGTGTGGCGGGACGGAGGACATGAGGGTTACGGTCTGGGCGGGGACGGGGGTCGGGTTGGTCAGGGAGGTCTTGCCTGCGGGGAAGATTGTGGAGGATGTGAGGGAGGGGGCGAGGAGGGTGCTGAAGAATCTCGGCGCCCAGCTTTGAACGGGGTTGAGAGGGCGGACCTGTACGGATGTGAGAGGTTCACGACGTTCTGCTGCTTGGTCCCCACCGCTAATGAGCTTGGCTATAGTGTAGTGCTCATCATCTAGCGGATCCCAGACTTCGAGATATTGGAAAAGAAAGCTGCTGTCCTAACGCTGAATTCCTTCCTTGTTGTGATAGTGAGTATTGCCGTGCCTTTTTCAAGGCTCTCAGTTCTCATGCGGAAGAGCTTCTGGTAGGAGAAGTGATCGTCCGGTTTCGCTTTTATCGATTTTTCCAATGTTCCGTCGCTGCGGGTATCGAATTCGGGGTTGATCCGAACTTGGGCATGTTGCCTGCAGTTCAGCGGGGGGTTCAACACGACCCGAGCCGATTGAGTGGGGACCTGACGCCAGAAAGAATCATTCACATGCATGAAAGACGCAGGGCCAAGCACCAATGGTTGGCTTCCTACCGTCATTTTTTGGGAACTGCTCTTGCGTCACCGTTGGTTTCGGCGATCACGAGGTCGTATAAAAATGAGCATGACCTCTCCCAACTATCTTTGCTTGTCCACCCTCGATACAGCTTGGGCCCCATTTTAGCAGAGGTTCAAAGTGCTGGCCACCAGACGACGACGGTTACAATGGCGATGATCGAAAAGCCCGCGATTCCCAAAGGCTCGACAATTCTGGTGACTGGTGTGAACGGCTACATAGGCTCACACGTAGCCGATCAATTCCTACAACTGGGCTTCCGGGTCCGAGGTACGGTGCGGGATACCAAGAAAAATGAATGGATGACCGAGTTGTTTGAGAAAACGTACGGGGCCGACCGATTCGAGCTCGTCGCCGTACCGGACATAGCTTTAGAAGGAGCCTTTCTCTCTGCTGTGAAGGGTCGGTTGCTCTCCCGAAGAAAACGATGACAGTTTCTGACATGTGGACAGGAGTCTCTGCCGTCATCCACGTAGCGTCAAACGTGACGCTTGATCCTGACACCAGCAAGGTTTTTCCGACCGCGGTCGATGGAGCGTTGAGCGCACTGAAGGCAGCCAATAGCGAAGGCACGGTGAAGCGATTCGTCCTCACATCCTCGTCGTTTGCGGCATCTATGTCGAACACCAGCGAGCAGACTGTGACGAAAGATTCTTGGAACGAGAGCTCCATCCGCACTCTGCAAGCGGATCCTCCATATCCCCCAGAGCGAGGCGTACAGGTTTATGCAGCAAGCAAAGCTTTGTCGGAACGCGCGGTGTGGAGATTTTGCCATGAGGACGCCACCAAGAGGCCGGACTTGGTCGTGAATGCAGGTATGTACAGTACGAGACTCCAAAATTGATCGGATTATAGGTCTAACCTTTTCCAGTTTTGCCGAGCGCAAACTTCGGAAAGATCCTTGGCTTGGATCATCAGGGACACGCATCTACAGCGGGCTTCATCAAAGGCTTGTGGTATGGGACACGCCTTGAATGGCTTGCTTGCATCCCACCACGTAAGTCGCACAGGAAGGGCCGCCGTCGGACAGAATGAACTGACGGTAATTCCAAACAGATTACTTCATCGATGTGCAGGATGCCGCGCGCCTCCACGTCGCAGCAACCCTTCACCCGGCCGTTGCTGACGAGAGGATTTTTGGCTATGCAGAGCCGTACAACTACGACACTCTCCTGAATATCCTCCGAAAGCAGAACCCGGGGAGGGATTTCATTGAAAACTTCCAAAGCGGACGCGACTCGTCTGTCGTCGACGAGCCTCGAGCTCGGACGGAGGAGCTGCTGCGAGAGCTGGGCAGACCGGGGTTTACGTCGTTGGAGGAGAGCATCCGTGCGAACTCCGAGGGGCTGGGCTAGTTATGTACTCTTTGCCCGGTAAACATGGCTTATGCTGTGTGGAAAGTGAAGAGCGTCAGCTTTCCGACACCGATCTGATTGTTAATCAGCCAACGCTTTCGCCACGTTTAGTGTGTACATAAGCAAGAAGGATTTTAACAAAGCTCGCACTGTTCCTCTCCTAAAGCCGACGACAGGGACAAGGCCGCAGTCCGATATGAGGCTCAGGAGGTTGGCGATAGCATCCGACGGGGGTGTTCCCTGTCCCATCAGGGCCATTAGTGATTACTACACGTGCTCGCGAGGCCGATTTAACACCGCGTCCCACAGTGACCTGCAGATACGAAGGACAGCGGGCTGAAGATCGACGCGATATGCCTGGGGCAAAAACATTAGCCGAATATTCAAGAAAAGCGCCCGCCGGACTAGGGCATAGAGTTGCTTTTACCGGTAAATGCTGAGAAATCCACACCACGTTGCCGCGCTGCGCGGCTGTCAGAGACCCAATGCGGCGCTTGGGCCTCGTATCACTGCTAGCTGCGGGGACTGTTGCCTAGCCGCGCGCTTCATGCGCGGCGAAGGAGTGCCCAGATCGTGCCGATTAAACATTTCATATTTCATGAGCTAGGCCGCCATTCTTCCTCCATAGCCGCAGCCGCAGCCGCGACCGCCAATAAGAAGAACAAAGAAGCATCGCTTTGAGTCGTGCACCTCGGGCACCCTCGCAAAAGTAAAAAGAGAACAGGATGGCCTGCCCCAGCCTCCACACTCTCCCGACCGAGCTCCTCCATGTCGTCACGTCTTCGCTCCCCTTCAGCGACGTCCTGTCGCTGCGCCTCGTCTGCCGGCCCCTCGCCGCCAAAGCTTCCTCCGACAGACGCTTCGAGCTACGTTTTGCCGCCCGCTCCAGCGACCTGTCGATGAAATCGCTCGAGACCCTCGCCGCCATCGTCGCACACCCCATCCTCGGCACGCTAGTCAGGGACGTCACACTAGTCACCTCCTTTCTCGACACCGACACCCTGCTTGAGGTTGTCCGCACCCACAAGAAGCCGCCCGTCCAGCCGCCCGAACGCGCCTCCACCGTGCGCAGGGATGATGTTGGCCCCGAGGAGCTAGCCGCGACGCGCGAGTTGCTGGGCGTCTACGACGATCTGCGGGCGGACCGAGCGCGATCGAGCGCCTCGGGTCGGGATGTCGAGCTGCTCGGTGCGGTTTTCGCGCAGCTGAGGGCCTTGAGGACGCTGAGATTGGAGGCCAGTGTCTTCAAGTGCCGGGGAGAGCCGAGAGGCAAAGAGCAGAGGTTGCATGTGCTTCGGGCGCCGGATTACCTGCCAAAAGCATCGTCGTCCAGGCCAGTGGGCGATGAGCAGCCTCAGAAGACGCCGAGAAGAAGGATCTGGGAGATGGCGGTGCACGACTTCAACATCACGCTGCGAGCCATGGCGCAAAGTGGGGTAGCTGTCGACAGCATGCTGGTCTTTGGAAAAGAGTGGGGCTGTAGCGTCCTTTCAGCTGAAGTCGGAAAGCTGCTCGCCGACGATTCCATGTGCGGAGCTGAGGTTGTGCGGGCGGCCGTGTCTCGTCTCAAATGTTTGAGCATCAGTGTGTCGCGAGGCTCGCTCCAGATGTTTGGGGGAGACGGAGAGAAGAAGGCCGCACACCGGAACTACATCGATAGCAACGAGGATCTGGAGGGATTTGGGAAGTTGCTAGCCATGTGCGCGAGCCTCGAACAGCTCGACATGCGCAAAGTCCGGATGTATAACGATCTCGGCCTGTCAAGGAGCGTGACGGACCCAAACTTTTTCCGCAGTATTGCGACAAAGGCGGACGTGACGAAGCTCCGGTCGCTCACATTGCGCGGATGGACTGCGCGGGGGGCAGACTTGTCGCATCTACTGTGGAGATGCAGCAGCCTGGAAGAATTGGAGTTGCGAGAGGTGCGCCTCTGGGACGGGCAGTGGAGCCAGGTGTTTCGGCTGCTGGGCGAGCGGGCACGACAACTGAGGCAATTGACGCTATACCGCTGTTTCGAGACGCAGCTGATCTGCATCACGCGGCCTGCGGGAGCGGCAGTCAGGCCAGACGACGCGTGCTACGAGTTCATGGACACGGTCAAGCTGAGCGGCGAAGAAGTCCGAGGTGGCATCGGATACTGCAAACAAGCGGAGACTTGGACCGGGAGCCGGCCGCACCGAGTGTACAGGCGGGAAAGGATGAAAGAATACGGGTTCTGAAAAGGGAAGCGGACTGGTCCGTGAGAGTCGAGTCTCGTAAAAATGGCATGCGAAATTGGCGGCTTGGAGGCAAATGATGAACGACGGAAAACGACGGAAAACGCTGGAATACGGGCCGACCGGATAGGGAAAGTGGTATTTGAAGACGAACGAGAGCGAAGCTACACAAACTCCTTGTTTTTGGTGGGTGTTTGCTGGCCTTCGAGCGAGGGGTGCAGCTGCGAGAGCTTGTAGGTGCTGCCTTCGTTGCGCAGGTACATGTTCGGGTTGGCCTCGTAGCTGAAGGCCGGGTCTGTGGCCGGACCCATGCTCGCGCGGTTGTTGTTCTTGGGGCCTGCGGGAGCCCGCGGCCCCTTGCGGCCTACCGGCTCGTCGTCGTCGAAGCCCAGGTCGCGGTACTTGGCCGCTGCCCGCTCCTCGGCCAGGCGGTCTTGTATGCGGCGCTTGCGCATGACGCAGAAGAAGACGATGCCGGCGCCCATGAAGATGCTGCGACGGGTCGGTCAGCGGGGCGCCTCACGCGTCACGCGGGACAGGGACTCGGGACGTACAAGGCAAAAATGCATATGGGCACAATGGTCTTGAGCATGCTGCTGACGGGCTTCTCGCAAGCGCTGTTGTTGGGGTGGGCGTCGCAGTCGACCATGTTGGCGGTGTTGCTGGGTAGGACGGCTGCGGGGTGGGGTGAGGGGTGGGCGGTGGGTCGCGGGAGGCCTGCCTGAAGATGGCTGCGGTTTTGAGCAAGAGCGGGAGGATGCTGGCGACGGGGCTGGGGCGTTTGAAGCTTGTCCTTTGGCGGGCGCGTGGTGATGGGCGGTGGTCTTTTAATGAGAGTTGGATGCTCCCGGGGAAATTGAAGGGGGAGCGGCGGGCGGCCAATCACCACGAGCGGCAGCCGCCCATCAGAGCCGGCGCCTGCCTCACCCCCGGCGAGCGGTCCTCATGGCCTGCGCCTGCCCTGTGCCGCACCACCTGCACCACCTGCCGGACATGAGCAGCAGCTCAACCCCTGCCCGCCAGCCCTGCACCCCATATCTCGCCCATCATCTCGCATGGATTTGCCGTCGCACCACTCCGGCGAGACGCCCGTCAGAAGACCCTTTCCCCGCATCGCACCATCTTCCACATGGGCAGGCGCACGAGCGTAAGAGCCGCAGCGCCCCTTGAGCTGAAACCCCAGGCACCACCTGCGAAGCCGTCCCCAAACCGCCAAGCTGAGCCTCACCTCACCTCTCCGTGTCGCCCATCGTCTCGCACTGGACTGTGTCCGTATGCATATCCACCCGCAGCAACGGAGATGCGACGCCCTCATCGGCCCTGTGAGATCGTCGGGGTAATAAAAGCCCGCTAATCACAGGCATCGCTCTTATTACCTGCTCTGCCACCATGCCGCCAACATACCGATTTTCACGCTTCCTCGTGAAGCTCTCGTATTCGTCGCCCTCCAGAGCCTCGGGATTGGTCTTGATACGAGCATCGCTATTGCAGGTACGGCGCTGACTATTCCTATTGTCAATCACCCATCCTCCCCACGTGAAGCGATCGCCTTTCTCCTCACGCCCGTGATGATTTCATCGTCTCTACCTACCTTGTCCGACGCTCAAATGTGGTGGAGGGCGATTTCGAATGCTAGGGCCAAGGGCGTAGTCCGCGGCTGGGCGACGCTTTTTTCGGACTATCAACGGGTGGCTAAAGCCTTGGTTCTCGACAAGAAGACGCAAGAAGGCTTAGCAGTAGAAGGATTCTCTTGGTAGCTCGTGGGGCCATGGCCATGTTACAAGTGGGCCATGTCACAGCCTACCTACGTCGAATCGACCAATGCGAGCGAAGCACTGGACGAGAACACCTAAGCTTACCAATCTCGCCGATACTGCTACGGTCCACTATAGCCACTTTCGGCACGGGGTATGAACTGAATATCTGTCTTGCCGAACTCCTTACCGGAGATTGTACGCACAGCAAAGATTGGTCAAATGGTGGTTTGTGCAAGATCGAGATCCGCTGTATCGCCGGGAAGGGCCAGAGCACACTGCCACAGACTCGACATCACGTCAAGTCACAACTACCTTTATGGAATTACGTCTGAGCATCTTTCAAAGAAAGGATCCTGCCATTTCTTCCCAGCGACGCCGACTCTCACTGCGATATATCTTGCGACGTCCTCGGAACTCTCACGCTTCTCCGTGTACAGGGTAATGAAACTTGCCTTCCGAGTATATTCAGGAAGAGCTAAACAAGTGGTTGCGACACGGGGGTAAGCTGGAGAGTACTCGGGGTGTGTCAGCTGTGCGCATAATAAAGTAATGGTTAATTACTCGAACGACATAAAGTTTGGTCATCCCCATGGTTGGCTTAATGCACCGGCACGTCCACCGGTACTTTCACTCGCATATTTTGATTAATCTGAGATGAATGGCTAAGAAGAACACCTCAGGAATATCATTATACAGTGTGTCATGAGTTGTATGAGTAGTTCAATCCAATGTTTTGACGTGTTCATACGAGGTTGAAGTTGGCATCTACACCGGGATGTTTCCACGTAGGAAAAACACAGCATGCTCGGCGGGATCTAGAGAGCACGTTCTCAGTAACTCAGTATGATGCTAGTGCATGTTTGGGTGGATTGCGCTGACTGAAGAGATGGGGATTATATGTCAAGTATCTCCAGCGGAGACGACGAAGCATACGAACATCCAAGTCACATATCTCCTGCCATAACGGGAAAATCGGCATGCTATCAGCACAGTCATGACGGAGGATGCAATGCGGCGTCGCGTTGCGTCACGCCCCGCAATTGACTCATCTTCTACCCCACTTCTCGGCCGCCTCTACAGCACATGGGGATATAAAACCAGCGACATCACTACATACCCGGAAACGAAACGGCCAATTGCTTCCATCGCCCCAGCTTTGCTCACCCTCACCGCAAAAGGAACCCATTGCCACTCAAGATGGCCACACCTCAACGGGCATCTCCCGGACCTGCTCCGCAACCAAGGTTTGGATGGATAGGTATGTACAGTACACACACCAGTCTCCCACCATACCAGCCCCCGAAAAGCGCAGCCAAAAGAAAACAAAAATAGAAGAAAAAATCCAATCAAAGAAAAAAGAAGAAGAAAAAAACCACTAACACCCTCGCCCTCTCTCCCCCCCACCAACAGGCCTCGGCTCCATGGGCCTCGCCATGGCCACGAACCTCCAAACCCACCTCCTCTCGACGACCAGCGCCTCCAACCCCCTCCACTACCACAACCGCACCCCCTCCCGCGGCGCGCCCCTCGCCGCCCTCGGCGCCGTCCCCCACCCCACCGCCTCCTCCCTCGCCGCCGCCGCCGACATCATCTTCCTCTCCCTCGCCGACGACGCCGCGCTGACCGCCACCCTGGACGCCATCCTCCTCCTCCCCTCACCGGTAAGCGGTGACGACGAGCAACAAACCCTTCCCGTCGACCTCTCCCACAAAATCGTCGTCGACACGTCGACCGTGCACCCGTCGTCTTCATCCGCCGCGGCCGCGCGGCTGCAGGAGCGGGGCGCGGCGTACGTGGCGGCGCCCGTGTTCGGGGCCAGCCCGGTGGCGGCGAGGGGGGAGCTGCTGTTCGTGGTGGCGGGGCGGCCGGCGGCGGCGGTGGAGGCGGCGGTCGGGGCGGAGAGGCCGTGGATGGTGGGGGTGATGGCGAGGGCGGTGGTGGGGGTGGGCGAGGACGTGCGGAGGGCGGGGCTGGTCAAGACGGTTGGGTGAGTGCCGAGTGGGATGATGGGGCTTTTTTGTTTTGCTTTTTTTTTTTTGTTCTTTTCTAGGAGGGGGGGTTTTCTCTTTTGCGCGCTGAAGAAAAGGCTAATGCGTTCGTGTAGGAACTTTGTTACTGCTGGGATGATGGAGTTGATTTCAGAAGCCCACGTTTTCGCTGAGAAGTCGGGCTTGGGGAGTGAAGCCATGGAAGCGCTGTTGGAGCAACAGTACGGGCCGCTGGCGTTCAACATGTCGAAGAGGTTGACGACTGGTGCTTATATGCCGCCCAAAGGTATGTGAGGGGTTTTGCTTCTGGCCGGACCGCGATACTGATCCAGTATCCTAGGAGAACGCCCATGGTCAAGCCTCGAACTCGCCCTGAAAGATGTCGGGCATGGAATCAAATGCGCAGAAGAGGCCGGGACCAGCTTGGAAGTTGGCGAGGTGGCATTGCGGCACTTGGAAGAAGCAAAGAAGTTCTCGGATGCGCAAGGTCGGCCGCTTGATTCATCGTCCATGTATGGTGTGTTGAGACAACAAGCCGGTCTGCCGTTTGAGACAAATCAGGTGCAGCAACGGGACACGGACGATGCATGACAGGGAGCCGGCTAAACCCACTTCTTGAAATCTTACTCATGAATATATACACGGCAGGGTATACAGAAGAAGTGAAAGACGTGAAAGACGTAAATGAGAGCGTTCGTTGCAGCAGGGCGAAATGATCAGACGGCTTAGAAAGTCTACGTTCTGGTTCATGTAGTCTCTCCTGGTTGGCAGGATTACTTCACCCCATTTTCCCGTCTGAAAATGGGCTGATATTCGTACCCTCTCAGCGGCCACGACTTTGCTCAGACCTTCATGGGAATATCGGCCTCGAGCACCTTATCACCAACTTTCGGGGGCTGTGATTTGATCAGGATGAACAGGGCACGAGCCCACTCATCCGTGTCGTTGTCCCATCGGTGCATCGTGGCCTGCTGGACCACGACGTCGTTCTTCTTCAGCGCGGTCCTCGACCCGTCGTCCAGCGTCATGGTCACCGTCCCCTCGATGACGAACATGTAGTCGACGGTGAGGGTGCGGTGGAACACGCTCTTGGAGCGCGGAGGCAGGCCGACGATCCTGAAGATTGCGCCGTCGTTGGCGATGCCCGTCTGGGCCAGCCCTTTGTCCTCCTTGGAGTTGACGTCGGGTGGGAGCTCTGCGGTCGACCATACGGGGACGATGACCGGGCCGTGGGGCGCCTTCTTGCCGGCGATCAGGTCGTCACGGGTTACGACTGCCACCGCGTCCTCGTTGTGGCCGGTGACGACACGGCGGATGGGTGTGTTGAAGTCTGCCTCGCTCGTCATGTTGGAGTGGTTTCGAATTCTTCGGCCTGCAATAATGTTCAGCAAGCGATCCTTTTGAGGGTGATCCAGGGCTCACTCGCACGGTACGAAAAAAAGAATGGTGTTTTGGGTGTCACCTAATTCACAGTGGCTCAGATGTTAGTTAAAGAACTGCCGCGTATTGCGAGACATGCGCATTATATGGGGCGGCAGATGGCATCCCCCATCTTCTCTCGACGGCAGTCACAATCCCGTTCGTGAGTCCAGAGCGTTGCGTAGGAACGGACGGTGGTAGATTCTCCATGAAGACCAAACACCCTCAACACACGGGATCAATTGCACCGAATAAGTGGATGCCGCCAAGATTGAAATCCCTCGGCCAAGGATCGGAAAGGGTTAAGGTGGGGTCAAGTCGGAAAAACAATGTCCTCCACTCGAGTAGTAGTGTCTGCCGTCTTGCGGTCGTACGTAGTAAGCACGAGCGATCGCTAGGGCTTCAGGTTGTGCCAGATAGGTCACGCGCATGTGGCTTGTTATACGGCCTGTTCCTGAGTTGTCAATGGCTGCCATTTGTTGGCTGTCCTTACCTTAGTGTTAGTCGCATTATTCTCCCGCGAAACAGGCGCACAGCACCGCGGAGCAAGCGCGGGGCTGCGAGATGCTACCTGCTCCAAGATCAGGATGCAAACATGGGGATTGCAGTAGTCAAGCGTCGGAGCGCGTCAACGCCGGCGAGGCGTCCGAGAAGCAGGCGTCAGAACCATCACAACAAACTCACAACGCGAGGTACGTTAGGACAGTTCCATTAGGTATAAACATCGTCAGCTGCAACTCCAGGCAGCAGCAAAAGTCTCATGGCCGTGTCGTAACCTCATCCGCCATCCGCACCAGCAACCACCAGTGTGCACCCGCCGCCTATGCGCCGTACTTCTTTTCCTTGTCCTTGATGGGGAAGTCGGAGCCGGTGGTAGACTTGTACTTGGCGCGGATGAAGTCGGAGATCTGCTCGTCCTTGGCCTGCTCGACGGCGCTCTCGTTGTCCTGCGGGCCCGCGCCGAGGAACTTCTCCTGCACGAAGTCGACGCCTGTTGTTACGGTGCTGCGTTAACGGCGGCCCAATGGCTTGTGTATGAGGAAAAGGGATGGATGGTGGCTGACCCTTGTCGAGCAGATCCTCGTTCTTCTCGCTCTCCTTGCCGCCACCGGCCATGCTGTTCATCTTGTCCATGAAGCCGCCGCCGCTGCTTCCGCTGCTGGAGTGCTCGGCAGACTGCTTGCTCTTCTCCTCGGAGGAGCCGCCGCCGGTGAGGTTCTTGACGAAGTCCATGTCTGAGGTTTTGGGTGTGCTAGGTGGGGTTGTTGTTGTTGTTGTTGTTTGTTTGTGACGGTAGAGAGTGATGCGGGGTGCTGGAGCTCTTATCACCCTCCAAGGCCGGCCAAGGCTCCGGCGCTGGCAGGTGACATCATTGTGGCTGCCCAGCCGGTTTTCGAGACCAGACTTCGTCGCACGAAGGAAGCAGCGAGACACGACAGAGTCAGACGCCGGCAGCAGCCATTGAGGTGATCTTCGGCACCTGGTTTCGAGTAAAGCGCGCACCGGTCTGCGTCGCTATCTTCCAATGCGCGCCATTGGCTGGATCCCAGCAAAGTAGCTACCCCTGCACAGCTGATCGCAGCAGAGCCATGTGGGGCAGCACGCGCACATCTGTCAGTTGCCGACCAGGGCACAGCCACACTCGTCCACGCGCCAAGTCTAGACTTACGTCTCTACTCAATCTTACCTGCGGCCTAAGACAATTCTGGCAGCCAGCGCATGCATTATTGTATGTACCTGGAATACCCTTTAATGCCGAGGAGACAAAATCCAACGAGCTTACAGAAACGAATGAATCTATCCATAGACTTACAAAAGTGATGATAGCTTTTTGCACACATTCCTGCATGCCCTAGTGACTCTACTCCTCCAAATTCCCGTTTCTAGCCTTGTATGTCGAGAGAAACCCCATGATAATAATCCCCTCCGGATCATCATCGATCCAAACGTCAACCATGACGAACCCTAAGCCCACATGGCCTTGAACTTCTCGTTGAACTCCTCCGACACCTTCTTAAACGCCACCAGCACGTCCAGCAAGCTGCCCTCTCCGTCATCCTCCCAAGCCAGCGAGTTCAACGCCTCGTCCGCACCAGCAGCACCGTCCGCGTCCCAGCTCTCCTCGTCGTCATCACCATCATCGTCGTCCCAGCTCTCAGCAACGGCCTTCTTCGCCACCTTCTTACCCCGCACAGGAAGCGCCTTGTTGTTCTCCTTGCCCGCCACACCAGGAGTGGCAGCACCAGCAGCAGCAGCAGTGCTGCCTTCCAACAGCCTATCCGCCATCTCCTCCATCGTCTCGTCCCCGCCGTCCCCACCCGCGCCCATCTTGAGCAGCTCCTCCAAGCTCGTCACGATCGTCGCCAGCACCATCGAAAAGTCCTGCAGCACGAACCACACGTCGCCGCGGCGGATGCCGTTCGCCTCCGCCAGCGCCGTCACGTCGCCGTGCTTGAAGAAATCGAGGAGGTAGGCGTTGAGAGGCGAGAGATCCAGAGTTTCCTCGTCGCTCCCCTCTTCGGAATCCTGAACGGGGACGTGCGGGATCACGGCCTCCTCGAGGAAGACGCCGGCGCGCACGGTGCGGCAGAGCTCCGCGATGGTGGCGATGTCTTCGTCGTCGGTGTGGCCCGAGAGGGCGACGAACGGGGAGCGGATCGTGTACTGCGGCGCTGGCGGCGCAGGTGTGGGAGAGCCTGCGTCGCCGCCGCCGCATTTGACGCCTGTCAGCGGCAGGATGTTGTCGGGCTCGCTCACGTGCTGGGCGACGTACGTGCGTACGTACGTCTTGAAGACGTCGAGCGCGTCGCGGTTGTGGGCGTGCAGTATGCGCGCTGCGTCGGCGGGCAGCGGCGCGAGGAGGATGGATGAAGGGGAGCGCTTGGCGACTTCTTCGACGAACTCGCGGTCGACTTGGCGGTTGTAGCGGCGACCGAAGATGTGTGATAGGACGAGCACGACGGTAGAGAGGATGCGTTCGATGCTGTCGGGCGTCTGCCGGATGCCGGCGCATAGGCGGTGGAAATAGCCGTCCCTGAGCAGCGCATGGAAGGCGAAGTTGGAGCTTTCGGTGTAGTACAGGTTTGAGACGCAGCCGGCGAAGTTGAGCGGGTTGCCCGACTGGTCGAGCAGGAACTGCCGGCGGAGGTACTCGAGTGAGAAGCGCAGGTGGTGCAGCACCGTCACGTGGTTCTCGTCGCCGCCAAGGCAGAGACGCGGCTGCGACAGGAGGGCATTGATGGACCGGACGGCGAAGGCGGAGTGTTTGGACTCCGAGAGCAGGTTGCAGAGCCTGAGCACCAGCGTCGTCGTGATGGGGAAGTGACCGGTGAGGTCGGGCAGGCTCGAGCTGAGCAGGCGGCGGACCTTTGAGACGGGGACGCCATGGAAGACAACGTTGCCGAGAACATCGAACCCACGACGGCCAGCACGACCGGCTGCTTGGCGGTAATTGAGAGCGGTGAGGGATATCGAGTCGCCGCAGAAGACGACTGTCTTGCAAGGCATGTTGATACCCAACGCGAGCGTGCCAGTAGCCACGATGACCCGCAGGTAGCCCTTGCGGAAGAGCAGTTCGACCACATGTCGATACTTCCTATTCATACCCGCATGGTGGACAGCGATGCCGCGGCTGAGTGCCTCAATCAGCCAAGGTTGGACGCCGCGCCATTGAAGCTCGTCCGCATATACTTCCAGCTCAGACTGCTGTAGCTTGGCTGCATCCTTGAAGTGGAACCCGTCAAGAGGAGCTTCCGGGTCAAAGCTTCCCCAGCTGTCGATTTCCGTGGACGCTGCCTCCTTCTCAAGATCTGCCTTGCTCATACCCTTCTCCACCGTTGCGGACTTTTTGTTGGGGGTTTTCTTCGACATTCCTTTACGACTCTTCTTCCACGTCTCCCAGTCGTCCAGCTTCTTGGCCCACACCGGAGATGTTTTCTTCCATTTGTCCTCCGCCTCTTTCAGTTCAGTCAAGACACTTTCGCAGATTGACTCGCAAGTGCCGCGATCGTAATTGAACATGATTGCCGGTAGGGCGGACTGCTCTTGTAAACGACAAAGAAGTGGAAGAGCGGTGCTAGATAACGATGCATGATCCAACGCTGTGTCGTTTTCCGCTTCGAGTTCATGCAGTCCTCGGCCGAGGTCCCGAACGACGGAATCGAACGGAGAGTCGTGTTCTGCCATCCATTTCTGGAAGACTTCCTTCAACGATTCGCACCAGGTGATTATGGCAGCCTGGGTAATCACTCCTGGGAGGGCGTTCTTCGGATCAAGTGAGTCCGGAACTGCATACGTATCGCTCTCATGAGCCTTCATGGCCTTCCACAGAGTGAAGCAGTCACGAGCCTCAAGTGAGAAGTCCTTGGGCATCCCACGGGATCGGTCCAGTAAGCTTGCGACTGGATGGGCGAACCGGAAGTCCTCGCTCCTGTCCAAGTCGACGCGAGGGACTACTGGTGCCTTGGGCAACCCTTCGAATGCGAGCGTCTTAGGTGGGACGTAGACATATTTCCGCAGGTCCGAGTAACGGTGTGGATGATGGACCATGACAAGCTCGTTCCCAATAGCTTTCTGCGCCGAGGCGAGCCAGCTGCGGAACTCCTCGGGGTTGCCGACGGTGGCAGAGAGGGCAATGATCGGACACGAAGAGAGCAGGAGCAGCTGTTCCCAGACGATGCCGTCGTCTGCCTGGCCGATGCAGTGAACTTCGTCGTAAATGATGCGCTTCAAGCGAGATGACCACGAGTTGGCGTTGCTCGGAGCCAGCAGCATCATCTGAAGAATGTCTGGCACCGTCACCAAGATCTGGCAGCCCGTCGAGTTGTTGACACGGTAGTCACGGGTGTGGATCGCCCAGACCGACTTGCCAGCATGTTTGTACACTTTGGAGAAACGGGCTTGGATCTCTGCGGCAATCTGATTGACGAGAGCTTTGGTGGGTGCGACATACACAAGGACACCATCATCGGAGCTTTCAAGGGCCTTCTTCATGGCATAGAAGGAGATGAAGGTTTTACCAGCGCTCGTAGGCGCTACCACGAAGAGGCTTTTCTCGGCATCAACGACGTCAAGAACCTTCCGTTGCCATCCATCTGGAACGAACGAAACGCGATCATCGGGCGCAGAGTCCATCTTGCGATCAAAGTAAGGGCCGCAATGAAGAAGCTGAAACTCCTTGGACGGTAAGGGAACCTTCAAGCTGGCGTCTTTCTCGTGCAGCGTGAAGTCGAACGGCAGCTTTCTGTCTTGCAGCTCGGCTGCAGGGATTGGGAAAGGCAGGCCAAGAGAATCCACAGTCCGCAGAAGCTTCTCTCTCATCGTCTTTGTAATGCCAGACTTGCTGCTGAGGCGGCCGACAGTATCCCAGATCTTGGCTGCAAGTGCAAAATTCGGAGACGCCTGGTTGCTCGAGACAGAAGTTTTCCAAAGCTCGAGGAGGCAGTTAAGAGCGTAGAGTTCGATCTCGAAGCCGATGACAGCCTGCTTAGAACTTGAAATAGAAGCCAGATACTGGAGAGCCTTTGAGTACCGTACAGCAGGCTGCTGATCGCGCTGAATATCCTTGCAAACTGCATGCCATGAGTTGATCACCTTCTGATTTTGGACTGCTTCCTTCTTCTCGTGTTCGGCGGCGATCTTGTCCAGCATGGCTTGTTTCTGTTTGTTCTTTCCACCGCCAGCTTTAGCAGACTGTCCTGCCTGTTGCTGCCCCTTGCTTGCGCGCGAAGCAACGGATTGTCCATCCTGGGTGATGACGGTCTCGGGTTCCAAAGCTTTCCCAACGGCGTTGGTCAGACTGGCGGCGTATGCCATCATTTCGGCCATGAAGCGCTGATCTCGGCGCCGTGCATAGAAGTTTGCGCGTTCCTTGGCGGTCAAGACAGCCTTACGGTTCAACGGGCGCTTAACGTTATTCCAGTGAGTCAACTCACGGAATGCTCTTGAGGCGCTGCCTTTGGGATGCTGGACCGCTTGATCATCGCCGTCCAATTTGACGGGTTGCAAATGTTTGTCGAATACCCCATCAGCGAATGGAAGAAGCTGGCGGGAAGACTTTGAAAGCTCTTCTGGGGCTTGCACTGACTCGTCTACCGTTCCAGAGGGTTGCCGCTCAAGTTCCGTGGTGTCTAGCGCCACCAATGAAGCGACGAGGCTTGTGAAGTCTTGGTCCAGATGCGGGAGTGGGATACGTCCAGCAACGACGGTATTGTACAGTCTGCCATCAACAAGGTCACCGACGTCGCAGGGCAGTTCTGTCTCGTCCAGAAAGGTCTTCCACAACGGAGAATTCATGACTGCCAGTGCAGATTCTGAAAATTGGTGGAAAAAGCGTTGTGATGCCTCTGTTGACGCAGAAGAGTTGGAAGAGCGCGATTCAAGGGATAGCTGGTTCTGAAGCACAGCATGTCGGAAGAAAGCCGCGATATCAGGGTGAGGTATATCTCCGGCAGAGACCAGATTTGCCGCGGTAGCGATAGCGAGGTAAACACGTTCTGAAAGCTTTTGCTCGGCGCGTCCATGATGCTCACTTAGAGCGTCGTACAGTTCGCGTCCGAATGCATCCGCGTCCGGCTGAGCAGCATGGTCGTCGGCCTTGGGCATGCTGGGCCTATGCGAGCTGTTCTCGCCCTCGATGACGGCAGTGATGGCCTTTGACACATTAGCATCAGCACATGGTGTGACATCAGCGCCCTGGGCAGGCTTACCTTGGTATCCCGCCATTCGAGGCCATTGATCAAGGCGACACTGTAACCGCACGTGACAAGCAAGCAAATGGCAAGACGAAGCTCGTGCTTCGATTGCGCATGATGTGTGCATTGGCAAGGGTCAGCAGCGCCATCATTCATCATGACAAACATGTAGGCATTAGCGGCGAGGGCAGTCCTGAATGAGTGGCTATCAGGCGACGGAAAGGTGAAGAGTTTGATGGGAGAGGCGTCGCGGGCGAGGTTGGCTTGGAGATGGCGCACAACAACGGCACGGGCGAGGCGGTACTTTGCCTTTTCGGCCTGGTTGGCATGGGGTGGGATGCAGAGATGGTCTCTATCGTCAAAAAAGGCGAGATGGAAATTGCAGTTGCGGCGCTGAAGATTGTGCAAGAAGTGTTCGACAAGCCAAACAGCATGCAGCATCTGGAAGCCATCTGCCAAAGTCAGCGCAGCGATGGTGGAGGCGTGGAACGGTGGAACCCTTGAAGTCGAGCAGCCGGTCGGAAAAGCAGTGGAGCAGAAGAGAGTCGCCTTCGACGAGAAAAGGCTCGCTGCCGGCAAAGTCGCCGACCAGGTCAACGCGACGGGAGTAGAGGCTGGCGTAGTAGTGGTCCCAGTCGGGCGGCGGCAGTCCATCGGCGGCCATGTCTGCGGTGAGGGGGTACTAGTAGCGAGTGGACGGATGTGGACGGCCGTGTTGAAATAAGGTGGTGTGGGGAGGAGGCGGATGATGGAGGCGGAGGGCGGGTGGAAACACCAGTGCGACAAGCGCCTGTCGGGCAGACACCGGTGAGGCTCTGCAAACAGGGCGGTGGGGCTTTCTCGGGTGCTGGCATGCGCCGCGCAGCATCATCGCCTGCCTTCTGCCTGCCGTCGTCCATTATTGCTTCCATCCATCGTCGCAGTCACTGACGTCACCCATCTTCGCGCCCGGGCGCGTTCGATGGCCACTGCCTGGCCGCACTGCACTGCACCATGGCCGATATACTGTGCCACTTGCAAGGCAGACTCGAGCCAGGCGTCCAGCGGCCTCTTGACTCGGTTCCACACATCGAACAGCTCTCGGAAACCTGCACGCACAGCAGTGAACCGGACATGGAGAGATTCCGCCCTCGTCGCAGGCAATGCGAGCCTTTGTGAGCCGCATGGGCTTCCGCCAAACAGAGTATGCGTAACGTTAAAGGCGACGACCGGCGGTTGTGGCTGTGCGTGTTGCGGCGCACGCGCATCTCGGGCCTACGCCACTTGCACTCTTCTTTGGGAGGTTTCTGCATATGGCGGCGTGTCTGCCTGGACGTGTCCGCTGCGCGTCACTGCCTGCTTCACTTTTAAATCCAAGTCCTCCTCCGCCACGCCGGCAACAACAACTCCTCCTCCAACCTCAGAACTTTCTGATCGTCGTTTGTGCCCTTCCCTCGCCCGCTTCTCACCATGGCGAACCAGAAGCCTTGCAGGTTCTTCAGACAGCCTGGAGGCTGCCGATTCGGGAGCTCGTGCAAGTTCTCCCACGGCGCAGCTTCACTTCCAGACCCCAACCGCACTCATCGCCGCCCCACCCCGAACGAAAATCGCAACCTTTCCAACTCTGAAGTCGAGTTTCGCAACTGGAGGTTCATGATCCCCAAGGAGGGCGATCTACCTGCACCTCTTGGTCCTCAGCTATCCACTTTCTTCCAAAAGGGCGCTGAACTCGTAGCCTCCGATGCAGGCATTCGCCAAGATGTCATCTCCCGATTGGCCTCTTCCGGTGGCCTGGCTCGTGTTCGGGAGCTGGCTGAGCAGGACTATGCATCGCTCAACGACAGGATGAAGCTCCGCAGGTTCCTTGGCTGTCATGTCCCTTTCTTTCAGATCATCACCCATCCTGATGTGCTTTCCTCCATCGTCTTGGAGCAGCCGGTAGGTAACCTGTTCACCTTTGTCTACGGCATCAACGGCCAAAGAGCTCTTCAGCTCTTCTCCCTCATTGCTGATCTCCTCTCCAACGTCTCCGGCGACACATGGCCCGCCGCATCGCTCCCCGTGGAGGAAGTTTTTCAACTTACCTTCCATGTCTTGTCCAAACTGATTGACATCAATGGCGGCGCTCATATCAACCCCGATGTCACCAAGCTTGCGGCATCGTTCTCCGTCGTGCTCGGTCGATTCGTCGAAGAGCATGGCGAGGCATCGTTCGAGAAGCCACGTGCTTTTCTCGCCAGAATCGAGCAACGGCTGGGCATCGGACAGGCGATTCCACAATTGGCCGAAAAGACAACAAGCACAGTCAAGCAGACGTCCTTTGGAGTTCCCATCGACCCCCCTGGCCGCCTTTCGACCAAGGGACCCCGCCACGATAACGACCATGAAGATATACGAGCTATCCAGGTGCTGCCTACGTGGCAAGAGGTCAAGTCGTTGAGACAGGAGTACCTACCTGTGAAGGACCCTGGCACGTGGCACAAGTCTGGTATTCAAGGTCTATTGGATAGACACTTCCGTCTGCTTCGCGAAGACACCGTTGGCCAGCTCCGCGATGCCGTCCACGCCGAAGTTTCACGCATGGAGGATCCAAACAACCGTTCCACCCAACACCAAAACGGTCGACAAGGCCTTCGTACTTACACGTACGACGGTGTCAGCGTTGCCGACTTTTCGATTGACCGCAAAGATGGACTCCGTTTCCTGGTCTCCTTTCCACAGCCACCGCACGTTCGATCAATGAGTGCACAGAAGAGGTCAGAGTGGTGGACCCAGTCCCGCCGCTTGCAGCCAGACGCGCTTGTATGCTTGTTTGACAAGACTGGACTTCTGCTCTTCTGTTCGGTAGTCTCTGAGCCGGCGAAAGCGAGAGGCACTTCCGAGAGCGCCGAGGCCAAGTCAACCAAGGAAGAACGCCGCAGCCTCTACGCAGACAGCAAAACTGCCTTTGTGGAGCTTTATCTGGTTGAACAGAGCGACCAACACTTTGAAGACCTTTTGCGTCGCTGCTGGAACTTCCGCCAGATGTCCTTGGTGGAGTTCCCGGGTGTGCTCTTGCCGGCTTTCCAACCCACCCTTCAGGCTTTACAGCAGATGTCCGTGGCCGGAGATGTTCCCTTTTCAGAACTCCTCGCACCGAGCCAGAACGCAGCAGGCATCGTGCGTATTCCGCCCCCTGCTTATGCCCGACGCCCGGGCTTCCACTTCAGCCTTTCCAGTATCACCAACGGAGTTGGGAATATTCAGCTATCGCCCCAGAAGGACTTCGACGCGAAGGAGCTAGTCCAAAGTTCTTCGCTTGACAACGCACAGGCAAAAGCCGTGGTGGACTCGCTGACACAAAGCTTCGCGCTCATCCAGGGGCCCCCGGGCACTGGAAAGAGCTATACGGGCATCGCTTTGATTAAAGTCCTCCTCGATAACCGCAAAGCTACACAACTTGGCCCCATAGTGTGTGTCTGCTACACCAACCATGCGCTTGACCAGCTTCTGGAGCATCTCGTGGTTGCCGGTATTTCGCGGATCATCCGTGTCGGGTCAAGGTCAAAATCCGAATTGCTCAAGCCCTTTATGCTCCGTGAGGTCTCGAAGGGGGTGGAAAAAACCAAAACGGAAAAGTGCGCTGCCTGGGAGGTCGGCAAGCAGCTGGAACAGGACGAGAAGGAGATCAAGGAGCTCATCAATGCTCTCAGCAACGCAGACTCGTGGCAGTCCGTGAAAGAATATCTTCAGCAGCACTCTCCCTCCCAACACGATGAGATATTCGGTTCTGACTCCCTCGATGAGGACGGCTGGACGCTACAGGCAGAGCACCCGAAAGACGCCCTCCTCCGTTGGCTCTGCGGAGGTCCCTCGCTCCCCTCAGGCAATCAGGAGCGGCCCGTCTCCCTTCTTCGATCGGCCTCGCTTATCAAAATGTCATCGGGTGAGAGGAAGAAGCTACATCGCTACTGGATCAAGCTTCTGCGCGATAAGATCCAGCGTAATTTGGTGCATGCACTGGGCGAATACAACGACCGGAGAACCGAGCACCGACGCAACCGCTTGGAAATGGACCTTCGGTGCCTGCAAGAGGCGCAAATCATCGGCATTACCACCAGTGGGCTTGCTCGTAACCTTGAGATACTGCGCCGAGTTCGAGCAAAGGTTATGATATGCGAAGAGGCTGGTGAGGTCATGGAATCTCACACTCTTACCGCTATGCTTCCCTCGGTGGAGCACGCAATCTTCATCGGAGACCATGAACAACTGCGACCCCAGATTCAGCGCTACGATCTGGGCAGAGAGCATCCTCATGGCGAGCGATACTCGCTGGACGTGTCACTGTTCGAGAGGCTGGTACGCCCGGACGATGACACGGCAATCAAGCTACCCTACACGAAGCTCGAGATGCAGCGTAGAATGCACCCGATGATCTCTCAGCTTGTCCGCGACACACTCTATCCCGCTCTCCAAGATGCATCTTCGACAAGGGACTACCCAATGGTTCCTGGCATGAGGGATCGACTTTTCTGGTTTGACCACCGCGAGTACGAAGCCGGCTCGGACCAATCTCAAGGCGTTACTACGACGAGCCGCACCAATGACTTTGAAGTCGATATGACGATGGGCCTGGTGTCGCATTTGATGAAACAGGGCACCTATCAGGCAGATGACATTGCCGTGCTCACCCCCTACCTGGGTCAACTACACAAGCTGCGTTCAAGGCTCAGTCAGATGTGGGAGCTTATCATCAATGATCGAGATCTTGACGAGCTCGAGAAAGCGGGAATATCCGGGAAGGAAGTCAGCAAGACGTCCGCACTGAAAGCCCTGAAGGTAGCAACTGTCGACAACTTCCAAGGTGAGGAGGCCAAGGTCGTAATCATCTCTCTCGTCCGCTCCAATGAGATGAACAGTTGCGGCTTCCTCAAGACGTCCAACAGGATCAACGTCCTCCTTTCACGTGCCCAGCACGGCATGTTCATCATCGGCAATTCCAGGACGGCAGGCAGCGTGCAGATGTGGCAGGACGTTCTCGACATTATGCGTGCCAGTGGGAACATTGGCACATCGTTTGAGCTTCGATGCCCTCGGCATCCGGATACGCTTATCACTGCTGGAAAGCCCGACAACTTCACCCAATACTCTCCAGAGGGAGGGTGTGATTTGAGGTGTGACCAGAGACTCCGTTGCGGGCACTCCTGCATAAACAAGTGCCACTCAAAGCTACTGCACGACGCCGTTGTATGCTTGGAACCCTGTCCAAGGCCCATTAAAGGTTGCGACCATTCCTGTCCGCGTGTCTGTGGTGTCGAATGCCCGCAAAATTGCGAGGTCCCCATGTTCGATCCGGATAGAAAGCTTCCTTGCGGACACTCCAAGGCGGATTTACCCTGCTGGCAATCTCAGGACCTCGCAACTGTAACATGCAAGACCAAGGTTCTACGTACCATCCCCGGCTGCAACCACGAAGTGATGCTCCCATGCCACGTCGACTTCGGATCCGACAGCTTCAAGTGCCCTGCACGCTGTGGCGAGCTGCTCGCATGCGGCCATGCATGCAAGAGTACATGCGGTAGATGCAAGATCAGGGAGAACGGTGTCATCGTTCGAGAGGACCATGGTATCTGCCAGCAGGTGTGCGGCCGCGATTACAGCACCTGCCGCCACAGCTGCAGAGAGAAGTGTCACGGCGACAAGCCTTGTCCTCTGTGCATAGCTCCGTGCGAAGTCTTCTGCGGCCACTCCCGTTGCGACAAGATGTGCCACGAGCCGTGTGCTCCTTGTGCCGAGCGGTCTTGTGCTTCCCACTGCCCCCACAGCACCTGCAGCCTCCCTTGCGCTGCACCGTGCGACTGGATTCCGTGCTCGAAGAGGTGTGAGAAGCTGCTTGCGTGCAAGCATCAGTGCCCGTCGCTATGTGGAGAACTGTGTCCTGACACCAAGTTCTGTCAACTCTGCGCCACCGACGACGTCAAAGACCAGCAGGTCGACTTCATCGAGATGCTTACCTACAAGGAAGTGGACCTGGACGAGGACCCGTGTCTTTTCCCTCCGTGCGGCCACATCATGACCATGGCCAATATGGACGGGCACATGGACATGCACAAGCATTACGTTACCGCCCCAGATGGAGCCTTTGTCGGCCTAAAGCCCGCGCCCCCCTTCTCGAACGACGAGCTCAAAGCTTGCCCGACCTGCCGTGGTCCACTCCGCAACATCTCCAGATACGGGCGCATCGTACGCCGCGCGCTGCTGGACGAGTCTACCAAGAAGTTCATCGTCTGGTCCAATGCCGAGTATCTCCAGCTCCAATCTCGATTCCAAGACGCGCATTCGGAGCTCACCAGAACCGCCGACGACATCGTCATCAACACCTTGGGACCGGTGGAACTCACGCTCGCCGGCAACCCATCGGACCTGTTCCAGAAGATGGAGGAAACCGCCCGTTCCCTCGGGCTCACCGCCCGGTACCGCCCCCTCTTCGCGCTCCGCACCCAGATCCACGCGCACGTCACCAACGTCCAGCACGAAGAGCAGCCGTTCCGCAAAGTCCACGACTTCTGCCAAGACGCACGGCGGCGCGGACGCGGCGCCGGGGGGCACGGCCACGAGGCAGCCAGCTCCTCCCCCTCCTCCAACCACTCCTCCTTCACCTTCTCCCCCGACGTGCTGCAGACGCGCGCCCTCCTCCTCGCCAGCGCCCTCCTCCTCCGCTGCGACCTCGCGCTCCTCGCCGACCTCGCCGGCACCTGGCGCAACAAGCTACTGCTCCGCACTCCCGCCGACGCCATCATCAACAGCGGCGCCGCCCTCGTCGACCTCACCGGCACCCGCCGCGCCTGCGTCGCGCTCCTCCACGACGCCAACGCCGCGCACAGCCCCGCGCAAGCCGTCGAAGCCTTCCTCTTCCACGCGCAATCCCACGCCATCGAGCGCCCCTTCCAGAGCGCCAACACCAACGATCAATCCCTCCGCGACCAATCCCTCTCCCACATCGCCGCCGCCCGCACCCTCGCCGCCGCCCACCCGGGCACGACGGCCGGCCTCGCGTCGGAGCTCGACGCCGTGGAGCGCATGCTGCGTGACGCGACCTTTTTCACCGTCGTCACGAGCGAGGAGCGCCGCGCGGTGCTGGCGGCCATGCAGGCCGAGTTCAGGGGCACCGGCCACTGGTATTACTGCGCCAACGGCCATCCGTTCACCGTGGGCGAGTGCGGCTTGCCGATGCAGTTGGCGGTGTGTCCGCAGTGTGGGGAGGCGGCGGGGGGGAGGGGCCACAGGCCGGCGGAGGGGGTGAGGAGGGCGGAGGATTTGGAGAGGGAGTTGCTTGTGGAGGGGGTGGGGGGGTTGAGGCTTTAAGGGGGAGGAGTATATTATCATTTGGGGTGGGTGGGAAGCCGAAGGGGGCATGGGGGTGTGGAGAGCGGTGGGTACGATTGGGTGGATGTGGTGGTGATGTTTGAGATGTTGAGAGGGGTGGGATGGTGGGAGGTTGATTTCTGTTCGGCGCTATAGAGAGAGAAGAAGATACCTAAGAGAGATAGACTGATAGAAAGAAATGATGATTTGGAGATTGGCCTCCCCTCCCTCACTACAATGAAACTGTGCCTTTTCATTCAAGCGGATGGAATTCCAGAATGCTTATAGACCCAACCCGAGTAACTTTGCTCGGTCGGCATCTGTCAAAGCCCGCGACTCGACTATGAAATACAACACCCCTTCGGTCCACAAGTGGCCGCCTCCCGAGGCGTCGCAACAACTGAGAATCCTGCGGAACCGCTCCACGCACGCGTCCTGCCCCAACACCGTCTCCAAGTGCCATTCGACCCTCACGCTGAGCTCCACCGAGACATTCCTCGCATCACCGCCGCCGCCGCATGAACCAGCGCCGGCGCCCGGAACGACGATCGTGTCCATCAAAAACGACGTGTCGTGATCCCCCATCACTCTCATCTCCGGCCCGATCGTGCCTTTGCAGAAGCCGTCGATCGCTTTTTCCACTTCCGGCCGAGGCGCCCCCGAGGGCTTGATCGAGAGGCAGTCGAGCTCGTCCGGGACCGCGTGGTCGCGCAGCATCCGGAGGTAGGTGCCGTGGTCGGGGAAGGTCTGGTCAGAGGAGCTGGGCGGGCCCCATTTTCGAGTGGGCTGGCCGTGGGTCGTCGTGGCGGCGCAGGCGTCTTGGAGGGGAGTGGCCACGCCGATGGGGCAGGCCAGAGCGGCCAGGATGAAGAGGGCTGTGTAGAGGTGCATTTTTTTTTTTGGGTTGGATTGGATGGGATTGCGAAGAAGATGATGGATGGGTTCGCGGGGCGTTAAGAATAAATAACAAGTTGGACGATGCCGGGCGGTGGGTCTGTTGAGTCTTGTAGTGTGGTTAGGGGTCTTTTCAAAAGCCGGTTGGGAAAGGTGGACCCTGGCGGGAACAATCACCCCTGGGCTTTGCTTCTTCCGAGATTTTCACAGTAGTCATATGCCGGACATAGTTGAGGCCAGGTTTCCGCCTTGACGTGTCCTCAGTGTGATCCCATGATCTTTGACCTATCCAATCTTGTGTGCATCCCATCTGTCTTTTCGGTATTGCCTGTCTGTTCTCGAGGTGGAGATCATCTTTGCACCATTCCTGGAGGCCGTGAGAGAGAAGCGGCAACGACCCGGGTTTCCAAACAGGTATTTGATCACGGTAGTTGGTCCATATGGTCGAGCAAAGGACCAAGGGAGCCAACGCTACCGAAGCAGCTAGCAGGGAGATCCACACCCAACCAACCTCAAAAAACACAACTGGTCGAAGAACAGACCCACACGAGAGGCGATCATTGTAGTTGTGTCTGATGCGGTTGGTCATGCTGGCAGAGGTGTCTTGGATGATACTAGAAATGTTTGGATTTAGGTAAGAAGCCAAGAGCATTTGAAGGTTCGACTGCTGTCGTCGTTCACCTATTATGTAAGACTCTGCTTCGAGCAGTGGTGGACCGTGAGGCCGGCAGGCAGCAACCATGCGAGAAAGAAACGCACATGTGGCCGGACTTGGAAGGATCAGCTTGATAGATGGCAATCCCTGTATCGGGACCGATGAGCCTTCCAATTTGCTTATCTGTGTTTATCATTGCCAGAGATCTCGTTTGGTAGACTATTCTGCTCTGTACCAACGGGAAAAGATGGGCGAGTACAAACACTCAGTAGTAGTCCACGTGGGATAAAACACAAAGGGAGTGGGTGCAATACTTCAACAACTATCCATTTTGTTTATTCAACTCTAGTTGCTACCTTAGTATTGGAGAAGAAGCCGACAAAACAGTGCGCTTTCGTAACGCGGAAATGACTCAAGTCGTCAACACCATCACGGCTTAGCCAGAGAATAGGATCTGCATGCTGCTAGGTGGCAGCCCTACTCCCTACTCGCTGCACGGTGCACCGCCTCGTGACCACCGCTTTGGCCATCATCTACCTACCCGTGCGTAAGGCGCGTATTAAATTACTACTTACCCGCAAGAAGTCCCCCTTGTACTTGCAGTTAGCCGGGCTATCTTTCTGGTTTATGCAGCTGTCTAAACAGAGGCGCGACTTTGATTCACAAGCACGAGGGATGAGGAATGGTGGTGAGTGGTCTATTCGATGCGTATTAAGGTAGCTTGTAAGCCCGGATTAAGATACAACAGATTAACTATGTACATGAAGAACGAATGCCGCTGCCGCTTAGTTGTAAATGCAGACCTCCTTGGGAGTCTCGACCTGGGTGGCGCCAATCTCGAACTTGGTGCACTTGTCCTTGCCGACGGACTTGGCGTACGACTTCTCGGGGTAGACCATGTACTGGCCGGCGACGTCGGTGGGGCAGGCCAACCAGCTGGAGGCGCCGTCGAAGAACAGCTTGATGCTGTCCATCTCGGAGCCGGTGAGGGAGAACTTGTCGGCGGTCTGCTCGGCGGAGACGGCCTTGTCGGGCAGGGTGTAGCCGAACAGGCCGCTGGCGGCGCCCGAGATGTCGACGAAGCCTTTTTGCCGAAAGAGGTTAGCTTGGTGATCGGCGGGGACGGGACGAAGGCGCAAGGGGGCTTACCGCGCTGCTGGTTCTGCTTGCCGTCGCCGTGGAAGGCGAGCGAGCCGGCAGAGCCGACGGTGACGGCGGGCGCGACGTCGCCGCAGGTGGAGCTGGTCTCCTTGCCGATGTACCAGAAGCCGCCGTTGGCCTTCAGGGACTGGCCGTCAAAGGCGGCGCCCGAAGCCGAGGCCACGAGGTTGTAGTAGGTGGTCGTCGTCGGGGCGGCGAGAGTGCTCGCGGCGCAAGCGAGGGTGGAGGCGAGAACGGCAGTGGTCTTCATGGTGACGGTGGTTGGTTTGTTGGTTTGTTGGAGTTGTGGTGGTGGATGAGGAAGCTGATTGACTGCTGTGGATGGCTGATACAATTGCGGCGACTTGGCTGTGGTCTTTATACGTTTTCTACAAGGGCCATTTTCAGCAGTATCCCAAGGCACCCCAGACCCCTGAGATGCGGTAAAGTATCTATGCACGACATGGTGGTCCGGCCGGGACGTGCGGGGAGCCCGTTCGCTCGTATTTGCAATGCCGGGGGGCTAACCGGTCAACCCAATCACTTAGCAATGGGATCGACCATGTGGATACGAACAATTATAGAAAACCATATGAACAGCATTCGGCCCGGCGACTAAGCATTGCAGCTGGAAACGGCGGAGGTCTCCAATACACAGACCAGACCGTCCGAAGTCAGGCCGTGTGAGTCGTGTGAGACGTGCTCCAAACCTTGTGGCTAGTCAATCTCATTGGACCAGAGACTCAGCCTTACGGCTCCACTTTCCTCTTAGTTTGACATCGTATAAGGCAAAAGTATCCATTCTTGTCGTACTCGATATGTGGACCCTATAGGGGACATGTCGACTTGCTTGCTGTCGGCATCCACTTCACAACCCGTGGATACTGCATGTCCCCTTTTGATGGTATGATCGAAAGGTCCGGTCTCGATTCACCAAGCCAGTGAGTGACTATCCGACGGTTGGCAGATATACGTGATGGTGACTGAAGAGAATAGAAAGTTTGCTCCCCGTTCGGATTCTCGGTCAAGCGATCGGCAACACCATTCCTTTACCTACTCGAGATGCAGAAGACAGAAGAAAGCTGCGGTTTTCCTTGTTGACCCCGCTTTCTGTTCTCCAGTGTCTTCGCTGGCAGCTTCTGCATGCAGTAATGCTCAGCAGAATAGCGCATCCCTTCGAATCCTTCCACTGAACCATCTCGCAGCTCACGAAAAGACCTATCAGCAGCGCTGTAGTACATGCCATCGGAAGCAATCGTTGTATATGGCCTTGACAGTTTGTGTTGTTTCATGATTTTGTGCATGAGTTGCCTCATCCACATCAATCAGGAGATTTCTTTGTAGTGAGCTGCTCCTTTCTACAGGCACATGTCTCAAAGCTTAGCTGTTCAGGATGTCACATCCGAGATGGCATGTACGCGGCACACATAGTTGTGGCTCGGCAGAGCTCCAGAACCCCTGAATTTCGATTGCGCAACTCCATAGAATCTCGCTCAAGGTGATAGCGGAAATAGTAGCTGACTGGAGTTTCGTGCCTCATATGTGGCGAAGCCAGCCTTGCGTCGATCACTTCCCGACCCCATTTGGAAGTCGGGCGCAACGATTCAATGAAACGTCTGAGGAATCCTCCACGATACACAGATGTTGGCGACCAATTACATCCCACAGCCAGAGGTCCCGTCAAGAAAGGGACGGCTGCTGCCTAGACATCCCGACAGCACATGTTCCCAACCTGGCAACCCGAAACGCCAAAACATATACCAGCCAACAGCGCAGCCCTAGTACTCCACTACATATATCAAACCAAGCTGCACACTCAGACATCCCCACTCCCCCCTCCCCGCACCTCCATCTCCCACCGCCCCACCACCACCACCACCACCACCAACAAAAACCATCATGGACAACAACACCACTCACGCACACCCCCACCCCCGCCACCCACCTCCCACCACAGACCCAGCCATGCCACAAGAAGCCACCACCCCCACCCCCACCGACTCCTCCAACTCCATCTTCGCCACCTACCACGCCCACGCCTCCTCCCCGCGCACCTCCACCGACGCCGTCCTGCAGACCGCCCTGCGCGCCGCCTAACCCCCGCTCGCGCGGCTACCGCCTCACCGCCACGCGCCGCGACCTCCTCGCCTACGCCCACGCCCAGCAGCAGATCAACAAAGGCAGCAGTCAATATGACGGCGCGACCGCGACCGCGACCGCGACGCTCCGTTCTGGTGGCCCGCCGCTGCTGCGCACGCGCGCGTACGATCCGCCGGCTAGGCGCTCGTGGCAAGCTAGTGCGGGGGGAGGGGGAGAGGAGGGGGAGGTTGGTGGTGGCGGCACGCTGCGGGATGTGGTGGCGTTTGGGGTGTACGACTATGTGTGGAGGGGCGGCGGCGTTTGTGGTGTATGTACATACGTGGCCGAGGGGCAGGGGTCGATGGTGAGCGAGCCGGAGGTGCGGTTCTACGTGGTCGAGGAAGAGGGGCAGGGGGCGACGGACGGCTTGCTGCTGGCGGCGCACAGGTGGGCGGAGCAGAGCCACGGCGACGAGGTGTGGGTGTTTGACCAGGGGCGGTGGCGCAAGGACGAGGAATTGCTGGACGACGCGGTGCGGGATGTCGAGCTGGACGACATCGTGCTCGAGCCTGGGACCAAGGACGCCATCTTGCGCGATGTCGTCGGTTTCTTTGGGGCGCGCGAGCAGTATGCGCGGTTCGGCACGCCGTGGAAGCGCGGGCTCATCTTTCATGGGCCGCCGGGGAACGGGAAGACGGTGACGGTGAAGGCGATCATGAAGATGCTCATGGCGAGGCCGGATCCGGTGCCGACGCTGTACGTCAACGCGTTTGCGCAGCGGGGTTCGGGGCCGCAGCAGTCGGTGCGGCAGATTTTCGTCAAGGCGAGGCGGACGGCGCCGTGTTTGCTGTTGTTTGAGGACGTGGACTCGTTGGTCAAGGACGAGGTGAGGTCGTACTTTCTCAACGAGATTGACGGGCTTGAGAACAATCATGGCATCTTGATGATTGGCTCGACCAACCACTGTGGGTTTAAACGCACGGGACAGCACAGCCGAAGCTGACGGCGCTGCAGTGGACAATCTCGACCCAGGTCTTTCCAAGCGTCCTTCTCGCTTCGACCGAAAGTATCGGTTCAGGAGCCCGTCTCTTGAGGAACGCATCCGCTACTGCGACTGGTGGAGGGCCAAGTTTGCCGACAACCCGGACCTCGCAGTCGATGCAGATACTTCGAAGCGCATTGCAGAGCTTACCGATGGCTTCAGCTTTGCCTATCTGAAGGAAGCTTGGGTTGCTTCTCTGCTGTCTCTGCTCTATGCCACGTCCTCGGCGGGCACGACGGAAGCGTCGGGCAAGTTGCCGAAGATGCTGGAGAAGCAGATTGAAGTTTTGAAAGAAGAAATGTCTGACGTTGGAGACAAAGACCAGGAGAAAAACAAAACAGAAACCAAGACTTGATGGTGCCTAGAGCTCTTATCCGACCCTCTTAAAGCAGAAGTCATGATTTACGGCCAAAAGACCATTCGTCTCAAGATATACAATGAAATGACGTGCTACATGGATGGACATGCAATTGATTTGCGGGAAAGGGGGGAACTAAAGGACCAAGCAATCACGATAACATGATCCACTTTCCACTTTCCACCTTCTCGTTCTTGTTTTCTTGCATACAAAGAGACCCTTTTCTACTTTTGACCGAGTAGTACATATTAAAGACCAGCTGTCATCCAACCCGTCTGACTCATTATCTCATAAACCCCAACTCACTCACAACTCATCCCTCTTCTTCAGATTTCCGCCCACAGGCCTCAGCCTAAACAACCCGATACTATGTCTATCTACCCTCGCCTCCAGCTTCCCACCGGGCAGCAACTGGCCGACCTTCGTCCCAAACAGCGCAGTATGATTCGCCTTCAGCCCATCCGCATAGCTCAACTTCGTCGCGTTATACCTCGTCAGACTGCCCTCCTCCACCGTCGTCGCATTCCCCGCCAGAATCGCCGCAGCCTCATCCTCGGACATGCGGTTCGCCCAGAGATCGTACACATCCCACGTCGTGCTCAGCTGGGCGGGGGGCAGATAGGCGCCCGCGGTGGCCTCGTCGAGGAAGATGTCGTCGATGGTCGCGTTCATCATCCTGCTGCTGTTGCCCGTGTTGATGAGGGCGACGGCCTTGTCGCCGTTGTCGAGGGAGCGCGTCCACAGCTGGATCTCGCCCATGCCGTCGGCGTCGACGTCCGGCACGTAGTAGCGCCACACGCGGTTGGCGGCGCTGGCCGAAGGGTCTTGGTTGAGCGCGATGACGGCCGGGTTGGAGTAGATGGCGAGGTTGGCCGGGGACAGGGTCGGGATGTTGGTGCCCATGAGCAGGGGGGAGGACATGAGCGACCACATGGAGAAATGGACGACGTACTCGGAGTCTGGGAGCGTCAGTAACCCTGCTTTTTCGTGGGGAGAGATGGGGGATGCAGATGCAGATGAGCTTACCGGACTGGCCGCCATTTCCGACTTCGAGCATGTCCATGTCGTTGAAGGCTCCCGACTGCGAGCGGGGCACGATTGGAGCCATCTTGTTCAGGATGTTCATGACGGAGCAGTGGAAACCGGGCCAGGCGCAAGGAGTCTCGGTACACGGGCAACGGGCGTCCGGGCGCTGGAAGCTGTCGTAGATGTCGCCGCTCATGCGGTAGCTGTTGGAGATGGAGTAGGCCCAGTCGTAGGGGTCGTCGTTGCCCCAGTTGCACATTGCGTACACAATAGGGCGCCCAGTGGCATTGAGCGCCTTGCTCATGACATTGTACCGATCAAAGCTGATCTTAGGCGTCCCAGATTGTCCTAAATTGAAGCAATTATCATATTTTAGGTAATCGATGGTCCACGACGCGAATACGTCGGCATCCTTCTGCTCGTAGCCCAGACTGCCTGGGTAGCGACCGCAGGTGAAGACTCCGGCGGAGCTATACATGCCGAACAACATGCCCAGGTTGTGAATCTTGTCGGCGACATACTTCATCCCATTGGGGAATTTCTGGGCGTCGTGGACGAGATAGCCAGAGTCGTTGCGGCCGGAAGACCAGCAGTCGTCGAGAACTACATATTTGTAGCCCAAATCGCGCAGGCCAAAATCGACCATGGCTTGGGCGGTGTTGAGCAGGAGCTCTTCGGAAACATCGCAATGGAAGGCGTTCCAGTTGTCCCAGCCCATCTGAGGAACCAAGTTCAGGCCGTTGTATGAGCTGGCGCCAGGGATAACCACATCCTGAGCGCGGGTGGCTGCAAGAAGGGCGATGAAGGCTGCAAAAAGTGAGGTGGAAGCCATTGCGGCCGATTCGGGAAGCGAGGGAGTAGGGAAGTGTCGCTCAGGCGGGGGGCGAGAGACTGAGCAGCCAACAATTTATACGACTCGAGGCGTGGGATAAGCAGGGACATGGTACCTAGCAAAGGACTGGTCGAAAAGGGGGTAAGAACGGGCGGGGTCCGGCGTGGTGAGGGGCTGGAGCGACCAGTGTTCCTGGTTCATGGGAAATTCGGACGAGCCGCATGCCATTGAGGGCGCGGAGCAGGTGGAGGAGGCCTGGATCTAGCCACGGTAGGCTTAGGGGGCGTTGAGGGAGCGGACAACAGACTCGATGGCTACCAGTGCGGTGTTGGATGACGTAGCGAGTGCGGGGTGCAGCGGTTGAGGCTGACCCGGGGACGGCAACCACTTAGCCTAGCCTGGACCGGAGAGGAGCGCGCCTGACGCTGCATCCATCCGACCCTGCCACCTATCGTCAGATATTTTTTTCCTTTTCTCTTCACCCGCGCATTCTCCACGCCACCACTCGCTCTCCGCCGCCGCCGCCATCTCATCTCCGTCCGCGGCGCGACGCACGCCCAGCACTCAACACCACACCATCGCCCCACAACCCCAACGCCCTCCGCAGCTAAACCCACAGAGGCCGTGCCAAGCAAATCCGTCCCGCACCGCGGCGAAACCTGACTACATGCCCCGCCATGATTTCCCCGGTCTTGAGCGTCTCCGGGGTCGTCTCCTCACTTCCTGCCGTGCCATCTCTCACCACCGCATCCCGGGAGTCTAATGCCGTGCGGTGACACTCATGCCACTCGCGCATCTCGCTTTACAATCACCCGCCGAGGGAGCTGACCATCCCGACTACCGTCGGCCTTTGCCCGGCCAGTCTCTGGACATGCTTGTTCATGAAGCCATCTCTCATAAATGCCCGCTACCGAAAACCTTAGGTAGTAGTCAAACCCCCGTGACCTCGAAACCTAGCTAGCCCAGCGTCGATCCGCATATCTGCACACTGCAGGGTTTAGTGCTGAGATGAGACCCCGATGCGCTAGAAGCACCGCAGAACAACACCAACAACAGCAACCTCACGCCTGCTCCTTCCCCTCCGCCTTCCTCCGCACCATCAACTCCTCCCTCTCCCTCACCACCCTCGCCATCTCACTCCCCAGCTCGCTCCCCAACGCCTCAAACCCGCGCACCACGCCCTCCCGATCCCCCTCGCCCATCTCCTGACTCATCTTCCACTTGCCCGCCATGCTCGTCACCTCGACCTCGACCCCGACGATGGCCTTCTTCAGCGCCTCGACGTACGGCGCCGGCGCGTCGCTCACCTCCCACGGCCGCTCGTACCCCATGACCCGCGTCTCGGCCATGCGCGACAGCTCCGCCACCTGCCGCGCGAGGTACGCGTCCGTCGCGGGGTCTGCGTTGTCGAAATACAGCCGCGCCCGCCCGTACACCTGCACCGCCGCGTAGTCCCACGTCGGCACCACCTTGCCCGTCGCCGGCTTCGTCGCCGCGTAGAACTTGGGCGTCACGTAGTGGTGCGCCGGCGCGTTGAACAGGATCAGCACGTCTTGCTCGAGCGTGCGCGGGCCGCCTGTCGTCGCCGGGGATGTGGATGCGGATGGCGACGATGACGTGACGGCTTCGATCATGGCTTTGCTTTGCGGGTTCGCCCGCGCGATGTGTGCGCGCAGCGTGCCCAGCTCCGTCTCGGACGCGTCGTCGAGGACGTCGAGGAGGAAGGGCAGGTGGCTGGATTGCAGCAGCGGGAAGGCTTGCGTGGGCGAGGCGAGGGCCGTCGTGAAGATGCCGAGGGGGTTGGCGCGGATGAAGGCCCGGAGCGTGGGGAGGTGGTGCTCGGCGTGGGCGGCGCGGAGATACATGGTTGCGGTGGTGTTGGTGGTGTCTTGAGTTGATTGTCGACGTTGATTTCTTTTTCTTTTGTCTTTCTTGGTTTCCTTTGGTCGTTGATGAGCGGTCCTTGGCTTGGTTTGGGTTGGGGCAGGGCCTTGCTGGTGGAACCCTTTTGGAGCGAATAAATAATCAGGGGGTGTTGAGGCTAGCGGTTCTGTTCGGGGATAAACGCGTGCGTGTATCGAAGCCGAGGTTTTCTCTTTTCTTCTCTACTTCTGTGCTTGTTGTGAGTGAGACAATGGAGGATGAAGAGCTCCCTTTTTCAATTCTCTCGATTGCGCTCGTAATTCTACGGACATGACTCCTACAGGGCGCGCGTACACGTTGACAATGTATCCCATCCTTGGGACTCAGGCTGAGTGATTTATTCAAATCGATGCCATTGGCCAGAGGAAGAGTCACAGGACGTGCCTGGACTCCCCCACAATCGATAAGGCTCTTCTCCGCGGAGCCATCGGATGCACTTGCCGAGAGAAGTAAGGCGGGCGTCAAAGGCGGACGTGCCACCACGGGTCCCTTTGCCGAACGGGGAACATTACCCCGGCTGCGGGAGGGTCGATCTGTCGCTGGGTAGGTTCATGTGATTTTATCTGATCGAGGTCATCACCAAGCGGCAGCCTCTACAGCTCTTCAAGGCAGATGGCTACTGCTCAGTGTTGCTCTGGGATCATCGAGGGACTTATAGAGCCTGCCCATACCCTTCTAAAGTCTGATCCTCGGCGCGTCGATGTAGGAAGCCGGTTCGAGATTCGAGGCTATACGCCCACGTATTATATATCGTATGTACATACAAAGTCCGCTTTTTCTCAGGAGGGCGGCGTCATGGCTGCCGCAATGCTTATCGGATGTTGCTCCACTGGTGGCCCATCGTGGGCGCTTCTCCCTTGCTGCGGATGCCACCCCCATGCCTCTTCCAACTGGGATCGTGCCTTTGCCGTTGGCCAGCCATGCCGTCTCTCCGTGTTGTAGAGGAAGTCGTGAAGCTGTCTTTGCTCCGATAACTGGATGAAGCGGTCGCCGCCTGAAACATAAGCACGGCACAATTAGTGATTGTTTTCTCATGGGCGGCATCCAATGGCTACAGCAATGTCGAGATTGACTGACAAAGGGGTACTTACAAAGCGCTACCGCCATGCAAGCGATGAGGCTCGCCGATGGGACAAACTCGTTTGACTGTGCGAGGCTGCAGAGCTTTCGAACGTCTTCCTTTGCTTTCTCCTTTTGGCGCATTGAGGATTAGAATCGATCCAGGATGGCGTATAACAAAAGGCAATATGGCGTGTACTCACGTCCATTTCTGCAACCGCCCGTCTCCGCAGCGGTCCCAGCTTCGGGACACTTGGGTCATGAACGACGAGCAGCAGATGCGCCTCGATCGTGTACGAATACCCCATCACTTGCAGCGGCTTGGTCAGCGACGAAAAAAACGAAAACGAACCGCCATTCCCAACCGCAGAAACTCACCATGCCAATCCGCCTGAAACCGCACATCCGGAAACATCCCCTCCTCCCCCTCCCCCTCCCCCTCCCGCAACCCTCCACCACCACCACCACCACCACCGCCGCCCGTCCGGCAACACGACCGCTCCCACCCCCCAAAAAACGGCTCAAACCCGCCGGGCACGCTCCGCCACCACATCGCATTCTCCCCCATCAACACCCTCCACCTCCTCGTCCGCTCCTCCCTGCCGGCCTGCAGCTGCAATGTCCCCGTACTATTACAACTCGCCGCCGACGCCCCCACCGTCGCGTTCACGGCGGCGCCGCAATGCGCGATCGCGCGCTCGCACCACACCCAGTCCGGGGCGGGCGCGAACGCGGGGCGATCCAGACCTCCTGCCGGAAGGCGGACCAGTAGGCTGCTCTGCGCAAGCCGGCGGGGGTGGTGCGCGTGCTGGTGCCAGTGCCGGTGGTGCTGGTGGCGGCGCGGATGATGGCCTGGCTGCCGGTGAGGTGGACGTGGCCGCGCGAGTCGGCGCCGGCGATGTGGACGTCCATTTCCTCGAGCATGCGGAGGACGACGGTGGCGGCGAGCAGAGACGTCGAGTCGGCGACGGCGCGGTCGACGTCCGAGAGGGACGGGATCAGCGTCGCGAGGCAGCGCTGGTAGTGCCGGTCGGCGACGTAGGCGTCGATTGCTGCCCCGGCCGTCTTCCAGTGCAGCATGCGCGCTGAGATGGCGAGGAGGGCGTTGGCGAGCGTGCGGTTGGTGCGCGCGCGTTGGGGCACTTCGTGGCGGAAGTGGCGGTGGGGGGAGCAGAGGTCGAACTTTGATTGGGGAGGGGGTAAGTGCTTGCTTTCTTTTTTATTTTTCGGGGTGAAGGGGG